CCCCCCCTTTTTGATCACAGACTCGCATCGTCCTCAAGACTGCAGCCTAGCCGAGCTTGAATGCTCACAGTCGATCTCATCCCTGCAACCGCAATCTTCTCTTTCGGCTCAGAGGTTTTGGTCCCACACCGTCCGTTGGTCTCCACGCTCGATCCCCACACTCGTGGACCGGCCACCGCAGTCGTGAGTTTGCCGTAAGCAGAAATGTGGCTGCGTTCACGATTCGCGTTAATCAGATAGACCGACGCGATGGCCCGACATGATGGATGCTATGCAGATAGCAGAGCTGCGCAGTGGCGCTCTCGATACTAGCAAGAGTCTGGCTTTGGCCCTGCCCGAATGACCCCGCCGGACGACAGATCCCAAATCACGAATGCATCTGTGCTCGTCGGGTGCAGCTCCGAGAGAGATAAAGAGCGTACGCAGCTGCCTGGCTGCCGATGGCTGTGCAAGTCCATCTTCTGTCGAATCATCATACACGCTGCGCTGCGCGTTCGCGCGTGCGTGCGGAGAAATAGTCCGCTCCGCATTCGTCACGCTTGTGATTCAGACAGACACCTTTCGCATCACGATCGATCCTTCATAATCTGCCTCGCAGCATGGGACGCAAGCCTGCTGTGATGTTCGAGCTGGAATGACGAACCAGTCGTCTCATCGTGATGATCATTCGCACACACACAGGCACTTCCGATTCCGGTCCATGGAGCCACGTTGTCACAGGTTCTCTTGGCACGCGACGCTATTGCTCGTGCGTAGTTGAAAGCTTCGCAACTCGGTAGATGTTGCTTCACGGCGCGCGGAAAAGGCATCGATGCGAGTGGACGAAAAGATCCAAAACCCAGAAACTCTTTGCCGGCGTTGCGCATTCCGGAAGCGAAGCCAATGAGATTGTGTATGTCCGTCGAACCCACGTACAAATGAGATGCGACTTGGCGTGCTTACGCCGGAAACGTGTGAATGGGCCATGCCTTCACCCAAATACCCGCTACGCCACCTCTTCCATGTCGTCCAAATCCTCCTCTTCTTCCTCGCCACTTTGTGCACTCCCATTCGCCTCTATCATTTCCTCCTTTCTTCTCTGAACAGCTTCCTCCTGCGCCTCGTCTTCTCTGGAGCGCTTGGCACCTGCGGTCTGGACAGGCGCGCCGACATCTATCTCTTCCATTTCGTCTTCCCCTTCGTCCTCATCGGGATTCGGAGTGCCAGAAGCCGCTTCGGCCGCCTGCAGCGAGGCGTATTGCGCGTAATCTGGAGACCATCGCAAAGAGTCAGCAGCGCGTCTCATCCTGCAAGTCAAAGTTTAAGGCTCTCTATCTCGCAACACTCACAGTCATCCTGTTCCTCCTTCGCTTTGGCTTCCGCCAAGCGGAGCCTATGCTCCTCATCATTCCCTTTCGTTCTAAAATTATCGGCGCCTCTATCCAAGCCCGTCTTCTCTCCACTGACGGTGCTCCTGGCCAACCAATCAGGCAAAGCATTCGCTTTCCTCTTCGCTTCCGCTTCTTTCCTCTTCTTCTCTTCTCTAGCCAGGATGGAATCGGGGTCGTCTGTAGACAGCTCGACGGACAGCTGAGGTGTCGCAACATCGGCTGCGGAGGGCAAGACCGAGCTTGCGCTGGGCAAGGCGGAAAACCCTGCAGCTCCAGATTTGAGCGACTCGGCTGCTGCTTGACGCCATGTCGATCCGTATCGCTCTATCCACGCTGTAGGATCCGACCTGGCAAACACGAAAGAGCTTGGTTAGGGTGAGCGGCGAGAGTACAGGGATAGGGTGTGACGTATGAACGGCATCCACGTCGCTCACGGAGGCAAGATCACGCCTTCAACCTTTTGCATGACGCTCAAAGCAGGTCCAAGCTGCTCATTAAAACGTTTCATACGATCCTTGCTCCTCCTCACATCTTCCGCATCCTCGTTGTCCCTCAGTTCCGCTCCACAGCCAGGTGTATCGCAAACCAAAGCCGTGCCCGTAGGATCGAGCAGATGGGCCACATCCAGAGTGCTAAATCGTTTGGCGCACTGTGGGCAGACGAATCCGCGCGTGTCTAGCTCGGCCAGGAAAGCTGACTCGATCGTCCGACGCATGTTCAAGAGGCGCCATTTGAGAACGTTGAGAGCATTGGAGGGAGAGATGTAATAGTATGCTCGACTGAAAGCAATGTAGATTTAATCCACAAATCAGCAAGAGCAAGCTGCACTGCGAGCGCAGCCAGGATCACCTACGGAAATGATCTTGCACCACCTTCCCGCGTCTCTAGCCTCCGGTGACTAAGTTTCGGAAAAGTGCGAGCATCCTCTATGCTCAGCTTGACGGACCTGCGTAGACCTTGGCGGAACCCACTCACACCATGACCAAACCATCTTCGACTAAACGAAGAGTGAGCGCGGTGACTTCTTTAGGAGTGATTGCTAGCAGGCCTGCCAGCGCATCGGCTGGAACACTGGGCAGAGATTGATAGGACTGACCATCAGGTGCTGTGTGGGATGCTAGATCGCTCGACTGGCGTCTTGGCTCTCCCCTTTGCGCGCTCTCCCTGAAAGCACCCGCTCACACAAGAGCGCACCGCATACAGCCTTCTATTCGTAGACCCATCGATCCTTTGTACGCGCGTCACGATCCTAATCTCCTTCGCTGCTGCGATCAAGTACCCATATATCGCTACACTGACTGACCACCGCACACTCACACTTGAAACTTGACGAGCCTGTCTATCACGACGATGTGCCTATCCTCGTAGAACTGTCTGACCACGTGTTGCAAAAGCAGACGTATTTCGGCCAAATCTTCAGCTGTTGCTTCTCTTGTAGCTCTCTGGAAAGCAGGATTCGAGGTCGATGCCGAGGTCGAAGCTGGGGCCGAAGGACCAGGCCGACTTGAGGACATGCTCGGGATGTCGAAATGGGACCGCACCTGTGCCTGCAACTTAGACCCGTCGTCGTTGCCCTCCGGCTTCGAGCAGTGGGGTCCGTCGGGACGTGCGATTTCATTCACAGCACGATCGCTCCCGGGCACACCTGGCTTGCTCGCCGCAGAGCGTTGCCAAAGCTCCTTGCCATACAACGATGCCAAGAGGCCCGGTATCTAGCAGGTTCGATCCTCTATCTCGCCTTTGTTGGAGCTTGGTGGCAACGGCGTACGCGGCGCTCCGCTTTCCGTAGTCGTAAGTGTCGCCACGTATTTCTCGAGACGCCGTATCTGGATCTGGATGGGTCAGGGGCGGATCGAAGGGAGATGCTTCCAAATCGTACCTGTACATGCTGTCCGATCCGTTGATCGAGTCGTCCGACTCGTGCGCCCTGCGTGCACGAAGTCCGTGCGTGGGCGGACACGTGAGCTCCGATTGCGTGCGCATGCACTTATATCAGACTCAACTCTGACTCTGCTGACTCGGGTGCAACCCTGACTTCACACTTCCAAGCAGCAATATCCCCCCAGATGGGCATGCAGACTCTCCTTCACGACTCCTCTGTTACTCTTGCCGTCTTCTTTCACAGGCTATCTTTCTTCGCACTAGGCTCATCACTGATCGCGATCTAGCAGCCGACAGCCTTGCATCTGGGCCACCCACACCTTCCCAAGGCGCATACACCCTCATCTCATTGGTACCGATCAGGAGGACACCACTGCTGCAATCAAGCGCGCAGAGAGATCAGGCAGGCAGTAATTCGAACCGAGACCATTGCTCGCAATCGCAATGTCTTCCAAAGCGCTCAAAGCGTTGGGAGAGGATGTGTGGAAGAATAGAGCAGAAAAGGTCGTGAGTAGCTTTCCAGCCAGCTCAGTCGTGCGAGCCTGGAAGACGCAGCAACGCCCGTCAAACCTCATTCCCCCCTCCCCCTCCCCCCCCCTCCCCCCCTCCCTCCTCCTCTTTCTTTAATCGGGCCCACCTGACTCATACCTGCTCATCTCCTTCCGACGAACAGAATGCGGAGCTGTTCACGCTGACGTACGGAGCGCTAGTCGTGCAGCTGATCAAGGATTACGAGGATTACACTGCCGTCAATGCGCAATTGGACAAGATGGGCTACAATATCGGCACGAGACTGATCGAGGATTTCCTAGCTAGGACCGGTCTGCCCAAGTGTAGGGATTTTGCAGAGACTGCCGAGGTGCTTTCCAAAGTGGGTTGATCGTTTCGGCAAGGAGAAATCCTCATCCGCACCATGTTCCTAGCTGAGGCCCCTCTGTGCCAATGTCCTGTTTCGCTTTCGACGCACCTCTCGTGCCCCTCAGGTCGGTTTCAGGCTGTTCCTCAACATTACGCCCGTGCTGCTTCCGATCAAAGAGGTGCCTCTGACCTCGGCGTCGCAATCCGCAGTTGTCGCCAGTGCAGCAGCCTCGGCATCGGGCCAAACAACGCAAGAATTTGGTCTGGTGCTGGAAGAGAACCCACTGGCTGAGTTTGTAGAGCTGGACGAAGAAGCTAGATTGGGCGGACTTTGGTGGAGCAATGTGCTTTGTGGCGTTATCAGGGGCGCTTTGGAGATGGTGCGTCGAGCTCGTCTTGGGGAGTGCACGCTGTCTCAAGAAAGTCGGATCGTCTTGCTATCTAGCTTGGGACCAGCTTGGAATCTTTGCTCCATCCATGACAGCAGGAATCTGACACTCGCCCGCTGCTCCTCTCCTTATACAGGTCCAATTACAGACAGAAGTCAGATTCGTATCGGACGTTCTCAAGGGCGACGAGACTACAGAGATGCGGGTCAAACTCATTCGCGTCTTGGACGAAGAAGCTCCGATCGCTGATGATTGATGCGCTGTGCTCTCATGTACAACAGATTGCCCTTTTTACCCGGCAAAAGTCATACTCATTCTGTCTTCCTAACGGCAAAGGAAAACGAATACGATGCCATATTGTCGATCTTCGTAGTGCTTCTCGACGCCTCTGTGAGACATTCAGTCTGCCGTTGTGTTGCGGGTAAGAAGAGAGGATGCACGCTCGAGGCTAGAGACTTGGGCGCAAGCAGAGAGCGTCTCCGACTGGCTGAGACATTGGAACGCCCTGAGCGCCACATCGCGTTCGCGGACCGCTCAAGTCGACAGGTACAGTGCGGAGAAGAACGAGATGGCAGAATAGAAATTGACTTTACAAAGGATCCGCATGTGCTCAGCGTCTAGGAGTGTTGACGACAGATCCAGGTCTACCGGTAGGCGGTGGCATGTTGCCATAAGCCTGCGAAGCACCAGCAACCTGCTGCGCATGAGGCAATCCCGCTGCAGCAGGCGAAGATTTGTTGCCATGTCCCTGTTGCGCAAGCGCATGCGGAGGCAAGGCCTGGTTGGCCGGTCCGCCTTCTCCCCTCTGCAAGCCCAAGAGTCTCTCGGCATATCGAGCGCTTTCCAAGACGACCACTGCTTCGTCGACCCATTTACCGCGAAACGTTCCTGCCCTTCTCAGCTCCTCGTCGGTCAGGCCGGCCAGAGCGCCACCTGAGCCTGTGCCTGTGCCGGTACCGCCGTTGCCGCTTAGACCCCCGGAGCCTAGTACCACGTCTAGGTCGCGAGATTGGGAGGCTAGCCAGGATCGCAGGTGGGCATGCGGGTTCTGCGAAAAGGTGCTCAGGAAATCTCGTGACAGGGCGCGTGTCGACAGCGTCGAGGTTGCCTGTGCGATCTGTTGCAGCCGAAGACGAGCCAGAAGACGTCACGACGTCAGTGAAATGATTGATATGGGGCAACCAAATCACCGCGAAGAGAAGGTGGGCCGCGCGCACTTACCCTATCGTCCAGTTCGGCAATCTCTTGTGCTGCCTCGCCCTTGGGGTCAAATGCGTCCAGGACGCTCTCCCTCGCTTTGCGCGTGGACCAGTCGTCCAGCTCCATCTCGATATCGTAAGCAGTGGGATGTTTATGTTGGGCCACGTCCGTTCGGATCCAGTACTCGATGACAACGGGTTGGGCGGGGTGCAGATGTCTGTTGACGACTTCAGGCATGTGGTGGAACAAGATGTGATCCACATTGAAGATGCTTCCCAGAGCTGCATCGCACCTGACCAACCTCCGATCGTTTTCGTCCAAAAGACCGTTGGCCTTGACGTAGCCCCAAAGAGCGGCAATGACTCCCGCTCGTGTCTCCTCCTTGACATCCAGCAGAGTTGCGAGTGCAGGCGAAAGTGCGTACCTCTCCGGGGTATATGCTGGGTAAAGCACAATTTTGGCCTTGACCGGCGTGCTTCCGGTCCTCTTGACTTCCAGGCCATCCAAGGCAGGTTCAGAAGTGGTGATGAGCGGAGGCTCCCCTACTCCTGCAGAACCCACAGCAGCGCTGCTTCTGTCAGGCACTGCAGTAGGAACGGGTCGATGCCACTCCACCATGTTGCTCTCGTTGGGATGCAGTGCCTGATCTCGCTGAAGTTCGACCACTACCGCTCGAACCATATTGGTGAACTTGTGCGCTCCCACCCTGGTAGCAGCCGCCTGTGCAGCTTGAGCAGATGCTGCCCTAGACAAATTGCTAGGCGCTACTAACCGACCTTCAATTCGCAATGTCCAGGATGGCACGTCGGCACTGTTCGTGACTACTGCGTCCGTGCTAGATTGTGCTTTGTCAGCGCCTCCATCATTTGAGCCCTCCGCCTCGGTACTGGCGGTTGCATTTTCCGCATTGTGTACGCCCGTCCCTTCGAGGGTGCTGGGAACATCTCCGTCTGCGCTTGCGCGCTGAAAAGGTTGATTCGCGCACGTGTTGGACAGAAAGATGCGCAAAATACGCTTTACCTGCGAAACGCGACATGCGGAACGAGGCAGATTGTGAGCGGCTTCGCAAGGCTAGAAGGCACCACTGCGTCGTTCCTTTCTTCACCTTTGGAGTTTTCGAGATGCTCTCTGAGACTTCTGCTCGTTTCCTCGCCACTGTCCAGTCCAAGCTTCTCTCTACTCTGCACAAATCACCGTACACGGCGCTCTCCGGTACATGTCTGACGATGCTAGGAGGCAGCGCTCTGCTCGTAGGTCTACCTCGTTTGGAGCTATTGGATCCAGCTCCTCCACCGGACGTCGCGCCGGGTACGAGCAGAGCATCGGCTGCGTTCCTTTTGCGCGCGATGGCTAGAGCTGCGCTGGCTGAAGCGGCCGAGGGCCGAGCAGCTTGAGACGGCAGAGAGGCGACGGGACGCTGTGCTGGTGGTGCACGGGTAGGAGTGCTAGCGACGTTGGACGACATCTTTGTCGCGATATCTTGCCCAGCAAAAGATAGCAGCAGTCACGAGTGGTGCAGGTGAGCTAGAGCGGCTGGAGCGTGTGCCGTTGCTGGACGGCGAAGAGATGCGACGTAACAGTCACGAGTCTTGAGTCTGATGAGCGATGCGCGCGCACGTCGATGTTGCAAGTCACGAGCACGAAATTGTGGTCGTGTGGTGTGCATGGTGAGCGCGCGTCGCGGTTCATCGATCGCGATGAATCACGAATGCGCTCTTGCGGCCCTGCAGCGAGACGCGCTCGCTCGCGCACGCACAGCACAGCACAGCACTCGTGACTCGCAAGTCCGCGGAGGCTGCACAAACAGAACACCTGCCCTTGTGCTGCCCACTGAGGCCATGCAGCCTTCGTCAACGCCACGTGCGCGCGGATTGACTCGGCGCTGACAGATGTACAGCCTAGCTCATCGCCGTGTACACGCCAGAAGTGGGCCGCGGTGGTGTATGTAGTCGTGAGTCGAGGATGCTCACCAAGGCTGAGAACACAAATCACGAGTCCGAACGGTTCGGATTGCATGACATTCACGATTCTCCCATCATCACATCCGCACGCATACACACAGCTCGCTCAGGTTCACCCACCCATCTACAATCTCGACAATGGTCTCTGCTATCCTCGCTCGAAGGGCCGTCCCTCTGGCCCGCTCCAATCTCAACATGGGCGCCAGGCGTTTTGCGCACGTCGAGAACACTCATGGTGCGTTCTCAGCGCTGCGTGCTCCTATTTGAGATGGTCAAAAGGAAAGCATTCCGGCTCTGACCGCATCGCTGCGAGCTCGCAAAAACGGGCAAGGGCAGCATGTTGAGGATGCCGTGAAGACGATGGTGGTACTTTAGGAGGCAGGCGATCGGGCGCGTCAATCTGGACAGGGATGAATTCACTTGCCGCACTGGCATGTCTCGTCATCGCTATGGTGCAAAGCGTTCCGTATTGGCGGCAAGCAGGCTGAGCACGAGCACGAGTGGCATCTGCAGGCTCACGCTCAGTGGTCACGAACGTCACAATCGCTGACATCCTCATTCACCCTCTGACACGACCAACGTGCCACGCTGCATTCCTATCAGAGACCGTAAGTCGACGTATAGCAGCACCGCGATGTGCAGCAGCTTGCTTTTCTGTACGACCACACGCTTACTCTACACGCACCCGCAGTCCCTGCCTTTCGGCCAAGGACCCAAGAACAAGGTGCCAATCGCCATCGGACTGGTCACTTTCCTCGCCACTGGCTTCTCCTTGCCATTCCTTGCTGCACGTTTCCAATAGTGAGTTTGATCTTCATCGCGCGACTCCTGGACATGTTTGGCTGGTCATATCCAGGTCGCTCGAGGGGGGTTGCGGGAAGTCCTGACAAGAGGGAGCAATGTGAGATGACAGCGAGTACCCCAGCAGTTCAAGCCAGCCCCTACCCAAGTGATGTCTGCATTACACTTGATCCGAGAGAAGGTTCAACAGGAAGTCGACGCAATTCTCTGCAACTTGCTGCGAAGACCTTCTGCTGAGGAAAATGCGCAATCTTGCAAATACTTTATTGTTGTTCTCGAGCTGATGGGATGGGCGCGCGCACGGAATTGCTGGTCTTGTCGCGCAAATCATCATCACGCGTCCGAAGCCGCTGTCCCGAAATATGCGGAGACGAGGTGGCCCTCGAATGGGCTGGACCGCTGCGATCCAGGCAGCACGCGAACGACCTAGCGATGTTGCGATGCTGTGCTGACCCACCACGATTCGTTCTGCGTTTTCGCGTCCACAGCAAGAAGGCGAACAGCTAAGCAGCTCTCGCTATGGCAGGCTTTCGTCACCGGGCAGATGACCTCATCCGGGTTTTTTCGACAGCAACTCGATTAGAAATTGCATGCGCTTTCAAGATCCTCATCTCGCAGAGACGAAGTGGGATCTTTGTGCAAAACACCTTTTATTTCCCTCATACAGCGGATAGTGGCAAGTCGTGGCAGGTGCAGTAGTGTACAAAAGGGGATTGCAGGGACGCGCACGACGTATGCGCGCAAATCTGACCGCATCAGAGGTAAAAGTTGCGTCTGTTGACTCCCATGCGAGGCTGTAGAAAGTGAGATGAAGCAGCGTGCATGCGTCAATTGCGGTGTAATTCGAAGTGCATCCGGTCTTGCTGATAACTCACGTGCCATTCGAAAGCGAGGCCTTCGTTGTCCTCCACCGCCGCAGGGGTCGCCTGTGCGTCCTTGGCGTCTTGTGTGAAGGAAGCTTTGCGCTTGTTCGAGCGTGCGTCTTCGGCAGAGGCTATTTCGCGCTGGGCTTGAGCTTCACCCAAGGCCTCTTCATTCTGCGCAAGGGCATCCTCCGCCGATGTGGATGCAGTGGCTTCATCTGCCTTGCCATCGAAATGCACCTCGCCATCCCACGCGCCTGCGCCTTTTGGCAGGCCCTGCTTCAGACTTCTCAACTTTATGGTGAACCTAGGTCCGATCTCCTGCAGCGCCGTCTTGTCCGTGCTCTTGAACATGTACCGATGTCTCCTGAAAAAGATGAAATCGCGCTGATTGTGCGCCGTGACGACTTGTCTGCCCGCCAATTCCGGCACCCTGGGAAAAAGGCTCTGCAACAGTCTACCGACCGAATGGCCCAGCGTCGTGGTGAAGTTGTTGAGAATCAGCTCGGGCGTGTGAGGAGTGGATCGCGCATGTCCGTAGATTTCCGGGCCCATGCTGATGCTCGTCAATCTGAAGAAAGCGGTAGGTCCAACTGGCAAACCGATGATAGTGATCGAGACCGGCTCCTTCTTGTCTTCGCCTACCACCAGCATCCCACCGTATCCCCTTCCCCTCGCCCATCCTGCAATCTTGCCCAGACCCGCTCCTTTGGCTTTTGACCTTTGCCTGTACTCGGCGCCTGGAAAGACGTTCAACAATTCGTCGATAAACATTTGCGTCCTCTCGCTCACTTTGCTGCGCGCTTTCGCGGAGCGGAGGTGTGGAGTAACGCTGTTGGAGGTTAGAGAAGTGGTAATGAGCAGCGCAGGAGGTGCATGAGGATCGTCCTCCGGATCGAATTCTGATTCCGCGTTGCCCGTCAGCTCTGCACCTTCCTCTGCGTCGCGTTCGCCCGCCGCTGCCTCCGCGTCGCTGTGTTCAGCGTCGGATTGTGGGAGCCGGTTCGAGGGACCAGGACCAGCGTGCGTATTGGGCGCATTGATGATGGTGGGATTGTACAGTCGAGTGCTCTCGATCGTCGTCGGCACATTCGCCTCCAGTCGAGCCTGAGTTTAAAAGACGCGCGTTCATGCGCATTCAAGCGGTGGTCAACCAGGCTGCTTGCTGCCTTGCAAGCAAACACTTCAGGGCTCACCTTCTTCTTCAAAGCTCCTTCTTCTCCCCTTTCCTCCTTTCTGAGTCGAATTCGTCGCTCGAGCTTCTCCTTCTTCTTTTCCTTTTGCTGTCGCCGAAAGACTTCCTGTCGCTTGTGCTTGTTGGGAATGCGAATTTGCTTAGAGGGACCCGCTTGATCCTGCGCCTCGGTGTCAGGCATTGCGGCGCTGGAGGAGTAACAATGTCTGCTTAGCAATCGTAACGCTGTGGGGATCTATGTCGGACCTGAGACTGGATTGGAAAGTAGGCGAGCGTTGAAGAGTGGTTGCGTGAGCTGGTGGGTCGCTATACAACGGCGGTCGCAACTTCAGAGGCTTGACCATGCAGGCGCGTGGGACGATGGTCCATGGAAACCAAAAATCAAAATGATCAGGAATGCGCAAGGGCAATCATATACCGGCCGAGAATCCCTTTGCTTGAATCCGCGGGAGACCCAGAGAGTCACGTGATACTCTGCTGCTCATGCATATAAATTCATGACTTGCAGCTAGGTTGCGCCCCTTTTTGGACGCTCGCGTTCGTTTTAGGATCGATGATGCCTCTTGTCCCTTTCTTTTCCCCCCTTTGCATGCCCATGCACGGCAGAGGTGCCAGCCATACGGCGCGACTCATACACCAAGAAATTGGGATATTGCGAGTAGTACACTGATGATGTTGTCACGTCAGCGTTGAAGACTTTAGTCTCGAGTGGAAAGGAGCACACGTGGTACGTACGCTTTGGCGTTCACAATCTCCGCGCGTGCGCGCTTGTACGTAAACTTGCAAGGATGAGAGAGAGCGCTGCGATCCATTTGCCGTGCCAGGATGGGCCAAGCGCGGTCAAACTGATTGCAGAAGGCTAGACTCGGGCCAGAGATCGAGGTCCAACAGGGCGCGCTTGAATCCAAGTGCTGCTGCTGCTGCTACAGATGCATCAGATGCAGCTAGCTAGCCAGCAATAGCTGTCTCCTCGATCGATCCTCGCCTCAAGAGCATCACGCTATGCGGGGGACTTGATTAAGCGTCTCCTGAGTGGGTGCGGACGGGCGAATGGGTCTGCTGCTGCTGCTGTTGCTGATGATGCGGATGTGATGCTTGCGTGCATATATGCGCTATATATGTGTACTCATGACTTTGACTGCAACCCAGCAATCACGAATTACAGCCTGTTAGGGTCTCCCCTTCATCATGCATGAGCAACTCGAGAATCTGCATGCAGGGCGCGCGCGGATGAGGCGGGCGGCGTATCGAGGAGCAAGGCCAAATGACGCGCTTGTTGGTTACGAGAGTCGGCGCGACTACTCAGACTCTTGACTCTGACTGGTGACTTGCATAGGCAAGAGTCACAGTTGAAGGCACAGCCGGCTCTCGTGGGCTGCGTGACATGTCTGTCAGAGCTCGAAAATCGAATGAGCGGCTCGATCATCCAACTTGGGCTGCCTCACTTCTGCTCCCGCCTCACACTGCCTCGTGAATGGACCTCCACCCATTTGCCACCGCTCCCCATTTCCCCCCTTTTCCTCCAATTGCATCCGTCCCTGGAACAATATCCTCGCTATCCAGTCAGGCACGTCCTATTTTGATTGGGGCGGTGGACACAGGAGGACTACACCCTTGGCTCTCAGCCGCGTCTGATCTCCCCGTATCTGAACGCACTCTAGAAGGGGGGTGGCTGCGCTTCCATCCACCCCGACACTTGCGGGTGCTCAACCCTGCTACTCCCAAGGGTGTCCGGGTAGCGTCCCTCAGAAAGCTCATTTCCGAATTCACGCACACCTCGCACTCTCATAGGAAGTCGCTTCATCGATTCGCTACTCTCCGCATCCAAGGCACTGAATTCTCCACTCGACACACATCACATACCTTTACCATGGCGGATCAATTCTCGCGCAACGTCAACACCTCCTTCCAAGGTCTGGTGACCACCACGGCCATCTTTGGCATCGTGGGCTCAATATGTCTCATCGGCTTCGAAACGATGAGACAATTGAGGAGGTTACCTAGGACAAAGTTTGTACCTTTCTGGAAGAGCGCGAGAAAGGAGAGGGAGGGAGGTGGGGGTGTGGAGGAAAGAGGGGTGGGGAGTAGGAGCAGGATGAATGCCGAGGATTGGGAAATGGGCCACTTGTACATGGCTAGGACCTTTCATGCCACGTGAGTCGCTGCATGATGTCGTTGTTGCCTGCACCATGAGGGCATGATGTAGAGCGCAAGGCGGTATGGTTTTCCAGACACTCTGCAACATGACGGGTACACCGCATACAAACGCTCCCCATGCAGTCGGCTCACACTTTGACTGGTCTGGCCTGCGTCGCAGCACGCCGTCGCCGCCACTTGCGAGATGGCCTCTCAGCTGGAGCTATCAAGCTCTCAAGTTCACAGATTGGTTCTACGCCAAGCACACCGGAATGGACACGGTCGTCTACGTCCGCTTCCTTCGGGCTTGCAGTGAGTACGCAAAGAGTGCTTCTGCCCGGGGACTACTGCACCGCGTGCTGACGTCCGGACTATCGAAACTTCAGCTTGGTGGCTGCTCTTGCAGACTCTGACCACCGCTCCCATCCTCCTGGCCATCCACTTCAACTTCTCGAAAGGCATTCCTCTGACGGACATGTCAAGAGCTTCCTTGTCATGGCTGGTCACTACCCCAAAGGACCCGAAGCAGTGTCAGAGCAACGCCGCTACTTGCGAACGCGAACCCAACCCACAAGGAAGGAAGCTGCTCTGGATCCATCTGTGCCTGCTGTGGTGGATCTCATGCACATGGTGCTATGCGCTTTGGTGGATCGGAAGGGGCAGTCTTCAGATTCGACGACGTCTCATCGATGATCTCCGCAAGCGGAAAGCGGAAGAGAAGGAGAAATCAGTAGCAGAAGCCAGCTCGCGCAATCAGCATTTCCAAGAGGACACTCAGCATCCACCCCAGCTGCGGAGCGAAGTGGATCAGACGCACGAACCGTCGGTATTCAAGAACGTTGCTGAAGCTCAGGGACTCACGCCCCCGGCAGACGACGGCGAAGGCTGGCGACAACGAACACTGATGGTGATGAATCTGCCCGTAACGATGCGCGACGAGGCTTCCGTTCGGCGATACTTCGAGGAATTCTTGCGCCCAGACGACGGCAGTATTCTGAGCATCGAGGATCAGCTCGAACGCACTTCTGAAAATAGGAGAGAGGCGAACACCTCGGAGGCGTCCGATGCGCCCCTCAATGGGGAGCCGGTAGAAGGTGAAGGGACCACGCGCGGTATCCCGCAATCGGCGAGCGATTTCTACGCTTCTCGCAACATGCGCTCCCCGGTGCAGACAGTCGTCCTGGTGCGCAAGATGAACGAGCTGTCCAGTATGTTGCAACGCAGGCAAGACATCTTGTCCCAGCTTGAGGCGGCCCACATCAAGCTTGCCCAGAACGCGATGCAGGCTGTGGGCAAGACGACGCAAAAGATTCGCAAGGATCGACGTCGAGATGAAAAGAATCGTAGGAAAGCTCCCGTAGATGCGAAGAATGATCCTTCACCGGATGCTCGTGGAGGAGATGGCCAAGATGACGGGCCCCCTGCCCTAGTCGCCGACATAGAGAAGCAAGCAGTCGGAGAGGGCAGAACAGAACAGCAACGGGCTGTGGAGCTTGCACATCGACTTGCGTCCTTCTCGCCAGCCAACAAGGGTATGCACACCCGCGTGCGAGATATGGCAGGCTTGCAGATCGAAGCTGGAGAGGGCGCGCGCGAAGAGAAGGACGGCATGCCAGAGACTGTCTGGGAGGCCCTCGCTGACGTTCCGAGGGAATTGCTTGATCCTTACCAACCTTTGACCCGCCTCAGCGCTCTTTTTCGGGGGCAGACAGTTCCCACCATCGACTATCTCCTCACCAAACTCAATTTGCTCACAGCCCTTGTGACCGAGATGCGCGCCCGACCGCCCACTAGTTACGAACCTACATCAACTGCTTTCGTCACGTTCCGCGATCCCCGGCAAGCTAGGATGGTCTGGCGCGAGCTCAAGACACAAATCGTCATCAAGGTTCGGATGGCCCCCGAAGTCAAGGATCTGGATTGGGAGAGGCTTATGCGTACCTCCTTCACCGGAGACTTGGTGCGAGGTCTCGGTGTCAACGCGTTCTTCTGGGGCTTCACCATCTTCTGGGTCATTCCAATCAACTTGTTGACCACTGGTCTCTTCAGCGTGCAAAACATCGAGCTGGTCGTTCCCGGCCTGCGTCAATTCTTCGACGCCAACCCTCACTTCAAGGGTTTCGTCACAGTCACGCTACCCACCGTCATCGTCTCGCTCATCACTATGGCAGTACCCGAGCTGATCTTCCAAATCTCGAAGCGAGCTCAAGGCTTCGTCACGTTCAGCACGCTGTACGACCAATGTCTGTGTCGATACTGGAAGTTCATCATCTGCAACGTCGTCATCTTCTTCTGCATCGGTGTTACGGCCGTTCAGACCATCCTTCAACAGGTTGACAAGACTTCGCAAGTCCTAGACACCATCGCTTTCAGCTTTCCCACCGCTGCACCCTTCTTCGTCAGTTATCTCATTCTGGGTATGGCCCTGCACACAGGCTTCGAGTTGCTCGGCTTCATGGTACCTCTCATCCAGCACTTGGGTGCACGAAAGGCGCCGACGCCACGAGTCAGAGCTCTGAAGACGCTTCCACGCAACTTCAATAGGTACTACTGGCTCCCCTTCCACATCCTCATCATGACCATCGTCTTCATCTTTGGCGTTCTAAACCCGCTCGTCATCCCCTTCGCCCTGATCTACATCTTCGTTGCGATGATCGTCTTCAAAAAGAATTTCGCCTTCACCTATTTCCGGCGCTTCAACGAGATGCAAGGAGAGATCTACTATGCGCGCCTCTTGCGTTTCAGTTTGGACGGCCTGACGACGGCGCAAGCTGTCATCGTCATCTTCTTCTCCGTCACCAAACAGGAAGCCGTGTACATTGGCATGACTGCCGTGCTCATCCCGCTCACGGTGGCGCTCAAGTTGCTCGCTACCCGTCTTTGGAAGTCCCAATGCCGCGCTGTAGAAGATGACGAGGCGAACGCCCTTTGCGGAATCGGCGAGAATACGCCTCTCACGCAGAGCGGACAAAGGGACTGGACCGATGTGGAGCTCAGAGGCTCGCAAGACGCTGCGTCACGCATGCCGCTGGATGCTAGAGCTAGCGGCAGATTCCCAGCGGTTCACGAAGCGCCCGCCACAGGCTCCGCTCTCTTCCGCTACTGGGCGCGCATACACGACTCATTCAACGCCAATGGACGAGACAGGCCCAGCTATATTGCTAGCATGCATGCAAAGGGCGAGCGATTGGACAAGCCCGTTTTGTCAGGTGCCAAACTGGTCGCCAAGGCTCCCAAGCATGCGTTCAAGTCAGCTGCGGATGCCGCAAGGCACCGCGGACAGTCAGCGAAGGCTCAGATCGAATACGCTAGGCAAAAGCCAGGAAGTGAATTGGACCTGGCGGAAAGAGCGGACCCTGCTCAAATTCTGGCTGAACAGGGGCAGGCTGCTCGTCAGCAACGACGCAAGAACAATGTATCGGGGGCTTCGTTGCGTCGTGGTAGGAGCCATAGGAGCGCGCTCAGCGACGAAGCTCCGTTCTTGTCGGGCATTGACGCCGTGAACAATCATGCGCCTGTGGTAATGGACGACGAAGAGCAAGACTTCGAAGACGGAGAGCCGGAGCTCGAGCCTTACAGAACGACGCCTCATCGAGGCCGTTCGCAACGCCGCAGACCTTCCGGTTCATACAGCACGAGCATCATCAAAGCCAACCCTGCCCCCGGAGTCTTTACAGACAGCCCCAGCGGTCGAGGCGAATTTGGCGCTCTGCATGCCAAGACCAGCAGCAGCTCTGGCGGAAACGATTTCGCACCTGCCGTGAATGAAAAGGCAGGCGTCGGGCGCTTTCAGCGCATGCTCACTGCTTTGGGAGACTCTGGCTTCACCTCCGATGGTACCGGCCAAGCCCAGAAGGCAGACGAGCTCTCGGACGATGAGGAAGGAGAGGCCGATGATGGCGCTCTTGTGCGTCCCCACGGCAAGTTGCGCTGGGACGACACGCCCAATAATCTGGCACGGTACAACAACCCATTCTACTCTCGTGAGCTCGATCCGTTCCTTTGGCTTCCTCGCGATCCTCTGGCTCCTGTGGACCTCTTCGACACTATCGAGTGGTACGGCGCTGCTCTTGTCAGCTCTCAAGGAGGTCCGGGACATGTGGGCGAGTGGGACGAAGATGAAGAGGAGGATGACCTGCCGTTGCTTGACAAGGACGGCGCCGTCATTTCGCCTAGCGGCTATGGTGATGTTGGTGTGGCTGAGCTTCACGGCGACGAAGAGATCTTCGTGACTGGCACGCTCGCGCATCGCTTGCAAGAGGCCGAAGATGCCGAGGTGGTTGTCGATGTTGCTGCGAGCTTGCCGCGCAACGTCATGGACGAGTATCAGCGCGCCATTCGCCGAGGCACAGCTTCAGAAATCGACGGAGGTGACGATTCTGCTAGCCAGCGCAGCGGATCGCCCTTGACGGGTCGTAGGGCGTCCATGGCCCTGAGTGGAGTCAGCATCCCGATCAGATCACCATCTCTGCGAGCAAGGCAAGCACAGCATCTCGATGCACACTACGAAGGGCAAGATCCAGCTCGACTCAGTCCGAACATCCAACGAAAAGTCACTGGCAACACGATCCCTCCCCTGGACCTCGAACCGCCTGCTATACCTTCGCCGACAGCCATCGGCAAGATGCCCACCACCTCCTCGCCTTTGGACATTCAGGACGACGCTCAACAACAGAAGCAGGCCGCTGCTGAGGGCGCTGGAGTCGCTCATCCCACCGTCTCCTTTGATCCGACGGCAGCCGCACCTTCTCATGCAAGACACGGCACCTTGGGCCTTGGAGCTGCTGAAGGCGCTCGTCATGGGACGCATCCTCGCCGTGCGAGCATGCGCAGCGGCGCCGACAGCGTCCTGTCCGCGGGCTCGCGTACCGTCACGATGCGACAAGCCTTGCGTGCCGAAATCCTTGAGGAAGAGCGTCGTCGCGTGCTTGGAGAGAAATTGTTGGCGCGCAAGAAGCGTACTTCCAAGCGGAAGGGAACCGCAGACACTGCGCGCCATGAAGAGGCGAACGATGCGGAAGACGCCATGGAGAGAATGGCAGACGATTCATCACACCTTCCCTCTGACACCATCATGGGCAGACATGAGAGGGCTGTGCGCAGGCAACAAGCGATGAGCGAGTCTGGCGAAGGCGGAGTGGGCATGAGCCTGAGCCCGTCTGAGCGGCGCAACATGTCGCTCTCTCAAGGTAGCGCTCGGCCTGATCGATCGCCAAGTCTTGCACCTCGCTTCGCGCTCAGAGACTTCAGTTTCAGCAGAGACAAGAGTCCACAAGCACAGCGTTCTGGAAGCATCCTCTCGCGAGACAGTCCTGCACGTCAAGCCAGCGTTTCGCGTGGAGGTGCCACTCTGACTGCGGGTCGCTCGACTGGCGGCCTTCCCGTGCGCAGGCCCACCTCTTCGCAGAGTGCAGCAGCAGCAGGAGCAGCCGCACAAGCTGTGCCCATGCAGCAACTTGGTCCAGGTCGCTTAGCCCTCGTCACAGCGCCCGCTGCAACTTTGGGCGCGGAACTCAACAACAATGAACGATATGGACAGCTAAGTGCTAGTCCGGTAGAAAGCTTGCCTCGGGGCGGATCTGTGCCAGTGACTCCTGACGTGCCAAGCATCGAGGTTCGCTCTCCCCACTCTTCCGAACCACCTGCATGAAATGAAGACTCACGACTCAATCATGCAGATTCACGATGCAACCATCGCCCTAGCGATTCATTGACGATGGCACAATTTCCCCTCTTCTCGTCCATGACTGCAATATCATACCAGCTACGATACCCCTTTTGATGCACGAATCGCAAACGTGATTGCGCGCCTCTCTTGCTTCATAGCAGTCGAAACTTGTTCTTCACGTCTGTGCAGTCATCGTTTGGCTCCCTGCAAGCTCCTTGCCTGGCTAATACAACGAATGTGGATGATGAATTCTGATCAGAATGATGCCTTCCGCAAAGAATGACAAGAGTGGGAGTGTGGAAATGAGGGATTGGGTATGTAATGTCCGTCTCACGGCTGTAGGTTGGCAAAATCCTTATAAGTCTTCACCGACGCAAGCGAGCACCATCATGTCCTCTACACGCATAGCGTTCGCTCGGCTGCGCATAGCCGGCCTAGAAGGCTTTGCTGCGCTGCCCAACTAGCGTGCCGCCCTCTGAGTGGGGCGCAAGCGAGCGTGGCGATAGGGGAGAAGGGAGCGGAGACAGGCGAATGTCGGGCGCCTGCAGGCCAAATGTGGCGTTTTGAAATTCGAAATGCGGTCGTTCGCCTGACGGTGGGGGGGATGGTAAGGGAGAGCGATCTCCCAACGGTTGGAAAAAGCCCTCCATGGGGTTTGCTACCTCTCGAAGATGCGAGCCTTTCCTGCGATATCCGCCCGTCATCGAAGGGAAGGGTGCGGGAGCAGACAGCGGTGACAAGGCAACGCCGGCGACCTCGAGGTTGTTTTGGTGTTTGTGAGCAGCTTTCGCTCCCGCACCCAGACTTGACGGGCTCTCGAATTGTGCAGTCCCCAGGAGTTTTGCCAGCTTGGCTTCTCTTGCTGCTGTCGCACCCCGTTCAGGTGTGCTCATCTTTTGCAGCTTGAAATCTAGATTGCGCTCGTGAGCGCAAGACCTGAGAATGGGAGCAGTCGGCACATCCAAATTTGGCACCTTCATCCTAAGATTCTCGATGTCGCGAGCATGCGTGACGTTTCCGTGAGCGCCCAAAGGTGAGGGCGAATGCAGCATCGCGTCTGGACCATCGACCTTCATCACAAATCTGACAGGACTGCGGTCGCGGGTTGGCAAACGCGTCGCTACTGGGGAGGTCGTGATGCGAAGGCCAGGCGAGGCGTTTGATGGCAATGGCGCATCCAGACTGGGACTTGAGCGAGTGGAAGACTGGGGCGTCGGACTGGTACTCGAGGACGTCTTCGATAACGCAGGCGATACAGACGCCTTGAGACCGACGCTGCTGCCCGTGTGCGAACGGACGACCTGAGGTCTTGACGCTCTGGCTCTCGAAGCGGATCGTCCCGTCGGCGCAACAAAAGTGGCAATCTTCTCCTCCGGACTCGCAGCATGACCCTCCACGGGCTTTGCATGCATAGCAGAGCCGAGGTAGTTCGCTGCAGCCGACCATCCCGAGCGGAGGTGCCCCGGTAGACCACCTTGTCCACTGTGACCTTTGACCATTGAATGTCCGCCGTGTGCGTCATGCGTTTGTGGAACGCTGCTCTTGGTCGTGACCACCAACTTGCTCTGATCGTGTGGTAGATACGAATCGCCAGATGGGAAGCGCTTGCTACCATTGCTGGATGCTGGAGAGCCACGAAGAGGTGGTGAGGACTTAGTCGCGTCCGCCGCAACTACCTTTGCTTTCATGAGCATGCGTTGCACACCTGTGCTGTGCGCAAGATCTCCGTCGCTGCCCTTGCCTTTGAGTCGAGAGGATCCGAGCGCAGTGGACCCTGCAAGAGATGTCGTAAGGTCGCCGAGTGGCAAATTGAGGTCTTTTTGCAAGCCAGGCTTGGTAGGCACCGTCCGCGTAGAGCTTGCAAATGGGATATGAACAGCAAGAGACGGGCGCACTTGTCGAATGCGGGCCATGCCCTCCAGTTTGGAGCCGCCGGACTCGCCCGAGGCTGAGGGAAGTAGTGGAGCAGCTTTACCACTCAGTGAACCTGATCTTGCTCGGCCGTCTTCAGCGTCAACGTCCGCTCGTCCATGCGCGAGATCATTATAGGTCTTCTTCGAGTGGCTGACGAAATGCTTAGCTGCCGTTTGGCCCTTGTGGTAGTAGCCTCCACGCTTGCTCTTTGCGGCGCTCATCGGATTGACTTTATCGCGGAGCGCTGGAATATGGTGCGTAAGAGATGCCGCTGGCCCACCTAGGCCAGGGAATATTGAGGCTGCACTATTGCGCATCTCTTCGGCCGCATCGGCGGCATCCATGGACTTCAAGATGGCCTTCTTCAGCATAGGTTGGCACGCTTGCAAGTATCGAAGATCCTCAATCGCCAACGCACGGTCGGGCCGCCTTGAAAGAGCTGCAAGCACAAAGCCCGTCTTGGCGGGCGGCGAGGCTGTTTTCTCCGCTGCCGTCAGAGGCTCATAGCTGGGCGCGCCAGTATTGTAATGATCTTCCTTCTGCTTCTTGCGTTTCCACTCCAGGTCGGTCATGACTGGTACCATTATGCCGCTATAAAACGTCTCCATGCGTTTGTCCTCGGAACAGCAGCGAGGTAGAAGAAGATCAGCATCACCTTCCGTGTCTGCAACGCCGCGCTTTCCAGCATTCTGAAAGACGAGAAAGGGGTCGTGACCATTTGAGAATACTCTGGAATGGAGCTTGCTCTCGAAGATAGGCCAGGGACTCGGCAGTCCGTGGCAGGCCAAGAGAATGCAGGCATCTTTGCGCGCGTCTTTGGAGGTTGCTGGCAACATTGAGCTGCTTGGCACGAGCAAAGTAGGGATGTTTTTTGAGGGCGATAGCAAGGCGGGCGAGAGCGGAGCAACAAATGGCACCTTGGTGTTATCTTCCACCGTCGACGGCGAGATTGACTGTTCCAGAAAATTGACAGCGATTACGTATACGGTCTCAATGTTCAAGCTTGCGGCCATGTGCTCGCAGGCTGTTCGATATCGATCAGTGTCTTCCAGTGAGAGCATGACTCCGATCTTGGAGAGCGCTTCGAGATCGATAGGATCGTCAGAGACATTGTTGCCCAATCCGCGAGGAACGCGCTTGACGTACGGAGCGGGGCTTGGAGGGCCGACGACGGTAATCTTGGGTCGGCAACTTTCCGACGACTCGTTTTGCTCCATTTCGGCTGCACGCCCGTACTCGCTGCCCATATGCGTCCGGCTCGTCTTCAGCTTCAGTCCGCTCCTCCACCTCGAGTCTTCGAGGCACGTCTTAATATCTGCGTAGCTCTGGGTCATCAAGGTGATCTTGGCCTCCCAAATCTCTCGCAGATGAGCCTCCAGCTCGTTTCCGATCATCCTTGCCACTTCACGGACTTTTGCCCTTTCATCAGGCTTGAAGCTCCGCCAAGCTCTTTGGCAGGAAAACGAAACCACGGCCACAGGTAGGCCGGTGCAAGCCAGCACAGGCATACCAGTGTAGAACCGCGTCCCTACGAGACCAAGAATTTTAAACCTCCAATCCAAGCTCGTGTCAAGAATCACGAGACCGTTGTTTCGATTGACTGTGAGGCAAAAAATTGTGTGAGATTGTCGTGTCAGTCGCCGAAGATGTGGGATGCAGGTGAAACATACGCGAAGGAAGGTCCGCTTCTGCCCACTTACGTAATGCGTGCGCACACGGGCCGCTTTGTTTAGAAGGAGGAGAGCGCAGCAACCGATCCTCTCTCATTGTGGTCACAGTACCATCAGCTTCAAAAAAGCGGAGATTTGCTTCGCCTACGCCGAGATAAGCTCTGCAAATCTCCAAGCGGGACATGATCCGGCCAATACGATCGGCAGAGAGTCTGTCGACTTGCATTCTCCAATAAGCCCGCAGTCGGCGCGCTTCCCACTCGGGCGTAGGCGGATTGTATTCGCCTACAGCGAGCGGCGTGGCGTCTGGGCAAGTGGAGAATTCGGGTGCACCCCGAGGCTGGCAATGCACCTCGTCCATGTCCAGCGAGCCCTGCTGATACGCCTTGTTGAAGCCTCGCCAATGAAGCAAGGGCGCCGCACCGGTGGGCAAAAGACCCTTGCTGTCTAGAGTCACGGTGGAGGATGACCTTGGGCGCTTGTTGACCACTTTAGCTCCGAGAGAGTGTCGCCGATATCGCTTTCCTCTGTGCACAAACTCTGCGGCTTCGTCTGTAGAATGATTGCTGATCGAGGTGGATGGCAGGTTCACATCTCCTGCCTCTGTCATGTCCGCATCCGAAGTGGAAGAGGTTCCAGACTCTCTTCTATCATCTGTGCTCTCGGCAGCTGCGTACGACACGGTCGCGTCCGCAAGGTACCTATGCCCGCAGCCTTCTCCCCATATCTCGTTTGCCTGAGCTCCCCACTGCCAGCCAAGCTCGTTGAGGATCGTGTCAGCTTCCATCAGCTGGTCTCGAAGTTTGGTGGAGCGCGACATAGCATCTGCTAGCTTATCGGGATCATCGAGGAGCTTGGTCATCTCTTCCTTCTTCTTGTCCCGCACGGTCGCCTCAATGGGTTTGATGACGAGAGGTGAAGGTGGAGCTACGGGAACGGCCGCAGCAACAAGGACTGCAGACTCATGTTGCTTATGTGCAGAATTGCTGCCCCGCCGCCACCATGATGCGCTCAGCCGCTTGAAGCCGGGACTGAGTGGAGGCAGACGAGGTTGGAGCTCTTGCTGTTGCGCAAGAGGCGATCGGGGTGGCTGCAGCGTCGCTTTGCCTCCTACAGATTCAGGAGCATGTGGTTGACGCCACGACCGCAGAAGATGGTGCGATGTTTCGTGGTGCGAGCCAACGGTAGATTCGCTGTTCGTAGAGACGATGCGGGCGACGGGGGGACGCTGAACGGCAATCAAAGCTTGGAACAGCTTCTGCAGCACGGCTGCCTTGTCAAGCTGTGGATCGATGCGGCTCGACTCCTCGTGAGCTTTCCATGGTCTGGCCTCATCGTCGCGCGCCTCTTCGTCAGATCGACCAAGGCAGAGCTCAATGATTGCATTGGCTCGGAGCGCTTCCGGAAGCGGCGGCGTGACCAGGGCCAGCGCTGTGCTTGCAACTTCCAGCGTTTCTTGGGCGGATGCAAGGCTAGACTTGGTCAACACTGCTGGCGGGACTTCTACGTGCAGCGCGGCAGCCGGGGTGCGCGGCGAAGGCGTCACAAACGTTTGCGCTTGGGGGCCGCTGATCTTGCGACGTCCCCACGTATTGGCAAGCGAAGGCCGTCGGAGGAAAGCCAGTGTTCCGCGTCGTTGGGAAAGGGCAGGAAGTGCGACTGTGGCTGGCACATTCGGTGTTTGTGGTGTCTTGTCGAAGCCAGAACTATGATCGCTATTGATCGAGGGCCGATAGCTAGCGCTGAAGAAGGACGTCGCATCAGTCGTGCGGCTTTCGAGGGTATGATCAGACTCTTTCGAGAAGCTGCTCTTCGCCGGACTTGACGGGTCGACCTCTGAAGCGGGCACGGCTAGCGTGGAAGGCGATTGCAGCGACTTGACCCGTGCGTCGTCCACCTCTCTCAAAGCCGCTTGGCGCTTCTCTTCTAGTTCTTGGACCCTGCGACGAAATCGATCCGCATCGCTGGCGTGCGAGTCGAAGGCGTAGAGCTCGCTCTCTCCAGGAGGTGCTAAAGGCAGCAAGGATAGGGGCGGCGGTTCCAAAAAGCTCAACGCGGACGGCTTCGCTACTGCCACTGATAAGGTCGGATCTGCGAGCTGACGAGAGTGGTGAGATGCAGGAGTGGATGCTGCAGAGATGATGGGTTTGCCGGAGTCGCGGCTGTTAGTTCGATTTCTTTGCATCTTTGACAGCCAGATTCAGTGAGCCGTGACTCGTGAAGGCGGATAGCAAAGACGCGCGCTCAATGACGGAACAGATGGTAATGGTGGAGAAGTGATCCAGGTGTCGAGAGAATCCGAATCTGGTCAAGTTTGTGGAACAGCCAGCTCTCACTAACATTCCTTGCAAGCTCGCAGCTCGAAGCGCAACCGCAAGACACTTAATTGCGACGCACGAGGCCCGTGGATGTTTAGTCATCAGTGGGTGATACCTCCAGTGACAGCTTGCCCTCTTCAACATCTCGCGAGCGCGCGTCGACATTCAGCTCGCTTGCATACTCTGCTGTCAATGACTCAATGGCATCGCAAGATGCGTGTCTCTCTTTAGCACCCGTCCATCCGCGTCTTGCCCAAGCCACGGGCCTCTCTCGCCATAGTGGTGCAATCAAAGCCAGATTACCCATCTTTGGACCATCTTCCGGTACCTGCGCTTGCCGCTTCGAGCAAAGTGTTCTTTCGGCTCTCATTGCTGCTAGCCTATGCAGTCCAATGTCTTGAATATCTTGACGCCAAATCAAAATCAGAATCTTGATGCGACGTGGTGGTCGTTGAACAAAGCGCACTCGTTAGCCGTTGAACGCGCGCGCGAGGTTGTGCAGCTGACTGAGCGGACGCATATATAGGCCCCAAAGAGCCGCGCACAGACGCGAAGCTCTACATATCACGTGACGCGCCCACACTCCGCGAAAAGGCACACATTCCGGACTAGCGGTTCGCTTCACGCTCAAGCTACCGTGCCCGTCAAGTTAGCTCATTAACGTCTCACGATTTGGCAAATCATCATTAGCACGGGCAGAACGCTGCGCTTTCTTGTGTGGAGCGACGGGGACGAGCTCCACTAATGCGCTGAAAAGCAGCGTGCAGCAGCTGGTCCAGCACAGGCTGACTTGACTCCCCAATCGACTAGCTCGGGAAGAAGGGCGCAATGGTGATTGTTGCGAATCAGGGGATCTTCAGAGAGTTCCGTCGATGTCGAGGTGTGCAGACGATATCGACGATACGTACGCTCATTGGCCGTCCTGCAGATCACGTTCAGCAATACTCACCTTCGAAAAAGCGCTCGGCGTCGAGAGTGTGTGCAAGGAAGAGCCTCGTCACAAATTTGACGTGTATGCGCATCGGATTGGCAGTACGTGTAGAAACACGACGAGCTCAGCTTCTTCAGAAGGGTACTTTTCTGCTCTCATCCTCCTGCACCCTCGTCTTGATATCTGCGCGGCCCAAAGCATTTCCTTCGCTCTGCCAGCGAGATACGAATCCCTCCACCTTTGCGTGCACATCTTCCGCCGTCTGCGACCTTCCAAATGCATCTACAAACTTGCCCTCTGCGGCCGCATGATGATCACGCATTGGCGAGCAGAGAGTCAGAAGAAGAGGCTAGACATGTAGAACGCGAAAGTGTCCCACCGAACTCACCAGGGTCCATGAGGTAGAAAAAGATGCTGTGGTCGACCAAGTAATCGTTCGAAGGGTCCGCCCCGGGCGGGGTGGAAAAGTACACCCTGAAAGCCTTGCACGCTTTCTTGACAGCTTCGTAGCTACCCGTCAAGCCAACCATTCGAGGATGAAACTCGGAGACGTAGGTGGATGTGGCTGCGAGCGTATCTCTAGCGGGGTCGCATGTGATAAAGATGGGGTTGATGATCGCTCCGTACTTGGAATCTGGATGCGTCGTAGACAGCATACAAGCGGTGCTCAGCATGCTGGCTCGCTTGCACACCCCACCAGCGTCGAGTGCACAATCACGACTCACCAATCTGATCGACCACTTTGCCCATCTTGTCAAGCTCTTCGGGGCAAATATCAGGGCCTGAAGGAGCAGGCCTGAGGTGTTAGAGGGGTCGAGTATAGCCTTCTGCTAGCCAATTCCCTTCCCCCGGTCCAGCTCCACCAAGACGCCGCAGATCGCCCCGTCCGGTCTTTGCGCACTCACAGTTGGTGAAGCCAAAGTATAGCAGAGTCCAAGCGCCTACCAAGTCCTTCTCAGTAAAAGATCTAGCTTCGATCCTCTCGCCCTCGCTGCCTCCACCGAGCACGGGCATGACCAAGCTAAATTCCCCTCCAATCCTCGGTCTTCCAACCTTTTCATTCTTCTTCTCGCTCGCCTTTCTTCTCTCCACTTCTGCTTTTTCCGACTGAAAGTAGAAAAAGAGGGCAATGCTCGTCGCTAGTAGCAGACCTGCACTGAGCGGTGTGAATGGCCCAATGGCTGTGCGCGCCTTTGCGTCTGCTCTTGAGCGAGGAGAAGGTCGGCTCGAAGGAGGTTGACCAGACGACTCTGATTTTGCGGGCGCAGAAATTTTGAAAGATGATGGAGCTGATTGCGAGGCGGATATTCTCGACTGGACCGTCGTGCTGAAAAGACGCGAGCAAGACATTGGCTGCGATGGAGAGATGGAGGGACCAACTGCTGAGCATAGCTTACACGGGCTCTGTTGAGCCATGCGACGCGCAGCGCTGCTTGTGGCCAGCACAGCCCCGACGCTGCTGCGAGCAGCGAATAGACGGGAGGGATGCGACATTTGCAGCAACGTGCGACTTGACGGAGAGAGGTGGCGAGATGAAGACGAGCGACGATGACGGCAAAGTCGAGATGGCGATCGAGCGGATAGGCGTCAGGCGTCCTTTCTCGATCGAGCTTATAGCAGTGTAGCTGCACAATTGATGCTCACGTCACGAACGAGGGGAAAGTGGGCAGAGGCGAGGAGTGTGAATGGTTGGCAAGAATGTGAATTTGTATCAAAAATGATCAAGAACGAGCGTGTACTCACTCACCACTCACGATTGCTTCGCTAAAGGCGGGGGGGACGGACGCTCACACATATGCGCAGCCTATCCCAACAGGCGCTGACAACATCGCGAGCGTCGTTCACGTGACTGTGGACTTGCACCTCTCGCGCGCAACAGAGCAGATGCGGCTGGCTCGATGTTCAAAGCAGTCAGATAGATCTCTTTCCCCCTTGCAGTCACAAGTTCATACAAGGCTGCTCCCCCGCTTGGCATGCAGTCATGACTCGGCTTGGAGGTCAAGAAGGGGGACCTTGATTGGCGATTCGCTAGGTGTACGAGCGTGTATGCGCCGCAGAACGGGTGCGCAGCATGGCGAGGGGAAATCGTGAATTGAATGTGCATGTACGCACGCACGCGCATTACATTTCCTCTTCATCCTGCAGCTCGGCCTCGATATCCTCTTCGGGAAAGTCTCCTACCTGCACCTTTTCAGGTCTCACAAAGCCTCCAAATAGCGCTTTGCAATCGAAATACCTCTCCCCTTGGACGCTGGTGTGGATGATGATGAGAAGAAGGAGAGGGGGCAGGCGGCAGGCGGCAGGCGGCAGGCGGCAGGCGGCAGGCGGCAGGGACAGCCGAGTCAGAGAAGGAAGCGCGTGACCCACACCGCACTCTCTCCACTCCTAGCATCACGACTGCTGTCCCTTTTGCGCTCTTAGGCCGACGCATCACGCATAATCCCCCTTCAATACCAGACTCACCTTCCGTCATTCTTTCCCACCGGCTCATCATACTGCAATCCGATCCATATGCCACTCGCAAATTGGGTCTTGCCTACATAACGAATGCTGCCCCTTCGAGCTCTGGAGCCCAGCTGGACTTGACACCTTGCGCCCACTCGCAAATCCGATGAAAGAGCAGCAAGATCCGCTCGGGACGCGTCTGCATTGGTCTGCGTCTGCGCTTTGCTGGGGTCGAATCTGCCCAGCTTGTTGCGTTGCTTGAAAGCCAAGACCGAGTCTGAGTGGCAGATCGAGGGGGTGGAAATGCAAGGTTAGACGCGAGAGGGTGTGTGTGCGCGTGTGTGCGTGTGTGTGCGCGTGTCCACAGCAATACGCTAAACGTCGCATGCTCCCACTTGCCTCACTCACCCTGTCTGGCTTTGTAAGTCTCATCATCCATCTCAAACTTGTCCACACCTTCCAAAGATTCGTTGTGAAATCTAGCGGCAACAGCATAAGGTCTAACATCCTCCACCTTTAACCCCATCCCATCCCTCGCTCCAAACTTTTCCAAACTCGCCTCAGCTTCTGACGATGCTGCTGCTGCTGCTGCTGCTGCTGCTTCCTGCGCACCATATTCAGGCAATCTGATGATCAACGTATCGCTGGAAATGGGTGATTCGTCTGTACGACTACGGTGAAGCGAGAGGGATTGGCAAGATGGTGGGATGCCGGAGATTTGTTCTAGTCGGATGCGCAGCGCGTCCAGAGGTACGTCGCTCGGTAATCGCCTCTCGCTCAAGATGGAAGCGGAGGGCACGTGAAGGAACAGGTTGACAGTCGACATGTCTTGGCGATGCGATGCGATGCGATGCGATGCGAAAGCTGAGCTTGTGATTTCAAATGCGTCAAGACGTGATCGAGCAGCGGTGCCTGGGTCAAGCGATTTGCCTGAGTGTGAATGTGAGGGTGAATGTGAGGGTGAGGGTGAGTGTGAGGGTGAGTGTGAGTGTGAGGGTGAGGGTGAGTGTGAGTGTGAGGGTGAGGGTGAGGGTGAGGGTGAGGGTGAGGGTGAGGGTGAGGGTGAGTGTGATTGTGAGTGTCGATGTAAAAGAAGGCAGGAAGATCTGCATGCAAGCTGTTGAGCATCGACTCTGATCGCTGCTCACTGCGACTCACTGCGACTGCCAAAAGAGGCTGTGCTGCTGCAACGAGAACACGACGAGTCGAGTTGGTGATGCACCCATAGCCATGCACGCGCACACGCATGCGCTGCAGCAGCAGCTTTGGCTTGTCTGTACCGGTGTAGCGCGCGCTTTGAGCTCGCTCGGACCATCAACCTCGCTCGCTCGCTCCCTCCCTCCCTCCCTTCATCCATGCATTTCTTGCATTCCTTCGCGCATGCCCGCTTGCTTGCTTGCTTGCTGACCTTCTTCCTGCAACAGCAAGCCTTCCACCTTCTCATCCACCACCACCACCACCACAACCACAACCACATGCACATGCACATCTCACGCTAGCAAAGCAAGCGATAGAAGCCACTCCTTTTGAAGCTTGTCGGCCATGGCGTCCAAGCTGGCTGCGAGGTCACTGAGAGTTTCAACTTCGCAGCAACTTCGGCTCAATCTTTTCAGCGCGGCTGTGCCGACACATCGGATTGGGTCAGGACATTCCAGCCTGCAGTCACTCAAGAACGATGCCTCCTCACAAAGCCCTTTTTCTCGGTGCCACGCTTCCTCGAACGGCCCGCAAGGACACGGCAAGTCCGAAGAAGGATCCACGAAGGATTCTTGGTACAAGTCCTTCCTCAACAGTACAGGTTTCGAGACTGCCATGGGCGCCTCGGTCGGTGTGGTGCTGCTGGGATGCGCGGCCATGTTCTATCAATCGTGGTACAAGGCTAGAGTTTTGAAAAAGATGGAAATGGCGTTTGACGCGGGATACGATCCAGTGTTGGCCTTGGCCAAAAAGAGCGAGAAGCTGGCTCATGTTACGATTGAGCCTATGCGGGAGGAGGAAGAGCTGGTGAGGAGAATCGTGGAGGGCAAAGAAGCTGGTAGATACTTTTTGATACTCGGCAGCAAGGTGCGTGTATGCGGTCATACGAAGCGGCGCAGCTTCTCCGTTATGGACGAGAGCGCAAGCAGCGCAGCTGACAAGGTTTTGTACTCGTTTGCGCTACTCAGGGATCGGGCAAGACGACTGCGCTTGTTGATGCCATGGCATCCATCGATGCCGAAGGTTGCGCCTTTTTCGAAGCGCATCAGACGCCCGAAATCGTAGTCGATCGATTCAGCGAGAGCATCAACTACAGCATGAATCGGGATTACCTGGGAAACTTGCTGGGATTGTCGGATCAATCCGGCATGACGGCCTATCAAGCCCTAGAGCGAGCTTTGCACAAGCTGGAAAAGGCGCTGCAGAGGTATGCGACCAACAGAAGCCGGCCGGCAGTCATCATTATGAACAGCGCTCATCTGTTGCCTCGAGATGAAGATGGCATCAAGATGTTGCAGCTCTTTCAACAACGTGCAGAGAGGTGGGCCAGCGCGGGATGTGCGACCATCGTCTTCACCAGCAACGATTATTGGGTGTACGACACGCTGCGAAAGAATTCCAACAGGATGGACACTTTGACATTTAAGGATCTTTCGCGCACGCAAGCCATGCGAGCTTTGGCCGAGTGTCGCGAGCAGTATTGGGGTTCGAGCAAACTGTCGCAGGATATCGCCGATGGAGTTTTGGAGGAGGTGTATCAGACAGTCGGAGGTAGGATAGCCTTGCTGAACAAGATTGCGAGGAGGGAAGATATGAGAAAAGCAGCGGAACAGTTGATCAAAGATGATCTGGCTTGGTTGTTGAGCAAGACTGGAATCATCGAGGATCACGATGATGATGTGATGGATGAGCAAAAGTGGTCCACCTGTTCCTGGCTGCTCTTTGTCGAATTGGCAAAAAGGCAAAAGGCGATGGAAGAGGAGGCGAGCATTGCCCTGCTGGACCCTGCTGGTCGGTATAGCAAGGACTCTGCTACGAACGTGACGGCACAGCATCACCTCTCTTCTCCCACTGCCGTCTTCGAAGCATCCGTCAAGGGCGACTCGATCATTTCGAAGAGGTCCTCATTGGCTCAGGACGACGCGACGGATCCTACGCACGATGTCGAGTTCAGTCTGCCTGGCGATGTGCCCAATCCTAGTCTGACGTGGGGCGAAGCTCGTCAAGTGATGACCAGGCCCGACTTTATTCTGGATCTGGACCACTCCAACATTATTTCCATAGGTGAGTGGGAGAGGTAGAGGGAACAAGGGAGGAAAAGAGGAAGAGAAAGGGAGAGGGCGGGGCAGGGCGGGGCGGGGCGGGGTAGAGCAGGAGATCGCCTACAGCGACCGATGCGCCAGCGTGAACCAGTGCTGACTTTTTTGGCTCTGCATTCATCTGCAGATCGACACCATCAAGTTCGGGCAGATTCCATGCCCATGCTAAGGGCTTTTAGATTACAAGCAGAGGAACCAGAATACGAAGAGAAGCTCGAATCAGTCAGTGAGTGTGTGCGCCCGCGCAGCTGGACCAAAAAAAAAAACTCCTCTGCCCGAATGCTGATTCTCGTCTTTCTCGGCATCCTCGTTGCTCCGCAGTGGACCGCGTGTCTGCCATCGAGTCGCTCGGGCGTACAAGAGAGGTGAGCATAGCTTCGTTGTATTCCCAATCTCGCTCCTCTCCATGCTCTAGGCTCCAGCCCCCCAGGCGCGCTGACCATCTCATCTCGCCCGCTCGACACTTTCAGCTGGTGTGGAAAGAACAGGGCAACAAGGGCAAATTCGTGATTAGGCAAGACAACAAGGGAAGAGAGTTGGAAAGCTGGAGGTTGTTGGGCGGCGACGACCGTTTGGAGAGGCAAGAAGACGTGGCTTCGGGCATGGAGTAGGACATTTCCTCATACCGGCTGCACTCGACGCACGCGTCACATATCGAGCTCATCACACAAGTCACTGGTTGGCTCTCTGCAATGATGCATTCGTCATCCCATCCATCTCTCGCGGGATACTCGAAGCGCATTTGGCACGTGGTGCACATCAAACGTTCTACCCTGGTGCAATCCACCACGGTAAGGCAGGTGATGAATTTGATTGTAAAGGGATGCACTTCTCTGTGTGTCCGATTGGATCTAGTCCGAGTCGAGCTCGATCGGAGAGCTTGCTTTGCCCGACATGCCAAGCATCGAAAAGCGACTTTCAGTGCGTCCAGATCGTGAGACTTCCCAATCGTCGTCATCTCCAGCATCGTGCGTGTCCGACTCGCTCTCGTGCTTAGCTGCAGCAAGCCTCGAATTTTGTCGTCGTTTGCGAGGAGCAGCCACTTCGGACATGGCAACACCATCCTCCCACTCCTCCTCGTCTCGCTCCACTTCTTCCTCTGCGCCCCCTCCTTCCTTCTGGGATTTGAAGCGTCCGCGAATTGCTTTCGTGATCTCGTGTCTTGGCGCGCCGGATTCGCCTGCTTTCCGCGGCTTTGAAGGTGAGTTTTTGCCGGCCAAAGCAACCTCGATGCGAGCGTCCGCTTCGCCCGCACGAACACGTTCGAGATCGAGCCGTGTCAATCGTGAGGCCAGCGGTCCGGGCTTCACATAGACGCTGCAGATGGGGAGAGACTTTTCGGTCAGCTTCATCGGAACACGCTAGCACAAGGGTGCAATCTTGTAATCACTTGACGGAGTATGCTGTCGCATTGTACTCGTATGCCATCCAAAAGTTCGAGCACAGGTGCATTGCCACCCGCTCCGCGTTCTAGAGAAAGCGATGGTAAGCGCTCTAATCAGTCGAAAGGTGCGTGGTATGCATGTCCACTCACCTCTTTGCTGAGAGACACCTTGCCACCAATGTCTTCCACACTGAAGACACCACTACGCCCTTTACTTTGTGATGCTCTTCTTTTGCGCTTTCCAGAAGCGGTCTTGCGCTCCACAACTGTGTATTGGCCATTTCCCAGGCCGCGCGCAACGTTGCAAAGGTCGGCCAGCGTTAGGCGACCTCCCTCTTCGTACATTCTGAAAGGCGATCGAGCGATGTACATCATTCAGCTGCGTCACCCCTCCCATGGAGCAGCATCATGTCACCCACTCTTCCAGCGCAGTCAACAGCTGCCAGCTTTCAACTGTCACGTCCGCCACCTCGGGAGGCTGTATACAGTTATCACAGACACCGCAGAGATCGGACGTGCCGTAGGAGTCCCTAAAGTACTTTCCGAACAGGACCTTGCGGCACTACAAAGGCGTATGGGAGGCCAATGCTCAGACTGCAAAGCTTGCCACAGATCGCACGTACAGGCATCCGCCTCACCTTGTAGCTTTGTGCATAATTTACCATGCTGTCGACTGGCGATTCGAATCTTTTGTGAACGAATGATTAGCAAGCTGCAATGCTGTTTACCGACTCACGCTTCTCAATGCCGTTGCGGTCGCCAGTCACCAAGCCTGCTATGCGAAGCGTATCTTGGGGGCGATAGAAAAGCACGCAATCCGAATCCTTGCCATCCCTGCCGGCGCGCCCTGACTCTTGCAAGTACCCATCTAGCGACTTACTGGGACTTGCATGAATCACGTACCGCACTCTTCCCAAATCGATGCCCATGCCGAACGCGATGGTTGCGCACACCACGTGTACTTTTCCACTGCGCCATCGCTCGTGAATCCGCATCTTGGAGGCATCGTCCAGATCGGCGTGGTACCACGAAGCTCTGATTCGACCTTCACTGAGCTCTGAAAGATTCTTCGACATTGTCTCGCTATCTTTTCGACTCAGGCAGTAGACGATCCCGCTGTGGGCCTCGTGCCTTTCGAGAATCCAATCAACAACCTGCTGTGCAGCTCTAGGCGCTGAGCTATCCTTGGCAACGACGCTGTAGTGCAAGTTTGCTCGGTGTAGAGGCGCGCTGAAGTAGACAGTCTCGCCTGGTCTCGCACTTTTGAACGGTGTCATTGGGCCCAAGCCCAAAATTTGTCGTACATCCTCCAGCACTTTCGGGCCCAGAGTAGCACTCAAAGCCATGATAGGCACTGTTGGCCAGAGCTTTCGAAGCTTGGACAACTGCTTGTAGTCTTTGAAAGGAAGCAACAAAGCTCGCGGTCAGGGCGCTCACCTGATGTAAATCCGTCGTTGTTCTTCACTTACCAGGGCGGAAGTCGTGACCCATTTGGGAGCAACAGTGCGCCTGTGCAAGCAATCGTGCACCTTTGCTCAGCTCATCTGCTTGGTCATCGCGACACAAAGCCGAGGTCATGGACGCACCTCATCTACGACAATCCTCGAAAGACGGTTCGCGCCGTACGAAGCTTGCAAGGCGGATATGAGGGTCTTGCTCTTTGCCACGCGTTCCGGCGTGACGAAGAGCACTTTGATATCTTCCTGCCTGTCGCCGACCTTTGGAGCGCCTTTGGTTCTACGCAGGATCTCGGAGGCTTCCTCACGAGAGACTGCGCTTGACATCATCTCGCATGAGACACCCGCTTCGCGAAGATGCAGACATTGATCATACGAGAGCGATATGAGAGGGGAGATGACAAGTGTCATGCCGCGGTCGAGAATGGCGGGTAACTGCGGCACAGATGATCTAGACTGAGCACGGCTGCGCGCTGCAAGGGCGACCTCTGAGCACGTACCTGATAGCAAAGACTTTTGCCGCCGCCTGAAAGAGCAGTGTCATGCTAGTGTCAGCAGCAGTGCGAGACGACGCAGAGAAACACCTGCTCGTATCAGCTCTCTCTCTCTCACCTGTTGGCATGACGACGACGGTGTCACGTCCGTCGAGAGCGGCATTGCATATAGCCTGTTGGTCGAATCGAAAGGACTTGACGGAGGGCCACGTTCTGGTAGCTCTGGGTAAAAGTTCCCCAGACCAGACAAAGTCTCCGTGATTGGAGTAATCTGTGACGCTGAGATGCGCTCCATCTCCAAAGTTTGACAAGCCTGCAGCACTCGTGGAGGCTGATGTGCAGGACTTGATGAAATCTTCTCGATCCGCTTTGAGCCTCTGTAGATGCTCTGAGACGGCTCGAATTTCCGCATCGAGCGAGGCCAGATGGCTCTGATCATCCCGAGACAGCTGATGGCCGATCATCGTGGCGGTCGTCGAACGCGCATCCAAGACGTTGACTAGACTTGAATAGCGTACGCGGCCCGTGATGTAGCCAGCGTGCAGTTTCAATGACTCTTCTGCTTGTGACCCACTTGATGACGATAGCTGCTGATGTGCGGGGGACACACCACTTCAGAAATCCTGCCCCACTCTTGACTCAGCCTCATCCGTGATTCGATCGGGATTGACTCCTGACGTGTGTCGAGCCTTTTCCGCGGATTTCGCCCGAGGCAAAGATATGTGCTGCATCAACCGGTGGAGTCGTGAGTCAGAATGAGAATCATGCCCATATTTGGCTTGGAGTTGCAAACTAGCTGACCTCGTGACTCTTCAGCCTGGCGCTTGTGCGAGCTTGAGCTATATGGCAGCTATATGATGTCCTTCTCTTCTATTAAATTGAGTCCCCTTCAACAGGGTCGACGCCGGTATAGTCACGAGTAGTAGTGTTTGTATCCTTCCAATATGCATGGACCTATCTACGATTGTAATTCTAGATCGATTTGAAGCATCGATTTGGAGATGTTGCGCGCCTTGCCTTACGATTTCAATCCGAGAATGTTGCTATGACACAAGGAAAGGTGCTCAAGCCATGCGCGTGATACTTGATTTCCATGGGCCATGTATATGCACGCGCTCAGCCCACTCTTGAGCCAGCAGCGGATGCTTGATTGCGGCAGGGCGAGACGGATGACCGTGCAAAGTACACCTACAAATATACAGGCGGAGCTGCGAGCTGGGTGGTGAGAGCTAGACGGGAGGTGCGAAGTTGCATCACAACAGTCAAAAGTCTCTGAGTCAGAGTCAGAAGAGTCAGAGTCATGGATCAAGCAGGAAGCACAAATTAGTGAATGTAATAAATATTTGGATGAAGACATGTATACGTGCGCCAACACTCTGACTTGAGACAGCACGGACCACTCACAAATCGCCCTCATCTCCCGCGGCGTTTGAAGTCAAAGGTTAGCTATAGCGCGTAAATTGGTTTTGCGCGCGCGCATGGATGAGCTTCTGATGGACCGCGCGCGCGCGAGTGAGGACGATTTGATTTGAGGCAGGTGACTTCTTCGCCTGCTAATGAGCTCGCGCCTCATGTCAGCAAGTCAGAGTCAAGAGTCGACCAATTAAGACAACGATCCCCAAGACATGCGACCAGAGCAGCATATGCAATCAAGAATCAGTGAATGATCAGGAAGGTGACACATCTATAGCTGTTCAGCGTTGCATTCGAGCATTTGTTCCTGCGATTAACTATAGGCGCTGCGCTTGCATGGCGAGGAGGAGCAACAAGTTTGCACGAGCGCAATCACGAATCAGAACAAAACACTTAAGCTGGATTCTGATTCTTGACTGAGTCAAGAGATCATCTCGAGGCTCAACTCGAACTCAAAGCTCTCGATCACGACAATAGTAATCCGGCAGGCCAGCAGCAGCTTCAGATAGGAGACAGCCATCGCTGCACGCAGCCTCAACTATATGTCCACTATACTCGATCAAATCGCACCCAGCAACACACCGACGTGAGGGCTTGTATATCGCCACAGCTTGACTCTGACTTTGATGATCTCTCATCATCAAGCGATCAGGCTGCTGTGGGCGTTGTAGCGCGGCCGGTTGCGCGCGGTGCTGATCCACCTGCGTCAATAGCAAGACTCGAGGGTCGCACAGATCGATCGGTCTGCTGAATAAGGCAGCTATAGGATCAGCGCAAAAGATCTTCTGGCTGCAGAGCTTAGAGCCAGCAGCAGCTCTGCGCACCTCTCAGCAGCCGCACGCTCGCATCTGAGCGGCATTCTTTCAGCAAAGATTTTGGAGAGGTCAATCACTCTCTTACTCGTCCGCCCATATCCCACCAACAAGACAACAAAGTGGTCTCTCTAAACCCTCGCTAGAGCACCGAACACGCCCTCTCGATCTGTCAACCTGCTCATCCTTTCAATCCTCTCGCTACTCGTCAACTCGACCGACCTCAGCACCCGATCAAAGTCCCCCACCTCACCATCACTCAAACACAACATGCCTACCTACGCCGATCTCTACGCGCTGGCTCCCGTCTCTAGTGGGCCAATGAGGCTCACTATTTCAAGGAATGAGCACGGAGAGGAGGTGTGGGAGGAAGAAGAACTTATGGACTGCGACGCAGGCCGCGGGGACACTACCGACGTTCTGACTAACAACCAAGATGTTGACAAGTCTCTACCTAGCGGGCTAGGCCTAATTTCTGCTTTAGCATCAACAGAAGGCCCGAACATCTTCGTCATTGATACGTGAGTCTGAATTGGCATATGTGAATGCAGGTCTTAATGAGCTGATCCACCTTTCGCATGACGTCACAACCCTCTCGACCCGTAGGAATGCTCTCTTAGATGCGCTGACTCTGCTAGACGCGCTATACAAAGCTGTGCTGGCTGCCAATGTCAACGCTCTTTCCACTCCTACCGCTCGACCTGCGCCAATCTTGCTGGTAGTGCCATCTGTCGTTCTCCGCGAGCTAGACAGCATCAAGAAAAGCAACAAAAACGCCAGTCCTCGCGCTCAACAAGCCTCGCGATGGATCTTGAGTATGGTGCATGTGCAGAAGCACATGACCTACTTTCCTGTTCCACATCAGGAACAGGTGATACCGCAAGCTGCGTGGGCTTTGATCGTACAGACAAGCTCCGAGCAGAGAGAATTTGAGCTTGCTCAGGCAGCTGTACTTGTGAGTCTATTCATTGTAAACTTACGTTTTCGCTACCAGAATGCTGACGCTGTTTCTGCGACTATTCTGCCATCTTCATAGTCTGCGGATGATCACATCATCCAATTTACGAAGTATCTGCAAGAACTTCGCAAAGTCACCGCATGGCTCTTCTCGAGCGATGTAAATTGTCGAGCTCGAGCAGAAGCCGAGGGCCTTCGCACGCTATCCGTCAAGGACGTGCTCGGCTCGACAGCCCTTTCACCAGCATCTTGCACACTGGCCGCTGCGCAGCTCTTGGAGCAGTGGCAGGCGCAAGTGCAAACGAAAGCTTCGCTGACAGAGACAGGTGGGCAGCTTGTCGATCTAGAAGACGACATGATGTCCGATTGACCTTCTTTTGTCTTTGTTGATTTTGTTCGTCACGTTGCAGCAGTCGGTGCAGATGTGCAAATGATGGAAGACTTGTCGAACCTGACGGTGACCGATCCGGTCTTCTCCGGCATGGTCTCTGCAGCCTCGCCGTCGCCGTCACCTTCGTCCTTGCCCTCGCCTGCACGCGGTCGTAGCACTGCAGACAGTCGTTACGCTTCGGATACGCCGTTGAAAAACGTCAACTCTCTTTCTGCATCGGTGTCGACTTCTGCCCCTTCGAGTACGATTGTCTCTGGATCTCCTGAGGAGAGGGGACGACGCTCGGCCGACAGCCGATATGCTGCCAGCACGCCCGCGAGCAGGCCTGAAGAAGTTGGATCCAGCAAGGTTACAGCGACACCCAAACCGCAGAGCGGTATTCATCCTGCTCGCCTTGCGCTCCAGCAGGCTGAAGCAAAAAAATCCTCTGGCCGCTCAGTCGAGGTTGAACAGATGGCTCCTCCGCCGGCATTCTCGTCGACCGGAGCCAATCTTTCGCCTCTAGGGCGACGTGAAAGGGCTTTTGCTCCTGGCGGGGGCGCTCCTCAACGCTCCCAGCAGACCGCGCCTACAGAGGCAGAGCAGCCTTCTCGTGCACAGGCCAGCAGCGTGCATCCTGCTCGTGCGGCAATGCAGCGCGCTGAAGCTGCTTCGCCAAGTACAGCGCCCACTTCTGCTCGCGGTCGCGGTGGCTTCTCGAACCCTCAGAAGACAGGCTCCAACACTTCGCCTGTTAGCGGGCCTCGTCGTTGGGGCGCTTGAAGCGTTCCAAAGGTCACAATTTACAGCTGTCAACTTACGCAGCTTGTGTCACCACCAATCTCAATTGCTCCGATAGCCCCGCATTCCATTACTCGCCGGGCTTGGTGGTCGAAGTGTGTACATCCTAACGCGAGCATTAAGTGCGCATGTGATCGCTAGATTAGACGACCTTGGGTGCCAGAGAGAGAATCTTGCTCCACCCGTGATGTCTGAGTTCCTGACTGACTGCTCCATTGATCCTCGTTCCCGCTGGCTCCTTCTTGTTGTTCAAAAGCACGCAAGCATTGTCGTCGAACCTGACCACCCTACCATCTGCCCTCTGAATCTCCTTCTTTGTGCGGACCACTACTGCTCGTCGCACGTCTCCTCTACGCACTCGGGCTGCCAAGGCTGCGGCGGAAACGTTGCCGGTGGTGTGCGCTATCGGCTTCGCCTTTTGAATGACCACTACGATCTCGTCGCCTGAGAGCGGGAGTGAGCGAAGTGTGAGAAGCGTCAGCAAGGGGACTCGTGGTCTTGATCGTCGATCATAGCGCTCGAAGTCGAACAAGTAGGTCGATGATGCAGCCCAGCCTTGGCCCCGGCTGTGTGTCTGTCCTTGGGCCTTCGAGTCGAAAGCTGAGCCCCACTGATTCGTTCTCTCGCCCGCATACAGCGAGCACAACCCCACGCATGACCGCAAAAGTTGCGCAGGAAGATTTCATGGATGCTTTTCTTCCCTGACGACGGTATTTGCGAAGAGTTCCTGCCCACTCACCCACGCGCGCCAAGCCCCTAGTGGAAGGATTCCTCAAGACGTTGACGCATTCCGCCACCAATGCTCCCGTATTGTCGATGACCTGCGATATCAAGCAGCGTGATGCTTCAAAGGTGAGCTCATAAAGCTTCTTTCTTCGCAGCGGACCGAGCTGAGAGGTCTGCGGGTGCTCAAACTCACCGACATTGTCGCCTTGAGACCCAGCATGGTGGTCCTGTGCTCCGGCTGCGCTTGACGCAGACTGCGCTAGAATGGTAGGACCTCAATGAAGCAGTCTTGACTCGAGCGGTCCAGCGTAGAGATCGTGGTACGATTTGCTTTGCCTGGGGACCTGCAGTCGAGATCGAGATTGTGGCCTTCGGCATCAAGTCTCAAAGTTGTTATTGCGGCGAAAGTCAGGAAAGGCCCATTTTGCGAACTTTGCATCGCGCCGCGGAGGCCTATTTTGCGAACTTTGCATCGCGCCGTGGAGGGTTATTTTGCGAACTTTATGTTGCTCGGCTCGGACGGACAAATCAAGACTAACTCTTGCATGTTTTGTATTCAAAATTCGCTTTCGAATCCATGATTCAAATTGAAGGCGGGGAATCGCAACCTCACGTGATGTCACTGACATGAAAGACTCGTACGAGAAGAGAGTGAACAGCTTTCAGTCTTTTGTTTGAGGCGCGCGCACAGGCGTCAAGGGCGCACCGACACGGGAAGGTACTTGCTGTCGCACTTGCAGTCACGAGTGTTGGCGCGAGCGGCGTGAGCCAGCCACAGAGAGCTCTAGCGCACCAAGTGGGGGTTGGCTTAGCGTCCATCCAGCAGCCTTCAAGCGGCCTACTTTTGACTCGTCTGCTGCTTGCTCGTCGCGTGCTGGGGGGCGACGGACACATTGCTGCTGCTGCATGGTGCAGATGAACTCCAAGTCTTCTGTTATTTGTTGTCCGGAATTCTCGTGTTGAGCGCCCTTGAACGGTGGTGGTCTGCAGACGCGCTGCTGCATGGCGGGCAGATATATATGCAGGCGATGCTTCGGTCGCTCGGTCTCGCATCGCGCCCAGCCAGCAGCATCATGCGGTGACATGCAGCCGCCGACGGTCAACGCATGCTGGCTGCTCTCAGTGCATGTGCACACATCAAGACGTGACTCGCGCCCTGCTCTTCCCCGCTCCAACGCTGATGCCCAAGTATACAGGCGGGTGAGCAGGCTATATAGCTGCAGCCATGCACCGTAGGACGCGGCGGTCGTGCGTGCGTGCGCGCGTGCTTGCGCGGGCGTGGTGTTGGCTTCGCTGACGCCCGCCCAACGGTCGCATACAGCATCGATCTTGATGCATGGCAAGCCGCGCCATGTCGTATGTTGAGGAGGAGCATCAACGGCAGAAGAGGAGCGCAGCGCAAAGGGTCGATCGAGCATACAGGCCAGGCCAGGCCAGGGTGTCGCGACGACTTCTCGCGCACGCAACCGCGCAAACAGCCGTACATGTAAAGTCTCGATCGAGTAGGCGCGAGTCGTGCTTGCTGGTTGCTTGTTCGATCCGACATCACTCTTCTCAGCAGATAGCATTCACGACTCTGACTCTTGACTGGCAACTTTGCTGACTTTACGATCATCTCTTGGCTTGGCAACGGTACTCCCCGAGTTACGAAGATCGGACGTGTCTCCGCGAAATCGAATCAGTACCCTTCCCTTTACCGAAGCCGTTAGCTGTCAGCAATCGAGCTGCGGCGCTGCCTGCTTGCCATCCTCCCTTTCCTCTCCTTTCTCTTCGCCTTCACTTTCAATCTCCCATCTCCGACGCTTCAACGCCCCGCCTCCGCTCGCCTCAGTCCACGCTGTTCTACATCAGCAGCAGAATCTGCAATCGCTACGCATTCCGACTGCGACTCGATCGACCGCCCCACACTCCTTTCACTTGGCACGCTTAGGAGTCGAAGCAAGCCTGCGCACGTCGAATCCTTGTTGCTCTGCAATTTAGAAAGACGCCTCTATACCCAGTCCCTTACGGCTCACAATGTCCTCCAACCCCATCACGTCTGTTCCTGAACCCGGTGCCTCAAAATCCGGCAAAGGCAACGGGGATCCTTTGGCCTCTGTCATCACGCAGGTCCAGCCTGGACAAGCACCCACAGGAGCTGTGAGAGCTGGACCAGCTAGACCCACTAAAGTCTCCAAGACCCAGGGGGCTGCTGGAGGCAAGAAGAAGAAAAAGAAGCGCGCAGAAGGAGAGGGTGGAGAGCAGGCTGAGGCTATTGCGGGTACAGGCCCTGCAGAGGGAGCAGAGGAGGAGACGAACGCGGGACATACCGCTGAAGGCGTCCCTGCTGCAGAAGCAGCATCTTCCTCAGCTGGTGTGCAGGCTGAAGAAGTTAGTCATTCGCATCAAGCCTCTTCGACGCTCGTCAGTAGTACCACTGGACATGTCCAACAAGCAAGTGATCCGCTGAGCAGTGCAGCAGGCGCGGGTGCAGCGGCCAAGGATTCTGCACCTGTGCCCATCGCCAGCGAGAAACAAGATCTGACCGGTGCAGCGCAGAGCATTGCGCCAGGCAAAGTTGCCGAGCAAAAGGAAAACGCACAAGCAGGCAGTGACGTCAAGACCCCAGCTAAGCCTAAATCTGAAGCAGCTGCTGTCGCCCAGAATGATACAAAGGGCAAGTCGAAAGCCAAGGATACGGCACCAAAGAAGAAGTCTGGTCTAGGTCGGTTAATTGCTATCCTCACTTGCAGTAGCGGTGCTGCAGATGTGGTTGCCGCAGAACGAGACCCTTCTGGTTCCAGCCGGACCAGAGAAGCTGCAGGCGGCGTCAAAGGTGATGGGACGGGCAAGAGCGCCAAAAGCAAGGCGAAGACTGCGGACGCTACCAGCAAGCTGTCTCCTCAGGCTGCTCTGGGCAAGCCTGGCTCCTCACGGACGAGCTCGAGAAGGGGCTCTTTTGAGCGCGGTTCGGTCGCCGCGGCAACTCCTGGCGGTGGCACAAAGCTCCCGCGCGAAGAGACGGGCGATGTCATGTCTGGCGCCGTAGTACCTCCCGGTTCCACTTTCGTTCACCGCGAAGGTGACGACGCAGCTTCGGCAACTCCTACACCTTCGAAGCGAGGAGCGGTCCAACGGGAAGGCGACAGCGACGAGGAGGAGGAAGAGGAGGATGAGGATGAGATGGCAGAGTATGACGAAGATGAGGAACACAACGAAGAGCAAAGACTCATTATGCAAGGAGGTGTGGGCATACCCCGTGACGAGGTGAGTGGACGTCGAGGAGATTCTTGATCAGTTGAATATTAACGCTGGTGTGACTTCGCATTTGGCTTTCAGCACGGCAATGAGTGCCCGTTGCTTGGACCCATTGTCACCGGAGATCACGGGCGGAAGTGCCTGGTACTCGATCTCGATGAGACTCTCGTACACAGCAGCTTCAAAGTGAGTTGAAGACGTGTTTATGCTTTGCCGCAATGTGTCCCACTAATGTCATCTCTGGAATCCACTGAAAGATGATACCGAACGCAGATTTCATCGTTCCTGTTGAAATTGAAGGTACAGTGCACAGCGTCTACGTCATCAAGAGACCAGGTGTTGACGAGTTCATGCGGCGAATGGGGGAAATCTACGAAGTCGTCGTCTTCACGGCTTCATTGGCCAAGTACGCCGATCCGGTGCTTGACATTTTAGACATTCACCGAGTGGTGCGACATCGGCTGTTCAGAGAATCGTGCTACAATCACAAAGGCAATTACGTCAAGGACTTGAGCCAATTGGGAAGAGATATCGGAGAATCGATCATCATAGACAACTCTCCCGCGTCTTATATCTTTCATCCAAAGAACGCGGTACCCATCTCCAGCTGGTTCAATGATCCGCACGACACAGAATTGACGGACCTCTGCCCCTTCCTAGCCGATCTGAGCGACGTCTACGATGTCCGAACCGTACTCGATGGCGCGCTCTAAATTCCCTCCACACGACCTCGCGCATACACCTGCACCTTCTGCCAGATACCCGGCCGCAACAGGCACCTCGGCACCTGCATCTTATTGAGCGAGCTCATCGCAAGACCTCAGCTAATCCCCGATGCATGTCTGGCGCGGCCACCCCACCCGTTCGCCCTCATCTGCTGTGGCAACTCGGCGACGAGTAAACTGCTCAAGATCTGGGAAGCTGGCACAAAACCAGCACACACACACTCGTTCTTCCATCGTAATCCTCACTCAACACATCAGCACAGACCTCCCCCTCACCATGGCTTCGAAAGCGCGCACCTAGCTACGACTCCTCGCCTTACCGCGTCTGCCCATAGCAGCGGACGCGGCGGTCGCGCTACTCCCGGCGTGGTGGTGTATACCCTGCCATCATCCAACCCTTCCATCACGCCGGTCCATTGATGGCGGCCTCTCCCATGTTGCTCTTCGGGCCTTGCCTTCTTCTTCCACCAAATCCCTATACTACTTTCGATACCGCCATGTCTTTCTCCCCCAAGCACACGCCTTATCGGTCTTACCCTTACCCCCGTTCGTCTCCGGCTTCCCGGCAGCCTCAATCTCTATCTCATTCCATGCCATTGTCTCGCACAAGCTTTGGTGCCTGACCGACATTGCCTGTTGTAAGGATTGGTGAGGGCCGCGCTCTGCGCCGTCGTGCCTGACTGCCTACAGAGGACAGCAGAGTCAATTTGGGAGTGCTATGCTAAATCCGCCCCACGACCTCGAACGTCCTTGTAGAGTACGGGGACATCGCCGGAAGCAGATCCCGGGCACCGTCGTTTCCCTTTCGCACGTCTCTCGGCAAGGCGCGGGGGGGTCGCACGGACGAGCAAATGCGGAAAGTCGCGTGCGCACGCGCGCACGCGCGGGAACTTTTTTGTTTGCTTCCGCCGTTCCGCGCGAGCCCCACCCTCGTTGCCCGCGCCGGGGTGTGTTGAAGCGATGACAGATGATTAATCCACACGCAAGACGAGCGCAGATGAGCGACATGTCCGAATCGTGAGCTGTTTACTTCCGACGAGGGCGCGCTATGCTATGACTATACAATTGAGAAGGTCGTATGGCTCACGGCAGGCGTTTGTCCCTCCTACATCACATCTCCCACAGACAGGGGCACGCTCTTGCTCGGGAAAAGCCACCATGTATTCGTGACTACTCTTGCTACGGCTGCCTGCCTCTGCAATGACGTAGCTTGCTGATCTTGAGAGCCCGCCCCTTCGGCTGTTTCAGATGCGATTCAGTGGGATCTTGCCTGCCCATATCAGGCGATTCGATTTGGGGGGGGGAAGCTGTTCACGACTACGCCGTTGCAGCTTCATTTTGGAGCAGGCCCAGCTACTCTTGACAAAGTCGTGCCGTTGTTCTCATGGGCAAGATGTGCACCTTGTAGATTGAGCGGCTGCTCAACGTCGACTAGATCAGAATGATGGTCAGAGTGGAGATGGTCTCATGCTTGGGCTACTTTATACAGCGCGCTCGCTTCTCAGCAACAATCAGGGACGCTCGCTTCGCCACCTTTTGCTCTTTTCTCTTCCAATCATTCCACATACACTCGACGCAGATCGTCTTCTCCTCACTGACTCAACGCCAGCTAAGCCTTTGTGGTCTTTATGCTTTCCGACATCTTTCAGCTAGGCGGCCGTCGCGCTGCGAAATGTAGAGGCGCTCATGAACCTCCAAAGTGTAGCCACTCGAGATTCGTACCAACAAAATTGCTGCAGCTCGCCTCCAGAACTCACAGCAGCAGCAGCAATGCCCACGAGAAGGTGCCTCAAGAGGACGACGCTCAGCCAGGCAAGACACTCAACATCGTGGTGGACGAATTGGATGTCAAAAGAGGCAAGCGCATGAGCGTCGCTTCCTCCTTTCGCACTCTATCGCTGGACGATCACCCCAAAGGAGAGAGCTGGAATTGTAGTCCTCCACGGGGCAAATTTGCTTCGTCACACTCGAAGAGCACAGCTCTAGCCGAGCGACGAGCGAGACCGGCTCACACTCTTGGCAACGAGTCGTGAATGAGGAGGTCGCAGCGTATGAAGGTCGGATTGTCGAGCATTCGGTCCTACACGGTTCCAACAAGCCCATCAGGTGTGAAGTCCTTCTCAAGCCAGACTCGGCATTCCGATGTCTTTCGATCCAAATCTCGTTACCTCAGGATCCCAAGGACGGTAGCTCGCGTACGGACAATCGCCGCTCCAGCGGCTCGGCGTTGCGCTTGATTGAAAAGCACGAACGTCGACGTTCGAATGGGCAGCAAACAGCCGAGCACGTTGCCCTTCCGCCGGGTGCATTCACGTTCTTGACGGATCCAAAAGCAGGCACAAGCAAGCAAGCAAGCAGCAACAACAACAACAACCATCTTGCATGCATGGCGTCGTCGCGTCTGCGGAGCGCAGAGTGCGTCATATCTTTCCGTGGAACCTCAGACTCGTCGTGACTGCAAGCATGCATGCATGCGTGCCGCTCTCGGGATGGGATCCTACTTTGACTGAATTTTGAATGTGAATGGATGATTGACCGCGAGCGCCTCTCGCATGCGCGCTAGCACGAAACTGTGACTCGTGAATGTGAATATCAGAATCGTGAATGACGCAGCAGATCTACAACGCGCAGGCGAGTGCATGCATGCATGCTGCATGCAGGTGATGTGCTTGCTTGGTGCGTGCGTACGCCGTGCGAGCATGCAGCATCGGCGACGCATCATATCCATCACATGCAGCAGCTCAGGGTCCAGCAAACACCGACTCACACTCGTGTCTGTACCTTCACCCAGACGCAAAGGCCTTCACCATATTCACCATCCGTCAACATCATATATGGATAACGTGCAATCCCGAGTGTTCGTCATCTGAACCAGCCAGTCTGCTACTTTCAGCCAGCTGGCGTCGCCTGTCTGGGCTATTTGGCAATTGACATGCAAGCGGCCTTTGCCCCGTCCTCCAGGCAGATCGCGGTGTCCCGTCGACCAATGAGTTGGTTCTTCAGCAGAAGCTGTTGACTCTACATCTTGATACACATCTGCGAGGCAAAATGAATGAGAAGTGCGTTGGATGCTGGCCAAAAGCTCGACAGCGTACGTACATGCGTTAAACTCAAGACTGACCAGAAGCGAGGGTTCTCAAAAGATGAAATCAACGTGTATCGAATCTTTGACTCGCTCGTACCACCACTACACGATTACTGCTGACTCTTGCTTGCGTATTCTGCCATATGCGCGCCTTCGGTCATAGCTGATCTTCGTCCAGCGTTCTTTCGGCTCCGCTCGTGCAAGATCCTGGTGAGAGAGGCTGCGCTCGCGTGGCAGTCGGCTGCTCAGACAGACGGGTTGGTCAGTCGAATGGCAGTCAAGAGTCGAGAGTTCAATGGGCAGGTCTGGTCTCATACGCATATATATATTCAAGTCCGTCTAGATGATACCGAGTCAGCTCTGTCCCCGTATGAACACCACTCCACGGACTCTGACTTGTGACTCGAGGCTCTCTGGTGCGGACCAAGTGACTCCCCTTGCCTGACTCCTTTTGAAAGGTAAAAGGACCCATCTCGTCTACAGACTATATAGGTGTACTTTGCGTAGTCGGGAACCCGTTTGATCCAACTTATTTATTTTGGTAGATTCAATTTATTGTCCGTCGTTATTCAAGTTGGCTTGCTCGCGTTCGATTTAATATTAGGCCTTCGACTTTGTACATACCTGCCCACATTCAAAGTCAAAGGTCGAAATTGCCCAGGTCTACAGAGGGTCCACAAGAATCTCCTCGGCGGAGCTATTAGAAAAATCTCCGCGCATTGTGTACATTCTTGGTTCAAATTCCTCTTCTTACATCTGCGCGTGCTCAATCGCGTGAATATCTCAGACTGCTGAAGTGGCCCGAGGTCAGATTGGCGCATTGCTTCAGATCGGCCACCTCGATCCTGGGCAGCATCACTTACGCGCGGGTCCGTCGACTGACGCATATGATGCACGTTTTTACATGCAGAAAGCGGCATAAAGATACACTCGGGACGTTAATTTGAACTGAAGATTTCGATTTTGGTTCAATCGAGGTGGCGTGCTACGACTTTGAATTGAATTCGTGCTGCGTGCGTCCATGCAGCATGCAGCAGCTAAGCCACTGCAGCAGTGTCAGTCAAGCAAGGCAGCCGGGAGGCCGGGCCAGCCGCCGTTGAGGCCGTTGCTATTACAGGGGCGCCGCGCTGATATGCATGCTCGTCCATGCAGCATGCGTTGATGCACGCGCTGCTTGCATGGCTCATCTGCGTAGGGGTGCACGAGCTTGCTCGTTTGTTGGAGAGAGCCTGTGGGATGTAGATTTGTGATTTTGTCTCCCGCAATCTGAGCGTGAAGGCTTACATCGCGCGCGCGCTGCTCTGACTCTATCGGCCATCCATTCATCCTCCCCTCTCCCTTCCGCATGGCCAAAATCAATTCGGCGATCTCCTTGCGAGCAAGTTAACGAGCCCGCGTTCATCACACTGCTCTGCTCGTCCATATCACTCACCTTCTTCGTCCTTAGCCGCTTGATCATCGAGCGCACGCTCCTTCCCCTTATCTCTCTCCAGGCATTCACTCGGTCAGGGACTGCATCGCGCCCTTGCATCGGGATCGCTCCCCGACTCTTGATCGTCATGGCAGGCGCGCAGCCTGGGCCTTCATACCTCCAAGGAAGAGCTCCTCAACCTGCACCTACACCCAGCCCAGTCGCACGGAGAAAGTTGAGTGAATCTCTGAAGGAGGACGAGGATGGAGCTCATGTTGGTGCGAGAAATCAGCCTCTTCGGATTGCGGCCGACAAGCTGCAAGCAGCGGTCGAGGATGGAGCAGCGCAAAGTGAGGAGGAGAGACGCGAGATCATCTTGGGTCCATTTTACGGTGGTAGCGAGGCAGCGGAGAAGGTCAGGAGAGCATTAGATCAAGATCGCGGATCATTGCGAAGGCTGGCCAGGACGCAAGGCTCTGAAGATGCTGATCTGCTGCAACAGGTGCTTGCTAGAAGTCTGGCTTCACAGCCGGACAAAGAGAGTCCCTTGCGGCCGAGAGCGAGAGCGGCTGCAGCTCAAGCCAGATCTGTAGAAGCGCTGATTGCGGGCGACGATGATCTGCTAGATGCCAGATCGACGGCCGATGATGAGGACCCTCACCAGCGACGACAAACAGCGGCGGAGGAGCGTTGCTTCGTCGGTAATGACCAGCTGAGCTGCTATCCCACGCCGGGCCTGCGAGTCAATCAGGGCCAATGGAGTAGAGTGAGTATCTGGACTTGAGGCTTTGGATACAAACGGCGGATAAGGTCTAGATGGCCAGCTACGTCAATGGGACCAAGAAGAGACGTGGGCGGCTCGAGGCATGCAAGCTGAACAAGGGCTGACGGGGATGTTCACTACACTTTTCACACTTTGCTCCTCTCAGTTGATCTGGAACAGCAACTATCCTGAGTTTACCAACAATGGCGGTTTCGTCGACATCTATCTTTTCCACGAAGACTCTGACCAAGTTGCTACCAGCTGGACGCGCGTCGAGAATGCGCAGGGACGCCTGTCCTTCCAACCAAACGATGCTTGGTGGCAAGGCAGAGTGCCCGCTGACAACTTCAACGGTACCAACATCGCCTGGCCATTCTACTTTGTCGTTACATATGCAGGTGAAGGCTTGACAGGCAGCACTACTCGACTTGCTACATTCTCTGCGGTGCAGACAGCACTGCCGACCGCCATCTCAGCTGAACGGGCCTCTGCATCGTCAGCTGCCTCCGCCTCATCTGCTGCAGCCTCCCTCTCGTCCGCCTCTGCGGCAGCTTCTGCTTCCGCTGCTGCATCATCTGTCGCTACATTGACAGGAAGCGCTGCCTCCGCTGCGTCGTCTTCGGCCGCTGCTGCATCTTCATCATTCGCGGCCAGCTTGACCTCTCAATTGGTGTCGTCACTCAACTCTATGGGCGAGACTGGCACGCAAACTCTACAAGGCACCGCGACTACCACGCTTGACAATGGCCAAATCATCACAGCGACCGCCACGGGTCGTGCAAACGGCGTGCCTGTCTTGCCACCCGGAGAAGGTGAAGGCGGCTTGCCTCGCTACGCCATTGCTCTCATCGTCGTCTTTGGCTTCCTCGCGCTCCTTGCCGTCCTTGTCGGAGCCTACTTCTTGATGGCAGCAGCTAGAAGGAGACGACAAGGAGGCAGCCACGCGGGAAGCGATGCACCTATGATGGATGGTAGCAACGCGCGTTCGTCTGTGATAGGAAGCACCGACGCTGGTCACTCTGGCAACGACTCAATGCGCGAGGCTGGTGGCGTGGGAGCCGGAGCTCTTGCAGGTGGCTTGGCAGCTAGTGGTGCTTCTCAGCGCAGCGCAGCGGAGGAGCAGAGTCCCTTCACCACTGACGAAGCTTCGCGAATGGCCGACGCTTTCCGTGCAGCATTGCGCAAGCCAGAATTCAACACCGGTAGCATTGCCGGACCGTCTGGTGGCGAAAGCACTAGTCCTGGAGAGAGTCCTGGCGAGAGTGGCAACGGGGTCGGTGCATTGTTGCGCGACGAGCTCAAGGCCGAGGGTCGCGAAGTGCAGAGTGTGGGAGACCGGCGGACACCCAAAGTCACTGCTTCCGACTAGTCGCAAAAACATTCTTAGTCAAGTAGCTGGACGCCAACGACGCGCGCTGTGCCGTCTTCACCCGCCTCGAACGGGCGCACAAATCCCTGCGCATGCTGCTGTGCCGTTGCTTTACCTGTCAACGCTCATCAAGTCACCAACACCACGGACAATATTAACAATCTCGACGGACCGTGCCTTGCACTCCGCGCGGCTTCGGCCGCATGTTGCTCTTCAGTGCATATACCTGTCATCTTTCAAAACGACTGTCGCCCATTGCATGCGCGAGCGGCTGACCCAATCTTCAAGTTTTAACAAGTCATTCCATCTGTCCCATCTTCATTGGGCCATGCGGCCTCTCACACTCTCTTCGTCGGCTTTGCCGCCCCGATCTGTCCTTCTCGGGCTGATCTGCGCCCCACACTTCTCTCATCCTCTCAAGATTCGCTTGCCACACATGTCGGACCACTCGATCCACTTCGAATCTTTCTTAGTGCCGTCCGACTCCCATCCTCGCTCATACTTTTTGTCTCATCGACCTGCAGTAGCAATGCATACTCAAGTATGTTCGCGCACCGACACGGGAGTGCGCGTGTGATTGTTGGCATGTGATGCCGGTCGTGAGTGCCCCTGTGGTGGGAGCCGATTGCATTCAGGATTGCTAGCCTCGGACGACACACTTGCCGAGGAGGTCCGTGCTCATCTGAGAGTCGTCTCAAACGTGACCAATGACATTCGCGGTTGTGATCGTTTCACGAATTTAAAGTGCGTCTGCAAGACTCGTGGACCTAGATGAGCACAGTGAGCGCGGTCAGGGCACAAATAGGAAGACCTTTGGGTCGTGCGCCCGCCTCCATCGTGCCTCGAGGTCTGCTCGCTGGTGGCTGAGGGCGACCCTAAAGCACGTCGAGGGGAGCAATCTACCCGTCATGAGCGAGATAAGCGACCCGTACTCAGATCAGCGCCTGCTCGTACACTTGCGTCGCGAGTCAATCGAGCCTCAAGGATGGCACTATCACGAGCGGACTTTGCGTCCCTTGCAGCAAGATGCAAGCCCTCAGCATCAGCAAAGCCACCGAGGCTTCCCGCTTCAATCGCTACCTTCTCTGCCGTGCTATTTCCAGATACGTATGCTTTTCCTTGACTTGCACGTGCAATCTCACACCCGAAGCGTCAATTGTGAGTGTTCTCATGCGGCTCGCTGAATGCTGTGGCTTCTCCTTGGTGACGATTGAACGATGTGTCTGATTATGACTCACAAGCCCAAAGCGTGTGCCTGCCATACCGCTGATTAGCATCCGCAGTCAAGCAAAACAAAGAACTCGAGAGACTCGAACATTCATTCTTCTTTGCCAGACTTCGCTCACGACTGACAGGCTGCTCGCCATGTTCGATGTGTCCCAAGCGATCGATCGATCGATCTCCGGTCCCCTCGACGACATTCAAATCTCGACCCGGGAAGCGAATTGAACGCCATTTGCAGGGTGAGAATGCCCTTCAAAGCGCCAGGCTGAGGGGCCGCGAGAGTATAGTAGAGAGACAGCAAGGACGACAGCACAGCAGGGCCGACAGTCAAGTCTTGGCACGCCACGGCGCGGGAGCGCAAGAGCAGCGAGAGAGCGGCAAGGAACGCGAGCAGCCAAGGTCCTCTGCAGCTCGCCTGCAGGCCAAGCCTTTTCAACCGCCATGTACCTCTCCACCTCTCTTAATGAGCCTTTTGAAAATGAATTTGAGACCGAACGTTGATTGGCCTTGGGCTGGTGTGAAGGGCTGGCTTGGCCTTTCCGCTTTCGCCCCTGCTGCTCGTCAGATTGGGAGGGGGAGCAAGTCATGCAAACTCTGCTTTGGCACTCTTGACTGCCTTGGAAGGACTGTCAGCAGCAGCAGCAGCAGCAGCAGCAGCAGCAGCCAAGACCAAGCGTCCCATTGCAAGCTAGCGGTAAGCGCGCGCTCGGCATCGGTCTCGATCCTTCAGCGCAGCTCCAGCCCGAAGCGTGGGTCACTGCCAAGCCAGCAAAAGGGTTCGTGCATGTCTGTCTTGCCTTCGTGCTGCTGATCTCATCCTGCTAGACGATTCAAAGGGAGGCTGACCACCTTTGCGGTGGTGGTAATGCTGTGGCCATGGAAGCCGTTTGGAAGGAGAGGTGAAGGGCGTCTGCTCTGGCAATTCCCCGAGTGGTACCCTCGAAATGGTTTCAGCATCCGGAGAGGACGAACAAAAGTCTTGGCTAGCTACTCGTGCTCATGATCGCGCCCAGGTCTTCATGCTTAGCAGCCCTTGACCTCTTCTCGCCTAGCCCTAGCGCAGAAAGAGCCGCCCTGCTCATTCAGCTCGAGAGTGCAAGGGCGTGTGCTTGGACTTGACAAACAGGTGCCAAACGCGCCAAGCGGGATGGTAGTGACCTGATCATGCACGGATAGCTCTCGTCGTGCAACTTCACAGACATCCACCTCAGCAGCTTACGCACAATCAGCACCTCGATGACCTCTGGAGCTCGACCAACCAAGGCATAGCATACGACTTGACCGGCTACATATACCCTCTCATCTGCTTGCTCCATAGCCCGTGCACTCAAACTTGGCTCTCCTCGCAAGAACACATGAACTTGAGACGCCGCTCACACAAGACATTTGCAGAGGACAGAATGTATGCGTCGAGGTGACCACCAGCCACCAATACAGGCTCCTCGCGTCAAGGCACGAAATCAACACATCCCACACGTAGCCGAACCGCGACCGCTTGTTCACGTCCGCTTCACGTCCAGCACACTGCCAACCGATCTTGCAACACACATTTCGACGGATACCGCAAGCATGACTCTAAACACGGCCACGTTGCTCCACAAACGCACGCTCAATCGTCGGTGCTGGTGGGACCAACAAGGTGTCCGCAGGTGTGAGGGCCTTCCTGTCGGTGCTATCGTTGCCATTGGTGGGTGCTCGAGGCCGCTGCACTCATGCTAGCCTTGGTCAACCTTTACTTACCAGCAGCGCTCTCTTGCGATCATACGCAGCATTGGCCATAGTCCTGATAGTCAGCGCAGCGCTCACACTGGCGTGTCGGACTCAAATACGAAAGACTTGCTGTGGCCATCGGAGCAAACCAAAACGACGAGGAAGAGCGCTGGCGCAGCGCAGCTCTAGCACAAAGACGCGGAGCGAGCTGGCAGAGGATGTCGAGTCCAATGCTTCGGTCATCGGTGATAGTGGCTGGCAGACCAATGCGGACACTTTTGTCAGCAGCGATGGTCGGAGGCCGCTGATGGTCGAGGATAGCACCATGCCTCGCTTGCCTACGCTGTCATATGCATCGGGAGGTGGCTACCTATCTCGCGATGCCACGGACGCCGTCACGGAAGACACCGCTGTCTCTCGCGATCAGGATGTGTTCCCTTCACCGACGCTGCCGACCGTGCCCCAGCCAGCTGCTAGGCTGGACGCTGATGGAGCGCGACGCAACTCTCGTCAAGCTTCGCTGAGCCGGAACAGCATGACCAGTCAGTCATCCAAAAGCAAGAGTCACAGGAGGTCAGCCTCTACTACAGGCGCTGCAATAGCACCGCCACCTATGAGGGGATGGCCTGCAGGTCTGATAGCTGCCAGCTCGAGACCGCCTTCGAGCGGTCAAGGACGCGAGAGGGAAAGTCACAGCTCCAACGCCCACTCCCAACGCGCTAGGCAGTCTGTGTCCAGCTCGAGAAGGAGCAGCACCCACGCGGCTTTGCCCTCTTCGACCTCCACGACCAAGCCGCGAGGCTCTGGTGTCGATGTAACATCGAAGAACCAAAAGAAAATGTCGGCATCTAAATCTCTACCAACCTCACCGGAGATATCTCGTCGAAGCTTAGAAGACGACTGCGCCTGAAGAGGTGCTTCGAGGGACGTTGAGATGGGAGACTTTGCTCCTAAGCCGATCGCGACGCCGTCCAGTGACTTCGCATTGTATTATTACTATTCCACGTGCGCTGCAACGTATTTAATAAGGTGTCTCGAATTCTTTTGTTGACATCGATATACTAGTCAAGTCTACAGTAAGGGCTCCTGTGAATGAGCATCCTGTACTCACGATTCACGAAGACCTGAGCACATTCAATCAAAGTCTTCGGCCGCCTTCGGCTGTGGTCTGATCTAAAGCGCTGCCATCCATCTTCCTGCTCGTCCTCATATGATTGCACGATTATCAAATCCAATCAATGGCAAGGCTCATTCGCGATGGCACACATAGACGCTTGACAGGTGTTGCGCAGAAAGGGGACAAGATGGTCCTGCTTCACACATCCATGACTTCGCCTTGCTCGTGATTAGCAGTTGTTATAGCAAAGTGCGAGCGGCGCCCGCTCGCGTGTTGCTTGAAGAGCCGATGCAGGAGCGGCTGCTGCTGCGTGCGCGTGCAGTTGCCAGTTTAAACAATTTCTTCTCGCGCGTCGAAGTTGAGGATGAGCTAAAGCCGAGCTTGATGAATCGGCATTCGTGATTGAGATTCAGATCCACGCCTCACACACTCTCACAGGTGACGCTCCTTCCACCGTCACCCATGCATCCTCCAGCCTCCTGGCGATCTGGCGCAACGACCCTGTTATCGCGCTCACCACACGCATCAAGATTCCCGCCGCTTTCGCGCTTGCTTCTGCCCTGAGCCGATCCTTTCAGAAGTGCACATCGCTCGAGGCTCAGCTCTGACTCAAGGCTGCTCCTGCCAGGACACGCTTTCGAGCCACATTTTGAGTGAGTCGCTTTGGCCGCGCTATTGCTGGACCTGTACCCTATCGAGAAGATGCAAAGGATGCCTTTCATGTCCTAGACTACTCAGCTTGGCTTTGTCCAACGATGATGAGTGTTAATCAAAACCAAAAGCTTTTCATCTTTCCACTGATGCATCCGAGAGAGAGAGAGAGGGTTTGAAGGCGTCGCTCGTCGATGTGACTGTTGCCCAATGCGATGCTCGCTGCTGACACGCATTTCAACATGCTCGCACCAGAATTCTCGAGCCGAATTCCCCTCGGAAGGTCTGGTTGCAACATGTCGGCGATCACGATTCAGAAACGGCCCTTGGCGTCGACCTCTGCCTCCACCGATCTCTCGCGCACTTCACACAGGCGACGCACACTGAGAGGCAACGTCGTCCGAGTTGTCAGGGAAAGATATCTACGGGAAGACATAGCTTGCGGAGTAGCTGGTTGTCCTGTCTCATCATGCAAGAACGCTATCAAGCTGCGACTTGCTGCCGAGAAGATTCCCGCCACTGGCACGCGGAATGGTAGCATCGCGAACGGCACGCAGGCCTTCGTTTGCATCATCGACTCAAACGTCGCGCTTGGACAGGTGAGTGTTGCTGTGAAATGTTGCAGGTGCCAGCCTGCGGTTCACTGAGCATCCTGTCTGCCGGGCCTGCTTCTAGATGGACTTGCTAGAGTCGATGCTGGGCAACCTTCCCGGAAAGACCCCTGCCGTGCTCACTTTCTCGAGCATCGTGGTGCCTCAGACAGTCCTTGAAGAGGTCAGACATCGCAGCCTGCCTCTGTACAACCGACTCTCAGCTCTTCTCGACGCTCCCGAGTCGAGCTGGGTCAGATTTTGGAACGAAGCTGCGAGGTGAGCGCGGCGTGGGCAGGTAATGCGATTTCGTCTTTGCTGGGGCTAAATTTGTTCGTCCCCTTCAAAGCGCCACTGCTACCGTCCGACAGCCCGGAGAGACGCCCAACGATCATGCAGACCGGGCTATCAGATCCGTGGCCGAGTACTATCGGTCGCATCTTGAGCAGCGCAAGGCATCACTGGAAGCTGTGCTGCTCACTGATGATCGCGATAACATGACGAAGGCGCGCGCAGCGGGTCTCATCAGTCTGAATGTGCGAGACTACGTCAAAGGATTGCCGCGCTCGGATGAGCTGATGGATCTGCTGAGTGCGAGATCGGTGGCTGTTGCCGCTCAAGGTTCTGGCTCTGAAGGTGCAGCAAGGGACCTGTACGAACCGCACCTTGAACAGGCGGAAGCCAACGCGGGCTTGAATGCTGGCACGTTGCACCAGGGCCATTTCAACGCGAGCCAGTACAACGTACTGGAGGGCAGCGTGCGGAGCGATGCGCTTGGTCAAGCCATCTTGATTAGAGGCAGAGAAGCAATGAATCGCGCAATCGACGGGGACATTGTTGCCGTGCGCCTCCTTCCCGAATCGCAATGGCTGACGGAGACGGATGAGGTCAAGGGTGGAAGCGGAGGCAATGACGACGCTGGATCGGACGAGGAAGACGACGAAGCCCGCGAAGAGCCGCTCAGAGAAGAGGAGCAAGAGGACAAGGAGGAGAGGCAGGCATTAGCACGGCAAGAACGCAGAGCTCGTAGCTCAGGTGGGAAACCTCAGCCCACCGGCAAGGTGGTGGGTGTCATCAGACGTAATTGGCGTAGCTACGTCTGCACGCTGGTGAGTTTCTATGAGTCCATACTCGCTCGTATCCCAAAAGCTGAATTGATTTGGCGTGCTCGATCATAGGATGCTCGCACGTTGCCACCTTCCGCGTTTTCGTCCACAGGAGCCACAAGCCTACTGGCTCTGCCAGTCTCGTCGCGTATCCCGCGCATACGCATTCGAACTCGACAAGTCTCGTCTTTGATCGACCAAAAAGTGCTCGTGGCCCTTGACGATTGGCGCATAAGCTCACGATATCCGGACGGACACTTTGTTAGAGCATTGGGCCGCACGGAGAGCAACGAGGCGGAACAAGAATCGCTACTGCTCGAGCACGATGTGCCTTATCGACCATTCTCCACTGCGGTCCTCGATTGCTTGCCAAGCGAAGGAGATAGCTGGAAGGTCTCTCCAAAAGAGCAGGCAGGCCCGGCTTGGAGAGACCGTGTCGACCTGAGAGCCGAGCAGATCTGTTCCATAGATCCACCTGGTGAGTCATCATGGCCCTTGACCCTTTACCCGCCAATCAGCATTAACAAGCGTCCTCGTCGCATGTGTCGTATGCTCAGGCTGTCAAGATATCGATGACGCGCTGCATGCCAAGATCCTGCCGAACGGCAACGTCGAAGCGGGCGTCCACATCGCAGACGTCAGTTACTTCGTGCGGTCCGAAACGCCGATGGACTCCGAAGCTGCATCTCGAGGCACTACTGTTTACTTGGTTGACAAGAGGATAGATATGCTGCCACACCTCCTCGGCACAAATTTGTGCAGCTTGCGGCCACATGTGGAGCGTCTAGCTTTCTCGGCGATCTGGGAAATGGATCCCAAGACTGCAGACATCGTCAGTGTCAGATTCCACAAAAGCGTCATCGCCAGCAAGGAGGCTTTCACCTACGAGGAGGCTCAATTGCGCAAAGACGACCACAGAAAGAAGGATGCTATCACGCAGAGCATCAGGCTGCTCAACGATCTCGCTATAAAGCTGAAAGGCAAACGCATGCAGGCTGGTGCTCTCAATCTAGCCAGTCCAGAGGTCAGAATTCATCTGGACAGCGCAGAGTCCACTGCTCCCATCGACGTGGAGCAGAAAGAGATGCGAGAGACGAATAGTCTAGGTGAGTGGCGCGTGTGCAAGATAGCCCTAAAAATGCTTCCTGACCTGGTCCCCTTGATGTCTGGGCGCATGCAGTCGAAGAATTCATGCTGCTTGCGAATGTTTCTGTTGCTGCCAAGTGCTACGAAGCTTTTCCTCAGACTGCCGTGCTCAGAAGGCATTTGCCGCCTCCAGCGACGAATTTCAGCGTCTTGCAGGACATCCTCAAGAAGCGAAGAGCCATGACGCTCGATGTCAGCTCTTCTGGAGCACTCGCCGCTTCGCTCGACAAGTGCGTCGACGCAAAAGAGCCCGCTTTCAATACCCTGCTGCGCATCATGGCAACTCGATGCATGCTGTCTGCAGAGTACTTCTGCAGTGGCAGCGTGCCCAGGGACACCTTTGGACACTACGGTCTGGCTTCCCAGATCTACACGCACTTCACCTCTCCCATCAGGCGATACGCGGATGTCTTGACACATCGACAATTGGCTGCTGCTATCGCGTACGAGTCGCTGCCTGCCAACTTGCAGAACAAGGGTCATGTGGAGAAAGTGCTGAACAACGTCAACAAGAGACATCGCGGAGCTCAACAAGCGGGTCGAGCTAGCGTCGAATACTGGGTGGGCTTGAGCATCGCTCGCAAAAATCAGGAAGCTGGAGGGTCTGCCAAGAGCTTCGGAACGGGCGAAATCAAGCTCCACGAGGATGCGTTCGTCATCCGCACCTTCCGGAATGGCATTGCTGTCTTCGTCAGCGCGTGCGTAGCGTGGATTTCGGCATCGACCTAGAAGCGTTAGGCTGACCAAAATGTTGTCTGCTGTCATAAGGTACGGCCTCGAAGGTCTCATCACGTTCGACAAGGATTGTGACTTCGATGGAGAGCAGTACACCGTCCGCGTTCCCGCCACCGTTTCGGGGCTCAAGCGGGGTGAGTACTCTTCTCTCCAGTCTGCTTGCGCCCTTTTCTCACATCTTCCTTACACGCCTCGCAGATCTCACCCTGGGCATCTTTGACCGGGTGCGCGTCGAAATTGGAACTGAAAAGGTGCGTCTCGCCTGAGGCTGGCATAAATGTCCACGGGCAGTAAGCTGATGTCTGAGCTCCTGATGCGCTCTGCCCGCCACAGGACAAGAATACACAGCGAAGCAGAGTCAAGATGGCTTTGTTGTGATGCAGGCGAGACTTTTGCCTGTTATGTCTTTACAATGAGCAATGTATTCTAGCCATCAGTCAATCTCGGCGATCTGGCTCAGCCCTCAAGGGTTCTCAAGCCATCCTCGACTTCGTTCCACTGCTCTCTCCCAGCCGTGCAGCAGTTCCTTTCTTTTTTCCTCTGAGATTGTGGGCTTGAACGCCTGCTTTCCTTTCGCATTGACCTGAGCAGCGAAGGAAGGAATGGTCATTGGACGAGTCAGCACCAAGCCGAGCTGGCCAGTGTTAACACGAGAGCGCAGACAGCTTACTTTGGACAAGGTCTCCGGTTTGCTGATATCCCAACCAAACAAGCCTTTGGCCGCTCCAGCCAGAAGCGCCGAGCCTAGCGCCGTTGTTCTAGGTCATCGGGGAACGACTATTGAGCGGGATCGCTGCGGGCCGGGCTGAGATATTCGCATAGGAACTTACTCTCTCATCTCTGGTCGCTCGACAGTCAGGCCCAGAATGTCTGCCTGAATCTGCATAGCAACGTCGGAGCTGTGTCGAAGCAGGTGTCAGGATGAAGAAGTAGCAATCTTGTCGCTAATGCACTACTCACTTTGTCATGCCTCCGTCGACCTGCAGACTGGCGAGAGGAACACCCGAGTCCCGTTCGCAAGCTGCGAGCACAGCTTGCGTCTGGTAGCAAGCCGCCTCAATCGTGGCCCTGGCAAAGTGACGCTTGTCGGTGTATCCCGTCATACCCTTGCGAAAAGTGCGTCGTTACCACGAGTCAATAGACCAACTCCTTCGCTGTGGTGAGTGAGCAGAAGCGACTCACAATGATCATTCCGCTAGCGCAGTCGTCCCAGTAAGGGCACAGCAAGCCCGAAAAGGCTGTGACGAAGTAGATACCTCCCGAGTCCTCAACCTGTGAAGCCAGGTCGCCCACTTCTGACGCTTCCTTGATCAAGCCCAATTGATCGCGCAACCACTTGATGCCGCTGCCGCACACCGCGATCGATCCCTCCAGAGCGTATACAGGCTCTGCATTGGGTCCAGCTTTGTATGCAATGGTCGAGAGCAGCCCGTTCTTCGAGTCGACTACTTTCGTGCCAGTGTTGTATAGGAGGAAGGCCCCGGTACCTTGCGTGCGCAAGCAAAGTGGAATTAATCGTCATGCAGACAATGGCCCTGGCGTGCACTGCTCACCGTATGTATTCTTCGCTTCTCCTGGCGATAACGCCTTTTGCCCGATCAGAGCAGCCATCTTCCAGAGTGATTGGGAAGGTCAGAGGCAGGCTGACGGCGATCCGCGGAAGAGGTCACGCCACGACGCTCACCTGATCTCCTACAATACCAGCAATCTCCACACCATCCAGAGCTCCACCTTTTATCTTTCCGTAAACTTCAGAAGAGCTTTTAATCTCTGGCAAAATCTCCATCTTGATGCCAAAGAAGTCACAGAGCTTAGGGTCCCAAGTCTGTTTGCGCAAATCCATGAACATCGTGCGAGAGGCGTTCGAAGCATCTGTTAGATGCACCTCTCCACCAGTCAGATTCTGATGAAAGGAGGGCCGACCTCGCATTGCATCAGCATATTGCAAGAACCGCCCACGAGCTGCTTGGAATCGACTCACATACAGCAGCCAGCAGTCCACTGTGCCGAAGAGCATGTCTCCTTCATCATGCGCCTTCTTGACCTCTGGAATGTTGTCGAGCATCCATCTAAGCTTGAGAGCTGCGAAGTAGGTAGCTGCAGTACGCGCAAGAGGGCATCAGTACAATGTGAGTACCCAGTGATCAAGCGAGCGGCTTCTGCAAAGCCCAGCATATCTTCCTGATCTGAGCCTCAGAGGTCCTTGAGGGCTCTTGCGATGCAGATCCCCTTTCCAGGCTTCGGGGCCCTACTTGTCTGCCCCTAAGTCGATTGAACATCAAGAAGACTGCATTCACTCACACAGTGGGAGACCAGTCTCGAGCTTTACTGCATCTGTGCCTTTGTCGCTCTTTTCCGCAAGTTGTCTGACAGTGTGGGTTGTCCTGGTGTCAGGCCATGCGATTGCTCGGGTCAATGCTTTCCCAGTAGTCTTGCTCCACACAACAGTAGTCTCTCTCTGGTTGGTGATGCCGACAACCTTGATGTCGCTTGCCTTGCCGCCCTTCTGCTCGAGCTTCTTGATGGCCTGATCTACGCACTCCAGAACCTTGTCCACGATCTCGTGCGCATCCTGATCTTGCCATCCCGGGTGATCAAAATACTGCGTGAACTCCAAGCCGTGAGAAGCTTGTACTTCCGCGAATTCGTTGAAGATCATGAAGCGGACCGAGGTGGTCCCTGCGCAGACAAACGCAGATCGATGAGTAGGAGCCCCTATTAGGACCACATATGCCCTTTGGAAAGCTTTTCCCATCGGGACCTGTGCACGTGATGGCTTCACACTACTCACCGGCGTCGATCGAGGCGACAAGGTCCGGCATCTTCTCTGCTATGTCGCGTATGGGTGGATGGCAAGACCGGATGTGCAATTTCAGCCAAAGGGGTGCGCGTTTCGAAGGGCGACTGAGGGACGCTCTTCTGGCAAGCCTGGACGTCGAGAGAGGTTGAGGATGTCAATGAGACTGCGCAAGAGAAAGCCGAATCGAAACGTGGAGCGGCTCGAGCCAAGAGACTGCTGCATTCAAGATGACATGCATGGCTTGCCAAGTCGCGGGAAGAAGGCCGGCTTGCAGCGTATCGAGGGCCGTCAGAAGAGCACGGGGCACGCGGCAGCGTGCAGCCGAGATGCTGCATCTTGACTCCACACATGAGCAGGCAGTACTCCGTACTCATGAGCATGAGCCCTCCGCATGCAAGCGCGATGCAGAGGAGCCCAGCAGAACCCCAGCCCGGACCACGACAATCACGTGAGTCGTGAATCTACAGGTACAGCACGTGACTCAAAGATCACTCTGACTACTCATCCGCGACTCGCGCGTGCTGCATGGTGACTCACGACTGCTGTAGGTACTCGACTACCACAACAGTCACGAGTCACAGCTAGTCACAGAAGAGTATGCGAACGCTGCGTTGGTGGCGGCCTGCGCGCAGGTGGGGACCATCAGCAGCAGGCACCAGCTCAGCAAGTGACGAGTGTTGTAGCCAGCAGATGCCTCGGTATCGTTCAGGCATGACACCTATACACGTACACATGCAGTTTCAGTGCTGTACCAGTCTGATGAGTAGAGTAGTCTTGAATGCACAGGTTGAGCCGCCGGCTGCATGGGCCTCGAACAGAACCGATCACGCGGTGCCTTCTAAATTCGTGATTTCTGCTGGATGTTTTAAGCAGCGCTGATGCTGGGGCGCGTGCGTGAGAGCGTCGGGGAGCAAGCACCCTGCTGTACATGTAATCGCAATTTGCTGTGCGTCTGCCGTACTCGAACGTAATCAAAGCAACATTTACATTTACGCACTGCATGGTGCTGAGGATGCCGCATGGCTATTATAAACTCTGACTCACGACTGTATACAGTATATGTCAAGCTTTCATCGCGCTGCTGATACGCTGTCCGTGCGCGCATCCACCTATATGCATCTATATAGACTCTTGTTGAATGCAGCATGCAGAGAGCAAGGCGGCCTGGCGGAGATGCAGTGCGGCTTCCGGCTACCAACGGTCACATTATCAGCCGATTCTGGTTCACGCGGTATTTTTGCACGCTAACTCTGCTGCTGCTCGATTCTCATTAAATTTGATTCACGATTCACGATTGAAATGAGGATCACACGAAATTGACTCTTTGACTCACAGACTGCATGCTCATCTCTTTCTCAGCCCACCAACGTCGTCATTGCCGTTAGATCTGACAGCAAACTGCCCCGCTTGCTTCCAGACCGCCATCACCCGCACTGAATCTTGTTTCTTGATCTGCTGCACAAGTGGCACTGCGAACATCATCTCGACAGAAACCGATAGTCCGCCGACATCATGGTCAGCTTTTACGATCTCAAAGCAGAGAGGCCCAAGGGCGACGCTCTCGACTTCAACGAGCTGAAGGGCAAGGTCGTCCTGATTGTGAACACCGCTAGCAAGTGCGGCTTCACACCTCAGTGTGAGTTGGCAGACTTTCTTTCAGCAGCCCTCGTCGGTCGAGTGTCGGAGCCAGGCCGGAAAAGCGGGATAGAGGCGTGCGGACGACAAGAGGTGGCGATCGCGGATCGCATGTAGCCATCAATCCGCGGAGCTGTCGGCACGTTGGAGGTCAAGCGGCGTCCAGGATGCTCAGACACCTGACAAACCACGCTGCTTTATCATCTGAGTGCTCTCTGGCGAGGACCGGTGCAGGTCCCGACATCTGTCGCGATTACGAACGCCACGTGGCTGACACTCTTGCACATGAAATCGGCAGTCGAGGAACTCGAAGACTTGAACAAGAAGTACAAGGACCAGGGTTTGCGCATCATCGGCTGTGAGTGCTTATGAAGAAGCAACGAAGCCTGGCAGCGCCAAACAGCCTGACGCTCACGATCTCAATTTGCCCCGCTGCCCTTCAGTCCCTTGCAATCAATTCGCGAATCAAGATCCAGCCGATGACGAGGGTATTGGCGCATTCTGTGTTAAGGTGAGCGTTGCTATGAGACGTCGAACAGGCAAGGATAAGCCAGAGATGGAGATGCTGCGTACGTAGTGGTAAGGAAGCCAGGAGAAAGGCGGTGCGCGCCGGTACAAGCGCACAGATGTGGAGAGCTGAGATGCCCAGCTCGAGCATCGACACCGGAGCACTTCGGGTCTAGCCTCAGACATTGGAGAGAGCGAGTTTCCGATCGACACGACGCAGAGCGCGCCGACGCGATGCAACGGGCGCGCTTGTGGCGAGCGAAAGTGCCGAGCATCACTGTGACGCAGGTGCCGAGTCGCTGTTTCGAAGCCAAGGTGTGGCGCGCGAGCGTGCTGAGTGGCGGGGTCGCGGATTGCCGGGAATCTCTCTCTCTGCGCGGCATGCTCCGTGAAGCATTGCTACTTCCTAACTTTCTGCACTGCCCAATGCTGAAGTCCCGATCTTTCTACATGCCTGATCCACCTTTCAGAACTACGGCGTCTCCTTTGACATCATGGCCAAGTCAGATGTGAACGGCGCCAACACCAACGAGGTTTTCAAGTATCTCAAGAGCGAGAAGTCTGGCCTCCTTGGCACCCAGGGCATCAAGTGGAACTTCACCAGTGAGTCAAAGTACGGTGTTGCCGCTGCGCTGCGCTGGACATTGACAAAGCCCGCACTGCATCGGTGCAGAGTTCCTGGTCAACAAGGAGGGCAAGGTCGTCGAGCGGTACTCTCCCACTGCCAAGCCAAGCAGCATCGCGCCTGAAATTGAGAAGCTGCTGGCTGCTTAATTTGAGAATCGGCGGCCGGCCCACGCCAATCTCAACGCCCATGTCTTCGGCTCGGACTTGTTCGCCACGATATCGCCACACTTTTGCCGCTCGGAGCGCTCGTATTTCCTGCTCCTGCTGATGTGCCAATTGATAATTTTTGCTACCGCCAATGGCATCGTCGCTACCGGTGGCTGTGCTACGGACCCGCAGATTGTCTTCGTGAATGGTTTTGGGCAGTTTATTTCGCAATACTCACGGGTATCCACAGTGCGTTCAGCTCGGTGGCAAGCCCTGTGGCAAAGCACATAGGAATCCGCTCTCGCCACACTTTGATAGCGTCACCGAAAGCTTAAGAGCAAGCTCACAAAAATTTTCCGCTTCACCCCTTGCGACACTGATCCCTAACTTTCTCTCGAAGCTGGCCTTCCCCGTCGAGCTCGTTTGTGTGCGAGCGAATCGATACAGTGCGGTGCGCATTGCAGCTTCCCTGCCACGCATCTCCCTTCTCATCTTGCTATCTGGGATTCAGTGCGATTCGGATTTTTCCAGCTAATACTCTGCGGCTCGGTCCAGCCCCTTCCACGTCGTCATGTTGTCTGTCGGCCAAATTCGCTTTCTTTTCCTATTGCCTCTGGCAGCGGTTTGCGTAGCAGCGGAGCCCAGCCTTCTGGATAGTACCGCAAGGGATGCCTTGCTGCTTCCTCGTTCGATACCCGATAGGGTGAGTGCGCGAGCCAGAAAAGCTGGGAGCTCGGCGACGAATGTCTGAAGGCCCTATTCCTCTCATTTAGCCCAAATCCTTCCGGCGTGGACTTGGTGGTCTTCTGAAAAAGGTACGCTCTTGCGGTGCGCTGTTGTAGTGTGCCGATCGTTGTCCGAATGCTGATACATGATGCGCCTATGCTCTCTTTTCCTCGCATGCCGTGCTGCTCAGTTTAGTTGCTTTGGCTTCTGTAAATCTTCACCAACATCCCCAGTGGCGACTCCGATGCGTTCGACCCAGCCGCAATCTCAAAGCATCGTTGGTACAAACATGTTCAACCAGATGGAAAGGCAGAGTCCACACTACACGCATCCCAACTACCTTGGCGACAATCGTCTGCCTCCAGGAACTATCCTCTCGCCGACTAGGCACCTGAGGAATGCCGAGCCACGTCCGCTAGTGCCTGCTGATCCACGCCTCAATGCTCGTCACGTTGCTGATGCTGGTCAGGCCTTACGCCAGCTCGTGTCGAGAGGCTTTGGCTCGGGTTTCCTGAAGAAGGTGCGTGACGACGCCGGGCGGAGACCATTCGAGTCATGAGTGTACCATTGCTACAAATGTGCTATTATTATCATATCAGGCGACGAAACACATTCTTACCGATTCCCGTGCATATACAGCTCGCGTGCGTAGGACAAGGGTGCCATGGGATCGAAGCCGCTGAGTCCGCAGGACAGCACAGCGTGCCGCAACATCACACCGGGATTGGATACGGTCGCGACACTGGTCCTCTCTCGCCGCCCCGGCGTCATGTGATAGACATGGCGCAAGTGGACATGCCCCTGCGCGGCGCAGCACGGCAGAATCTCTCTCCCTCCAGACAACAAAAGATCTTGGGCAGTAGCTCGAGCAGTGCTGCGCACCATGCTCACACTGGTGACACCACCGCAGTGGATCAGCCGCTGGGCAGTGTGCCGTGGTTCGCTCTCTCAAAGACGAAGCAGGACCAAATCTTGTACCCTGGTTCAAAGGGAGGCGGGACGGAGACGGGCTCCAAAGGTAGGTGTTGCCCATCGTCGCCAGCTGAGCTGCTCAGTGGCGATTTCTAGCCTAGCTGCGTGGACGAGCCGAGAGAGTGGCGACTGACGATCTCCTCTGCTCACTTCATTCACAGGTCTGAAGTCCGCTCTGAAACCTTCCGGCTCGTCTCGAGAGGGAAAAAGGGTCAGATTCAGTCTTGATAAGGCGAAACGTGCTGACGGGCCGTCCAAAATTGCCCGTAGCCCAACTCCTTATCCGGAAGAGTTCCACGACCTGGTGTGATGGTGCTGGATGCAGGTCGCTGTGCCCAGGTCGCGCTTCAGCACTCTTCAGGGCGGTGTTGCAGCTCGTCGAGGAGCTTGGTGATTCAGGCTCTGGTCTTGAATTACACGTGTATCTGCGGCCGAGGCGGATGATTGAATGCTCAAGCAGAGATCAAGGTCCATCTTGCGCGCGTGAGGCAGCAGTAGTAACACAGTCGATGAGCACGCACGACAGACCTTCAAAGCGAATTCAAATGTGCCTTTGCTCTGCTTGGCCTGCACTCTGGGGACATCTCGCTCGCCTGTCTGTAAAATCGTGGTGTTGGTCGGCGTGCCTGAAGGTGAGCGCTCCCTTTGCACCAGCAAACCAATTTCGTAGGCAGCTCACAGCGGAATCTGAACAGCCGCTGAAACAAAGCTCCACGAAGCTCAAGTTGGGGTGTTTGTCCACCGGATCTAGACCTGAAAGTGCTACCATATCACAGATGTGTGCAACAGCTCACAATCGCACAATGATCGTCCAGTTGGCCGAGTGTATGATCTGCTGGCCCGATCGGTCATCAGGCCGGCCCTCTGTAGCATCAGACGGTCCAACTTTTGGGTCGAAGTTTTATTTTGACTCCTGGCTTTGTCATGCAGCAAGGAGCCCCACGAAGATGAGATTTTGAGCGTGAATTCAGCAGAGCTCGCGCTTCGGAATAGGGCACACAGAGGCGAAAAGCGAGCTTTAATTCGTGAGAATATGTTTTGAGCGGCGACAGCATATGTGTAGTTTCGTTGACTGACTGATTGAGTGATGTGGGTCTCGAACGCGGCTGAGCGCAAGGGGCATTGGTCGTGACGGGCCTGGCGCATCGGCGCTCCTTGACGCACCGCTCCTAAGCCAGCATCCTCGCCCGCACGTCCCCTTTTGCTTTGCAGGACTTGGAAACAAGGACGACGACGACGACGACGACGACTTGCCTTTCTGCTCAAAGCGCCTGCTTGGCGATGAATGACTCTGTCACAGCCTGGTTTCATGACAAACTCTAGCTGTGCTCATATCTCTGCTGGTGATGCCGCTGCAGCCAAGGAAGCTGGGGCCACCCGTCCGCCGTTCGGCGCCTGATGCATGGGTGCAGCTGCGATCCCCAGACCTCTGCATGCATGCTTGGCCTGATGCTGCAATCAGAAATGGAATGCTGCAGCTTCTCCAGCCAGCTTCTTCGGGCATATCTTCCGTTCGCCTGCGTATGGCTGCTTGCTTTGCTGGGTTACCCGTTCGATGCCGTGCATCTCTGACTGCATCCCCATCATGCAGCAGGATTGACTTGTCTAGGGATGGCTAGTAGCGGTACAGCACACGTGTGTCTCCGCCATGCAAGGACGACTCAGCGGCTTCGCGCTTTTATTTTTTTCTGCCTCTGCCTCTTTTCCGCATGCGCGCTTACCGCAGGGTCCACTCACTGTGACTGCCTGGTCACTTATTACCCTTTCCCGCGATGAGCTCGATTCGCGCAAGCCCCACAATCGGACCCTTGATAGGGGTGGTGCTCCGCACATCGCTACATGTGCTGACACACGATGGTGAGATGACTCACACTGATGATGACGCACGCAATCCGACGCTCCAAATGAAGAGCAAGGCGGGATGGGCAAGAGCGAGGAAGCACTAGCTGCGCGAGTCAAGAGTTCTATACCTGCTCATGTGGACCGCGCCGAACTGTTGGGATGCGAATTTCGTTCCTAAGATGAGGGGATTGGCGCGCACAACTTGCCCGCCGCGAGCCATGGGCGCGGGCAAATCACGAATGCGAAATTTGGCGCAGAAGGAGACTCACTATCAGCAGCTCTGCTGGGATGCCACACGCGTTGGGCACAATTCGTGACGCCGCGAGACGGTTGAGGTTGAGGACAGCAGCAGCAGGCGAGAGGGCGATGTTCCAGCAGGAACCTGAATGTCATGCAGCTGCCCGCGTAGCTGCATGATGGTCTCGCCACTGTACGTACGCTATAGAGCCCTGCATGCATCGCCCACCTTCAGCTGCTGTGTGTTCACATCACCGGCGGCTCTTGGCGGCTCTTGTGCTTATTGCCATGCAGGTGAGAGCGTGGACTGAGTACCGTACATGCTGCTGCTGGTGAGCTCTGTGTAGCGCAGCGCAGCGCGGCATCGACACCACGTAAGCTCAAAGCTCGAGTCGCGATCTGAATCAGGCTCAGGATCGACGAGCTGCTGTACAACAACAGATAGACTCATCAGAATCACGAGTGAGCGAGCGTCAAGTGTCACTTGTGCCGCGGTGGCTTGTGCCTTCATGCAATGCGAGGTGTTGCGCGAGCCTGAAGCAGCGGTACCGGCTCACGTACCCACCGTTCCCAGGCTGCTGTCTCGAGACAGACTCACGAGTGACAGCTTAGAAGACGAACACTGATGAGCTCACTCTGCTCTTGTCTGGATCTAGATGTTCGAGCCTATCGTCTAGCTGCGACGACTGATGACGATCACGCTCACACGTACGTGAGATCAAGCACTCACAATTGAGACTTCTCACGTTTCTCCACACCATCATCATCCGCCCATCTGGCCTCTGCCACCTTCCATTTTAGCCGCACGCGGCACCAACCACCCACCTTGTCCTCGGCTCCGCTCTAGCCAAGACGAGGGTTTTGCTTTCACTGCCACAGCTTTGCTCGCGCTCACGCTCCATGGATACCTAATTATACTCCCTTTTCATCATCGTACGATCGAGCTCCCTCCTCGATCGACACTCACCTATCAGAAGGGTCCGTGTTCGACATTCCTTTCGGCCGTCGCACTGGCGCAACATCACCCGACCACGGTCCGTTCGGAGAAGCAAGAACGAGCCGCTATCATTTCGGGTGAGTCACCAAGAGACGCGCGAAAGGCCCATTCCGAAGCCGCAATGAGGCGTTGGCTCTTTAATTTGGCTATGTCCGTGTGTCGGCTTGTAATAAAGTGAAAGCCACCACTCCTCTGCGACATCGTCCTGGATTGCCAGCCCATCGAGCTACAGGGATAGCAATCGTGGATATGTTGCTGCTTACTGCGCTGAGAGCAATTAAGTGAGCGAGGGGGTTCCCGTGCTTTCATTCCGTGCAGTCCGTCTGCCGTCTAGGCTGAAGCGGCGTCGTCTAGGACATCGATTTCGCCATTAGTCGAGTGGCTTGTACGCTGACCCCTTCACCTTTCATCAATCTTTAGCCACTAGGATCGCAGTTCAGCAAGCATCTGATCATAGTCAAGCAGGCACGAGTCACTAGTGCTGCTTATCTCTGCGACTCATCACATTTTACTCTTCCTCCACCCATCGACCTCCTCTCGGCAGGCAAGATTCTACCCATTCGAGGTTTTTTTGACGCGTTTTGACCCAAAAGTTCGTATCTGCTGTACTCGCGACTGCTGGGGAGTTCCTACATAGCGCGAACCAGCTTGTGCATGCTGCAAGGACAATTATTGACCGCTCGCTGCTGCTTTTGGCCAGCCTGCTATAGCAGCATTCGTGGTTGACAGCAGCAGCTGCGCACGGAACTCTGCACGCGCACGCTCAAATTGCGATTCGTTGCGCTGCATCTGCCAGCATCGCAGCAGCAGCTGCAGCAGCTTTGCATGCATCGATCGCGATCTTCAACAAGTCGCATCTTGGCGCGCTTTCCGCGCTGATCTGCCTTATCGCTTGCGCGCGCGTCTATACGTGCGGCGCCTCACCCCTGCGCATCCGCTTGTCTCGGTTTCCTGCACTCATAAGCACATCGGCATCTGGCGCGTACTACTAGCGGACCATTTGCCCCAAAAACCTGGCGCTTTGCCTTGCCGCAACGGTTCATTCGCGCCGCTCGCCTTTGCAGCAGACTGTCTGCCTGCCGCCTGCCGCCTGCCGCCTGCCGCCTGCCGCTCGCACTCGCACTCGCCCTTCGCTTGGCTTGGCTCGTTGCTGCTATAGCCTGCTGCCGCTGGCTGCAGACATCAGCCAACTTTGCCCAGGGCGCGCCTGCCTTATTTGCAGCGCCGCCATTTACGATCGAGCGCAGGCACTTGCAGTTATTGCTCCTGCGCATGCAGCGCAGAGGCCTCAAGGTGGTGAGATCGCATCACACGTCGCTGCAACTATTTCGGCGCGCGACCGCCGACCGGCCGACCGCTTTGGGTGGAACTCAAACGCCCTCGTCCGTTCGCTCGCGCCCCCCAACCGCACATCCTCGCCCTTGCGCCCGTACCTGACTTCCTTCGCTACTCTCACACCACTCGAGTCAACCCCTCGCGTTGATCGGGAGTGGGTGCGCACCTCTATAGAACAACGAGGTAGAGGTCCCTTCAAGATCCACGATTTGGCGGCCCACCAAGCTTGGGAATGATTTCGGTGTCACCCACGCTACAAGCAGGCACGACGGCGGTGTTCGAACACGGTCACCTGCTACAACCCTCTTTTGGCAGGACGACATACAAAGGCAGTGGTGCGACTGCAGCATCATCATCATCATCATCAGCACCTAGAGTGAATATCAGCATGACGTCTGCCACAGCGAGTCCTCGACCACGGCACCACTCCCGCAGCTTCTCCAGCGATGCGGAGCACTTTCCCGTCGCCACGAGCTCGCGATCACCTTCCGCCATCTCCTCCAACGCTCTCCCAAGGCGCGCGCGCAGTGGCACCTCCTCTCCTAGTCCTCCGATGTCTGGTGCTAATAGCCCCAGAAGACTGTCAAATTCAAGCACCTCGCCCGACTCGATCGCATCGACCACTGGGACCTTCTCCGAAAGTTCGAGTGTTGCGAGCAGCCTCAGCCACACTTCCAGTACCTCAAGCATTGCAACGCTGGACCGCCATGAGCGCTCGAACGCTTCGGACGCCTCTCAGCCATCCCGGAAACGATCACCGAACGGCGACACTAACGCAAATTCGGCGTCTGCTTCCGACGCTGCCGCGTTGGAGAGGCTGCGGCAAGCACAAGCGAACCGGCGTCCAAAAATGTTGCGGCTCACACCAGCCTACTCTAGCCTGCCATCGCGTACCGCGAGGTCGCCACTCACAGTTGAGTTGGCCTCGCCGGCCTCCTCATCCTCATCGACTCCAACTCCGAGATCAGTCTCAGATGGAACACCCCAGGTGCAAGCGCTCGCTTTCCCCAGCAAAGGCGCTCGCACAATTGTCGATCCTCCGAAGAGCGCGCCCCTGCATCCATCCTCCCGCAAAGCTTTGGCGATGAAGGCTGCGGCGCCAGAGATCGAGTCGCCAGGTCTTCAGCTGGATCTGAGCCATCTGCCAAGTCCTTCATTGCGCGATCTGCATGGAGCGACTACTTCTCGTATCCCCGACGAAGCACCGCGTGATAGGAATGGAAACCCGCTCAAATCGAGTCTAAAGTCTCCAGGTGCATCTCTGTTCCTGGCACCGAGGGCAGATAGCACACCGTCACTGCCTGCTTCGAAGTACAGAAGTGCGCAAAGTGTGCCATCCACACCCACCGTCAAGGCAGTGCACTTCGACCCTCAATTAGAGCGGGTCAAGGTGTTCAAGTTCAAACAGCGACCGACCGCCGTCTCTCGTGATGGTAGCCCGGAACACACAGAAACTGAGACCGAAGAGGAGCGGGACTCGATGCCCTATGTTCAATACGGACGTCACCGTGGCCACAGCTCGCCAGAGCCAAGTCAGCTGCAATTTGGCGACCGAACACATTTCAGCTCTATGCCTGCACAACCTGCAGAGGCCGAGGAGCAGCTGATCCTGCGGCTGCCCAATTTTCCGTCGTCTACCCGGCTCTCCACCGATCGCGAAGTCTTTTTGGAGCGCATCTTCTTGGCGGATGACCTCAGGTCCGTGAAGGGGACAGTACAGGTGCGCAACATGTCGTTTGAGAAATGGGTGGCTGTTCGATTCACGCTGGACAAATGGGCTACGGTGAATGAAGTATCGGCAGAGTATGCCGAGAGCATTAAGGGCGGGACCGCAGACCGATTCGGTTTCTCCATTAAGCTCAACGAGCTCCTCAGTTGGCCGCGCGGTGCAGCGTCTCACGAGACCAAGAGCATGTACCTCTGCCTCCGCTACACCGTTACCGGTCAGGAGTTTTGGGACAATAATGACGGACTCAATTATCAGCTCGACTTCCGCAAACGTATGGCTCCTTCGACTCCGGTCAGCACACCAGCGGCAGTGCCATCTGCGCCTGCGATTGTGCCCGCCATGTCAAGCGACCCTGGATCTCGCATGCGGCTTGGGAACAGGAACTCATCCTTGTCTGCTGTTCCGCAGAGTACGAACAAGACACGTGTATTCGAGCTGGCACGCAGAGGTGTTGGCACTTCGAAGGGTGGCTTCGCGATGGAAGACCTTCGTAGAGAGCTCGACAGGCTCAAGTCGGACGAAGAGGAGGAAGAACGGTTCTCAGCAAGTGTTGCCGGCGGTAGGGACGGTGCTTCTTCGCCCACCCCGAACCCCCGCCACGCGAGCATGCGCAAATTCTCACCTCCCGCATCACCAGGGCAGCGCAGCAGCTCCCCTTCGATGTGGACGAGTCGTTACGACTTTGGCCAGAGCTTGCGCGATGTGCAGATCGGCGGTCGTCCTGCGCAGCGCGACCGGGCTTCGGCGCTTGATTACTTCTCAGCCAAACCAAGTCCTCGCACTCCGACTCCCAGCGATTACCACTCCGCTGGCCCAGTCGGTGCTGAAACGCCAACTCAGTCTAGCCATCGCCTCGCAGCTTCTATTGATAGCTCCACCGGCAAGTCCTTCGTCGCAAACGTGTCTTCTCCCAATGGCCGCGTTAGCATCGCTAGTACCCCGGCAGACTCTCCAGACTTCTCGCACAAGTTTGGCATGATCTCCCCTGGACTCGAGCATCACGTGGAGCATCAGCCCTTCCTTTCGACCGCTTCCCCATCGCCCACGCGTGCCTCTCCGCCTACTCCATTGGCAACTATGTATGAGGAGCCGCTTGGGGACGATAGGTTCTACACCTTTCCCCGGAGGCGCTCCCCAAAGCCTAGTCCTGGCTTGTCTCCGCTTGGTGCTGTTGGGCGAGTCTTTTTCGAGGGTTCGGGCATGCTTGGCAACGGTGTCAAATCACCCGCTCCATCAGCGATTCGCACCCCAAGTCCCCCGTACGTTGATGAGTACAATAAAGGTCGCCTGGACAAGGCAGCTGAGCACACCAGTGAGCTGTCAAGCTCGAGTCAAGGCCTGATCGTGGATGACTTTGGCAGTCCCTCGTCCTCACCTTCTTCGCCGACTTATAGCGACGTCGGTACCTCCTTTGCTACGCCAGCGGATTCGATCACCAGCATATCGTCCAACGAAGGGGAATTGACGGTCTCGGCTTCCCGTGACAATCGCGCCCCCCGCTACATTGCCGGCCAGCCCAGCTTAGCGGGCGGCCAGACGAAGAAGAGCGCCATCGACTCATCGCCTCGAGGCTCCGTGTCTTCGCTAGGGTCGGAAGGCGGGTCAGAGGGTGCTTTGCGACCATCCTCAATTAGCAGTATGGACGAGCTTATTGCCAGGTACTGCTGGAATGCGGAGCTCGTGCCTAGCGGTGGCTCCTTGATCCCCACTATGGGCACAGATGCTGGATCTTTAGGCTCGCCTTCGACTCCCAGAGCACCGAGCGCAACCGCCAGCGGGGCAACGACGCCAACCCTTGCCTGACCGCATGGATAGCTTCTCCGCTCCACCGCGAGCTATGTTATGAAATCTCACCTTCTTGACTGCACCTACCCGCTCTCGAATCGAAGCGAGAGCATCACATCGGAGGCGAGTCTTGACTCGGCAATATTCTCCACCTCTATATACTACTGCGCTGCATCGATAGAAGTCACTATCAGACACTCAGCACTCCTCTCTCCTTGCTGCTTACGTCTGGTTTACGAGCCGTTCCCGCCCTTCTTTTTGTTCTCATCTTTTTCGAGATTGGATGTCAGCATAGCAAAGACAAAGCAAAGAATCCACAAAGTCATCACTTCTTATAACGATTCACATATTCGAACGTTGCCGCGATTTCATCCATCACGATGCTCATTTTCATGAGTATGCCTGTTAACATAGCAGAGAGCCTTTGCCTCGGAATCTTGATGTGCGATCGACCCATCTTTGCGTCTGCTCCGAGTTGGGCCGTCCGGCCAGTCGCTTATACTCTCGCACATCTGTGACTCATTAGAGATACAAGCAGGCGATGCAGATCTTCCACTCCTCGTATGTGAGCATGCTAATTGTCTCGCCATTCCGCCAGGGCTCTCCACGCAATCGAGCCAAGCAGGGGCGGACTATCTTCGCAGTGAAGCCTTTGCGCATGTTTTGAGAGCAAGTTATCATTGGCTCCATGAGCTCTACATGCTGTTATACAAGATACATGTATCGTACAAGCCGAGACTAGGCAGACGAGGAGGGAGACTCGGCTCCGTGGGCGGTATGGGCGTGGAACTCTTGTCTCGCCATGGTGGACGCTGCAGCAGCAGATCCAAACGTCTCGACTGAGCGAATGATACCGGAACCGACGACAGCATCTCCGTCGTACATGGCGCAGACCTGACCGGGAGCAACGGCTAAAATCGGTCGATCGAAAGAGACCCTGCAAGTGGAGCCAAAGGGCGACGACTGATCACTGATGTGGTCCGAGTCGTGCGTGACTTTGGCCGGAACTGCATCCGCCCTGTATCGGACCTGAGCCGAAATCTGTTTGTGCTGCGTGGAAGCGTGCCAAGTGATTGCTCCCACGTTGACACTGATGGCCCACAGAGCCGGGTGCTCTTGCCCAGCAACGACGCTGATGGAGTTGGTCTTGACATCCTTCGAGCTGACAAACCAAGCCTTCTTTGCGCCGGGAAGACGAGCGCGCTGACCGATCGTGAGCGTGTGTAGCCCCGCGTGACTTCCGAGTCGAGTCCCATCCGGTGAGAGGATTGGGCCGGGCGAGGGCGTTAGGTAAGACGCTGTCGAAGGCACACATTGTCAGCGTGATGCGTCTTCGACACGCCGCATCCTGGGCGCAAGACGCTTACAAATGAAGGAAGCAAAAGCGCGCTCTTGGAGCTTGGTACTGTGCACACGACTCGCCATGCGTCTTGCAAGGTCATGATTGTCTCCCTGTCGAGGTTGCTTTCGTCTCGTTCCCACGAAGCAAAGCCCCATGCTCTCCTCTTGTTCTGCAGCTGGCAGCCTGTGCTTCCTAGCGAGCTCCCTGACCCGACTCTTCTCAAGCTGACTCAGCGGTAGGTGCACTTTCGAGAGCGCGCTTCGTGAAACAGAGGAGAGAAAGTAGGACTGGTCCTTTGTCTTGTCTCGAGCTCTTCGAAGAGCAGCTGAATACCCATCCGGACTGTAGATCAGACCCGCATAGTGTCCGGTCACGAGCCAGGTCTTGCGTGGTCGGCGTCCATACTCTGCTTTCTCCCCGACAGCGAAGCTGCCTGATGCAGATTGCGAGGCGCTCCCGCACAGTACCCGATCCAGCAACGCTCCGAATTTGATCTCGCGATTGCATGCCACGTCTGGATTAGGCGTCTCGCCCCGTTGCCACACCTCCAAGGCCGGCGCAAAAACGCTGAGCCAGTACTGCGTTGACAGGTCGATCTGTTGATTGCAAGGAACGTGCTACCATCAGCACATACTCCGACCAATCGCCCACCTCTGTTGTTCAACATTTATAGTGACGCACTAGCTGAGCATCTTCCTCTTTTAGCCCGAGGGCGACGCAAGTCCGCTTGACACGCTTCCAATCTTCAAGCCAGGAGCAGCCCTCTTTGCCACCTGCTCCAGGCTCGAACGCTTCGCCTTCGTCGAGATCGTTCCAGTTGCGCATGAACAAAGGCGAAGGCTGCAACCCCTGCTGGATGGCCAACAGTGCAGCTACGGACGAATCTACCCCTCCAGACATGGCCAGGTAGGCCAAATCTCCCTTCTGGGGACCCGGACGAGAGTCATTGAGGTCGAAGAGCGGTGGAAGAGTAGATTTGGTTGCGATCCGCCGATGTTGCTGACCTTTGCAGCTGCATCGGTGAAGTGGCAATGCTGCTGCGTACCGACGTGGGGTCTGCCTCCACCAAGAGGTCGACGTCGCAGCGCTCCCTCCCGTTGCTCTTGCTGACCGGACAAGGCTTGGAGTGGACATGACGGCACGATCGCCGTAACTGCCGCAGACTGATCACTGCGTCAGGCTTCCTTGACAATGTCTAGAGTCGCTGCTGCTGGTTGTGAGGGAGCTAAACACAATGAAGTCGTCAGCTAGCGCATTCCCTTGCCGCTCAAGCTCACACAGGGACACCCGTCCATCAACGAAAATTCAAGTTGAAATTCAAGATCGTTAATTTGAGGCTCATCAGATTAAAATTGCTGAATATTGTCCTTTGTGCACGTGATGTAATTGCCTGCATATATCGGCGCGTGTGCGGCACGCATATCGATGACGCCGGCGCGTGAGAGCTCGATCAGCATCAGCTACAGGCTATCACGCAGGCACGCGCCCAGCACGGGCGTCAGCAGCACAGCAGAACGACACTTGGACTCCCGACTCGCATCACTCGACTCGACTCGATCACCGTCACGGTGCATACATACGGCAATCGTGTATCGTACACAGACACGCACCAGTCAGATCCAGAACGCAACAGCTGCAACAACTCGACGAGATTGCCTTGCCACACTCACTCTTGTTGGCTCATCCTCAATCCCTGCTCTCCATACACAAGGATTCTTCATCTACTGAACAGTATCATTATCGTCGCTGGACGGTCACACCTCGACAGACCCTGCGGCCCTCTTTCTTGCCCATCACCATCGTAGCATCAGTATTCGTCACCACCAGAGCGATCCCAAAGCGCAGAGGGCCCCCTCCTCACTCATTTCTCCCTTGCTGGCACTCTTAAGTCGTCATCGAGAAGCTTCAGACTTGGGCATCGACCTCTAGCAGGTCCCTCATAGAGCGCGCGGGGCGCTGCCAAGCGCATCCCCATTGCAATGCCAGTCCTTCAATCCTCAGCGATCGCAGGTGCCTGTGCAGGTCTGGTGTCAAGCATCGTCACGTGCCCATTGGACGTAGTCAAGACTCGTCTACAGGCTCAAGGTGCTCTTCCCACGCCCGGTCCGCCTCCAAGCTCGAGCACTGGCGCGGGACAGCCTTCAATCCCCAAGAACGCTGGACGGGTCGCAACCCATGGCGCTTATCCGAGAAGCGCTGATGCCGGCGCTTCTAAAGCAAAGTCGGAGCTCGACCTCGCGGCATCTAGAAATCCCGATGGTGCTGGCGGCAGTGCGGCAACCCGAATGGGTGGCCCTCATGCTGCCACACAGACACACCCTCTGAAGCTCAGCGAGCTTCGACTGCAGGTAGAGGAGAGGAACAAGTCTGAATTGGAGAGGCAGAGAGCAGCGGAAAAGAGGTACAGAGGACTGTCCGGTGAGTCGAGCGCCTGTTCGAAGCAATGACTGCCGCTACAACAGTGTCCAAAGAAACCGCAGGGAGAGGTGGGATGCCAAGGGAAAAGCTAGCACTCAAGGTCAGAGACTGGCTATGGCAGCCATGCTCCAGATTATTGGCTGCCTCCATGTTCTCGCGCCGGCGATGGGTCATTAGACTGCTTTCCTCCTCGCGTCGCTTTGGCTGCTCTCATGATACTGACAACAGTTGCAATGCCTATCACCCCGTAGCGACCGTTCGGAGGATATGGCAGACGGACGGATTGCGAGGCTTCTACAGAGGTCTTGGGCCCACCATATTCGGCTATTTGCCCACTTGGGCGATCTACTTCACCGTGTATGATGGCTGCAAAGACTTTCTGAGTCGTCGCAAGCAAGGAGGTGCGTGCTTAAGGTGGTCTTACGCGAGGTCCGCACACCGAGAAGGCCCGCACTGCTGACGCAACTCTTTATTGTTCGGGCTCAGAGCACGAGGACGACTTTCTCAACCACATCCTCAGTGCGATGACGGCGGGTGCTGCCTCTACTTGCGCCACATCGCCTCTTTGGGTCGTCAAAACTCGCTTCATGCTTCAGTCATCCTCTTCCACAGATGGCGTGAGGCGGTATAGACATACAGGCGATGCCTTCGTACAAATTTGGAAGACCGAAGGAATCAGGGGCTTCTATGCTGGACTGTTGCCCAGTCTGTTCGGGGTCAGTCATGTCGCAGTACAATTTCCGCTCTATGAGAGCTTCAAGGCGTGGAGTCGTGAGTAAGACGTCAGAACGGGCTCCCTAGCTCGAACAAGTGCAACCCAGCATGCTGAATGTAGACCCGCACATACACTTAGGGAATCATTGGCAAACGGACGAGCTCCAACCCAGCATCATCTTGACGTGCTCGAGTGGAGCCAAGATGATCGCTAGTGTCCTGACCTACCCGCACGAGGTCTTGAGAACACGTCTACAGATGCAGCCTCGAGTGGCAGCGGCAGCGGCAGCCGCCGCTGCAGCCGGGGAAGGCAATCACGCGGCGCCGAGTCATCTTTCACTCTCGCAAGTGCAGCAAAGCGCTGCAGCCGCAAATGCAGGTGGGGCCCGGCGAACCTTGTCTACGCTGGTTTCTGCTCCTAGAGGAAGGTCTGGGGGAACCGCTGTCACATCTGCGCATTTAGGTAACGCGCGGCGCATCTCCAATATGGGCAACAGAGGTCATGGAGGAAAGTACAAGGGGGTCTTGCACGCCTGCGCAATCATTGCTAGGGAGGAAGGTGTTAGAGGATTCTACAGGGGAATGGGTGTGAATTTGGTGCGGACCGTGCCCAGCTCTGCTCTGACCATCTTGACGTGAGTACTCACAAGTACGACGTCGACAATCGTTGCTGTGCAGCCGCTGATCCACTTCTCTCTTTGCGTGCGTCTTTGTCCAGTTACGAGGTCATGATGCAGCACCTCACCGCTAGCCCTGATGGTGATGATCACTACGAAGGTGAAGACGGGCAGCCCGACGCAGTCTCGGACGACCAGTCGCGCTCGTAAAAGGCATGTTGAGGACAGGAATGCCCAGCCATTCTGCTCGACGCTAAGCCACCAAACAAGTTCGCCAGCCGTTGGTTCGCCTTAGCACTCATCGTGATGCAATTTGCGAGGTGCATCTATAGCCTCGATGAGCAGCATAATCAGTCTCGAAGGTGCGAGCTTCGTGCGAGCCACTTTTACCAGCGTTCTGATGGGGCACCGAATATGCATTTGCTTCCCACCGAGTCTGCACTCGAACAGCACTGTCCCTTTCACCCGCTTCGCAAGCCTTCATTTTGCACAATGTTACATAGCATAGATACCAGCGTGTCTGGTGTGGATCTGGCGCGGAACGGTGAACGCTGAACGCTGAACGCTGAGCTGACAAGGATCACCGCAGGCGTTGCAGAGCATGTGAGCTGAGTAAGCAAGGATCAATGTGGTGCGCCTTGGCGACTGAGTGCCATGTACATGTACAGGGTGAGCAAGTGCTTGCAACGCGATTTCGATAAGACGAGCACGGCGGCGTTTGAGTAGGCTTTCATCCTTCTTCGCAAGTGACGAGCGATGTTCAGGAGCTCCTCCTCTTCTTGCTCTGCTCCTTCTTCGAGCTGTCAGCCTCCTCCTTGCGTTTGGCGGTTTTGGCTCCCACCGCATCCTTGCTTGCAGCGGAGGCTTTTGTGGGCACAGCGGCCGCTCTCTTCGCTGCTTTGACTGGTGCAGCGACAGCCTCTTCCTCCCCCTCTTCCGCATCATCATCGCCAGAGTCCTCATGATCCTCCTCCTCCTCCTCCTCGTCTTCTTCTTCATCATCATCATCCTCATCGCTCGCTTCCGCAGTCTCCTCATCGACTGGAACTTCCTTCGCGCCGACCCATAGATCCTTCAAGTCGCAATTCCAAACAGGCAACGAGACGCTCTTGGCGGTCTTGACCTCGAGCGACTTGAGATTCTCCCAACCGCCTTCGACTCTGCTAACAATCTTTGGCAAAGCTGCGCTGAATTGATCGACCAACTGTTCAGCACTGAGGTGAGAAAGTGTGCCTAACCGCACCGAGCTGAATGCCGCACGACGCAAGAATTGTGCGTCAGACAAGAATGGATGCGGTGAGGTGAGCTTGGAAGACTTACACGCAACAGCCCTTATTGGCTGCATATTGGGTCGAGTTAAGCACCGCATTCAGCTCCTTGTCCAGTCTTCCGTTCTCTGGCCGCGTGATGTCCACAGGATGCGGTTGTCTGCCAGAAGCACGCGCGGGGCGAGTCAGCATGGGAATTGTGTTTCCAAGCACCTCGCTCTAGTGTACACCCATATGCGATGAGAGGGTGGATCGCTCTTCCCATTGACATCAACTTACTTTTTGCTTTCCAACCACTTCTTGCCCAGCAGCTTGGGCAACATTCTCAATATCCTCTCGTCGGCCAAAAAGATGTCGTAGCTGTTCATCAACTGCCTTCGCGCCTCGTACGGAGAGAACTTGCCCTTCAGCTTGGAAACGTCGACTACTCGGTGGATGCTTTTGATTTTGTTCGCGATGAGCAAGTCTTTGGTCGCTCGTTGTGGATCTTTGACCAGAAGTAGCACTTCGCTGGTGGGAGCGTGTGGAGAGTGCGGCAGCGGACTGCGACGAGGATGAGGTGTGATGCGATAAGGTCAGCGCATTCCCTTCAGACTTTGCATGTCTGCTCTGCTGCGACTCACATTCTGTAAGGCTTGACTTTTCTCGTCGGGCTCAACCGCTTGACATTGACCTGCAGGAAGAGCACCTCATCCGCTGCCGAACCACCTTCGAGAGGCAACTGGCTCTTGCCTCCGGAAGCACTGCTGCTTTTCCACTTGAGATTCTGCTTTTCCAGAGCCTGCATCGCCTTGAGACATTGCGAGCGGGACACTCTGCCTAGGAGTTTGTCCGGATCAGAAGACTTTTCGGGAAGCGACGAGGTGAGAGGAGCTGATGGTGCGGTCTTGAGGTTGGATGCTGGGAGCGCCTTGCTCGGTCGCCCGGATGAGCCTTTCGAGGCTGCCTTGGTGCCCGCCATGATGATCTGGACAGCGGTTGATGCTGTATGGTGGGATGTATGCGAACTGCGTACGATCTTCACGAGTCTCAAAGAACCACGGGGTCGAGAGTGGGAAGTGAGCGCAGCCAAGGAGTCGATCTTACAAGACGCAGCAGCGGGCGCTTGATCGACTGCAGTCACTGGATTTTGTGATTTACGATCCCACTCCGATCTTCAAATTTCCCCCTCGAAAATTCCAAAAGCCCGCCAAGGATAGACATCACGTGAGGCACTATTCTCTGACGATTCGTACGAGAGCGGAGGCGTCGCAACCCCTGAGAGCGAAATCAGACGCTGCGACACGGAGACTCTCGCGTCCCGGCGGTCTCGTTCGCAGCACGCGCGCGCGTGCAAAGCAGTGCGCGCTATGTAATGCTTAGTCTATTCGACAGTGAGTGGATGATCATCACTCCACCCTCCCCTCCCTCTACCTCTGCACTCAGCTCCATCGAAGTGTTCCTTACGACCCATCACGCCTCTCCACATTCACGACTGTCACGCTTTCACGAAATTTCGCGAACGAAACAATTATCACGATTACGAGACACTGCGCAATCGGAGCATCCGCATCGCGTGCAACCGGGTACACGCCAAGTACGAGGAGAACACCTCAGCATTCCCAACCAGCTCGTCCGGCTCCCTCTGTTCACAACGGTATGCGTCTGACCGTCTCGACACTGTTCGCAGCCAGCTGCATGGCTGTGCTGCAATCCCAAAGCAATGCCGCACCGCTGCCTGGTCAAGCGGCTGTCGCCGCACCTATTCCAGGTCACTCGTCCGGTCCCACGCCGGGCTCAGCGTTCGTGAGACCTAAAGCCACCGCCCTTGCCTCTGCACGCACGGCTCCTACCGCCGCACCGCGCCCAGCAAACCTCAATGACGAGGCTGGTCTTACCCCGGACGATTTGTACGATTTTTGGAGAGTTGCCAATGTGGACGAGATCTCTGAGGGTGGCTCAGCACCGAGCAGCGGCAGAATCAGCGGCATGAAGGAGCTGCAATACATTTTGCAGCTGGACAACAAGCGGTGGACCTCAGAGCTCGACATGATCGACCTAGAGCAGCACCCTAAGCTGCAAAAGAGATCTCCGACGCCCGTAGCTCAAGCCAATCAGGATCAACCAACCGTGCCGCTCTCCACCCTGCCTTCCCCAACCTTTCCGGCAAACATTCCGAGCTGTCCGAAATGTCAGGAAAAGTATTCGAGTCTGAGCTCCTGCATGCAGGCCAGCTCCGTCTTTGAGAATTCTACCAATATCTTCAACAGCCCATGGGACTACATTTCCGTCATCAAATGCGCCTGCACCGACACTTTCCAGGCCGTCTATCCCCAGTGTGTGTGAGTAGGCAGCGTGCAGCATAGGCGCAGGCTGGGTTCTGCAAGCAAGCAAGAGGGAAGGAAAGACACTCAAGTCGTGTCCAGCGAATCGCTGGCAACGTGAGCTCCTTCAAGCGACGTAAGCCTCATACTGACACCCTTTTCCAACTTCGATCCTTTCTTGCGCCCTTGCAGTGACTGCTTGTGAGTAACAGCTCCTTGATCAAGTACTTCAGAGTTCACAGTGGTGCTGTTGCCATGTTACGAGCTCCTTGACTCATGGCTGCGAAGGACAAGCAAGCAAGCCCAAATGTCTAACGTCGTTTCCGCCTTTCCCTGATGCGTCGTCTCGCGATCCCTCGATCTGTCAGTCAAAACACCAACCGTGAGTCGCACATGCTCCCGCTTACAGACTAGCGGCGGTGCTGAACTGCGCTTGACGCCTTTTCGCCATGTCGCCCTGCAGAATGCTGGTGGCTGGGGACAGACCCGGAAGGGACTGGCGCGCCTCAGATCGTGACCAACATGAGGTCCTTGTGCGGATTGGGAAGCGCGTTGTTGGGCGGCGTGGCCAGCGCCAACAACATCTCCGCCGTCTCCTCCAGCAGGACCTTTAGCGCAGTGACTACGTGAGTGTTCAAATTACGCGCGACTTGTCGACAAGACCAAACGATTGCGCTGACACGCACGCAATGCGCGAGATGCAGTGGTGCTGGCTACGATACGGACCAGACGACCGGTTCATTGTTTGGTAATTCGGCATTTTCGCAGACAAGAATCGTGCCCATGCTAGCATTCAACCTCGTCGCTTTCATCCTCGGAGCTGCACTCTTGCTGTGATTCAGGTTTCGTCTGCCCCTCTCGTTGTTGTTTCTTCCAAACGGACAGTCGAAAGCGCTTATCTGCATTTTCTTCACAGGGCCAGCGGTGTCCAGGCTGCACGTTGGGGCCCTTCCCGCTTCATATACCTTAATAGGAATCTTTTGTACTTGTCTCGTTCACACGCATACTCTTTCTTAGCGTGCCTTTTGCCACAAAGACATGCGCTGCAAATACTTATTGTCTACTCGAGGGGTCGACAGACCTTGCGAATGGTATGCTGTGATTCTCGACGGCCATGTCCGAGATGCTTGCGATCGAAATGTACCAAGGTGATGTGGGCGACGACGACGTTCGCGATGCAGCATGCTAACTTCCGATGGTAACGTTGACAATTTCTGCAAACCGACACGACATGAGCTGTGTTCAGAGCGGGAGAGGAGCGGCTCTACGTCGGACATCAAACACTCACTGATGTCGTCCCTAGGCTTGTCGCTCTTGTCGGTCTTGACATTCTCAATGGCGTGTATCACGTCCAAGCCTGCTACGCATCTGCCAAAGACGGTGTGCTTGTTGTCCAGCCAAGGAGTGGGAACGGTAGTGATGAAGAATTGTGACCCTGTGCGCACAGTAGCAAGCGAGCGTGAGTGCCCCGCGCACAGCCTGCTATTTCCAAGCACCGGTCTGCGCACGTACCATTTGTGTTTGGCCCAGCGTTGGCCATGCTCAGCGTGTAGGGCCTATCGTGCCTCAGCTCCTTGACAAATTGATCCTCAAACTCCTTGCCCCACAGGCTCTCTCCTCCGGTTCCGTCCCCCAATGGATCGCCAGTCTGCAGCATGAACTTCTTGATGATCCTGTGAAATATGACGCCGTCGTAATAACCTTTTCTAGCCAAGCCAACAAAGTTTTCCACCGTCTTGGCGACCTGCTGGTCAAAAAGACGGAGATGTATGTCACCCATCGTTGTGTGCAGCACGGCGGTGGAGGCCACCTTGCTGCGTGACGCTTTGCCTTGCTGGGCCGCCGCTATCGTCTGTTCTTCCCGCGTCGGCTTCTCGTTGATCACGTCTCGATCAGCTCCGCTTCGGGATCGAGGATCACTATGGTGCAGCAAAGCAGACACGCATCAATGCATAAGCTGGCTACTCAGGTCGAGAGGTATCAAAACTCCAGTCTGCTCACCTCTCCGGCTCGTTTCGTGTGAAGAGGTAGAACCGAGCACGCTTGAATGCCGTGCAGAAAAGTGTGGGATCCAAGACATCCTTCTCATTTGCAAGTGGATTATCAGAAGCAGCCAGGGCCTAATGTGTGGAGACAGGCAAAAGAAGAGCGACGTTTTCAGCGCTTTGGGGATCCTGATACGGCAGCCCATGGCAACTCACGATGCTCTTCGGCGCCTTTTGCTTTGCGATGCCCTGAAAAAGCGCAATGTTGGTGAAGCGCATCGTTTCGTCTTTGCCAAGGATCATGACCACATCGTTGCTGAGTATGTTGACGACTGCGAAGAGAGTGATGCAACATAAGACTTGATTTCGACGGGATGGGAGTCCAGCAACGCTTTTTCACTCACCTTTGATACCCAACATGCTGGGGTATACTAAGAAGTTGCCACTTTCATCAAATGCTGCGCTAGCTGTACACGCCCCACTAGCAGCCTTGACAGCATCGCCAAGGGCATCGGCACAGCTAGCATCGATATCACGTTCCAAAGCTAAACGCCTTCCGAACTGCATATCGTCCAATCTATCAGGTCCGTCCCCATTTGCTTGCCGTTCTTGCTGAGCGGCCAAAGATTCGTCGTACTTCTGCAGCAGCTTGCCGCTTGCAAAGTCGAATAGACGCACTTGGCGATCTGCCGGAGAGAGCGTGATGAAGCGGGAAAAGTCGGGCGAAAATGTCAGAGTCGCAGGCACAGACTTGGACTGTGGCCCAAGAGGCATGTCCAGATCAGCTGCGAATCCTCACGTCGTGCAAGAGCAGCACGGTAACGGTCACTCACCTTTTTGAAGTCAAACAAATCTGTTTGACTCTTGTACTGCCACAAACTCGAATGCTTGGGGAGCGAGTACGGTTCCTTGGGGCTCCAGTATTCGACCATGCCAGAGGTGTCTGAGGATACTATGCAATCGTACAGCTCATTGTACTGTTTCACCGCAACGGACACCTATGAGCCAAGGCGAGATTCATGCGTGGAGAAAGACGCAGACTCACGGCCAAGAGATGTACAGGTGCACGATGAACGCCTGTCGCCTCTGCTGACGGTGTCCCTTCACCTCTTCCGTCGTAGAATCGAACAGTGCTGGAGCCCTCCTCCGCTCTGCAATGAGCCAGCGGAAGGATCACGTCAGCTTCTGCTTCGCGTCAAGCGCGAAGCGCGCCGAATACCCTCACTCACACTGCCAACAATGTGCCAGCTCGACCTCCTTTGTGAACCCAAGCGCAGGCGCGCGGCACGTAGGGCAGCTGGAGCATGTTGATGAGGTCTGAAAGTGCACAGTCGTTCGGGGCAGCCAGGCATGCATCAGCTCCTTTTCCCATCCTTCTATGCTTCTTTCTGGCCTCAGACTCACCGAAATTTTGTACATCAAATACCTTGATGCTCCCATCGCTCGCAGCCGTGGCGAAGAGGTTGCCATCCGAGCTGGCGCTCACGGCCACGACGGGTGCCAAGTGAGCTCTGTAGTGTTTGACGAATTCGATTCCCTGTTCCTGCTTCTTCCAGAACTTCACATGTCCATCCACCGAGCTCGTGATCAGAAAGTTGGTGTTGCGCGTGACGGTGACAAAGTTGACCACATCTCGGTGCATCAGAGACTTGTAATACCTTTCGGCATTCGGCAGGTTGCTGAGGTACAGCGTTTCGTGCTGCAGCACCTTGCGCTTCTTGCGAGCCGCCGCCGCCTCTGGAGCTTTCTCTTCATCTCCATTCCCTCCATCCTGCGCTGCATGCCCAGACGTGGCGGAGTCTCGTTCGTCTGACAAGGACTCCCTCCGTCTTTCCCGCTTCTTCTCCACTGCGGAAGCCATTTGGTAAGGCAACGATGGCTAGCGCAGGACCTCGCTGGGATGGAGTGCAATCCAAAGTGAAGGAAGAGCGTTGCGTGCGTTGCGGTCAGTGGAGGTGTAGACTCTGAATAGAATCGCAGACGCTGCGAAAACCCGAGGATGGGCAAGCAAGGGGTTGGACCTCAGATGCCTGGATAGACGCGGGCTTTCAAGCGTGTGGAGATCCACAATCGCGAATCACGAATGTGAGTGGTGAATGCAGCTTCAGAAGAACGCGGCTCATCTTGGTATTTCTCGTGCGATTCAAGGGCGCACATGACCGCGCATGCAGGCGCGCTTCACTTCTGTTGCGACGAAGCACGTCTTCCAAAGCTCGCGCCACAGACATTAAGGAGCGGGGGGAGAGGATAGCTCTTCATTCGTCAGTGATGATGTAGAACAAAGCGAAGTGTTGTATCTATCCTGAAGAGAAAGTACTAATGCAAAGAGAGAGAGAGCGTATAGGCAGCGAATGAAGGTGTTGGTATATATCAATGAGAGGAAACATGCTGTACGACTACACGATATTTTCAAGCCATTTCCACAGCGACCGGCTCGTATCCGGCACCATCTGTTCGCCGAGTCCTCAGCTGATTGACGCGCGCAAAGACGTACTGCACTGGGCTGGTCGCAAACTCCCATGCGCCAGGAGGAATCGAGGTGCTGATGCGCGGCCACGGGCTACCAGGGCTCGAGGGCCAGCGCTTATCGACAGGAGAGGTGAGATCATCCTCGTCATCCGCAGCCGTGCCGATGAAATGTGGCCTCTTCCAGAAACGCAAGGTGAGAGAGCTAAGTACGACGCTGACGCTGCTACATGCCATCGCCGCGCCGGCCACCATAGGATGAAGGTGCCATCCCCAGGGTAAAAAGATTCCCATGGCCAAGGGAATGCTGACGATGTTGTACAGCGTGGCCCACAAGAAGTTGAGCCTGATTTGAGAGAAGATTCGCCTTGCGAGGTGCAGAGCTGCAGGGACATCCCGAAGATCCGATCTCATCAAGACGACGTCGGCGGCTTCGATGGCGATCTCGCTGCCAGTCGAGAGAGCGATTCCTACCGACGCCGCAGCCAGGGCTGGAGAGTCGTTGATGCCATCACCTACCATTGCAATTCCGCCAGTACGCGACTTGCTTGCTTCAGCTTGGCTTCGAAGCCGTGTGATGATGCTACGCTTTCCATTAGGACTCAGGCCGGCATGCACAGCATCGGCAGAGAGGCCAAGCTGCTTTGCGATGGCTAGAGCAGTAGTCTCCGTGTCGCCAGTCAACATCCCGACCCGAACGTTCATTCGCGTCAGCGCAGCGATGCAAGGTCGTGCGCTAGGTTTGAGCTTGTCGGCCAGAGACAAGACGAGTGCGAGTGAGCCGTCGATGGCTGCAAAGATGACTGTTCTTCCGGAACTCTCCTCGGCGTGTCGGAAAGCATCTAGATGCGCCGCTAAAGCAGTTGACCCTTCAGCGCCAACAAAGTCCAATTTGCCGATTCTGACGATGTGAGTAGATATGGGTTTGCCGCTCGTGCCTTCAAGAACAACTCTGCACTTGACACCTGCGCCCGTGACGCTCTCAAAAGATGTCGCTTCAGCTTGGGGCGGAAGCGATTCAGTGCTGCGCGCGTGTGCTGAAACTTGATCCGCACAATACTCCGCAACAGCACGAGCAAGCGGGTGCTCGCTTCTGCGCTCAGCGGCAGCGACTGCGGCCAAGACACCCTGGCGTGACAAGGTCCCTACCACAGGGACATCCAGCTCCCTAGGCACTGGCAACAGCTTGAGGTGCTCCTTGGCGACAGCGCTTTCTATCGTGCCATTCGGCCAGCACAGGGCGGAGACGGACAGCTTGCCTTCGGTCAGGGTGCCAGTCTTGTCGAATAGAACTTGGCTGATGGTATAGCTGGCCTCTAGGGGGCCGCCGCCTTTGATGAGGATGCCATTCTGAGCGCCGACGCCCGTGCCGACCATGACGGCGGTAGGCGTGCTGAGACCCAAAGCGCACGGGCAAGCGACGACCACGACCGAAATGCAGAGCTTCAAGCAGACCATAAATTTCGTAGCTCCTTCTTGCTGAAATACGTCGGGAAGCTGATGCGTGCCAAGAAGATGTGCAATGATCATCCAGGAGATGAACGTCATGCCGCCAAGACCAATGACCATGGGCACGAAGACGCCAGCAACTCGATCTGCGTACGCTTGAATGGGCGCTTTGCTAACTTGCGCCTCCGAGACCAATCGAACGATCTGGGCAAGACTAGCATCTTTGCCGGCACGAGTGACGATGATGTCTAGACTGCCCAAGCCATTGACAGTGCCACCAATGACGTTGCTTCCGACAGTCTTGGAGACGGGCATGGCTTCCCCAGTCACCATGCTCTCGTCTACTGTACTCTCTCCGCGCACAACCAAGCCGTCGGCGGCAATCTTCTCTCCTGGCACAACCTTGACGTAGTCGCCCTTTTGTATAAGCTCGCTGCCAATGCGACGTTCGCGCGTCATTGCCTCCTTGTCCTCCCAGATAACCGCTGTGCTTGGTGTCAGACCGATGAGCTTAGAGAGAGCTTCGCTGGTCTTGCCCTTCGCCGCGTTTTCCAGATACCTTCCGAGCGAGACGAATGTGATGAGCATCGTTGAAGTCTCGAAAAATGTTGACGGCCGGAGACACTCGGCTCCGCTGCCACAGAGCAGGCCGAAGAGCATGCTGAACGTGCTGTATGCAAACGAAGCTGTGGTGCCGAGGACAATCAGAACGTCCATAGTCGCTGAGCCGTGTCTCAAGGCTTTCCACGAAACCAAGTAGAACCGCTTGCCAATGCCGAATTGCACTGGAGCCGTCAGGGCCAGACTGAGCAAATCCTGCAGGTACAGGTTCGGTAGAGGTTGCCAAACAAGTATTGATCGACTGAACGACCACCTAGGCAAGAGCATATTGATGAAAAAGACTGGTACGGCGAAGGACAAGGAGAAGAGAAAAGCATGTCGCCACTCTGCTATCTCCTTGACTCTAGCGAGACTTTGCAACTGAGTGTCGTCGCTAGTCGCAGCGCTGAGAGTGGCGTCGAAGCCACAATCCTCCACCAATTCCACCAGATCTCTGGGGCCGACCTGCCGTGTGTCAATCTCTATTTGAGCCGTCTCCATGGCGAGACTGACAGATGCGTCGATCACGCCTGCTCTACTTCTCAGGGCCTTTTCGATCGTCGAGGTACAGCTGGCACAAGTCATGCCGTAAATGTGTAGCTGAACCGTATCTTCTGCGATCTCGATCAACGCCGATGCCTCGAAGCCGATGTCTTCGATTTCTTCAGCGATCTTGGCCGGCGTCCATCTGCTCGCATCGTACGCGACGACGGCTCGCTCAGCCAATAGAGCCACCGAGACGGAGTAGATGCCTGCTTGCTGTCGCAGCATGCGCTCTATCGTCTGTGGTGCAGGACGGAGACGGGAAGCAGTGGTCAGAAATGTGCTCATGAGGCCAGTAGTCGATCGCCTGGAGCGCCTCCGGCTGCGAGAATTCTGAATCATTTCCTGCCTACACGTGCAACTTCGCAACACTCACCTCAACACATGCTCCGCATGTCATGCCTCCCACCTTGAAGGTAGCTGTGACTTCATCCTGGCGCACGCCAAAAGTGCTGCTGAGCTTGGAGGAGCCCACCTCCTTTTCGGAAGGTGACAGATCAGAGCTCATTGTCGTTGCTGAGGGCGATGGGTGGCGGAATAGATTTACGGCGGATAGAAGGCAGATGAATGGTGGCGAGTGAAAGCGCAGCTTGCCGTCTAAGCACCAGAGACGATGTGTGCTGAAGATGCAGGAGGTGCTTGGGACGCAAAAGGCAACGAATATATGGTGCTCCAGTTCCAGACGGTGCCCTCTCCTTGTACGCGGCTATGGGCACGGCTGAGGTCGCATTCGAAAGGGTGGGCCAGTGGCTCGCTGATGGGTGTAACGAAGTTGTAGAAGAGGCAGCCCAGTCGAGCAAGGCGTGGCGATGCGCAATGCAGCTTAGCCAAGAATACTTCGATGTCCGTGATCAGGACTGCTCACGGCTCAGCTCGCGCCGACTTGCTGATCTGGTGCGGAGCGAAAAGAGCTCAGTGGTAGAGCCTGCAGCTTGAACTTCAGGAGGTAATTAGCTTGTTCCTATTGCCTGAGCGATGCGAAGTGTGCAGGCGTGGTATGTGGCGTGTATGGTGCGTGGTGAAGGGGTGCACAGGTCAGAGAGGCCACTGCAAGTGCTCGCTAAGATGTAGCTCTGCTCGTTGCGCTGACCGCATGCACAGCTGACTTGGTAAGGTACCGTACATGTATCCAGTCGTGAGTGCACGTTATACCCGCGGTTCCTATCTGATGATGGCGTCAGAAAACGGCTCCAAACTCCGAACTTCAAGATTATTGCAGGAATTGAAGGCATGCATACATGCAGCAGCCCTCCGCTCGCGCGGACATCTCTTGCCGCTCGTTCCGCGGGCGAGCGGGCGGGCGGGCGGGCGTAAGCTGCTGTCAGCTGAAGTCACGAAAGCAACAATCGTGAATCGTGAGTTAGAGGACACGCAGGAAAGGAATTCGTGATTCAATCAAGAATGCGCGTGTGCGCTTCTCTCTGATGCGAGTACAAAAGTCTACCTCTGCGCGTCTTCTCACACACCGCTCTCGAGCATGCATTTCTCTATTCTGATTCTCGGTTTGAAGATCGTCACGTCCATTTTATTCATGAATGCCTTTCGCTTTAAGTGAACGCGGCTGCGACACCAGCAGAGTCATGCGCGGAGAGCACGCCATTCCTTGATCCTGATTGACATCCCTTCAACCTGCGCGAGTGCAACCAGCCTTGCAGATTCAAGATCCTGAAACGTGAATCATGAAAAGCGCCTTTCAGCTCGCTTTCTGTCCCTTTGCTGCTGCCGCGGATGAAGCAATCGAATCAGAGTCAGAATTTGGGGTGCATTGACAGAGATCGAAAGTCTTGATGCTGTTGCTGCTGCTGCTGCTTCAATACCTTCAGTAGCCAGCTGCATTCGACATCGTCCGCCCGCATTCGAGCGAAAAGGCCTCAAGAAAGCACATGCTGCACCGGGTACACACGAGGAACTTTTAGCTAGCGCGGACTTGGCATTCCTTGCATGTTCCCTGCTCCAACTCCTCTTCCAAACGCCATACACGCTTTTGCATTGTGCTCACATGGTATATCGTGATTGTCATTGCAACAGCCATGAGGAATGATGTCGGACTGTACACGTCACTTGCACCTGCGCGCTGGTCACGATGGTGCCATCGCTCATCCTCCTCGCACCATCGCAAACACGCGACATGAGCACGTCGGTCAAGAGGGTCAAACGAATGAAGCGTCGTCGGATGGGCATAGGGCGCATGGCTGTATAGCCGCCAACTACACATGGGGCGCCAAAGGCGATTGTCGAGGCAGGTGAGAGTGTAGTCGAGGATCGCACTGTGCTGCTCGTGAATGTGACTGCTTGCGACTTCTTGTCCTCGTCAGTAGTAGTGATGTAAAAGCAATGCTTCGGCGATGCTCTCGTCAGCTCCAGTGCGGAGCATCATTCCATGAAAGTTACCGATTTTCCCCGTGGTTTGATTGATGAGAAGTCGGGGGCCGTGCTCACGATCCAGTCAGGCCTGCGTGTCTCGAGTAAAGGTGGAGCTTCGAGGAGTCGTCTGCCTTGCGGTTGTCCACCAGGCCATGCACACAATCTCTACGACCTCGATCTGCCCCTACTATGCCCTTCTTGCGGCAGCTTGCCCTAGTGCGCTCGCACCAGCCGAAGCGCCCGCTGGAAGGGCATGCGTACCAGCCTGGTCGACGAGAGCTCGAGTCATGCGATCAATCAGCTGTCTCTTGTCGGAGCTGCGAATTCAGTAATGGCAGCGGAGTGGGTTTGTGAATGAAGGGGCAGATGGCAAGGATGGCCGACGCGGGTCCTTTGCTGGAGCGCCACGGGTGCGCCTTTGCATCGAAGGAGCGTCCTCGACAGCGCACGAAGGTGAGAGGCAAACTCACATGGTCTCCTCATTCTCTTCCATCGCGACTCGCAACTCTCTCCTGTCATCCTCGTCCAAATCGTCTCCCTCTGCCGTGCCTTCGCCCTGCTGACCAGTCTGATGGAGCAATTGCTGAATCTGCGCATTTGATCTTTCCAGATGAGATATGCTGTGGGCTACCCTGTCTATCTCGCCATTCAGTGTAGCGGGATCCAACTCTCGAAGCGTTTCCAGCGTGATCTGAGAAGACTTCACACCTGCTCCTCCTCCCGCGCCGTTCGCGCCCTGGGCGCCATTGCCTCGAGCCTGATGTGCGATTGTGGAGGTGACAGAAGACAGATCCGGGATGACCAGCGGCATCTTTGGGTGCGCGGATCGGATCGCTGATCGTGTTGGGACGCGTTGAGTAGAGGCTGTGATTGTGTGGGTGGCGAGACGAAGCAAGGTCGAAGGGGGATGACCAGATCAGTGATTGGGGTGCTCAACGGTTGAAATTTCGAGACCACTATCCTTGACTTGCTTTCGAAGCCGAGTGGAGATCAATCTTGAATCTTGGATTGCGCTGCGAAATCACAATCACGCATGTGGCGAATCAAGAATCAATTCGAGTCACAATCTGAATGGCGAATCAAAAAGCAAGTGAATAAATAGCGAGTCGAGTTGCGCAAGTCGCCTGTCGCCGCGCAGGGATGTGGAGGATGTGAGGTTTGTGCCCCTGATGCGCCGGCTATAGCGTTAGTGCGCGCGCGTCAAGTCAAAGGTGATGTGGCGCGCTCTTGGCGCGTGTTCACCATCGTGATCCAAGAGCAGGGGTTCATCTATGCTGTTTATCCTCACTCTTGACCCAAACACGCATGGCCAGCCTCCGAACAAGGTACATTCCATCAGAATAGGCGGCACGTAGAAGAAGCTCGCGCGTGCTATATAGTGGTCGATAGGGCAAGGCAGGTTCAGGCGGCGAAGTGAAGCGGACGGATAGGATAGGCAGCATTCAAACAGCGTCAAATCAGGTCGCCAAAAGGCATTCCGTTCGGGAGCGGAAGGCTCATTCAGAGTTGGAGCGCAGGTCCTCATTGCCTGCCGGAGAAGGAGATCGCGCACAGTCACCGAGTCGTAAAGTCGCCTCATTGCTCGAGCCGATGCTACAAGGATGAGCAGTGGTGCGTTGCAGAAACCTGTTCTTGCGCTCAGCGCACATGTCGTGTTTCAGTCCCTGGCCGCATTCTCATACCGCCAGCAATTGCTCTCATGTCCCTGGTCGCAGGCCCCTCGCCTCTTGTCGACTTCATTGCCGGCACTGCTGGAGGTTCGTTTACTTATTCAGGCTTGCTAAGTTGTCCTGGCGCAAGTCTCACATCGCCCTCTCGAGTACAGGCGTTGCATCTCTACTTGCTGGTCATCCCTTGTGCGTCGTATACCTCTGTGTCAGTCTGCGTCCTATCGCTTGCGAGCTGATATGATTCACGACACGTCGTGCTCGATCGCATCTGCGTGACTTATTCTCCAAACACCAGCGATACCGTCAAGACCCGGCTGCAGACTCAAAGCTCCGCAGCACAGGCAAGCTACGCTGCCCCTGCGTTTCCTCAAGAAGGCGCGCACGATGGGTCTGCAAGGCGGACGTACCGGTCTGCGACGCATGCCTTTCGGGTCATTGTGCAGGACGAGAAGGTAAGTCTGCCCCAGTAAACGGCGGACATCTTGGAGTTCCGCTCACACGGCTCGTCCATCCAGCTATTTGGGCTTTACAAAGGTGTCACATCGCCGATGGTGAGAGGTGACCGAGAGCCAGAGACCATCCGTCTGACTGGGCCACTCAGCTACCCTCGACGAAACGCTTTCCCCACTAGCTTGGCGTCGCCGTGATGAATGCCTCTGTCTTCGGGGTGTACGGCCTTGCGATTCGCTGTTTACAAGCCAGCGCTCTTTTCGGCCATCGGGACGATGCAGAGGTGTACCCGGCAGAACCAAGCCTTGCGCAAGTGTTCCTTGCTGGCGCTGCAAGTGGCGTGATCTCAGCGTGAGTCCACTTCCCACACCGGCGTTCAGGGTGCGCTCCTTGAGGCTGAAACGCCCATTGTATCGGCGCTGACCTGGTTGGGATTTCTCGTGGCTCCAGCCTCATCACGTCCCCCATCGAGCTGATAAAGATCAGGGAACAGCTTGACTTCACACCCAAGGCGTCCTCGTCCTCATATGCTTTGAGACCTTCGTCAACTATGTCGGTCGTTCAGGCGATCTGGAGGGAAGGTGGCTTGCGAGCGATATATAGAGGTCTCGGGGCCACCTGTGTTCGTGATGTGAGCGCTGTTCCATTCTTACACGATCTCTTGAAACTTCAGATGGCTCACATGACTGCTTTCAACTGCCTGCGCACAGGTAGGCTATGTGAGTGATAGAATGGACGGTCTCCGCCAGCTTTCCAGGCTAAGAGCCGACTCTTGAAATCGTGCCTGTCAGGGCCCTTACTTCTTCGTGAGTGTCGCCTTGACAGCCGCCGTCGTACATGCCTGCCATGTCTTTGAACCAAATTGAGGCATTTCATTCTTAGACATACGAGTGCCTCAACCGTTGGATCCTTACAACTCACGATCAACCCCTGCACGCCTCAGCGCTCGAAGGCGGCTTGAGCAATGTGGAATTAGCCTTGTCCGGTGCCATCGCCGGTGTCGTCGGGTGGATCTCAACATTCTGGGCGGACACTGTCAAGACGAGAATACAAGCGTCCAAGTTGCCCTTGCAATCACGAGCTGGAGATGCTGGCGTGGCATGTGCAGACAGAACGCGGCTTCTTGGAGGCGAACAACATTCTGAGGGTTCGGTTGCGCACGACCGATCGCGCGGTTTCATCGCGCAAGCTCGAAGCGTACATCAAGAGGGCGGATTGAGAGGTTTCTGGAAAGGCGCAGGTCCGACAATTCTCCGGTGGGTGTCGCAACCATTGCTGATCTCACAGCATAGGCGGTAATCCTGACTCCTTGTCCCCATCGGCAGAGCCATACCCGTCAATGCAACGCTCTTCATTGTTTACGAAGCTACCAAGGACGCGCTCATAAATTGGGGAATGTAGCTGTATTCTCAAGTGATCGAGCACTCGCGTCCTTGCCTCAACCAGCACAGCTGCATCTTTTCGGATTTTGTTCACAAAGCAATCCTTGCTTGCGCAACTTCAGATGCGCCAAGTCGTGCGCAAGTGCGTGCTGAATGTATCTATTTCTCTACTCCGTCTAGGCTGGTGAACTTAGTGGGACTTGCCTCTCGGTGCTAAAGCGGGCCTCGAAGAACAGGAATTGGCATGGAAAAGCTGTGAAGGATGCAAAAGTGGAAACAGTCCGAGGCGGGTGCGAAAAAATTTATCTGTCGAGTTGATGGATTTTGCTGGTAGACTTTTGCTGGTCGTCTACAACTTAGACTTGGGGCCCTCGAGAGAGTCGCTCTTCTTAGGAGCGCTCTTGTATTCTCCCGCCTTTCCATCGTGCTGGGCAAGGCCAGACTCGTCTCTAGTGACTCCCAGCTCGATGAGCTTACCAAAGACAGCCGCAAAGTCCTTGAAGAACAAGTCTTGGTCCTCTGCGTACTTCTCGACCCAAGGTTTGAACTTGTCGTCCAAAGTAAGACTCATGTCCGTGGGCAGCATCATCAAGGGCTCATCCTCCTCGTCCATGTGGGGTAGACGAGCAATCCACTGCCAGTGAGCTCCCTGCGCCTCTCTTCCCAGATGCTTCTTCTCCCACTTGAGCTTGATCAGCATCTTGTAGTACTGGTTGCTGAAACGAGTGGGGTTGTTGACCCAAGGACCTTCGAATCCGGATCTGTCAGCGTGACACCTGCCGAGGTTGTGTGCTCCAGAAAGCGCGACAATTTCCTGGTCGTTGAAGCCCATCCTGTAGAAGATGGCCCGCAGATGATCTTGAGCTTGAGCCGCATCTGGCAGTCTGCCACGAGGAGGAACGCGAGCATCATCGACAAAGTCGGTGCGTCCTGGGTACCACTCGATTTCGGGTCCCCCCATCGCCTTGATGGCCACGACTCCGGCCAAAGTCCACAGATCCGCGTAGGTGATCCAGCTGTGCTTCTCCTTGATGGGTTCTAGGAAAACGCGCGCGTGCTGCAAGCCTGCATTCGCCGGGTCTCCTCCCTCCTTCTCGTACCTCATGCCCGCGCCATTGCTTCCGCCGGTCTTGGTCTCTGCGCAGTATGTACCTCTGTCACGAGAAGGTGGTGCAAAAGAAAAATCAGCTTGTGTCGAGCATAGAGCGGCATTCTGCTGGCGACTGCAGCCCTTCGAGCGCCAAGATTTGATGCTATCGCCACGGCGTGATGGCCATGAATATGCTTGGGGCCCCGAGAGTACCACATGGCGCGTCCATGTCCTCCTTCTCGGCTCAACGAAGCTGAAGCTCTGCGGGTCTGCCTGGCAAGCCACGACTGAAAAGACTTCAAAGCTGTACTCACGACGAGTGCCAAGCCAAACGGACGAGGACAGGTCCGATGGAGCCATCGTCGTAGTCCTTGTTCTTCAAGATGGCCTCGACATCCTTCTTGACAGCTGCATGACAGTGACGAGGAACGTGTCGGAGAGGTGGTAAGCTCGGGTCGTCCCTAGACGGGTCGCTCAGCGCCACATTGCACGGGGGGGGACCACACTCACCAGCTACTTGCTCCTGGGTGTAAGGACTCTTCAGCTTGGATGGGTGAATGACTTGAGCGGACATCGTGGCGAATGAGGTGGTGTGAGTCGCAGACGCTTTAGTGTGGTGGGCGTGACGGTGGATTAGGACGCTGAGCAGAGTTGCAAGTTGAGTCAAGATTCGTGACTGTTGTGTGGCGTGAGTCGATGTACGGTCACGCTATACAAGAGCTGCAGTGTGAGTGCTTCCTATTCCTATTCAAAATAGCTGTGATCGAATCAACTTTTGAGACCTGGCAATCATTTGGCAGGGCGGGGAAGCGGCAGACAGACGTGCATCGCGGGGAATCAAATCAAGCTCGTCATTCACATTCACGATCGAATTTGGCGGATTTCTTAAGTGGAAAGCCGAATCACGAGCCGTAGACCAGCAGAGCTCGTACGGCGGCAGGGATGGGCCGACCAATGAGGCGCTTGCGGATTTGTGATTTGTGAGCCAACATGCATCCACCGTTTCCCTTGCTTCGCGGGGGCGTCAAGAGTCAAGAGTCTGATTGAGTGTACAGTCAACAGTATAGCTGCTGCGCTGATGGCTTGTCTGCACGGCGAACGCACGGTACATGCTGTACGCAGAACAAGTATAGTAGTCAGAGTCAGCAAGAGTCAGAGTCAAAGTGCCACATCCGACGCCATCCGTTTGCCGAGAGCGTGCGATTGAGCAAGTCTCGCACCGCGACCGCGACCGCGACCGGAGCTGATATGGGACCGGGATGGTGCGCGGTCTGGCATCCATACTTTGCTGCTGAAGACGAGCAGCCTGCAGCACAGATAGGGACGCCGCCAGGCGAGTGCGACTCAGCAGCCTCGGACTCAAACTCTTGACTCAGACTGTGACTCAAGACTGCTGATGGAGCGACCGCCCTCGCTTCTGTCACGTTCGATATGCGTGTTGTGCGGTATCTCTCCATCGCCGGCGTCTGTTGTGCAGCTGCTTCAGAGCCCGCCGTCCGAAGTTTTCACACTCTGGGACCCTGCCTGGCGGCATGCGCGCAGCAAAGCACCAAGGCCCTTCGACCGCAGCCCCTTACCAAAGCAGGCACGCGCGAGACCCGACCAGGGACAGCGTCTCATTCCTACTCGATCACTCTGTCCCGGCCACGCCGCGTCACGACATGGAGGAGAGACTTGCTAAACGCAACCAACTATAGAGCTCTGTTGACCTTGCCATAGTCGTGAGTCCAGCAACAATCCGCGGCCCAGGAGAGCGCTCGCTCATCGGTGAACGAAAGCTGCTTGAAATGTGTGCATTGGCAGACGGACTTCTGTGTCCACGCTACCACGCCTTAATTTTCTGACACCTCGGGCTGCGTCGGGCATCGGCAAACGACGGAGATCGCGCGATAAGATCTCACATTCTGAAAATCAATATTACGTGAGCCAAGCCAAGCTGGTGCCGAGACTTTTTGATCAGAATGCTCTAGACACGTCTCGAAGTCACGTGGTAGGATCAAGTCTATAAGAGCTATCCGCGCGTCAGCATGGCGTGACATCAGCTCATCTCGAGACGCGCGTGCGTAGGCGGCGCTGCATGCCGAGCGACATCGTCAATAGCCACGGCTTGGGGTAGAAGTCTTGAGTTCGTGTAGTCTCGAGTCCAAATCGTCTTGTGACCTCGCTCAACCATCAACACCAGCATCGCGCACCTCTCCCGAAGCAACGTTCCTGAGGTGGCGAAGTCTCTGAGGTCTCTCACCTTCAGTCGTTGTGCATAGAGTGGATGCGTTGCCCCATCGCTTACTAGCAGTGCCACCGTGCCACCACGGGCCGCTCACGTAGGTCCCGAAACGACTTCGAGAGCTGCGCCGGTTTCAGATCAAATCGCTGAGGCTTACGACACACAGACGAACCAACCATCGCCAGCATGCGAACAACGAGCGGTATGGCGCATATCGCTGCGGTAGCACTGTGCAGCTTAGCGGCGACGGAGACGCTTGCGCAGGATGTCAATCAACTCGTATTCGGTGGCGCGACAGCGTCGACTCTTGCAGAGCAGGCCTCCTCGCCTTCTCTTGTACCCGTCAAGATAGGCCTGATGTCGAGATGTCCGGACTTCATCTCATTCGCTGCTCAATTTTCCCGCGCCTTGCCCAAAGTGTGGTCGCTGATCGACCTTCAGTACGCATACATCGGCACTCGCAATCATTCTTCACCGTACGGCGCTTCTTGCAAACACGGCGACATTGAATGCGCAGGCAATGTGCAGGAGCTGTGCGTCAACGATCATCTCAGGTCAAACAAGAAGATTTCATCTGTTGAAGCGCAGCGAACCACGTGGGACTTCATCGAGTGCCTCAACTACGGCGGCATCGCAGACATTGGAAAGGAGGATGCTGCACGCAACTGCCTATCTGCCGTTCATGGCCCACGATGGGAGGACGATGGTATCAAGCGCTGCGCCGAAGGGAAGTTGGGTCGCAAGCTTCTCGCCAAGAGTCTCCAAGATGCTCACAAATCTGACATTGTGTGAGTGAGAAGTTCACTGGTTTGCTTTAGAGTCGAAATCGCGGCAGCCTGACTTGATCATTCCCTGCACCTGCAGCAACTCGGCGACCCTGCAGATTGATGGCAACACCATCTGTGTCAGGGACGGCGGCGAGTGGAAGCAATGCACAGGAGGTCACGAACCCACCGACTGGGTGCGAGCAATCGAAGACGCGTATCGTGCACGTAATCCTTTTGTCGTGCTGCCAACCGACTCGATCTCTCGGAGTGTAGAAGGCAGCAAGAATCCCCTTCAGGCCACACCGCCAACGCGTGTGCTTCAAAAACGGCAAAGCGCGAGCAGTCCACCACCTCCACCGCCCCCTTCGAACTCTCAAAATCCTTTCAACAACGACGGACAGCGCACCACGCCTCTTTCGGTCTTCGTGAGTTTCACGTCCCCCCACGCGTCTACTGAATGGACCACATTTGGACTGACTTGTGCTCTCTTGCCCATCTCGGACCCTAGACATTTGTCATCGGTGAGCTGCCTTGCCGATTTTGTGTCCTGCGGCGGATGGGCACCTGGCCAGCCTCGCGCGATGGGCCGCCTGTGCAAAGAAGACAGGTCAGCGGAAGCACAACGCTGTTTGGCGATGGCAGCTCTGTGCCCACCCCGTTCCTTATCTTTGGCGTGTCAGGTGCGCAGCTGCGTGACCCGCCTGTACGCTGCACATTGCCGGCCCTATCCGCTGTGTTGCGTTGCAGATCGGCGCTGACATGGTCTCGTGTCTTTCCGCTTTGCCATCAGCCATCGCGCTCTTCGTTCTCGTGGTCGCTTTCGTCTTGCTTCGTATCTTCGTGCGAAATCGACGGCTCAGAAGGCTAGGTCTCCTGCCGGAAGGCGGTCCAATGGAGCGTTACTTTGGCGGCGCACTCGGAGTACCAGAAGACACTCTAGTCCCGCCAAAGCTTTGGGAGGCTAGCATCGTCGATGTACGAGACGGAGCCGCTGGGCGCGGCGCAGCGTCTGCCAGTCTCGCCGCTGGAGGTGACAAGAGTCATGGATGGGACGCTCTCATGCCCATCTCTGCGGCGCTACCTACCAGTATCTGCACCTCTCTCACGCACGGAGAGAAGCCTGCTGGCCCCCAGACGCCTGCCGCTCAGGATGCCGCAGCACAAAGCCAGCCAGCGCCTCAAGGCCTAGGCAGACGACTAGGTCTTTTCCGTCGTACTACTGCCGACGAAGCTGTTGGAAGCGGAACAGGAGAGTCGCCGGGCGACACTGCATCTGCGTCAGACGATAAAGCGCCGGATGACCGCATTCCCATCAACGTCAACGTGACTGTCTTGATTGCCATGCCCTCTCCCCAGACGGTCTTTCCCCATCGCGGTATGCGTAGCGCTGCGCTCGAACTGCGATCGCCAGCATCGCAGGCCACGTTCAAGACAGCCAACCTAGGCGCTACCCATCCTGTCAACGAGACTGAGGAAGACGAGCACAACGGCGAAGAGAAGGGCAAAACGAGGGCTTTGCACCGCGCACCGAGCATCAGCTCTGTCGCGACACGTAAAAGTGTGCGCGAGGCGCGCAGGGAGGCGTTCTTCGGCGAGCTGCCGCCTGACGCTGCAGAGCAAACCGAAGCTCAAGTTGAGTTGGTGCGCGGAGCGACCGACAAAGCAGACGAGGCTCTGCACGATGAGGAGGAGGAAGAGTTGCCCGAGCTCGTATTTGGCACTACTTCTGTTCCTGTCTATTCGAGGATTGGCCCTTTCGCGCCCCAAGCTTCAGGCGCACCGCTCAGCTTTGGCCACCAGTACTTGCAGACGCCAGCCTCCGAGCTTGATCACCCGCATCGCAAGGACCTCTTGGACCTGATTCGGCGCGCTCGAGCCGCTCAGGAGAGCAAAGAGCGAGCGGAGGCTGCAAAGAGGGCAGCTGAAGCTGCCAAGCAGGCTGAAGAGACCAACGCAGCAAACCGAGCTAGCGCTGCTCCAACAGGCGACGATGCTCGTATTAGCTTGGCAAACACATCTATCGATGCCAATGCTACTGGCCCGCCTGAAGCCGACTTGTCTTCTGGCCGTCCACCGCTTGACGACATTCTCGTGCGTGCGCATCAGCCCAGGCCCAGCACGGCCTCCACAGATGTCGGTCCGAACGGCCTCATGTACGAGCAGGCAGCGCGGCCGTCGTTTGGGCTTGCGGAAGCGAACGGGCGTCCCAATTCCTCTCGGACTGTGGATCCATTGTTGAACAGTAGAACGTCCACATCGATCGCGGAGCGACCGTTGGACCATCGGCGCGACGCCATGGCCGCAGAGTCTTCCGTATCGTTGGCCGGTCATCCCCTCTCCACTGACTCGCCCATCCCGGCCACACCCGGTGCCGAGACGCTGCCACGCACCTCGACTAGCACGTGGCACACCGGCGTGACGGGACCCAGATCTGAAGCGCCTCAACATGTCGTTGGTGACGACGATGAGGGCGATGACGACGACACTGCGCTCAGACAAGCAGCTCGGTACCAATCCGAGTTGTCCAAGCGCCTAGAGCAGTCACATGCTGCGTAAAGCCGCTGCAACGTTTTGTGCTTTCATTCACTCGACCATCCTTCTCGCAGGACTGCTTCAATAAGCTTTTCAGGTTGCAATACGCTCGACGATCCATCGCGCACATTCCGCTTCGTACGGTCACCTCTTTGACGTTCTGTATCATCACGATCCCCTTCACGCCTCTGTCATCTCCTTTGCCTCTGGTGACGCACGCTTGCAATTTGACGTTCCCCTTCCCATCCCATTGATTGACAGCGTGCAGGCGTCGCGAAGGGGATATGTATCGGGGCAAGCAAGGATCGGAACAGTGGGGAAAGAGCGGGACTGATAAAGGAGCTGCGAACGGGCGATCATTGTAGCAGGGGGTCCCTAAAGTGGGCCTGGTTGTTCGCTCTGAAGCCCACTCTGGTCTTGAATTGCTCTCGGCGCTGAACATCCCTGAATTCCTTGATATGCCTCTTGGCTTCCCTTGCCTGGCCCCTGTCTTTGGCTTTGACCACATTCCCGCCGCGCTGTGCGAGACTCAGTCCGGACGCGTCCTGCTGCTCCGTCTTGCGAGCTGCAATGGCTCGATTCGCGAGTCGATGGGCCAATGCTGAGCCGTGCGTGGCGGAATCTACATCTCGACCGGCCGGTCTCAACCTTTGGTCATAGACGTGTCGGAGAGCTCGATGGCCCAGCCTAGCGCCCGAAGGCAGCACCAATTCCATCTCGTTGTCACCAAACCGTACTCCTTGCGCGTCGGGTCTGACTCGTTTGCTAGATGTCGTAGCCACTGTGCCTGCATCAGTGGCATCCTCCGTCTCGGTCTCGGTGTCCACGTCTTCCTCTTCGTCACTATCTCCATCGACTGTGCCTTCCACATCCTCCCACTCTGCGTCTGGATAGCTCGAGGAGAAGTCGTAAAAGTCGCTCAGCTCCAGCATATCCTCGTCTGAGTCGTATGCAATCTTGCAATGACCCTTGTCCAGCATGTGAGATCGAGCCGCTTCTGCGCTGTTGAAACCTCTTCCTCTTCCATTGCAGAAAAGACACAGATGCCCAACGCTAACCTTGTCTGCTAGATAGACCATGAGCCCTGCCAGATCCGTCAAGTACTCTTGGTCCGGCACGAAAAAGCTATGGTGGCTGCGCAAATGTTCCAGCGTCTCGTCGAGCGATCTGAAGCCGGCTTTGAGACAAAACATGCACGCCTTTGAAGGATCCACGCGCTTGGAGGAAGCGATGCGCAGGTCGATCGCAGCTTCGATCTCTGCTTCTGTAGCGTCCGCAGGCACTTCCAGCGTGCCATTCAGGATCGCTGCGGAAGCTGCAGCATTGGTACTGGCAGCAGCGAGGGCTTTCTGCAGATCACTAACGTCTTCCAAGCCTTCCCCAGCAGGCGCAGTGTCTCCTGGAGATGCTGCCGTTTGCGCTGCGTGCTCACTCTCGGCGGCAGTTGAGTGCAAGATGGAGGGGGTCACCTTGGAGGAACTGGCTCGCGCTCGCGAGAGTAACGCTTCATTCTCCTTGTGCTTTCGGGAGTTGACGTGGGTGCGGAATGCATTTGCGGTGGCGAAGGATTTGCTGTTTGGCGAGTGCAGGGGAAGCAGGTCTTCGTCAGCTTCAGTGAACCAAAGCACTGATGCGACACGACAGCGAGGGCTCGCGCACGCAGACGAGGAGATCCAAATACTCACGCGCACGCTTGGCATTTGCCTGCCTCTTTGACCGGCTCTGTACCAGCAGCGTTGATCTCCTCTACTTTCTCCCTAAAGACATCGGGCCTGACATGGGGCAAACCAGCAACTCTCCTCTTCATGTTGTAGCGATGAAGGTCACTCCGGTAATGCTCTCTTTGCGCGTCGGGAGAGGGGAATCCAATGGAGCACGAAAGACATGTCCACATGGGCGCGGCGGCTTGGGCGGCATTGCTACTTGAGGTGGCGACGTCGACCATAGCGTGTGAGGGGGACTGTTGTTTGCTGGGTCCTATGTCTGCTTCGAACTATTTTTTTGATCTAGAGAATCGGTGGCCTGATGGTAGCCTCAAGTGCAGTAGATCGCCAAATATGCTGCGCTCTTGGTGACTTAGAATGATGGTCATGAAGGTGGAGAGGCCTGATTGGGGTGATTCGAATAGCCTCGGACATCTGTCGCCAATCGCGGTCGCATGCGCGGCGCACAGAGGTAATCTTGAATGCTCAGCAGGCAGCATGCAGCAGCAGCAGCAGCAGCTTCCGCATAAGATGCGCGTCCAAAAAAGTCAATTCAAGATTTTGATCGATTTTTGATTGAAGCAAAATGTCGTGATACGCGAGTCACGTGTTATCTTGTCATTCGGCCGAGAGACGAGTCACACGTAGGCCTGCGCGCCGCGCTGACCAAGTAGTTTCGGCCAGAGTCAAGGAAGGGTACAAGAGACATAGACACACCGAGCAGAGGCCGCCATGCAGCACAGCATGCTGCATGTGTGCTGGCTGATATGCCAATCCACCCGCGGGTCGCTTCTCAAATCGTGAATTTTCGTCGGCCTTTGCACAAGAGTTCAGCCGATGATGACGGCACGCTGCAGGCGCCATGCAGAGCGCGCCATTCGTGATTCCGACCTTGCTGCGCGTCAACATTCATGATCCAGTGATTCATGTGATTGTGATTTTTGATTCAAGAGTACCCTCACAAGGACTTACGAGCAGAGCAGCCTGCTGGCCAGAGCATGGGATAGAGGCTTCACAACAGCGACAGGGAAGCGCACAGGATTCCGTGTCGTTTGGTCTCAGAGTCAGAGTCACAATTAGTCAAGAGTCGCAAGTCGCGAGTCACGAGTCTGTGAATCAGAATCAAGTGCTGGTGAATACACATGGAGCCGGGTAAAGTCGCTTTATTAATTGCTGCGATGCGCGGCGTGCGCGCGTGCACGCATGCGCTGCTGCAGTGTGAGTCATCCGACGACGATCGTAGCCCATGAGCGCGAGCTCGATCTGCGGGTCTTGCTTGAGTCGTGAGTTGAGTGACCTGCGCTTGTCGCTGCTCCGACATCTGCCGGACCCGTGAATCCGATGGCTTAATCATGAATCGTCCTTCGCACAGCAGCTAGGCTACATACAGCAGCTCTGCACATTATCTCCACTCACACTCGCACTCGCACTTTTTGACTGTGATTCACGATTGCGGTTGCTTGGATAGCGTCTGTGTTCAATCACGATTCGAGTCCAAGCCCGCGTCAAGAACCTAGCTTGTACGGTACGGTACAGCAGCGAGCCGACTGTATACTCTTTCACGCTTCACGCTTCTGATTGATTGCATTCAGATTCATGAATTTCACTCTGAAGTGATGTGCAATCCTCATTCTCGGTGGGTGCAGCATGTATGCGCGCTCTGTGTCCGGATTCGCCGCCAGCAGCTCGTTTCCCTGCCAGGTGTGTTGAGACTTCTCTGCACGTCCGGGGTCGTGTCCACAGCCGTGTGTAGAAAGCGCTGCAAGAGTTGTCAGTCAGTGTGAGTCCGAGTTGTGAATGTGAATGGCGATGGAAGTGCTCTTCCGCCCCTCTTCGGATAGCCCGGCAGTCTTGAGTGTTAAAAAAGCGTGTCGGCTATAGAGTAGAACACGTTCACACAAAGATCCACTCACGTTTGTCGAGTTGATATAGGTACAGTGTACACGGACGGCACTGCAGCCGTGCTCGCGACTTTCTGCGGCTGCACTTGTGCTTGCACCCTGACCTGCTGCGTCATTGAGCGCCAAGAGTCTGCTCGTATTCCGCCGCGCTGCTCGACATCGCTTTTCTTCCAAGATAAGCCTGGCCTGTTCGCCTTTGCACCACCACCCCACCCAATCACTTCTCACGACTGGAAGTCTTGCTGTTCTGATCTGTGAATATCAGAGACATCATGCTTCGCCGTCCACTGCAAACCCTGCCGCGCTCCAGCGGAGTCCGCTTCTCCAGCTCCTCCGCTGGCGCTTCTGGCCCATCTAACGGAGTCGCAGGGAACAACTCGAGGCGAGCGCTCTACATCGCCGGGGGAGCAGCCGTCCTGGCTACCGGTTTCACTCTTTCGGGCTTCGGCAGCAGCATTTATGCTGACCAAAAGGGAGTTCAAGGAGATGTCAGACCCCACCCGCTCTGGGTTCCCCCAACTCGAGCCCAGATGATCGCAGCTCTCAAAGCATCTTCAGCTGCTAGTCTTCGACCTCAGACTGACCGCATCGCCTCTGACAATAGCTCGCTCGGAGTCAAAGCTGCGGAGGCCAAGAGCTCTGCCCCCAGTCCTGCCAGCAGCGAAGATAGCAAAGGCTTGGCACCTGGCAGAGTCGGTGACGAGGATGGAGACGGCTTCGACCTCCTCATCGTCGGCGGTGGTGCCACTGGAGCTGGTGTCGCCGTCGATGCCGCCACACGTGGTCTTAGTGTTGCTCTGGTGGAGCGTGATGACTTTGGCGCAGGTGAGGGAGCTGCGCCTCAGTCACTTGGATACAGCGAGTACTGAAAGCTGACCCGCCTCTCATCCAATGCGCGCTTGCTCCCAGGCACGTCTTCCAAGAGCACCAAGCTGATTCACGGAGGTGTGCGCTACTTGCAAAAGGCTGTCTTTGAGCTCGATTACGATCAGTACAAGATGGTCAAGGAAGCGCTGCACGAGCGCAAGACTTTCCTGCACATTGCTCCTTACCTCTCCGAGCACCTGCCCATCATGCTGCCAGTATACCGGTGAGTAGCGACGCTGCTTGTTGAGCGCTACCCATTGCTACACGGGCCTGCGACGCACTCTGCTCACATCTTGTCTCGCTGTTCTTCGCAGCTGGTGGCAAATTCCTTACTACTGGGCAGGCACAAAGATGTACGACGTTCTTGCTGGATCAGAGAACATGGAGTCTTCCTACGTCCTCGGCAAGGGCAAAGCGTTGGAAGCTTTCCCAATGCTCAAGGCCACCGGTCTTGCAGGCGCAGTTGTCTATTACGATGGGCAGCACAATGACACCCGCATGAACGTGGCTCTGGCTCTCACTGCCATTCATCATGGCGCGGTCGTAGCGAACCATACTGAAGTGGTAGCGCTGCACAAGAAGCAAGTGCAAGGCAAGCCTGACCAAGTGTGCGGCGCACGCATGCGTGATCTTCTCACCGGAGATGAGTGGGACGTCAAGTGCAAGGTGAGTAGCTGACGCGAGCGACTAGATTGGTCTGCGGCAATTGATGCCCTCCTGTGCGTCCGCAACACCTAGGGTGTGATCAACGCCACCGGTCCGTTCAGCGATGCTCTTCGCAAGATGGACGAGCCCACCACGCAAGAGATTGTGGCGCCCTCATCCGGCGTTCACATCACCCTACCTGGCTACTTCTCTCCGCGTGACATGGGTCTCATCGACCCTCAAACTAGCGATGGTCGAGTCATCTTCTTCCTGCCCTGGCAAGGCAACACGATCGCTGGAACTACGGACACGGCGGCTCCTGTTGAAGCACACCCTCAGCCCAAGGAAGAGGAGATCCAATGGATCCTGGACGAGGTGCGGAACTACCTCAGCCCTGACATCAAGGTCCGCCGCGGAGACGTTCTGAGCGCCTGGAGCGGTCTTCGTCCGTTGGTCAAAGATCCTGCGGCGAAGGACACTCAAAGTCTTGTGCGAAATCACATGATCAACGTCAGCGCGAGCGGTTTGCTGACCATTGCTGGAGGGAAGTGGACCACTTACAGAGAAATGGCCGAGCAGACGGTGGACAAGGCCATCGAGACTTTCACGCTGCAACCTGTGCGCGGCTGCGTGACCAAGGAGACGAGGCTTTTGGGATCTCACGGCTGGAGCAAGACTATGTACGTCAAGCTTCTGCAGCGATTCGGTCTCGAGACGGATGTTGCGAAGCACCTCTCTGCAACATACGGAGACAGAGCGTGGAGCGTTTGCAGCATTGCTGAGCCCACAGGCAGACGCTGGCCCGTGCATGGCAAGCGCTTGGACAGCCTCTACCCCTACATCGAGGCAGAGGTGCGCTACGCCTGCCGATCCGAGTATGCCGCAAAGGCCGCCGACTTTATCGCTCGTCGCTCGAGATTGTCGTTCCTGAATGCGGAAGCGACAGCACAAGCCTTGCCGCGCATCATCGACTTGATGGCTGAGGAGCTCAACTGGGACAACAAGCGCAAAGAGGCAGAGTACGCCGAATCTCTGGACTTTTTGGGCTCCATGGGCATTCAGCCTGCTCGGGTCGAGCAGCTGAAGGCTATCAGCTTGAATGACATGCGCAAGATCTGGGAGGGAAAGACGGCGGCCAGCATCAGCAACCTTAGCGTCGCGGCGCTGGACCCTCGGGATGCTGAGGCGACGTCGGTCTCGCGCGCGAGTTTCTCAAGCGAGGAGCTGACCGAATTGAGGAAACGTTTCTCTCAGCTTGGTGAGTCGCAGTGTGTCGCAGCAGAAGCCATCCCTGCTGCGGCTAATCGATTTTCCCTTGGCCTTTCGCAGATGTCAACGCCGATGGCCAAGTCGACGGTCGCGACCTGAAGGAGGTGCTCTCTCGTCTCGGCTACAAGAACGTCTCGGCGGAAACGATTACCGGTATCCTTGGCGAAGTCGACTTCGCAAAGACTGGAACGCTGCACTTTGAGGACTTTATGGATGTGTGCGCCGCCCTCAAGGACGCTAGAATGGAGACTGCATTCGGCAACATTGTCAGAGAGGTGGAGAATGGTGTCTCTTTCGATCCCATTGGGCCATCGGCCAAGGAGAACTCGGCAAGCAGAGATGCTAGGCGTAAGATCCCTGTCGAGAAGAGCGGCGGTGGCTGGTAAAGCGCAGCAAAAGCAGGCTTGGATCTCTACTCGGCTGGGCAAGTCTTTGAAAAGCTAATGCGACTCGACGGCGGTCTGCGGATCCTTGACCCCCACCTTCTTTGACGTGTGCATGTTGGCGAGTAGCGCAAGCTTATGAAAAATACCTGCCCATCACCTTCCTGTGAATGCGCCTCGAAAACGCTTTCCATGCAGCGGTATCACGCTCGATCGATTGATAGCGATATTGGACAGCAATCATATCCGTATAGACTAGCTCCACAGCACAGACGGCAAAGCTCACCGCTCGTATCTGAACCGCACGGCCGTCATCTGGGTAGGAGCCTGACTTCGCGTATCCGACGTCGTCTTGAATGAGGTACACCTCAGTGTATGACCAAGCAGGAGTGCATGCAAGGCTCAATGTTCAGAGTGCTGCCAATGAGGAGGATGCCTGCCAGAGCTGAGGCTTGGTTCCTCCTTGCAAGCCAATCAGAGCGCACGCTTTTTGATGCGCGAGAAGTGAAACGGCGTCAGGGCGCGCGCCTTGCGGCCGAGAAGGTAAAAAAACAAGCGGGCGCGGGGCGAGTCGTAGCGAGAGGCGCGGCTTTTTTTTCGCGAGTGCGAGTCATGATTGCACACCATTCACGATTCACGATTTGGTTGCACGATTCAGGCGACTTCTTCGCGTGTCACAGCTGCTAGTTACGAAGGCGTCTCGAGATCAAGTGTCCCCTCACATCCTCTAATTGGACTCGGAATACCACTTTGCCATCTTCAGTGTACAGCATGATCAGAAATCTGCTGCAGCGACGAGCAGCTGCAGCTCGCGCCAGCTTCGCAGTTGCACCCAGCTCAATCCGCATGGCCTCTGGTTCAGCGCGGCCACCCCCTGGAGATCTGAATCGTCTTTCGCGCATCATCACTCGACCCAAGGATCAGGGCGCATCTCAAGCTATGCTATATGCCACGCCGGGCATCTCAAACGATGAAGATTTGACTCGAGCCATGGTCGGTGTGGCTTCGGTCTGGTACGAGGGAAACCCTTGCAATGCTCATTTGCTGCAAGTGGGCCAGAGGATCAAACAGAGCATACACGACGCTGGCTTGACCGGCTACCAATTCGGCACAGTCGGTGTTAGTGATGGCATCTCGATGGGAACGGACGCCATGAGTTACTCTTTGCCCTCGAGAGATCTCATCGCAGACTCGGTCGAATCGGCTGCGGGAGGCCACTGGCTCGATGGCTGCGTCGTTGTTCCGGGCTGCGATAAGGTGCGTAACAGACAGATTGTTGTCGCGCCTCCGCTTTCTCGGAGCTGACCGGTATGGGCACGCATCAGAACATGCCCGGTGTGTTGATGGCGCTGGGCAGACTGAACAGGCCTGGCCTGATGGTGTACGGCGGCACCATTCGGCCGGGCGCATGCAGCTCGGTGGAGGGTACCCTGGACATCGTCAGTGCCTTCCAGTCTTACGGCAAGTACCTTAGCGAGGGTGGTACTGCCGATGCCGAGAAGAAGCGCTACGACACAATCCGACACGCCTGCCCTGGTCCTGGAGCTTGCGGAGGCATGTACAGTGAGCTTCGCACGCGCGTGAGCTGCTGCGCCGAGACCTGCCAAATCTGCTCACCCTTCCTCCCGCGTTTCTGTCTCGCGTGCGTTTGAGCAGCTGCCAACACGATCGCATCTTGTGCTGAGGCAATGGGAATGACGCTGCCCGGTAGCTCGTCGTTCCCGGCCGAATATCCAGAGAAGATCCAGGAATGCGAAAGCGTGGGCGCAGCTATGAGAAATCTGTTGGAAAAAGACATCAAGCCCAGGGATATCATGACTCGCAGCGCGCTTGAGGACGCTATCGTGAGTCTGCAGCGACGATGCTAGATCCCCTCTCAGCGGTGTTGAACTGAAGGACTTGGTCCATAACCCCGCGCTCTGCAGGTCCTCACTATGGTGCTTGGCGGAAGCACCAACGTTGTTTTGCATCTACTGGCCATTGCGCACAGCGTTGGCGTTGATCTGAGCATCGATGACTTCCACAGAATCGGAGAGAAAACACCATTCTTGGCCGATCTCAAGCCTAGCGGCAAGTACGTGATGGAGGACGTGCACAAGGTGCTTGGTGGCATCCCTAGTGAGTGGGAAAGTCTTCTCAGATGCCGGGGGCCTCTCAACCTCATGCTAGGTCTCTGCGTCCAGCCATCATCCAGTACCTGATTGAGAACAAGTTGATGAAGGGAGAGCACATGACGGTGACTGGCCGCACACTCGCTGAAAACGTGGACCGGTGGACACACGAAAAGGGCAAGCTTCCCGCGGGCCAGGATGTTCTTCGTCCCCTCTCGGCTCCTCTCAAGCCCACGGGCCATATTCGCATCCTGAAGGGCAACCTTGCACCGGGAGGAGCCGTCGCAAAGATCACCGGCAAGGAAGGGCTCAAATTTACAGGCAAAGCTAGGTGTTTCGACACGGAAGACGACATGGTCGCGGCGGTGGAGAACAAAAGCATCAAAAATGGGGAAAAGACGGTCATCGTGCTGCGCTACAAGGGACCCAAGGGTGGACCAGGCATGCCAGAAATGCTCAAGCCAACGAGCCTTATCATGGGGGCGGGTCTCGGCATGGACGTCGCCATCCTTACCGACGGTCGATTCAGCGGAGGGTGGGTAGCGAAGCTGGTGTGATTGCCAGCAATTTGATGTGCAAACCGCTGACGCACCTTCACATTTCCGGGCCTGCAGCTCTCATGGCTTCGTGATTGGACACGTTGTGCCTGAAGCGCAAGTGGGAGGCCCCATCGCACTGGTGCAAGATGGCGATGTGATCTCAATCGATGCGGAGAGCAACATCATGCAGCTGGACAATGTGTCAGAGGAAGAGTTGGAGAAGAGAAGGAAGGAGTGGAAGCCTAGGGAGCTCAGACCCAAGTCTGGCCATTTGCTCAAGTTTGTGCGAAATGTGTCGGACGCGAGCTTGGGATGCGTCACTGATTTGTAGAGTAGAATTGCACGAGCTTGACAATGCCAGGCTTTGCTCTTGGCTAGCATGGCCCTCTTCGTACAGCGCTCCTGGATCACCTTTTGCTCTCCACTCACGACTGCCTTTGCGTGGCGGCTGCTGTTGTGAGTGGTGCAGCAGCAGCGTCGCGTGTGTTTGTCGCCCGTCGGACGCGGATGCTTGCACTTGACCGAAGATCACAACAAAGAAACGGCGTAGGTCCACTCATACGAGCTGTGTGCTCAGGTCCTGTTTTGGTGGACGCATAGCCCTGCTCGTGTCATGAAGCGTGTCAACCATCAACGGTCATGCCTGTATATCCTTGCAGCTAGGCTGGCGAGCAACACCGAACGTCGTGACGCCACAAGCCGTGTGAGAGTCAGCGAGCTTGAAAAGCCTGTATTCCGATTAGCCACGCACGTGACCAAAAGTTTCTGACAAGGTGCAGCGTGAGCTGATTGACGCGAATCGTTCAAATTTGAGTCGCAGCTAAATGGCGAAGCACGAGGTGAATGCATTGCTTCACCACTATCACCTTTGCACTCAACCCAACGCACTGACCTTTCTTACGGGAATTTTGGAAGCCTTTATCAAGCTCTTCGACTCGCCAAGATTCTCGTTCAGCTCTACTTGGCCACGACCAGCTTCACGCACGAGACTAGCTTTGCAGCGTTTATCAGGATCACTTATTCAGGCTCGTTAGCAGAACGCCAAACGTCGCGCACACTATCGGGTGGCACAGAACACGCAACTTCGTCTTGACCGCTCAAGTAGTGAACAGCTAGGATGTCGGGAGCTCCAACGAGATCAAACCTGCTGCGCTTGTACAGAGACTATATGCGGACTGCGCAGAGCTTCGTGAGTGTCAGACGCAGTGTGGCGAATGGCGAATCGCGAATCGCGAATAGCATGGGCTCAGGCTGGCAAAGGCCTCATATTGAGCGCGTAGAACAGTCTCTTGTCACTTTGCTGACCCGCGGCGATCACTGCTAAATTGACCGTGGTCTCTTTTGCGCTGCTGCTAGTCATCATACAACTTCAGGACGTACTTTCAACGTCGATCGCGGGACATGTTCAGATCTGCATTGCTGCCTGAGCACGTCGCAACCTCTTCTCCTTACTCTCAGTCCGGCAACGTCACGGAGCCCGTATCGCCCTCCACCCTGACATCCACTCCACCCACCGGTCTCTCTTCGCCAGCAACGCAAGACGAGATGTTGAAAGCGTGGTACGACTCTGCTAGAAAGGATTTGGCGGTGCTTAGAAGATCTGCTTTGACCAATCAGATGTATGCGGGAGAGAAGTTGGTGGTGGAACAACCCAGACTGGTCGTTGGAGGTGGAGGTGCAGGTGGAGAGGCCGCTACGGGAGGAAGCGGTCAACCGGTCAGTGGACCTCAGAGCGGTGGAGGTGCGCCGCCTAGCGGATGAGGGGAGAAGACCGCGCAGCGATGCACACATGCCGAGTTGCCATCCAGACCGACCACTACTCAATGCATGAGCCTCGTGTATGCTTGTCCGGTCACGAGTCTACCGAATCTTTGCTCCGGATCACTAGACGTGCGACTATCGTGACAGTCGTCGTGAGCTGCAAAGCGATGCGACAGGCTGGACTCAAGACTCGGAGAGCGCGCCTTTTGCCTCATGATTAATCGAGTGATTATAGGCCAATGTCCGCAAATGCCGATGATATCGAGCTCGGCGGCGACTCATTCAAGACTCACCCGTCACCACTTTGACTGCAGTCAAGAGTCAGAGTCACGTAGTACGAGCCATCGTTTACGCTGTGTGCGGCTCGATCACGCGACTCGAGCGTGACGCGCGCACATGAGAGACAGGGTGCATGCTGCTGGGTGCCACGCATCATGGCGTCCATGATCGTGAATGATCGGAATCGTGGACTGTCAGAGTGAATGTCTTCGAATTTGCACCTCATGATGAACTCGATCGAGTCTCATATCGTCAATCGACCATCTCTCCGAACTCTTTGCCCGCCTCGACCTCAGAGCGCGCTCGCAAGCCTGGAAGATTACTGTGCTCATCTGTGCCGGCATCATGAGAAGACAGCTCTGGTCCGAATGTCGCGCAACGCATCATTGACCAAATCATCAACGACGAGTCACTGCGATTGGCAGCCATAGTGATACGTCGACGCGAACCCAACGCATCATGCCCTGGATCGGCCGCACTTCGTCATCCACCACGAGATGCTTCTTCTGCCACACCGCTTCCAGCGCTTCAGCATACGCGTCCACCTCTTCAGCTCCTTCAACACCACGGGTATGGAGGTGCGAAGAGTGCGGTCAGATCAATGCCAGCGATTGGGAAGTTGGGGAGAAGGCTAGAAGCATGGATGCTGCTGGTGCCGCTTTGCAGTACGAAGCGTCGAAGAGCGTCAGATACGCTTCGCCGATTGCCAGTGGACATGCGTCTCTTGGGCTTGGCAGACCCTCGTCGATGCCTCACAATGGCCACGAGCTCGCGACGCAACGCTCCAATTCCCGCTCCTCTGGGAGCAGACGCTGGCCCTCCAACGAGCTGGGCCGAGACACGTCGACGCAGATCAACAAGGGACCCTTCTGTCATAGGTGCGCAACAAATCAGACGATAGTCACCTCTCTCCTCTCCTCCTACTACCCTCAAAGCGGATCTGTGTCTGTGCTGGAAGAAGCGCAACTCGAATCAGAGTATCCTTCGTACGTCGCTTCGTTGGAAGAACGCTATCCCACTTTGTGCGAAGTGTGCAGACCAAGGGTGGAAGAGACGATCAGGGAGAGGGATAGGATGGCTAGAGCTCAGGCTTACCAGGGGTGGTTGGGAAGCGCAAGAGCGGAGCGGAATGGTGGTGCAACGGCGGAACGATGGCAGGATCACAGTCATGTTAGAACGAATCAGGCACACCTTCCCCGACCTCTTCACAACCCCACAACGCCAGACCTGCAGCACGGCACACGATTAGGTGTACTCGTCTGGGCCATCAGAGGAGCGCTTTGGGCAGCAAGCACCGCTGCGGGACTAACTCTGTCGCTGTGTGGTAAGCCACTGTGGGCAAAATGTACGGCTCTGTCCCAGCCTGTCGAACTGACCCGAGCTCCCTCTACTTTGCTAACACGTAGCGGCATTGCCGCCCCACCTGGATCCCATGCCATCGCCGATAGAGCATCGTGTAGCCCGACTCCTGCTTCTTAGCTTGCCTCTAGCACCGTTTTGGACCTTTTGGGATCCGTTCTACCTGCGTCTTCTGAGCACGAGAAGACGTCTGGGGGCGAACGTCAAAGTGCGATATCACGGCAGACCGCAGTGGCTCGTGAGTGCCACGAACGCTACGCAGCCCCGCTATTCGCTGCGAGACTCACATGCGGCTGCGTGCTTTTTGCGCTTGCAGCATACTCAAGCGCTTCTCCTAGTGCTCAGAAGTCTGGGTGCTCTGCTCTGCTTGCAGCTACGTGCGAACAGTGAGGAAATTCGTGACCCCGCGCTGAAGGCGTCTCACGATGTTTCGTGGTGGCACAGCGGCAGTACGGCTGCCAGCTGCTCGCTTGTACTGGCGTGGATCTTCAACAAAGCTTCGAGGACTGTCACTTCCGCATTCATGTGCCTCGCACAAGCCTTTGTGAGTAGGTCATTGGGCTACGAGATGCGTCTCGTCTCGCGCTCTGATCACGCTACCTCTTCTTCTGCGTAGCTGCTCTCTAGAGCCTGCCTAGCACTTTCGATCAGCAGACCCGCAAGTCTGAGGCTTGTGTCCACCTCGACTCCTGCAGCAGGTGCGAGGCGCAGCGAGCCGAGCTTGCGTAGTAGAACACCTTCACCCGAGACTACCTTTGCGGATCTGAATCTGGACCCTCTGGCGGCCTCCGCCTCGAAGCTGGGAACACGCAACGGCGGTGTCGACGGCAAGTCCTCCAGGCAACGGCACGTCTTCGGAAGGCCTTCCATGACGGGTGTTCTTCGTAATAGCCCGCAAGAGCGCTCGGATGACTGCAAGAAAAGTCTCCAGCGCCAGCGACAACCTGGCTTCGACACGAATTTGGACCTTCATGCCGACTCGATGGACTGGATGCCAAGCACCTCTGATCCTTCCCAGACTGCTCTGCCCAAAGCTTCCCCATTCAGAGCCCAATTGGCTCACACGAGCTCGCCAAACGCACCAATCTTGGGGCGTCAGACGTTTTTCGGCCCCGATCCTTGCTTGCCCTCGGATCTGTTGGATGGGTTCGGCAAGTCTCTGCACTTGTCAGGTACGGATCCGGCGACTGGATCCGCTGGTGATGGTAACGGGAGCAGACGAAAGTCGAGCGCAAGCAGTAGACAAGAACGCAGGATGAAAGAGCAGAACAGTACGAGAGTTGTTCTGTTCGCAGCGCTTCTGCTCCTTGTTGCTGTAGGACTTGCTGGTGTTCAAAATTCGCGAAATACCTCGCACCTCGAACACCTCGACCGACAAAATCTTGCTCTTGTCAGACTCGTTCATGGCGCCTGGAACGCTCTCAAGCAGCCTGTACTGCACGCTACCAGCAAAGCGCGGGACTTGTTTCGGTTGCCTCCCAAAATAGAAACTCGACTGGAGCTAGCAATCAGGACGCAAACCCCTGCGCCTCCCAGCGTCGAGGACTTGCGTGCGTTGGGTGAGGTATCGCACGAACCTACTGCCCAAAATGCGCAGCTCGCCTTCGAAGACGCAGAGCAGCCTGACGATGGTTGGAGTTCGTGGTCTGCGCCTGCAGAAGATGCTCTCCTAGCGGATCAGCCACCAGTCAGCCTCGGCGACCAGTCGATCAAGAATGGACAGCAGCGCGATGCAGAATCACCTCTGACTTCTGCAAAGACTTATCCTGCAGAAAGCAGGCATCAGACCTATCGCGCCCGCTTCACGCCCAGAGAGTCATGGTGGTAAACGGGGGCTCTTGTCAATGATAGCAATAAAAAACGGAGCTCTTTCAGAACCTCAAACTGCCATCGGAGATGAGCAGGGCGCAAGCAGTCCACTGTCGTGTCTCATACCTTCTCTTACATGTACTAAGTCGAGCCCGATTCAATATTGATACCCTCTCCCGCTCGAGTAATTGCAAAGGCCCAAATTTGTTACTGCGGCGAGACCTGCCGGGGCAATAGCATGCCAGGAATGGCTTCATATGACAGAACAGCGTGACACTCCAGACTTGTACAGGTTGCATGCATAGCAGATTGATGCGCCAACATCCTTAGTCGAAGACGATCTTTTTACCAGCGCCAGCTCCAGCAAGGGCTTTGGCTGCGGCGTCTTTGGCTTGCTGTTTGGCAGCCCAGCTAGGATGCACCTGGTCTTTGCTGACTTTTTCGTTTGCCTGCGGCTTACGCGCAGCTGGATGAGATGTGCGATTTGCCGGCCAGCCTGTCGAGGCGTGGGGACGAGGAGTACCACTTGATTCAAGCCTCTGGCTTCCAACCCCCACGCCCCATCCTCCATCCACTTTGGGCGGTGCTTGAAACGGGGCAGGCCTTTGTCTGCCCTTGGATGCTGGACCACCTGATGTATCTCGTCTGAACGGCGCGCCAAATCTCGAAGGTGCCTCTCCTTTGGGAGCTCTTGCTGGCGTCCAATCATGAGAGATCGCTTTCGACTCTTTTTGCTTGACCTTGATGTGATTAGCGTTGCGGCCGAATTTCTTTTCCCAAATTCTTGAGCGTCAAAAGGAGCCAAGCCAGGCATTGGTACGTTAGCAACGCACATTCCAACGCAACGTTGTTCGCAAAAGATCAAGCGGCGACCGACCTACTCACTTTCTCCTTTCCCTCTGACCTCTTCTATTTTTTCGAGCAGATTTGACAACCTTTCCACCCTTGTCCCTGTCCTCCGCATGTTCATCGATCTCGTCCATCTCGTCCCAATCCTCATCAGCCTCATCCTCTTCTCCGGAAAAGTCATCTTCTGCTCCTCGTTTCTTGTTCTTCTGCAGCTCCAAACCTTTACCACCGATGAAGCCTGTACGCAGAGAAGGTAGATGATCCTCGTCTTCGTCCTCGTCCGAATCGGTGTCAGACTGTGAAGGTTGGATTCGGCTCACTCGACCTCGCAAGTGGTTATCCGGCCTCCGTTGTGACTCGTCAGCTTGGCTAGAGCCTGCTTCTGCTCCGCTCTCATCAGCATTTGAGCTATCATCTGAGTCGTGTCCAACAAGTCCATCGAATTGGCTGAGGTCTCCGAGAGATTCCAGCATCCTCTGAGCTTCTTCCTCGTCCAAGTCGCCTTCGTCGTCCTTGTCTGAGCTTGGATGTGCATCCGCATCCCCGTGTGCCTCGTCCGCCTCATCGCCTTCATCCTCTGAAGCTCCTGACCATTCCCGCTCCAAGAACGAGTCAGGCGCAGTTTGATGGGCGGACGTAGGGTCAGGCTCTTTGAGTTTCTTCCCTGCAGCGCTTTTGGCGCTTCCGTCCTTCGCCTTACTCGCGTCAGAGCTTGGCTTTTCCTTTGAATCTGAACACTTGCGAGTTTGCCCAGTGATGCCGAGCAATGCTTGCAGAGCTTCCACAGCGTTCTTGACCTCATCAGCCAGAGTCTTGTTGCTGCTGACCTTGGACACGGCTTTGAGAGTCATTGCTCCGTCCTTAGAGCTCACATCGTCGCCCTTTGCGGACTTTGGTCCGTCGAATAAGGATGACCTGAGAGCGGCATGAGAGAGGACCGCCCTCAAAAGTGGCCACGATTCCTGATCCTGCTCTGAAACTTCTTTATCAGCGGCAAGCTGCGCGAGCTCTTTCGGCCGCGGTAGCAGTCTCGCTTTGCTGAGCTTGGAAAGTAGCACGGAAGCAGCGACAGCAGCAGGATCGACATTCTTCAGAGCTTTCAATTCTCTCTCCCCTTCCTCTCCGCCATCCGTCGAACCTGATTGCTTCAAGCGCTTGATCTGCTTTTGCACCTCGAAAGTTCGAGCTCGTTTGGTCGCGGTGGTGGAAAGAGTGATGGTGTGGTGCTGAGCAGAAGCGATGTGTGTACGCGCGTGCGTGTCAGCTCTTGGTGAGCCTCTGCGGCCTGCAACTCGACTGGCAGGGTTACAAATTAAACCCCACTCACCAGCTTCTTCTTGAGCTTCGCCTCATCGACAGATACCCTGCCGGACTCCACTCTGCGCCCATTCTGGGCTTTTGGCTCGACCGTAGCTTCCATAGTCTCAGGGCCTAGTGCCGCCACCTCTTCTGGCTCTGTCGCGACTGAGCGCACCGCTTCTTGTGCATCTCCTTGCTCCTGTGCGGCTGCAGAATGAGCAAAGGACACTCGTCTCTTCTCCTTTTCGACAAATCTCTTCCCATGGCCCCTCTTAGTCAGTTTCTCGCTCTCAGAATCGTCCACTGGGGCGATGGATTTGTCATCAGTGCGCTCCAAGTCTCGGCTTAGCTTACGCTTCTTGAGTGCGGGCTCGCTCGTCTTGCTCGTCTTGCGGGTGCCGGCGGAGATGCCAGCGTACAAAGCATGAGACATCCTAGACGAGCCGAAGGCAGAGATGTGAGTCGCATTCGTGTGCAGCACTGCAACCAATGCTGGGCCAGATAGGGAGAGCGTGATGCTGCGGGGCCGAGGAGAGGGAGCGGAGAGTGCTCCTTTGTAGCAGCTGCTGCACCCCTCGAGCGAGAACTCGCGCAAAATGGCGACACAATCAAAGTTTGAGTCAGAGTCACGAGTGATTAAGAAATTTGGAAGTCAGAGTCAAGAGTTTTTGAGTTTGAATTGATGGGTGCGCACACGTGACACATCGCGCAGGGATCAATTTACGCGCCCATCAGCTGCACGGGCGGGCAAGCAGGACATCGCGATCGATCGCGAGGCAGGCAGGCAACAGCAGGAGCAGCATCCGCGCAAACAGCATCATGCCGCGTCGGCGCGTTAGAGTTGCCAATTGAATCTTCAATTTTAATATGAAACGAGCAACACGCGCGACTTGTACGCACAATAGTAAAGCGCGCCGATCGAGATCCCTATAATATACACATGGACACCCCGCCAGCACCTGAGCCCTGCACCAACACATCCGACTGGACCTCGCTAAGCTGCGCACACATCTTATTATTCCTGACGCAACGATATCCCATCGGGCTCGCGCTCATGGTTGCCCAAAGGTGGTAAGTGATATGTGCGATCAACGCCACGCGCGTGACAGTAAGGTGTCTGACTCGGCCCTGCTGCTGGTCACTGGGACATACTACCAACACCACCATCAGGTCTAGACACCACAAGTAGTTCGAGCCAAGAGCGACCTTCTCCGCGCAATGTCAGAATCCATCAGGTCTTGGCTTTACAACTCCTCCCTCTCCCAAGCGGTCAACCTCGCTTCTACACCTGTGCGAGCCCAAAAGGCAGAAGAGCAAAATCGAGCATGGTTGAACAATGTTGCGGCTGCTCGGACAGCGGCGAGAGGGAAAGGTGGTGTGGGCCCTCGCAGCCCGAAAGCCAAAGGCAACGAGACGGACAAAGGCAATGGGAAGGCATGTACGCACATGCTGGGCAAAGGCACCCCTGCTGCGACTGCGCTTTCGACCACCAGCAGTGCCAGTCGCGCGTGGACGCTGTCGCTGGACGATGTTCCCTTTTGGCCGGGCTCGAGAGTTCAGCTGCTGAAGGTTCTTCAAGCTCCTCGTCTCTCCCACCTGCGCTCATCAAAGAAGCATTCGGAGACCCGAGATGAATGTGCGTGGGTGTTGATATCGGACAGGACCCACTTTTCGCACGCCATGCTAGACGGGGCAGCATTGCGCTTGTTCGCCAATTTGTACGCAGACAAGGAAATGTCAGACTTTGACGGTGCCATTCTCGCTTTGAGGAGCGTCCGAGCTAGCGTAACATTATGGCCGCTTCCATCTGCCCCTCATTTTGGCAACAACACAACATGGCACCCGAGCTACGCTCGCTTGGTGCTGCACGTTGGCGCCTTTGACCTGTTGGGCAGTCTGGGCGAATCTCGATTCTTTGCCGACTTGGACGACCTGCACGCATCTCTCATCGGCGATCCTCTTAAGCCAATTCAGCTGCCAAGCCTCTCCGCGCCGATGAAGGTTCACGACAGTGATTTCACCTTTTCCCAGCTGGGTCTCAGGGACGTGGCGGATGGACCGCAGGGAGTGGGAAGGATAGCAGAGGGCCAGCTAGCAAATCTCGCTTGCCTCCGAATTTGGTTTGCCGCTGCGAGCTCGGAAGTGAGCGGCCGTTGGTTGCGCTCCGTCGAAGAGGCGAAAAGGCTGCAGGAGCTTGAGCTGCAGAATCAGCAGAGAAAGGACGATAGAGCGGCGAGAACCCTCGTGGTCGACGCTACGCTTGCTCCAACCGAAGGTGTGCCGCCCGCTTTGAATGGGGCACAGCCTGCCGGGTCTCAGACCAACAATGCCCGAGTGCCTACGCCAGAAGCTTCAGAGGCAAGTGAGTGAGGGTGCAAAGGTGCGCTGTGGCACCAAGATCGTTCATGCAAACTGATGGAACCCTTCGCACGCCCTTCAGCGCGACAGTCCAGCTCACCCGAAATGCCTCCCCCTGGACAGAGGCCGCATGCACTGGTCGCTTTTGCCAAGAATGCCTCTTCTGCGAACTACGTGGAGCGAGGACGAGCTGCCACGCATCAAAAGACGGGACAAGCCCGAGTGGCGGATGATGGCTGGGGAGTGAGTGGCTGCCTTGCAATGTCTCTATCTGAGTCACATATGGCAATAGCATGACTGACTCATATTTCCTCTCTTAAACGCGCCTCAGGACTTTTCGCTCTCACAGACGGCGGAACAGCTGGAGAGGGAGCAGGAACTGCTTGATGCCGAAGCTGCTGCTGCTGCCAACGCCACTACTCAGCCTCAAGCCGAATCTGCCGAGCTGTCACAGAGCTCTCCGCCAACGTATGGCTTGTCTGGGTTTCAAGCGAAGCAAGCGCACGCGGCTGGAACGAATGTTCCTCCTCAGGGAGTCACCGCAACGTGGCACTCGAGCACGGATTCGGACAAGGTACCATCATCTCCTGACCCCAAGAATGCAGCTGGTCTGCCTTTCGTGGACAAGAGCGTTCAAAAGGACTCTTTGGATGCGACGGGATCAACGGGTGTGACGGATTTGATGGAAGCTGCCGCGCAGGCTAGTGCAGAAGCTCGTCTCGGCAATCGTCAGCGGGATCAAGCACGGAGAGGGATCGACGCCGCAGCGAGCTCTTCGTCCAGATCCGTAATCACCCACTCGGACTCTCAGGATGCTAGCCGATCTGATCTGGCGCTCGAAACGCTGCCCGAATCGATGGAGCGCTTATCTGCGCGTCGCGCGCCAAAGCGAAGCACCTTTATTCCAATGTCCGACTTTGGCGATTCTGACGTCGAGATGGATGATCAAGATGCCAGTCCCGAGCAAAGACAGCCAGAAGCGGCTGGAGTGCGTCGTGGTCATTCGAGCGAAAACTTGTCGCACCTCAGCCCTTCGGCTCCCTCAATTCCCGAGGGAATGTCTCTGCCATTCTTGTTCCCATCCACCAGCTCCCTTTCTTCTTCTTCTCACCTAGTTGGAGAGTCGAGCGCCAGCAATGGACAGAGTGGACCCGCTCCATCAATGGGGGAATCCTGCACGCTATCTAGCACTTCGAACGGATCCATTGGGAAGCATGACGAGCGTCAAAATGCTCCGACAGGATATGCATCGATTCCAAGATTTGAGACTGCTACACCGCCCATGCCAGAACCCGCGCATATCACGCATGAAGCATCTGTGCCGAATGAGCTGGGTAGTGAAGAAGCATCCCGATCGAAATCCCATCCACCGCCGTACCGCTTCAAAAGACCACCCGCGCCGCCCACCTCCCCGTCAAAGGTTTCTCTGAGACGTATCATGCGCCGAGAGCAGCCTCCTCGGCCAGTCGGGAGCACGAGCGGATCAGTACAGCTCCACAAGTCCGCAGACGCATCGCGTCCATCGAGCTCAAAGACGGCGGCGGACGGAAATGATGAATCGGAAGGGGCGCACAAAAGGCTGACGGGAGCACATGTCACCACAGCCGCGCCTGCGCACAAAGCGGATCAGGCGCGCTCATCTGAGAATTTGCTCGCCGAGAAGCCGAAGCCGATTGCCCGAGTAGCAGATCAGCATGAGGAAAAGTCGATCGAGAAGAAGCTGACGGCCAAACGCAAGGCGGAGAGGAAAGAGGCGGCGAGAAAGCGCTACGAGATGAGAATGGCCATGATAGAGGATTGAGCCTTTGGCTGTGCTGAGTTCAGTCGATGGGATGCCATTCCGTTCGCAGCGATCCGATCAAATGCGGGTAAGGGATGACCTTGTACACTACTATCACTTTTACCTTCTTTGCACGTCTGCACAGCCGCAGTTGTACAAAGCTGTCCCATCACGGACGAACGACTCAGAGACGCCGCACACCAGCCTAAGTGTCTCATCAGTAGCCGTACTTTTTGTGTGCCAGTCTGCCCAGTAGACCAGGTCTGGGAAGCAAGAAGCATATGCGCGTCAGGAGACCTAGCTTCGCCCTTCGAGATGGCACCACAACTCGACCACTTACACGAGCGCTCGCGCAAGTCTACTATGTTTGTACTTGCTCGGCAGGGCCACTTCGCCCGTAGCGTACTGATCCGTCTTGAGTATGGTCAGATCGGCCACTTCCTTGGGAAGCAGCACGTCTTTGGCTCCTTTTTCGCCCTGGGACGGATGAGAAGCGTCGAAAGCGCCGGCAGAAGTGGGATCTCCATCCACTGCGCTAGACCTGAAATCCGTCTTGATCGTTCCTGGCAAGATGGCCAGGAAGGAGACCGCTGCTCTCTTCTTTGAGCCCATTGTCTGATTTGAAGCGGCTTCATTGCGCAGGCGACGCGTCGATTGGGCATGAGATTGGGCTTCGAGCGCCAGAGATTGAAAGAAGAGGAGCTGAGCAGCTTTGGAGGAGCCGTACAGGGCTCGAGTGGGCGCGGGGACGAGGGCTGCGACGCTGCTCAGAAGAACAAAGCTGGGTGCGCTGGATGTCAGCTGCAGGATGGGAAGCTGCGGCCAGAATTCCAGCATGAGATCAGAAAGGCTCGAGTCAGCTGAAATTTCATTCATACAGAGGGAAATAGCGCTTGTATTCGGACATCGCTTCGAAGGTCACGGTGACACTCACCAGAGCCGTGGCGCACAACGCGGTGGCAGTCACGTTGACCTCGTTGATGCGATTCGCGGCAAGTCGGACAGCTTCCAGTCCAGCCAACGAAGCATACTCTGGCTCTTGCGACGATGCGAGACTGCCGTTCTGGAGGGAAGGAGAGCCCTTGCGGATGGGATCTATATCTGCGATTCCCAGCACAGGACGTAGAGCAGAGAGTCCGAAGAGGAGGTGCACAGTGTCCAAACCACCGAACGCTATGGTAAGGTCGGACATGCGAGGAGGTGAGCGAGGAGTGCCAGACTACGTCCTCGCTTATGACACTTAGTTCCAGTTGTATGCGGTCACTCACCATCGAGCACCGTCTGCTTGATCTTGTCCACCTGCTCGGCCTTGGAGCAGTCGGCAGCGAGGGAGAGAGTCTTGAGCGAGCCTCTCTCCTTGTAGCCAGGCGCTTCATCGCTCATCTCCCACTCTTCTCCCTTTAATCTGATCACATCGCACTCCGCTCTAACCCTTTCCAACTCATCCGCTCTCCTAGCAACCAATAACAATTGTCTACATCCTCTTTCCGCATACCTCAATGCCAACTCTTTGCCCACTCCTGAAGATGCTCCCAGGATGACGACTCGCTCGCGGTAGGGCGGAATGTGCGTTTGACGAGGTCTGGAACGACTACGAAAGAGGATGAGGATTGGAATGGGAGCGAGAAAGGCGATGAAGGTGAGCAGCGGTGTGAACCAGACTGGAACGTCCAGGCCGAACAGTGCAAAGAGTGAAGTGATCCACTCTGGTGTTCCTAGGTTGGCCGCAAAGAAGGCAGCTTCGGTGGCCGCTGCCGAAGCGGTGGGGTGCGCTACAGACATGATCGAAAGGCGAGATGCAAGGCGGGCCAGGATTACGCGAGGCTGCTGGCGCGACTCGGATGATGGTTGCGAAACTCTTGGAGGAGGTTCCGATGGTAGTGCGAGGGGTGATGGTGAATTGAGCGCGAGGTCGATGGAGAGGATGCTGCTGAGGTCATCCCATCTCATTCAAGATTGCAATCCGAACTCGTAATCATAATTCGTGATTGTGATTGACTATTCACCATTATTCAAGATGCACGCTTCTGGCAGTGGCAGCTATCAGATCCGTGCGCAGCGTATGCTGAACTCACTATACTCCCCGCGATCAGCAGCGCAGACAGCAGCGGCATATAGGTGAACGCGCCTAATTGCGCTCCGAGTTGCGAATATCGCGAATCGCGCATGTCGTCATGGCGCGGCAACTTTAACTGTGACTTGCGACTCTTCTTGCGTCGGACACACCTTGCCATGATCGCGATCAGCAGCAGCAGGCAGCGACTTGACTGAGCTTCCCCTCACCCGCACTCGTGACTCCCTCCTTGCGACTCACACACATGCATGCTGCTGCAAATTACGGCGACGAGTCCCCCGCACTCGTCGTTACGGATGCAGCAGCGATAGGCATCCACGTCTCAAGGTGTGCAAGCACATCCCATCCTCTCATCATTCGTATCTTACGTGCGCTCGGGCAGCCTGGGCTTCTATAATGCGACTTGCATTCGTGATTGATACACTCTGGTTCACGCTACCAACAGAACAGAAGTTGGCACACGCACACACACACGCAGTCCCTCTATTGACCTCTACCGCTATCTGTGCATTCGCAACGCAAGCAGCAACCTATTCATCCAGTCTGAGTATACTACACGACGCCCGCTCTGGTGCTCAGATCAGCACCATGGCGGCGCAAGCCGCAGCGATCGCGCCCGCCACTCCACTGAGCGCGTCGAGTCTGCCATTTGCAGAAGAGGAGCTCTGCGATGCCGTCTGCTGTTGAAGACTCTTTGGTTGTTTGCCCGACACCAGCGCGGCTGCTCTTGATCCCTCCGCCGGTGTGATGTTGCCTGAAGTGCTGCCGACGCTGATCAGCTTTCCTTGTCCCCAAGCAATATCCTCTCCATCAGGTTGCGTTTCGTGTTCTGGCGCAGTCGTCTCCCCGTTCGCCGATGCGAGCGTAAAGCGAGTTGTCCAGGTCGTCGCATTTGATCCGGACGGGTTCGAAAATTGCTACATCAAATCGTCGTGGCATGAACAGTCAAGTCAGCAATGAAATCACTCGGCGCTTTCAGCTGCGTTCGAGAAGGCGCGCGCGCGTGCGTCTCACCAAAAAGTAGATCTTGGAATAAGGCTGAGCGTCGGGACATTGAAAGTCGTACTTCGTCTTACTGTAATCCGTACCGTCCAAATTGGAGGCGACGGTGGCCAGCTTGGTCATATTGTCGTTGCTACCAGTCATCAGATCGATGGTGAAGTTTGCCCAAGGAGCTTGACCATTCGTCCAAGCGAATGCGGGCGACCAGGTGGTTGAGCAGGTTCCCCCTGATTTGAATACGTCTGCCGGGCCTGGAGAGAGAGGCACCAGCGAAGGACCGGCAAGTGGCGCAGCTGTGGGAGCTGCTGCTGCCGCCGCAGATGTGAGAGATGCGCTGGCTGCTACGACTTGAGCCAGGTCGCTCGAAGAGGCTTCCGGAGCAGCAGGTGTGGCTGCGACGTCCCCGTCCACTCCCGCGCTGCTCACTGGGGCCGCCTGGCCAAGCTGAGCAGCGGCGACCACGCACATCAGGGTAAGCGCCGTAGCTTTGAGCTGCTGCTTGGGGTTTGAGCGCATTGCGAAACCTGATAGCGATGTTCTGGGTAGATTGAAAGTCACCCAAGGCCAAGCGGATGGGCAGAAATGATGCCTATGGGCGAACGAGCAGATGCAGCGCGAACAGATGAGGTTAAGCGATGTAGAAGCAGAAGGAGCACTCTCGCTTTGCGAAGGAGGTGCGTGTAAGAACGGGCAAGTCACACGATCAACGTGTGCTGCAAAAGAAGAGGAATGGTTAGAAGGTAAGGTAGACAGGATATCAAAGGTGCGGTCGAGGAAAAGGAGAAGACGAGAAGAGAGGTGAAGGGGGGAGGAAGAGCAAATCACAAGGTGAAATTTCCTTCTTGTAGTCTGCCACATTCGCTTGTGATGGAAAGTGCACCTCACTTCTCCCGGTCGTTGGCCTTGGACTCCGACCCGTCACCATGGACCAGGAACCGTTGGCGCCACTCAACATCTTCTAGGTCTTGAACGATGGCACCGACGAACATCACGAACCAGGTGCGCGCGGTCGGATATTGTACTGCGCTCAGCCACTGCATCATCAGCTGCAAGGGCGGCCTGTGAGGGTATCGCGAAGTTGTCGTGAGTGATGAACTGATAGCGTGGGGAGATGCGTCGCGGTACAATTCAACAAGGGGATGCATCGTATGCTGTGCGCACCGCGAACCTTGCTTGAAGCCGTTGCGGAGTTCATTGACCATCTCGATGGTGTGGCTTGCCGTGCGAGGATCCTCGATCATCTAGACGCTTGTTCATGAGGTCTTTCTCGCTGTCAGTCTAGGCGAAAATGCTTGCTTACCGCGATCTTGCTAAGGCGTACACCCAACGAAGCCTTGCTCGATGATGTGACATGACTCGTCCAACCGCCTCTTCTGCCTTGTTCGCAGCGCGCACGCGCTTTCAATTAATCCTACGCTTGTCCTCGCTCACATGCAGGTCCAACGCTTTCCTTTCTTGGCTACGCGTTCATCGATGACGCTCGAGCGCCATACGCGCCCCTACGGCGGACCCTTGCTGCCATTGCCTTTTTGCCCTCAGAGCATGCTACCGACCTTGAAGTGGATGGTCGTGGTCGTGGATGGAGTCGTGAGCCGTTCAAACTCGAGCGAGCTCCATGCATATGCGGCATGCGAGCCGGCTTCACGCAGGCGCCCTGTCACGCGGCTGGCAAGCGAGCTGTCACGTGGTCGAAGTATAGGCGGCGCAAAAGAGCCGGCGATCCAGCTCAGAGCGGCTTGTATACACATGCGTGCCATGCTGTTGTTTCTTCTGTAGGTATATGACTCTTGCGAGAGCAGCCCGCCTCCACCACCATTCCACTCGAGGTCAGCGAGCAGAACCATCGCATGCAATCACGAATCATGTACGGCGACAGCTGCGCACTTACACGCTTCGCAAGTCCAGAGGGCTTTGGCCATGACGTTCATTTGGCACTGAGCCGGCACGCAAGGTCTTGACGCTGCGCTGCGTGTTAGAAGTTGCGACCGCTCAACGGCCAGCATGCATATAACCGTCAACCCGCTTTGGCACTCGAGCTTGCCAGCATGGAGGACGCGGATGCAAGATTTCAGGGCGAATGGAATATGTATCCACTTCAACCGCCTCGTGACTAGTCAGCGTCGCGTGCTGGGCGTGACGTGGCGACGTCATTGCTGGGAGTCGAATTTCGGCAAAGGACAGACGATTGGCATGCCGAGCGGTCGCGCTCGCAAGACGTTCAAATGATGTCTACTGCAAAGTCGACGGACGACAGGCGGTTGGTGTATGCGGAGCAGTAAGCGAGAAGCAAGATGCTGGCAGTCGCAAAGTCATTGATTGAGCTTTGGCCATAAAGTACCAGTCGTCGCTCGCCCGCGCTCTTGCTTTCCGTCTCTCACTCCAGCTTGCTCCCCAAACCCTTCATCCTCCCACTGCTTACTCTGACTTCCCCCACAAAAGTGCAAACGCGCACCTCACATTGCTCTGCGAGCATCACTCATTCCTTCACTTCCAACTTGTACAGGAGCCAGGAGCTCACATCTCAAATCGCACAGGCTGCATCACATTTCTCCATTTGTTCCCCCCTCTCCAGCCCTTTCCCACCCCTCTTTTCTCGACCAGCACAAGATGACTCCGTTCGCCCGCGTCTTCTTGCTTCTCCTCCCCCTTGTTCAGCTCGCCTGTTCGGTGCCTCTTGGCAACAGCCTCAACGAACGACGGCAGACGAGCGGCGGCGCAGCAGCTGCCTCTCCCTTCCAGGGCAATGCTCGCTTCTCGAGCTCGAGCACAAGCAACTTCCCTCAAGCTCCACCCTTGCCACCTCTGAGAGCTCTCAACACCCGCCCCGCTGTCTCTTCTGCCCCGAATGACGAAGATGCAAGTGATGCGCAGACCACAACGCCCGCTGCTGGAGACGGCGTTGGCTCTGCTTCAAGCTCAAGCTCAACCGTTCAGGACGACGTCACTAGCACAGTCGATGAGAGTGTCCAGCCCACCTCAGACTCCCGAGTGCTCGCTGCCACAGCTCAAGCAGCAGACGCTAATTCCGAGCTACAATGGGTGAGCTGGTCATCGCTCAAAGTCCCTTTCGCTGGTCGCGTTGCTGATCATAAGTTCCTTTCGCCTTGGTATCACAGATTCCTTCAGCCGATGCGAAACAAGGAGAGCAAGATGGCACGTCCGACTCTGCAAGCAGCGCAGGCAGCGAAGCTGCTTCTGCTTCGGATGACGACGAGTCTTCGGACAGTGCAGCCTCTTCGGCAAATCAGCTCGATTCCACTAACTCCGACTCAACGGACAGCGCCTCGACTCCTGCCTGCGGGGCTGCGGCTCAGCAATTGAGTTCTGCGCAAGCGAAGAAATTGATCGCCCAAGCAGTCTCTTCCGTCACTGCCGCTATGGCCTCAGCGACCGCTACTGCTACACACACCTTCGATGATGGCATGTGGCACCCCGCTACTTCTTCGGCCATCCCTTCAGCCACGTCTGATGCCTCTTTGAACTTCAAGAGCAATTCTGAAGATGCAGAGGAGGACGCCTCAGCCTCTGACGAAGTCGGCGACGAAGGCATGCAAGATGTCACCTCCGCCGACTCTGCAGCTTCGGGCGCCCAAGACAGCTCAGCAGATGAGAGTGACGCTTCGGTAGAGCGTCGCAGCATCTACCATACTCATCATGGGAAAGACAAGAAGAAGGTGGACAAGTCTTCAAAGGTGACACCTCCCGCTTCGAGCACCAAGTCCAAGAAAGGTCACAAGTCGAAGAAGGGCAAGAAGTCCAAGTCGAAGGGCAAAGGCAAATCCAAGAGCAAAAAACAAAAGATCTCCAAGAAGCGCGCTTTGCAAATCGTCGTTGCTGGACCATATCGCAGACGTTCGCTGGTCGTGACTGGATCAGACGGTGCCTCTATCAGCCTTGTTGGTGGGGATGCTGACCTGCTGCAGGCTAATATCAAGTCAAGCAACGGCGCCTTGATCCATTTGAAGTCGAGGGCGCACAACCACCCGCACGAGCATGACCACGAACACGAGCACGCTCATGTCCACAGTCACATTCATTCCCACGGTCACTACCATCGTCGTGATCTCGGAGCGGGCTTGACTTCGCTTGTCGGACAACTCGGCGTTCTGCAGCCTTTGGACGGCGCTATGTCGGGCACGGGATTGTCTCAGCTGGTAGCGAACCTCGTGCTCGCTCCTCTGCAGGCCGTCGGTTCTGCAGCTACCAGTGCTCTGGGAGGTGTAATGTCACCAGGTCGATTTGCTACTGGCCCCGCAGACCCCAACGTGCCTTCACCCAATCAATCCTCTGCGACCAACAGCACTTCGGCGTCAGCCCCTCCTGTCTTTATGCTCTCGCCCAGCACTAGCTCTTCGGGCGTCAAGCTTCAGCTGATCGAAATGCCCGACTCGGATGGCGGAAGCGGTGCTAATGCCGGATGGAAGCAAGTCGAGTTGCAGGCCACGTTGACTACGGCACCTTCCAATGAGCCGCATCTCTACTGTGCAACGATTCGCAAACCCGCTAGTCTTCGTATGGAAATCTGCGACGATGAGGCCTCCAAGACGACGGCCGACGGGTCGGCTCCCGACGATCAAGCTGCGAGCAGAAGATTCTTGTACGACCCGACCACTGGCGAGGTTGTGCCAGCGTCCGCTGCTTCTGCAAGGACGACGCCTGCTGCACCTTCCGCACCAAGCTCAAGCGCCGCCTCCAGTAGCACCTCTCTGACTCCAGCCAGTACATCCACCAGTGGGACCGGCGCACCAGCTCAAGTGGCCTCTATGCCTGTCCCACCGGCGCCCAAAGCTGCACCGAGCCGCCGTGGTCTTGGCGCCGCCAACCTTGGAGACAATTCTTCAGATGCCAATCAATCGACGCAAGTAAAGCTAGTCTTCTTCGTCGACGCTCCTAAAGGAGCAGATGCGAGCGCAGCTCAAGCAGCTCAAGATGATGCTTCTTCCTCCGACACGCAGAGTGCAGACAGCAGCAGCAGTGCAGTAACACCGAGCGATGCAGCACTTCGTCCTGCATTGGTGTCGGATGCGCAGGACGATGCAGCAAATGCTCACGAGGAGGCGACCGATGCAGATGTTGCAGGAGATTCAGACGGTGACACTATGCCTGGAGATGATGCTTCGTCAGATGCACCTGCCGACAGCGACACTGGTGACTCTCGATTTGCCTCCAATAGCGCCGTTACGGATTCGAGCGATGATGCGCAGGACCAAGATAGCACTGATGCTGATGAAGAAGATCAAAGCAGCGGATACTCTGCTTCTTCCTCGGCTCCCGCCAGCGCAACTGCCACCATCACAGGAACCAGTCTCACTGGCACGAGCGGGTCGGCGTCCGCTACACAGGCCGCTTTAACAGCCACATCTTCTACCGTGGCCGGCGCCACTGGTGTGCCTTTGCTCTCGGCACAGATGGCCACTACCCTCTACCCGCAATCTTCTGCTGCTCCAGCTCCGACAGCAAGTGCCGGCGATGCTTGAACTTTTCGAATCGGCTGCACAGAAAGAAACTCAGGCGCCACTTCCCTCAGCTCGCCGTCCGTCTATCATACCCGCGCCACCTCGAGCTCCAGACCGAACAACTTCTTACTCTTCTAGTGCTACGTATAATCACATGCTTTTATCCCCATATGGGACTACGTGCGCGTCTAGCGCGAGCAGCGATACCTACTGCCGGAAAAGTGAGAGCGATTCCGATCGATGACACCATGTAATCTTGATCGTACATCTGGCTGTCCTAAATCGAACCGCGTCTAGAACATGTTGGTTCGATCATAAGAGCGCGGAGGCGAGTACAAGCGGCCACTGAGGAGTTCGCGACCCGTCCCATCGTACGGACTCGGTGTGAGCTTCAAGCCTGCTGTGAAAGAACCTTGAGATGTCATCACCTTAGCTTTGAGCACCAGTGGCTTGAGAGGCAATGTCGATTTGGACGCTAGAGCTGCGCGTCGTGGGGATGTAGGGCTACCCCTGAACGTGCTCGATGAGAGAACATCGCAAGTCACGGAGCGCTGCAAAGATGTCGATGTGGTCGCTCTTGATCTAAACGCGCTCGAATTGGATCTACGTTGAGGTGGAGAGGGTGTCTGCCACGGAGTGAGCAGAGTGCCCGTATGAGCCTGTGGTGTGAGTGGTCGAGACTCAAGCTCTTCGAAGCTACCCTTTCCACCTTCGCACAAGGTCTTGTCGGAACCACTCGATGCATTGCGCGCCACGCCTCGTGCGGTCGAAGAATAGTAGCGCGCTGACATCCTTGTGTCGGCTTCTGTTGAGGGCGCGAGTGCTGCGTTGATGCCTCGTCCGCAGCTGTGTCCTGACGATCCGCTCTGCGAGGTGCCATAAGAAGGAGGCATCGATTGGCACGAAGCATCTTGCTTGCCTCTAGCTGATGCAGTCGTCGGTCTGTCCTCCTGATAGCTGCGTGGACTACAGGCACACCCATGATTGCCATTTCGCCCCCGTGACAAAAGGTTGCGGCTATGTGCAGTCTGTCCCCACTTTGGTCGTTCAATGTCCAGGTACGGCGTCACTCGAGGCTGCGAGCTCGCTGACGATGCAAGCACACCATCTATCAGCAGCAAAATAGTCGCAAAGATTTCAGGCTGCTCTTCCATCGTGTAGAGAAAGAGCTCGTGCATTTGCTTCCTGTATGCGTTCCAAGTCATGAGCAGAGCGACTTGTCGGAGGATGAGCAGCACTGTCGCGAGAAGCAGGAGCCAGACTGGCTTGGCTTTTGGTAGTGTCTGCTCTTCGTAGGCGACCTGCTCAGCCACAAGAGTTCTGATTGAAACGCATCGAGCCTCCTTGTGACACTCCCTGCTCGTGCGAGCCGCCGCGCGCGGTGGGCTGGGCAAGTCCGCAACGACCGCCCTCCCGGGTGACATGGCTTGCATCCGAGACAGCATACCGTCGCTGACAGCTCTAGAGCTTGGCATTGCAGACGCCGCGCCTGTAGACTCGATCAGAGGGCTATCTGCAGACCATACTGTAGCTCGGGACGCTGCACGGGCCCTTCGCTCGGCGTAGCTCAATGTCGCATCTGACGGGGAGAAGGTGACTGAAGGTCCTCTGCACGACTTCTTCGGGGCTTCTTGTCCGTCGTCCTTCTCATGGATCCGAAACTCTTGACTGCGCTCTTCATCATCCGCCTGCAGACCTTTTCTCATCTCGCGCAGGTGCTTCCGACAATCCTGACGAACCTCATTTTGCCGCGCCAGGGCTATGATGCACAGAGCTGTCGCAAAGAGAAGGACCAAGAGGCAGAAACCATGTGAAAGCTCGTACGAGTCGTGTCCATTTTCCTGGACCCAGTGCTGGGTTCCAAGTGCTTGCATGAGTTCGCCGAGGACGCCCTGGTGGCAGACAAAGCCTCGTTGAGTACTGGCGAAAATTGAATCTGGCGGCCACGGGCGCGGGGGAGGCACTCACACTTGCCAAGGCCAAGACACACAGACCGAAAGCCGTCATTTTCCCCACAGCCAGTATTGTCAAAGATCTGGAGCACTGCACATCACCCACCGCACGTGCACTGATTGATCGATAGGTCATTAGTCGTCGGGAGTCTCACGAATAGCATGCGCGTTCTGTACTTACTGATTATCTGCGCCGCAAAAGACTGCCAGAATTAGCGGGACGAGACCACCGGCGTATATCGAGAACCATGAAGCCTGGAGCTTGTTGCCTGCAGAGCCATATCCGAGGTGAGGAAAACAGACTAGCACGCAGCGGAAGAGCCAGACTGCGAGTCTGACTACGTAATTACAACAGAAGGCGAAGGCAAAATTCAGATGAAGCTCCGTCTCAATCCTCACACAGTCCAGACCGTACTCACGAAGAATGTGGATCGCAAGGAGGATGTGTGCGTTGTTTCTTCGCGTGCGCATGCGCCAAATCACGAAGCCCAGGAAGATAAGATAGTAAAGAGAGGAATTGAACGCAGAGTGACGTGTCTGTATGCGACCATATTTGGTCATCCAGTTGTAATGCTCGCCCTTGCAAGCGAGAAATGGAGGGTCAGTCGTTTACCACAGCTACACAGGACGGCATCTATTCGAGCAAAGGACTCACCAGTTGTTCCTCTGTCATGGTGGCGTCGTAAGCGGAAGGGTTCATCTTGGATCTGCGGCTAGCAGATCGATAGCAAAGGAGCGCGGACGGCTGTGTTTAATCTGGCCCGCCGGGAGCCGGTACCACTAAGGGCGCAGGAATACTGGATATGTTGAGGCGTGATTGACTCGGCTTGCGAGGACGTCGCCAGCTCCTCAAGAGCTGCTTGCTAGGACCGCGCCGGGGGAAATGATGCCTTGGTGATATAGACACTTTCCTCAAGGGAGGGAGCGATACGAGGCCTCCTGAGGCCTGTGTCTGCGATGACGAGGAGCTTGGAAGGAAGGTGATGTGAAACTTGCGCAAGTTGAAGGCAGAGCTTGCGAAGCGTGCAAACAAAACGAGGACCTCGACCTGCGAGGCTTGAGGGGCAGAGCAGACTGCTCGGGATCGATTGAGTGGCCGTGAGAGGAGGAGGCAAGGAAGATGAGGGGGACGTGGAATCGCGTATCTGCGGACCTCGAGGCATTATTTAGGGGCGGAGGTAAGTTCTTACCTGCTGTTCTCAGCTCGCTACGCAGGGCGCAACGCTGATAGGGTCCTTCCCTCTTCTTGCTGGGCGCAGCTGTCGACGCCAACGACGTGAAGTTACGCCCGCCGTCATCTAAATCGGCGCGTTCATTCGTCATTTGGCGATTTTTGGGGGCAAGAAACGAGAGTCATGATTGTTATGGACGCATATAGACGTGAGCAAAGGCCGAGTGAACCCTGAAGAAGGAATTTTGGATCGCTTTAAGGCGCGCCAAACTTGAATGGCGACGCCATGCGCTCATGGTGCAGACTGACTCGGGTTGTATGCTGGGCCATCGTCTAGGCAAGCGATCCGAACAGAAATGGTCGTCCGGTGTCATCATCGAGCTGATTACAATCGCTCGGAGCTCGATCGGCCTAATGTGGCTCGTAGCGATGCGTTTCTGGGCTTCTGGCTGAGCATACATCACTGTGGAAGGGCATTGATGCAGACATTCAGCGTCACGCGCAGTGATCCTCTTGCCGGGCACGGCTACTTGTTCTTTGTGACCGATGCCACCTTTGGGTCAATTAACCCAAGCTTGCCTAGGCCGCTGCAACTCCCAAAGAGGGGATGGTGCCGTGATGCGTTGATGCTTTGGGCTCTCCATCCCGCTTGACAAGCTACCGCGATGGTTTGCACCGGATCTTGCTGCTTTGTTTACGTCTCAGCAATGTGAATGACTGCTCAGCGCCTTGCCCACACGAGCGAGCAGTCTCTCGAGTCTACAAACACACGAGACCCCTTTGGTTGTCTTGCTGAGCCCTAAGATGGTCCTGATGCTTCTCAGCCAGTCGGTGAGTTGTAAGCCTAATGTCAGACATCAGCAATCATAAGTTGATCGTGAGCGGTCGCAAGGTTGGCTCAGCCGTGTCCGACTCAACTCACGAACTCGCGAGGCTCATCCAATTCAAGACTCACGACTCATCAGACTGACCACACTCACGACTCTTGACTCACTGCGTGTGTGACTCTGACTCAAGACCCCATGACTCAAGCGCGACTCCCTGCTGACTGCTGACTGCCTTTGTGCGGTGTTGCGGACGCCGAGCGCTCACGCTGAGCACGAAGACACAACTCGTCACGTGGCGAAGAGCCACGCGTTTCATCGCTGCCGCCCGACGGCGGTCAAAAGTCTGGGTCAACGGTTCAGGTGTGCGTGGGATGCTCGCTGTGTGACCCTTTACATCCGGGGCCGTGCCAACTTGCTTACAACCTCCAGCTCTCTCTATTGGAGCTCACCCATTGCTCTCGTCTGCTGAACGTCGTCTGCAAGACGCTTTCGCCACTCCTCGCGCCTCCGCATCCTCTCAACTCGCCTGGCTGCTTCGTCTCTAGCTGTCGACCAACGTCTGCTAGTTCGGCATCAGCATTAGTGCTCTTCGATTTGGTTCTTGTAGAAAGAATCAGGACCACAGACGTCTCCAAGGGTGGACATCGGCAGACCTCCTGAATTTCTCTTCGAGCAGTCGAAGCAGACTTTTGGAGGATATTGCATGTTGACAGGATGTCGTCGAACAGTGCTCGTCCTACCCAGTACTACGAGCTGTACAGGCGTAGCAGGTGAGCGTCGGGTGGCAAAGATTAAGCAGTGGATTGGCATCCTGGGAGAGCCTTTGTAGGCTTTGATCATCTGCGGCACTAGCCCGCATTTTGAGAAAGGGGTTTGGCGTGCTTTTTATGTCGTAGCCCTGGGTGCTGCGCTCGAAAGGCAACGGACAGGGTGAGACTGTCGCGTCAGCTGGTCACGACTGGTAGTCCGTGAGCTGTTGTCAGTGCTTCGGACTAGGCGCAGCGCCACGATTGGCCATCTGTACGCGTCAGCTAAAGCTGACGTGTCACGCACTTGTCGCCCTTCAGTATTGGGATGCAGTTGACGGACGCTCTTGACGAGTTGATTCAATCTGGACACATCAATCCGGTGTTGGCCATGAAAGTCTTGACGCAGTTCGATAAGAGCGTGGCAGACACGCTGAACAAGAAAGTCAAGAGCAAGAGCAGTCTGAAGGTGAGTGTGTGTGGATGCATTTGGCCCGGATTGAGTTGGGTGGTTCTTTGTTCTTGCGGGCCTCGGCTGATCGGAGCGACCCTGTGGTCTCACTGTATGCGCTTAGGGTCATTTGCACACGTACCGCTCATGCGACGAGGTCTGGACTTTCTTTGTCAAGGATGGCAATATGAAGCTCGACAACGGAGAGATGTTGCACATCGACAGCGCTAGGATCGTGGCTTGCAAGCTGGGAGAGGGGGCAAGCGCGAGCAAATGAGGGGCGCAACGGTCACGAGTGCAGGATCCGCACTTCGATCCGCCTTGACATTTAGGCTCAGCAGAGCTCATAAATCCTCTCTTGCTGTCCTTGTCAAATCTTCACCAAGAAGAGCCTCTCAGGCACGAGCTACAAGATCGCCTCGCCCCGCCACTGGCACCCATTATGCTCCCAAAGCCCCTCTCTGATCTCCACACCATATATGACGCGCATTCTGACTCTAGTCTCTCACCCACACCCACATGTACCATCATAACACTCTATAGCAATCACATTTTAGATCTGAAGACGTTTCCCTCTGTGCTCAAATCATGGTCTCGGTTTCGACCGGAGCGCACTCCCTCTGGCAGAGGTCCACCGGAATGCTCCTCTGACAGGCTCTCGAAAAGCGACTTTTCGCGGTTCACGCACTCGCGTCACAAGTCTGACGGGCCTAAGGCTGCAGTAAGGGCGCTCAAGCTTGGTTGCTCGCCGTATCGCATTTCTTTGAAATCGTGATTCATGCGCAGAGTCACTAAGGGTTATTCTTACACGGTAAATGCTCGCTCGTGACGGAAGGATGTGCAGCGCGCACGGTCCAGGCGGCATGTTGATGTCGAGTAGTCACAGTAGTGTAGTACAGATCATGCATCACGGATTTGGCATCCTCACTTACCACCTTGTCTCTCACACTCAACGACTCCGATCCGTGATCATCTTTTAGAAATTTGGACCCCACACGCTGACAGCACAAAGTTCGTCTCGTGTATGCCGCACAGCCGGGCATTGTGTACTGGTCGACCGATCATTCGAGCAGCCTTTTCGCCTTTGACAACCCGAACACGTTCCATCGTCACTATGGCCACAGCCCAGGACAGATCCGACAAGGTCTCGAGAACCATTATCGCCCCGTACGGTCTGTGGGAATCGCCAGTGACGAGTGACCTTCTGACTCAAGCCAACATCTCCTTCGGTGATGTGGTGGTCTTGCCACGTGCAAAGGCAGAGAGCAAGGGCAAAGTAGCATACGTTGAGAACAGACCTTACGAATCGGGCAGAAGCGCGGTTATTTACCGATCGTTCGATCTGCCTCTCAAGACTCCAGGCGACGGTGAGCAGGAAGGTGAGGAAGGAGAAGACCTGACACAGGGGAAGTACAGTGCCCAATGCGGCATACATGAGTATGGAGGAGGAGCGGCTGGTCTGGGCCCCAGTTCCACTACGCAAGGGAAAGCTGCAGCGCCGATCATTTTCACGCAAGCCAAAAGCAATGGTGTCTTCCTGGTAGCACCAGGCGAAGAACCTCGACAGATCCGCGAGGGTGAGCGCAGAGTGAGAACTCGCAGCCGTGACCGGCGCTCCCCGTACCTGAGCATCCGTTCTTCATGCCTCCAGACAGTCCGACCTCACTGCTTGGTGACTTTCACGCCCATCCCACGCTTCCATTGATGCTTTGCGTGCACGAGGACCATACAGTGGATACGCCAGAAGGAGTCAAAAACTCCATCGGCTGCTTGGACACACGTACAGGGAAGCTTCATGCCCTAGTCGAGGGTCCCGACTTTAGCACGGCTCCAAGGTTCAGTCCCTGTGGCAGATTTGTGGTCTGGGTGTCATGGGACCAGCCAAGCATGCCGTTCTGGGGCACTCAGCTTTGGGCAGCCAGATTCAAGTACGAGGAAGGCAAACCGCCCATTGTTACGGAAGCTTTCCTCGTTGCAGGATCGAAAGAGCAGGTCGCTCATATGCCAACGTGGGGTAGGACCACAGAGGATGGAGACGCGGCCTTGTTCTTTACCGATGACGAGACTGGATTCGCCAATATCTATGAAGTGAGGCTGAGGCCTGTTGGAGACGAAGGCTTGCGGTTGTCAGACAAGCTGGCTATACTCAAGACGCCAGAGAAGAGCGACTTTCAACAGCCTGCTTGGCAGCTCAACGGGTGAGTGTGCCTCTCACTCTAGCTATCTCTTGAGGTCTCTAAGCTCAGGAGAATGTCGCCTCTCACATGCATCCACAGTTCACCTTTTGCGACCCTGAATGCTAGCTGGATAGCGTGCACTGTCATTACCAGGGCTATACATTCTCTTGCTCTGGTACACCTCCCAACGCGTACTCTGCGTCGACTCGACACGCCTTTTCGCACAATCTCACAGTTGCGAGCAGTAGACGAGCAGACCATCGTGTTCGTAGGAACACGCTTCGACGAGCCTGCAGCTTTGGTAGCCATGGATCTCAGTCTAGCGCTCGATGCGTCTCAGAAAGGGGAAGTGAGGCCGGGATGGATTGTCCTGAAACGAAGCAGCGATGTCATCACGAACGGCACTGTGCCCAGAGCGTATCTTAGCGAAGCTGTTCCAGTGGAATTTCCCACCGTTCTGCCGGTGAGCAAACATGTCGGAAGTATGGCGCCGCGCATGGCCACTAAGATCGTTCACCCGGATTACCGACAGAACGGCGACAAGAGCACAGCGCATGCGATTGTCTTTCCTCCAAAGAATGCGCAATACGTGGCGCCTAGGGGCTCCGCTGCTCCCGCCATCATCCTCGCTCATGGTGGGCCCACAAGCGCGGCGGACGCTGGCTTAAGCCTTCTGGTTCAGTTCTGGACGACACGAGGCTTTCTAGGTGAGCGATCCAGCCCTCAATAGAGCTACACACATGGCCGGTGCTGAAGCGGGCGTCCATATCATAACGCAGTATGCACTGTCAATTACGGTGGCAGCACAGGATGTAAGTGTACCCATTCAGCACTTCAGAGGGCCGCAACGCCACTGACAGATCACTGATCTTGCAGATGGAAGAGAGTATATGGAGCGGCTGATGGGCAATTGGGGTGTGGTAGATGTGCGAGACTGTGCTTCTTGCGCCGAATGGCTTGCGAAAGGAGCCGTCTCCGCGTCTGGACATCGAGCTCAGCCAGGCCAGTCAAGACGTGATAGAGCAGCCAGCACGAAAGGTCAAGCTCAGCTGGCTTTCTTGTCCGAGCGCACGCAAGCGAGCGGAGCAAAAGAGGTCATCTTCCGCAATCCGGACGCTGGTTGGAAGTTCGGAGCGCTCGACGTGTTGTGCCTGACCGCGACGTCTGCACTTTCAGCGCTGCCATTTCTGTCCAACGTGAGCTTTGCATTGGCGATGCGGGATGCCGGAAGCGAGCTCTGACACAGCACTGCCTCAACATTGCCTCTGATTGCATGAAATGACAGTCCGGTCTAAGTCCTGCTTTGGCTGCTCTTGCATTTTGGGTGTACTGGCTGTTCAAGCACATTGTAGAAGTGCAGCAAGGTGAGTTGCGCTCTCTAGCCTGCCAATGCCCTCGTTTTGACAACATGTCTTCCTTGGCGCTTTGTTAGAGACTGTTACAAGCATTCCGGGCGTAGGTCTTCAGCTGACTACCATCAAGGGCTTCTCCATTCCGTGGGTTCACCACCGGAGAGCGAAAGTGGAGGGTTCACCAAAACCAGAGACCTTGCCGGGTAGCCAAGTGCCCACTACGGCCGCAGCACACTTCCAAGCCGTGACATTGCGGACTCGTTTGATACCACGCGATTCTATCCTGGATGTCGTGACCATCGAAGCTTTCAGGAGATGGGAAGTTATCGACTATCTCGCCATCATGACGAAAGCAGCCGAAGGAAGCGATGGCGCTGGAAGAGGAGGTCAATTGGAGGTCATATTCCCTGTGAGTGTTGATATTCATCTGTCGCATCTAGCATCGCCGCTTCGCTGATTGGAGGGATCGGGAACAATAGAGTCTCTTGCCAAAGCTGCCAGTCGTAGAGGCGGTCTACGAAAAGCTTTTCGATCGACCAGCTCCCGCAGAAGCAAACGGATGGGATCCGGCCAGTCAGCAGCAGGGCGGTCCGATTCACTCGAGATACGCTACCAACGATGAAGCTGTCTTCCCACCTGTCGATCCAAGCAGGATTGCTATAGCTGGGCAAAGCTCTGGAGGTAAGGCTGAGGGCGCACCAGATCTTTCAGCAGGACAGGACGACTTCTGACACATTGCTTTGTTTCTCTCACAGGCTACACCGTATTGGCAGCTCTCTGTGACTATCCCGATGCATTCTCGTGAGTGCCTTCCAGCGATTGGGATGTTTGAGAATGGTGAAATCGGATGACCGACTTTGACGGAAACACGTCCTCACGGCATACATGACTTTCACTACAGAGCTGGTCGATCCTCTTTTGGCATATCTGAATTGAAGCAGCTGGCGGAATTGTCGCACAAGTTTGAGCTCAGGTATCCTACTGGCTTGTTGGGAGGGACTCCGGCAGAGGTTCCAGAAGTGTATCGATCGCGAAGCCCTCTTTACAAAGCGGATCGTATCAAGGCACCCGTGAGGCTATTTCAGGGCAGCTTGGACAAAGTCGTGCCCAAAGAGCAGAGCGAGGCTATCCGGGATGCAATCCTGAAGAATGGAGGCCGGGTCGAGTACACGCTGTTCGAAGGCGAAGGTCATGGTAAGTCTAGGGCGACGATCCTGTGATGTGTGTTTCTGAAATATGATGAATGACGTCCTGTCCAATCCGCGATAACAGGTTTCCGCCGAGCTGAAAACCAGAAGGCAGGTGAGATCGATCCTGTCGACGAGTTCCTTAGCTCGTGCTTACATGCTGCATCTTGCCGCTTGTACCGCTCAGCTCTGGAAGGGGAGCTTGATTTCTACGTGGATGTGTTCAAGCTCAAAGATGACGTGGTGACGAAGGTCGGATGAGCAGACGGCTCACGACTGTCACCACACATTGCGCGATCATCTTCAAGTGCTCGCTCGCGTCAGGCTTGACTTCTCTTGAGGCGTGAAACCAACCAACAGTGGCAGCAGCTCCCTTGGACCACACGTACGAATGGTGTGAGACACCTCATCCATGTTGTTGATGTGATGCGCGCTCGAGGAGCACCGTGGCGATGATGAGACCTGCATCGTGCGAGATGGAGAGATGCCACTCAAGCGCAGAGTGATCAATGCTGAACAGTGGGAACTTCGTTGCTTGATCGCGGCCAAGATGGCTCAAAGAGATGGTCGGCCTTCCGCTCCCTGTTTCAGGCTGGCTAACGCTGAAGTGCTTCCAGCGCAACGAGGCCACCGCTACGGGAAAAGTAGCCTTGTACGCTGCTTCTTTGGCTGCCCAACTTGTGGGAGGCGCGCCAGATCAGAGATCTGACTGTCAGCCTTTTGGGTTGCACAAGCACAATATGCCCCACTCACCGCAGGCCGAGCCAACGCAGGGGCTTTTCTGAGCTGCTGCTGAGACTCGTGGGCCGCGCTCGCAGGTCGGCCAAAAAAAGGCAGCGCCAATGCTCGTACTCTTCTGCGCTGAGGATCCTACTAGCGAGCCTGTCGCTCCTGTGCCATGCATTCTCGTTTGGGACGCGACTTCTGCTCGCGAGTTTTTGAAGGCGCGCAAAGGAGAGCAAATCCACCCCGATGCCTACAATGCTGGCTTTGCTCATCTCTCGTGCGTGCCCTTTGGACAGGTCGACCAACGAATCGACAGGTGCCACGAGTGCTCGTACTTCTTGACTCGAGATGACCGTGTGAAGGGCAAGTATACAGCCTGTCAAATCTCTTAGTGGGATGAGAACGTGAAGTTGCGAGTTTTGAGTCACAGCACCTTGATCTCTTCTTCATTAAAGCCAGAATCACGCGAATGACGTATCATCAAATTCCCACCGATTAGTCGTGATTCTAATCACAATCACAATTGCAATTTTGGAAGTAATCACGCGATTGGTTCTTGAGTCATAAGTGAAAGACTCTTTGACACGTGATGAGCCGTTTTGCCTTGGCGCGTGCTTGGATACAAATTTATCTTCAAATTCTGATTCTGATATTCGTGATTCTGGATTTTGATTGTGACCCGATCTTGAATTTCAGGAGCTCTAATCAAGAATGAATGCGAGCAAGATGCAGCGGACTCATGAACGGTCGTTAGTACGTGGCTGCCTCAAGACACATACGTATATGTCACAATGGTGAATGTTGAGCCAAGCTCAGGCTTGTCAGGCAAACAGATTGGCCGATTGGTCGTTCAAGCCGTGCATCGAGAGCCCTGAAGTGCGGTCAAAGTCGATCGTGGGTGCTGGTCTCGGAAAGTGTCTTGATCGGCGTGTAAGAGGCGACGTGTGGAGTTCATCGCTCACAGCAACTCCTTGCAGCTGCTCATCCATACTTGACTACTACGAGGCGCAGCTGCGCAATCGTGAATGCGCGCCTTCAGCCGTGAGTCTGGGCTGCTGATCAACGTCACGACGTTTCAAGCGCGAGCCATTCCGCTCATAGCCGTGGTTCTGAGACGCAGTCGGGTTATGGGGTCGGATCGAGTCTGACCATGACAGCAGTCACGAGTGACGCGCCGCTCAAATGCAGCGGCCTTTTGGGGCCTTGGATGGACGCCGTGACAGGCAGCCGTTGCGCTCAGCACGCCGAGCAGCTCTATAGCTAGTCGCTCACACACAACACTGCGCTCGGCGAATTCAAAAGCTTGAGACATGCTCAAGAGGTCTCGTTGCTGGATGGGCTAAAATAGCTATAGCAGACAAGCCAAGAGCGATCGAGTGGCGAGAAACAGGTTTAGCGGGAGCCCGCTGGACGCAGCGTGCGCGCGACATGCAAGGATGTTGCGAAATTTGCCTGCCATGGGTGCTGTCAGCAGAGTCGAGTCTTGCTGTGATCTTCCCATTCACGATTTGATTAATTGCATCGCGCAGCTAAGCTATCATAGCTGGACGCTTGTGCGTGTTCGGTAGGGGTGCTACTTGAGTCGTGAGCGGGGCTTTTCTCCCGAGTCCACTACAGCTGCGATTTGAATGCTTCGAATGAAGGCAAGTCCGTACGTGATGATTGAATGTTCGAGGCGAGCCCGAATTTTCAAGCGAAAAGGGTGAATGCCTTCAATCAGAACATGTTTCCGCATCAAGGTTTATTAATTGACGCGTTCAGAGGCGCGTCAAGATCAACATCATCAACAGGTGCATGTAGGCGAGAGCAACACCGCGTTCGCGGTCCATGATGCATGCGCGTGCATCAGCAGGCATCAGGCGAGCAGCGCGCGCGGGCCTTCATGACCGTTGGGCACAATTTCAAGTCATCAGAGTGTAGTCACAGTGCTGCTGTGCTGAGTGTGAGCTTTGTGACTTTTGACTGCTGTGACTGATGTATGTTTGCGTTGGCCGGCGTGTCGCGCCGCGCACACGCGGCGCGCCACTCCAAGCACGTCTCGTGATCGACTTTCCGACGCGCTCGCTCGCGATCCTTCGCGCTTTGGCCGTCGGGCGAGCCAGCAGCACAGCAGCTATACACAGTCGTGAGTATGTGTGCAGCAGCAGCTCGTGTCGCGGATCCCATGAGAGCACGATGCTGTTGAACTGTGTGACTGATCGAATGCTGTTCACGCAGCGTGGGTCAGTCGGTTGTGAGGGACCGTGAGACGCGAGGCTCCAGCTATAGATGCACATACCAATTCCGAAAGCTCGGTCGTCTTCGTGAGAACCAACACGTCCTCGCCTGAAGGTGGCTGAGACCTTCATCGAATCCCTCGGCCAGCCGGTCGAACCCACTTCCTGGCCATTATCGAGGACCATCGGGACAGTCGCGAAAGGTAGCATTGTTCACCTTACAGCTCGATACCATCTTGCGACTTGGCTCAAGCCGTCTCTCCCCACCCTTTGAGTTAGACCCTCCAGCACGACATCCGAAAACCTCTACAAGCCTCTGTTGCGCGTGTACGCAGCCTTTAGCACCCTCGTCCGATGTCGGTCAGTAGCGCAACATCAGCAGCATCGTCCGTTGGTGTCGCGTCGGGTGAGAACCTGGAACGTAGGGTAGACCTTCCTCGCGTCGCATCGGCCGCGTCTAGCGAGCTGAATGTATCGCAGGCAGTGAGTCAACGCTCGGAAGAGTCGTTCAGCGCGTACCTCAACACTTCGACCAGCTCGCCTCGCTCTGGCATTTCGGACGAGTCTCAAGACCCATCCGCACGGCTGGCCCATTCGCAAGGCGAACAAAAGGGGTCGAGCCGAGTAGATGCGGTTGATCAACAAGGCTCTCGAAGAGGTATTGGCAGGACCGAATCGAACGCGAGCATTCTCAACATGCGCATTCAAGGAACTCGTGTTGCGCCAGCCATCCGGGACGGACTCTCGGATGAGCTCCCAGCGCTGTACGATGGACCGCCTAGCTCTCAATCCGCCTCCCAGCAGTTGGGCATGCACTTGAGCAGCGGATGCGCCCCCGACAGCATGATCCAAGCGCAGTCGCAGCAAGGCTCCGAAGCTTCGAAACGCCCGTTTGCTCGAAATTGGAGCTCCTCGTCAGAAGCGATGGTGCTGGGTTTTCCGGCGGCTGATCAGGGTGGACGCAGCAAGCCGGAAACGGCACCCGACAAGGCGTACCCCCAGACTACAAGGCAATCTCCTGCCGAACGCGCAGCTGTGGATCGCGACAGCTACCCTTCAGCAGTCGCGCTTCACCGTGGTCCCACTCCTCCTTCTGCCGCCATAGCTCGAAATCCGTCAAGCGAGCAGACGGAGTCATCAACGCGTGAGCCAAGCTTGGCGGAAGAGGAGGATGATGATGAAGATGACGAATCGTGCGATGAGAATGAGCACCCTGTCACTGGCAAGAGAGGCCCGGGTGGTAGCAAACGACGCCGACGAACAAAGAAGGCCGAGGTGGACACGCTCGCTGCTGTGTAAGTCGAGCGAACAATGGGCCTGGTACCGCGTGTCTCCGCCGTCTCAGCCTCCGAGCAGTGGTCTGAGATTTGCCCCTCCCCTGGCATTCTAGGTACGAGGTCACCCCCTTTCCAGATCAATCTAAGCGGAATGAGCTGGCTGCGCAGCTGCATATGACGGTCAAGTGAGTATGATGATGATGAGCATTGGTCGCGCGTCATGCCTTGGCTCATCATGGGGTCGATCGGGACTTGCATGCTTGCAGAGCGGTTTCCATCTGGTTTCAAAATCGACGTCAAGCGATGAAGAAGCGTGCTGCTCGGTACGGTGGAGAGGATGCATCCACCTTAGCACAAAGCGCGTCTGACCGTGCCGGGCTTTCGAAGCCCGTGATACCTCGAGCACGCCCGTCCTTGGATGCAACCCTTCTCTCTAGACCAGTGACGACCCTTCCAGGCTCGCCCGGCACCGATGACGACAGTCCACGAAAGCCAAGCTGTCGTGCATTAGACGCAACGGACTCCAGTCAGCCAAGCTTTCCTTCTGCCTCGAATCGCTGCATGACGCGCGCTGTTTCTGCGCCTTCATTACCAGGCCAGGGTCGCGCACCATTGCGAGACATCAACGACTTGATAGCGAACGTGCAAGGTAGGATCGTCACCAGCACCACCAGCCTTAAAACAGCGCCTTGCGACGTCCTGTCAACAACGACTGATCAGTCCTCGAAGACGAAGGCAAAAGGCTCTCTGTCCGATGTTGTCATCGGCGCGAAAAAGGATAGTGCTCCGGCCCACACCACCGAGCATGCTGCGTCGACCGCGGCATGTGGTGCCGGTCTAGCAAGAAGCAAGCAGGGATCGCTGAATGCCAAATTGCCGCCGTCTTTGGTAGCTTCGCTGCGAGCGCAGGGTATCTTGCCAGCCAGTCCAAGGCGCGTCTCTCCTGGCAAGCGTCAGAGATCCCCAAGCGACGAGATCTGGCGCCGCATGCTGAGCTCTAGTGCAAGCTCGGACAATGGCCAAGAAGAGGGACCGAAGATCCCAGACGAAGAGGAGGAAGCGGCGGAAGAAGATGAAGAGCGCACTCTTCGCAGAGTTGCGAATCGCCGAGCCGCCAAGGAGCAGCTCAACGACCTTAGAGCCAAAAACACGTTGAGGCCAGGCAGGCTGAGCCTAACGCGGGCAATGTCTGGAAGCATCCGGCCGTCGTCGAACGTCCTTACAAACGGCGCTGGCGCGGTCAAGCCGAGAGCAGTCTCAGACGGACGTACTTCGCTCTCTCGCGATCTGACACTTAGCGCTCCAGTCGAAGAGAAGAGCACCACCAATGTCGAGCCACACCCAGCATCCCGAGTCTCTTCGGTGCAAGCTGCGTCCGCAACGATCTTGACCGATCCTACGCGCTCGAGCAGACGACGGGTTCCCTCTCTAGACTACGCCGCGGGCCATGACCGTGCTGACATTCCGAGACCGTTGCTCTCGACGGACACGAACTCCGACGCGCGCAGAGACTTGGCTGCTGGACTCGTTGGATCTTTCTCCGAGGATGTCTCAGCAAAGAAAGTGCCTCACCGCAAGAGGAAGCCGGCGGCGCAATACGTCGTTGACGAAAACGGTCTTAAATGGCGCTTTGTTGAGGATCAGTACGCACCACGCAAGCGCAGTCGATTTGCTACGCCCTACGATTGGAAAGAGGCTCAGCCAGTAGTCGCGCAGAGACAGCCGCTCGTTGTGCCGCACATGGACAACTCTTCCACGCCCCGCAAACGTTCTAGAGAGGACGACATCGCATTGAAGGAAAATCAGTTGACGGTTTTGCCACGGTCCATTGCGGCTACGATGCCATCCGGCCTTGGACCGGCTTCGGCGCTGACGAGCCACCCAACCCTCTCTGCTGGTTCCACCCTGGATTCTTCCCGCTTGCCTTCTATCGCTTGCTTGACGGCGGTCGACACTCTGTTGCAGACTCCCACTCTCCCACCTCTGCGGCCCCCGTCACATGCATTACTAGACGGCCGTGCTAAACAAGCAGCGCTGCGGCCAGCACGAGGTGCAGAAGCCCCCAAGCTCGGCAAGCGAAGCAATGGTCTGGCTCAACCCAGTCTGTCTATTGATTCATTATTGGGATCAAGAATGAGTACCTCCAATGTTTCCTCGCGCGGACCGCAGCCATCAGGAGGCACTTTCCGTTTCGAGGCCTCGTCCACGCGTGATCCTCGAGGAACAGCATCTCCTTCAGTCTCTCCTGAACGTCCTATTAGAAACATTCAACACCCGGTCAACCAGCGGGCGTCACTGTCCGGCTTCCAAGCACCTGCCGGCATGCCTTGGGGACGCGAGCAGCTCAACACCGTCCAACGCGGTCATGGGCTGGCTCGCGTTGCGTCCGGTCCATTGCCGCCCGTCACGTACGCTACTTCCTTTGGCCCAGCCAAGGACGTCGCTGGTAATAACGTATCGATGTTCACCGAGAGCCAGCAGGACGACAGCGGCTTCTACGGCAGCGACAAAGAGGAAGGACATACACGACGCGCGGTATTTGCGGACAAGACAAACAGCGCAAAGGCGGGCAAAGGCACACGCGCCCCAAGTCGCAAGGCTGCAGCCCCACTGCGAACTGCTCGACCTACCCTGCGCGGCGTAAGCGGCTCTCCTCGCAAAGACGAAGGCGATGAACAAGCAGCTCAAATGTTGCTCGATCTTGCGGCTCGAGACTAGATGCCCATGGAAAAAGACGAGAGCATCCCGATGCGTCTGCACAGTGAAAAGCGGCGTTGCCTCCAAGAAGTCTGCCTCATCTTTTGACCCCTCTGAAATGAACATACAATATGTTATGCACCAGGAAATGGCATCCGAGTTGTCCAATTTTGTGCTGTAGCGATTGAGATCACGGCAATAGCGCGACCTTGTGTGCGGAGTTTCCGCTTGAGCAAGCGTGAAGACCGCGCTCACAAGCCAAGTACATCGTAGCAGATAGGTTCCGGTCCTCATTGTTGGGATCCTCATGAACGCTAACTCGACTGAGAGAGCCTGTCGGACTTCCGCGGAGTTGAATATCCACACCCTGCCCACGTGGCGCGAGTTCCTTGCTGACAATCACCCACGCATGAGCTGAGAAATCACGCGCGCCACCATTGGATGCGGAGCAACGCCGCACGTACGAAGCTTGAGCAGTGCGTGGGTCGTTGATGCGGCGGAGGATACACTCATCAATACCGTAACTGTGAATGCAGCGCAGGATCAGAATCACAATCGCGCACGCGACGTGCCTTACTCCAATCATCAAGAACTCAACTCATCAAGCAGACTGTCCACCTTGTCCATTCTCAAAAGTCTTCTTACCGCCTCACCACATCGACCGACGGCTCTTGACTCGCATCCACGCAATGGCATCGGCATCATGCACTCTGGCTCGCGCGAGCCTGAGGTCATCCTCAACTCATCTCCAGGCTGCCTCTCGATCCGCCAGCGCTGCTGCCAGGCCTCGCATGATCGCACAGCGGGGCTTTGCCAGCTCTAGCGCGCAATCATCCGACAAGCTCATGGTTCACCGCGATACGGACTACAAGTGGGTAGCGTCCCTAGTCCTGGTCCTTGTTCGCTCCCGGCTCCAGCTGACAAGGAGCACTATGCGTCTGTCAAAATCGTAGCAACCCTTCTATTCCCTTTGAATTCAACACAGAAACGCTGAAGCAGGCGGAGGAGATCATCTCTCATTATCCACCTCAGTACAAGAAAGCAGCGGTCATTCCTCTGCTCGATTTGGGCCAAAGGCAGAACTCGGGCTGGGTATCCATCAGCGTGATGAACTATGTAGCGAAGTTGCTGGAGATGCCACCCATGCGCGTGTACGAGGTTGCTTCCTTCTACACGATGTTCAATCGGTAAGCAATCACGAAAGTTCATCTGCCTTCACATCTCACGCTGATGCATCATCGTCATATGCGATCCACGTCCTGCGCTCAGTGAGCCCGTCGGCAAGCACTTTGTTCAGCTCTGCACCACCACACCTTGCATGCTTGGTGGCTGCGGCAGCACTTCCATTCTCGAGACCATCGAGAAGCATCTCGGCATCAAGCAGGGTCAGACTACGGATGACAAGCTCTTTACGTTGATCGAAGTCGAATGCCTGGGGTGAGCACTGAGCTGCTTGCGTGGGTCAATGGCTTGGCGCGTGGCTAACTTTAGCAAATATGGCCACACAGCGCTTGTGCAAACGCACCCATGATGCAGGTCAACGACGACTTTTACGTGAGTGGCAGTATCGTAGCGAAGTTGCGGCTAAGGCCACGTCCCTTACCACTAGCCTGGCTTTGCCATTACGCGTTTGACAGGAGGATCTGACGCCGGAAACTACAATCAAGGTGCTGGACGCATTGAGGAATGGCCAACCGATCAAGCCCGGTCCTCAGAGCGCCAGACACTCGAGCGAGCCCGCAAGTGGAAGGACGGCGCTCGTCTCAGAGGTGAGTGGAGACTTGTCGCCTGCACTACACACCGGCGTGCTAATTACCTCAATCGTCCTCTCAGCCTTACGCGACTCAGCATAATGTCCAAGAATTCGCGTAGGCTCGCACCAACGCATTTCACTTCTCTTGGAGATTTGGCACTCCAATCGGGTGCTGACATTAGAAATACATGACGGTCCATTACAAGTAACACATGCCGGATAGACAAGTTGATAGAGAAGCATACAGGAGCAGGAGAGAGGAGAGAGACAAGAAACGTTGCACAGACGAAAGCAGATGTGTGCACCGAGACTTTTCGCGCCAGAGCTCACTGTAGAGAAAGAGCAAAGCCAAAGCGTTTGCGTACGCGCTCGTCGACATCCTTGCGTGCTGCATCGAAGGCCGCGCGCCAGAGCGCAGCAGCGGAGCCTAGGTCTGGCCCGTCGACCCCGTTGGATTGTTGTTGCTGGGCTGTGAGCGGGAGCATATTCGCTTGAAGGAGTAGTTTGCGCCAAGCTTTGAGCACAGCAGCAGCCTTCTCTAAATCTAGGTGCTGGTGAGCGATGGAAGAATCTTCTTCTACGCACGATTTGAGAAAGGCCCGGAATCGAGCGACGTCACCTTCTCGAGGTCCAGATTCCTTTTGACGATTGAACCATTCTCCAAGCAGCCACGTGACGTCTTCGATTGTGGAGCACCCCTTCACGCTCGGCATTGCTTCATAATTATGTTTGGCGCGGATCAAGCTGGGCAAGGAGTCCAGACTGGACAAGTCGAGCATGCCTCGTCTCACGACACTATCTAGCTGCGCTGAGCCCACTCCAGCCGCTTTGAGCGCAGCTTCCCTGCGCTGTTGCGCGCGTGTCCGCTCCTCAGCATGTCGACCTCCCTTGAACCGCGTTCGGCGGGATTCCATGATGCGGTTCTGTTCCATTATGATGTCACGTTGTATGTTTACGGGCAAAGCTCTGAAGAAGTCGGGGTCGATCTCAAGTGCTTCTAGCTCTTTGCTAGACAGCCGAGTCGGATCGGCCATTTGGATCGCGACGTCTGCGAGCGGCTGATCGAGAGGGATCGGAACAGTCTCGACGCTCTTGGACATCTTAGAGCTGCCTCGCGATGTAGACATTAGATTGTGACTCTTCGCGGCCGCCGAAAGTAAGCCAGCTCGTTTGACGGGTGAGATCGAGGCGGCACGTCGCGCACCCATCAACGAGCTGCCAGCCGCACTGCGCGATCTAATCCCGGCTTCACGCAACACCTCGGTGCGCAGCTCTTCTGGCAAGGCTTCCAGTACGCTCGGATCGAGCTGCGAGAAGCTAGGCATGCTCATAGCGTGCGCTATTTTGAATGCGCTTTGTATGCCCCTCTGTTTGTGCCTCTTGCTTGGGGTCGTGGAAGAAGCTCGAGCAGGAGAACCGAGTGGCAATAGCCCTCGCCGTGGGCTTTCGAAAGGTTCGATGGCCTCGGCAATCCGTTCAGAGCTAGGACTCGGCTCCGCAGAATTTGCTCGTGGTGCTGCAATTGGCTCCGCTGGTCTTCTTTGGAGCTCTCGAGAAGTGCTCGTGTGACCCTCACTAGACTGTGCCAGTCTATCCATGACTTGACTGCGAATTTGCGTCGGCAAAGCAGCCACTACTTCTTGGTCTATCTGCGACAAAGGAGGAACTGCGAATTGGGTTCCTACTGGCATCCTGACATCAGCCTGGTCAGGGACTTGACGCCCGTCTTCGTGTGCGGCATCATCGTCCGAGACCACGAGCCCGCTGTCCCTCGAGTCCCGGATCTGGCCTGAAGGCTTGGTGCGGCGTGCACGAGGACTCGGCGATCGCGCTGCCCTACCTACCGGCCCGGCATGGAGCATTGTGGCGTGTTGCTCGGCGTCCTCGTCGTCTTCGCTGTCTTCGAACGGCTCTTCGGGCAAATCGCGACGTTGTGGGCTGCGAGACGCGACCTGTGCAGAAGGCTGCTGCGCACGCTTTCCAAAGCTGAGCAGCTGCTGGCCCGGCGCCGACCTGGGTAGCGGAAGGACACTGCCATCGCTCGGCTCAAGTTTGTGCAAACTGATGCCTAGACCACGTTGTTGTGTTGCGTCGGGCGCTACCTTGCTGATCATTGGCCATGCTAACTTGAAGATGGAGTCAGCATCGGCGATAGCCGCTGAGCCTGACACTGGGGTGCTTTTGTTGAACGTGTCGCAGATACCATGGCCCATGAACTTCGGGGCCTCCACTGGTGCTGTCGGAGCACGGACCATCACTGTGACGGACAACTGACGTCCACGGAGCTTGGCTTTCCTGAGACGTTGAGATACCTCTTCCGACAGGCGGCGTATGAAGTCCTCAGACTCTTGCATGCTCTTGAAACGAATAGCATAGTTGACTGTAGCGCCCAAGCTTTGGCGCTGACGATAGCCTTCTAGTCTGTCTCGATCACGTCCGTGCATCTTGTCCCACACTACGCGGCCCATCTTGGGTCCAAGCTCGGCCATGAGGCGATTCTGCTTTACCAGCGATCGCAGCTCGCCAACTTTTGCAGTGCCGAAAAGGTCCTTGAGCCTTGCCCGTAGACTCCAGCCGACGCCGTGCAGATCGTCAACATCGAGTTCTGCTGTAAATTGCAAGACCCCAGAGGCCTGTAGATGATAGGAGCCACCAGGTTTCGCTTTGCGGGTCGCGAGTCGCGCCTGCAAGACGTTGGCGCCGATCCCTATGCTTACCTCACAGGCAGTCCGACGCCGAACCTCGTCTCTGAATGCCTCTGCTAGCTGTTTTTCTTCTGACCAAGCTTCTCCTTGAGTACTAGTATGCCCTTTGTATGCGGCTAAAAGCGCCCGCCAGTCACCAGCATCGCAGTCTGGGGCGTCTTTTGCGTGCTCCTTGCGCATGCTGTCGAGAAGCAGACTAACGTCTAGCAAAGCCTCATCGATGCTGACAGACTCGACAACATCAGCGTGAGCGAGAAGGATTGAGTAGAGGTGAATCGAGATCTCCATGTAGGCCTCGAAATCGTAGGGAATAGTAGCGATCTCTGCGCAGCGCTTACGCGCCTGACCCAAGCTCATGCCGTTTCGCACGCCGTACTTGCGGGCAATGTAATTGCACGAAGCTATTTCGGAAGTGCTCGAAGCGATGTCGCCACCTTCCCCTGCACCGTGGCACACTGCAATTGGCTTGTCGCGCAGTTCTGGTCGATTCCTCAACCCGACACTGACGAAGAAAGAGTCGAAGTCAACGTGCATGATGACGCGCTTGACTCCACTCGGCAAATCTTTGCTGCCCTCTACTCCTCTTCCAGACTCCTTCATTGCCTGAGCCACCATGTCTTGCAGCTCAGCTTTCCACGTGCTCAAGTGATGCAACCTGCTCTTGTCGAAGTAGCCGGCAAGAAAAGAGTCGCTTGTCGCCGTGTGCTTCTCTCTCCATGACGGAGACGCAAGCAAACGGGCAGCGGAAAGATGAGAGGGTCGAGAAGAGTATCCATGGAACGGAGGTGGCGTCGATGGGCGGATCGCTCTTGCGACTGGTTTTCGCGCTGACTCGGAGTTACCAAGACCTTCAGCATTAGTGGACAAGAGAGGCTCCTCTGCATCCAGCTCGGCAGTCAAACAATGTGTCGGTGCCTCATAATCGAGCTGCACAGAGTCTCCCGGTGCTTTGGGTTTTTCAGGCGTCTCTACGTTTGCCAGCCAAGTCCGCGGGGACACTTGGTCGTCACTGGACTCAACGCGTGTCTTCGTTGGAGTGGCTGGCGGAGAGTCTTGTCTGTCTGCTCCCGTAAGAGACCCTGATGACTCGGTTAGATAGCTCTGCGAGACTGCTGCTGCAATCTCGGTCTGACCAGTCTTCTCGGGCTGTGCTGCCCTCCCCTGACTGCTCTCGTCCTCGTGCCGGGCTCCGGCGTGCCATGAGGTCAATCGTCTTTGGGCGCTCTCGCGCCCCCAAGGCGTTGTAGAAGGAGTGATCACATCTCCAGCTTGACTCGAGTCATGCAAAGAGCCTGACGGCTGCACATCGACAGATCCTGCACCATCGACGCTCTGCGACGCCGCCTGAGACGTGCCGAAGCTTCTCCAATCTTTTCGACCAGCAAGATCACCCGTCGCTGGAGGCCTGCCCGGTGCATTTGCTCGGCCTGCAGAGATTGAGCCGGGATGCATGGCACCGGAGGCATCTGCTCCGCATCGATATTTTCGCCAGTCTAGTAGACGACCAGCCTTGATGCTGTCCGTCACCCACGCGGGCAGGACGACGCGATAGTCTTTGAACTCGACGCGCTTCTTGGGTGTCAAGGAAGAGGCGATGATGTGGGTGCAAGGCGTTTTGGTGTCCAAATATGCCATGTGCGAGCCACCGTGCAATAGCAGAAGTCGACGAAGCTCGGTGTATGGCGGCGTGGTGTGACCATTGATGTAGATGTTCGTCTTCTCAAAGATGCGAGAACCAGCTTCATCATTTCCATTGGCAGCCTCGTCACTTTCTTGCACTTTCAACTGAGCGACAGAAGCAGCGAGGATGTTGATCAGATGAACCTCTGCGATCCAGGCGTGTACGGGTAAGAAGATGCCGAGTGCATGCTCACCTTGGCTCTCTTGTTGCGCATGAAAGTGGCAAAGTCACCAAACTTGGTGGGAGCATAGGTCTCCGCATCCAGGTACGCCCTCTTGTCCGCATCTTGTGAGGTCACAGTGGCCCCTCGACTATGACTCTCGCCCTCATGTGGCTGAGCTGGCCCATCTCTTCTCCTACCGCTTCGAGCGTTCTGGTCTATCTCCGGCGAAAATTCGAATCGAGCTCGCTTGCGTGAGGCAAGGCCGCGTGAACGCGCGTCCCTCTCATCGATTTGAACGACGATCCCGTCATCCACATTCCTCTGGGATGGTGTCATCATCAAAAAGGTCGATGCGAGACCAACTCCAACATTGAATCGTGTGGGAGTACGGCTGGCCCAGTGATGCGCTGGTGAGGGAGGTGCTGTCAAGCTGAATCGTGCGGCTTGATTCTGACTACCTGCTACGTAGAGCGTAGACTCGTGCGCTCGCCACCGCCTCACTGGTGCAGGCCTGCATTGGCGTTCGACTCGTCAGCACAAGAAAAGATGCCATTGATAATTGCCGTCGATGAGTAGATCAGAGGATGGGGAGGTAAGAACCGTGGTTGGAGTCGAGACCCACAGTAGCTAGATCAGTTCGTCGGCGTTTCTGTGATTCAGTCATTCGTGATTGTGATTCAAGATTGTAATCGCCATTACGCGAGACAAAAGTACAGTGATCCAAATTACTGTATTCGCAAACGCCTTGATTCAAGATTCTGATTATACGCGCACACACGGCAAGCAATTAAGCCTCCACACACAACAGAATTCGTCACTCTTGACTGGAGCTCATGAATTCTTGACCGCGTGAGCATGCGCGTCGCGCGCTTATAGCGCTTCCTGCTGTAAGAGTCAAGTGTCAAGACTCACCACTCAAGAGTAGTCACGCGATGAGCCACACGTTCACCGCATTCACATTTTGATTCAATCACTTAATATTCAGATCCAAAACGACGCAATCCAGGCTGGTTGATGCCAACGAAAGATTGACCGCCGCGCACCTCCAGTCTATTCCTGACAGCATACCAAACCTGGCGAACGTGTCCTCTGCCCAACTGCTGCACCCTAGCTTTCATTCGTCATGAGCTCAAACTCCGCCTCGCCGTCAGTCGTTCCTTCCGGCTCGAAAGGCACACCCAGCGTCGCACACACAGCCAGACGGCGCCGAAGGTCCGCCTCAACAGGCAGCAATTCCTCAAGTGGCTCGTCGGATAGCGAGCTGGACGATGAGCAGGATGTGGCAGGAAGCGGCTCGCTAGGTGATGGGGAAGCTGAAGCGCTGCTTGCGGATGCTAAGGAGGATTTAGCGGGTCAGACAAGCGGAAAGAGACGCAGGACGAACCACGCCGGTACTGAATATAAGTGAGCAGAGGACAAGAATGCCCTATCGACGAGTGCGAAGAGCTGAGCTTCATTGCTCCTTACCTAGCTTGCAAGCAACTCGAGCTGAAGCCCATGAACAGGCTGCGCATGTCAAGAGCGCAGTAGACGACGTGGCCTGGAAAGCGTTTCAGGATCAGAGCGATCATGACTCGAACGTCGCTGAGGCGTCTCCAGAAGCCCGCAGCATTGAGGTGCCTCGCACTTTCCGTTTCGCTGGTGAAGACGTCGTGTGAGTTGCTGGGTAAGGTGCGCGCATATACAAAGTGATGCTGATGGAACAATCTCGTTGCGCCATCACAGGAAGTACGTGACACTACCCATCAACCATCCTGATGCTGTATCACATCTCGCTCGACTCAAGCAGGCAGGAGCGAGCAGAGACCAACAAAGCGGTGCGCCTCAATCCTCAAGCTCTACACCGAATACCGCGCCCCCGTCAAATGGCGCTCCTATCACCACATCTGCTTCCTCGCTCCCAGCACCCGTCCGAGCCGGTCCTCGCAAGAAGCGTGGAGGAGGTTTGGCGGCACTAGCTTCTCGTGCAGGGAACAGTGCCCCTTCCAAAATGACGACTTTGGAGAAGAGCAAAATGGACTGGGACTCCTTCAAGGGTGTTGCAGCGTCGGGCGCGTCGGGCCGGTCTGAGAACGCTGAGGGTCTGACAGAAGCGGAAGTGGCAGAGATGGAAGCTCAAACAAGGGGCGGTGCGAGCGGCTTGGGCAACATCAAGGGATATTTGGAAAGGCGGGACTTCTTGGATCGGGTCAGCGCAAGGACGGAAGCTGCTGAGCAGGGTGCAAAAGGGGACGCTAGTGGTAGGCGACGATGATACCATGGCGTTACTCCCGTGGCACCAACTCTCGAGCCCAGACATGTGCGTCGGCTCTGCTGTATCATCGTGCAATGCCATGCATTGTGCTTTGTGTTGTCCAACTTTTTACCACTTCAGGTGCAACGCTTAGCCAGCCCGGGTTCGTCTGCCTCGCAACGCCAGGTGGATCCCAACCGACGCTCGACATTCGTGTCTCTTCATTGTGACTGGTGGGAGGCGGATTCAGCGAGCGACTGCCCGGCCGGCGCGCGGTACCTTCAGCGAGAAGATTCGCGCGTTGACTCCAGACTCACTACTACTACTACTACTGACGACTGGATGCTCGCTCGCAAAGGGCGCAACTTGCTCCTCGTCTTGCTTTCTTGTCACGAGGCAGTCTGTGAGTGACCGAGACTTCGCGCGCGGCCCTAGTCCTCGACCCTTGCAGGTTAGCATCCGATGAGCTTCAAATTCGACACGAATTTTGCTGTTCACGAGTTCATGCGACACTCGTCACCACTCGTCACACTCCCCGACTCACGACTGCTGTGTGCCGGACATGTCGCTTAATTGCGCAATTCCCCGACGAGCTGCAGGGCGAATCGAGCGCCAGCCTCTCTTGGCTCGCGACGCCCGGCTGCATATTCACGCCAACGTACATGTAGGCGCTCACGTAGGCGCGCCCGCATGCACTCGTGACTCGTGACTCGTGACTCTTCGTCTTCCGCACGCCTTTTGATCAAAAGTGTGAGTCGCAGTGCTGTAAGCTTGTTCTTGGCATCACGCTCGTCATTCGAGCCTCTTGTGGAATGATCTCCCAACAGCTCAAAGCCCAGCTCAGTTTGGAAGAGAGACCAAAGCGGACACTGCTGAGCTCTTGCTCGGGCCATGAAAGCAGCACGTACAATTCGGGCGCCCGAGACTCAGCCCAACGATTGTGAGACGCCGCGACCGAGGATGGAGAGCCCACGATCGCGCGGGTTGAAGATATCATGCAGTGCAAGGCGTTTACACATCATGCAGCCACCGACACTCCTTCTTCTGCCTTCAGTCGAAGCTCCTCTGTGTGCCAATCTGGGAAGTTTCGTTGCATCGCTGAGCGTCCCCGCTAGCAACGCAAGAACATTCACAATAGTCTGCAGAGGCTGAGCGGACATTTACAAAACATGCGTGGTAGCATAATGTGGAGATTGGTCAGCGCGGACCGTACGTAGGAAAGCTATAAGAAGACGGTCCAGCTCGGCCTCTACCCGTTTTCACCTTCTCCCAAGGAACTGGTTTCCCTCCTTGCCTTTACCCAATCGCTCCACCTCTCCCTGCTTTCCCGCCCTTCACGCCCCTACTGATCTACTGGTGAGTATCCTTAACGGCGGATGACATCCAGACGCAAGCTCACGCCCCTTCCATTGTATGCTCTTGATACAGGCTGGATCACACTCTTGACAGACACCGTTGCAAGCGCCATGAAATCTACTCTCTTCGTTGCGGTGCTCATCGCGTCCCTGGCCACCTTCTCCTTGGCCCTTCCATTCGGCGACCCGAGTGCTGCCTTTTCATTCACCGTCGTTCAGGATCGCTCGCTCAACCGCGAGGATGCCGCACTCATCAAGCGCGTGCTGGCAAGCCAAGGAGCTTGCGGTTGCGCGATCAGTCAAAGCGCCATGATGGAATCCTGCCCTGCCGGGTCAAAGGCCATTGGAAGCAGCTGCTGTGGCCACCCCATCTGCTCTAACGGTGCCAGGCCCACCAAGCCCGACTTTCAAGGTGTGACTGGTGCGCTCAAGCAGAGGAGGTCCTTCAGCTTCAAAAGGGAACCTCTGGACTCGCTCAGCAAAGGCAATTGTGCACTGGTCAAGTGTGCTATGCGCAATGAGCCTCGCCCTACTTGCTCTGGCGGTGAGGAGCCCATCGCCAACGAAGGCTGCTGCGGTACCAGCTTCAGATGTCCTAGCAGCCAAAAGAGTCTCCTTGGTGGAGCCAGTGAAACGCTAAACAACGCTAAGCGCCAAAGCGCTCCGGGGCTTCTCATCGCTGCTGTTCACAAAGACCTCCAGAAACGCCTCACTTCCACTGGCAACACGACGCACAAAGAGCTTTCCGAACTCACGTCGTGCAGTTGCGCTTATAAGCCTGCGGGACCTCCGCCTACTTGCAAAGGAGGTGCTGAGCCTACGCAGTCCAAGGGCGCATGCTGCGGACCTCGCTGGAGCTGCCCTGATGGTCAGGAAGAATTCAAATTGCCGTCCACTCTAGTCGGTCGAGACCTCGCAGCAATGGACGGCCTCGAGGAGCTCGAAGCACGCCAGAGCTCTGGCATCAGCCAGTCGCCTCCTGCTTCTCATCCACCTAGAGATGTCTACGCTGCCGAAGAGGGAGCCGATGTCGCCCCGGAACAATTCGAGAGGTCGACGTCCGTGGTGAAGGTCGAGTCTAGACAAGCGTCTGGCATTGGGCAATCTCCCCCTGCCTCGCACCCACCCAGAGCCGTGATCCCCTCCGACGCCGACGAGGAAAGTAAGCGGGCAGAGCTAGGCAAGTCGGCGGACGAAGACCTGTCTTCAATCTTGGCCAATTTTGCGAGGAGTCTGCCAAATGGAGAGACCACGCCGGTGCGCAGGGACGATAAGCTATCCTCTCTCAGAACCGACCCCAAGCTCTCCGAGCTCAGTATGACGACTTGCGGATGCAAGATGGAGACCAATTCCATTCCCCCGACTTGCAAAGGAGGTGTTCAGCCCGTGGCAAGCTCCGGATGCTGCGGTACAAGGTACACGTGCCCCAGCGGAGCCTAGAAACGCTTCTGACTGGCCATGTGTTGATTCTTGTGATATCATCTGAATGCAATGCTCTGCTCTGTTCACGTAGACTGGCTACTGCGTGCAATTAGCGAGACCCGGGCTGTCGTCGGCAGGCCGCAAAGGTTGCTCAGCGCTCCTTTGACTGCGACGCTGCCGTTGATTACGAGAGAAACAAGCTGGCCGAACCCTCAGCGCGCGTCTCGCTCTCGCCAAACAAAGAAGACGCTGCTCATGAACTACATAATTTCCACCAAGAAAGCTAGCCAGCTTTGGCGTCCAGGGCAAAGAGAGGACCCCAGCTCCTCCACATGCGTTCTACAGCAGCTCTTCTGACGTGCCAACCAAGGCCGGCCTCTGTCGTCGAAGGTTTGCCGTCCACGTCGGTCTGCACAGAGTCCGCACTTTCCAGCCCTTCGAGCTCTCGCACGTCTTCCAAGAATTGACCCCTCAGTCTCTTGAGAGCCGACTTGTTGCCTCGCGCTGGTGCACTGACTAGAGCGGTGGCCGAGTTGCGTAGAAGGGAGAGGTCTAACAGTAGCAGCCCTCGTGTTGTTGCGCTGAGGGACGTCGACTGTGCGGCGTTGGACGGAGCGCGTTGTGTGTCGGCTGCGAGGAGCTTGTCGATACGACTGCACATCAACATGGATTACCGCGATCGTCAATCACAATGCGCGAGCGGAAAGCGTGGCTAAGAAGCACGTACCGCATGGCCTCCCACACTCTGGCTCTTGTCTGTCTGCCTGCTTGTCTCCCTCGCCTTCCGCTCCATTCCGCGACCCGATTGGAGGACCAGCTGTAGACCAGGTACACCGCTCCCATAGCTGGAGCGACACCCACGGCACCGAAGAGCAACTGCTGCGATTTGAGCAAACGATCAATACCTGCCATTGCTGTCTCTATGTCCACTTTTGCTTTCTGAATCTGGATTAGAAGCGAGCGCACCAAAGAGCCAGTCACTGCCGACTTGAGGGGAGACTTGCGAAATGACGCACGGTAAAAGATAAAAGAATTTCAGAAGCGATGCGAGGCGGGGATTAGCCGAGCAGGCGACGCGCATGAGGTCAGACAGTCACGCAACAATCTTTCTCACTTTCAACTCTTGCTCGTAGACCTTCAGAACCTCTGAAAGGTCACCCTCTCTGACGCGTGATGAGAGGGCAGCCAGCTCTGTCGCAGAGAGTGTTTGCTTCTCGCCTGCAAATTCAACGACCATGCGTTCCAGACTCTGTGCAAGGTATGGTCAGGGCTTCAGCGTGATTCGGACGTTTGTAGAGCTCATAGCGGCGGCGGACTCGCCTGGACGTCTGAGTTTAGACTCTCAGCAGTCATGATCATTGCGCGCTTGTCGCCTTCCCTCAGCGTGTCCAGCAGACCCATGACAGGGTTCCAAACCCAACCGACCACGAAGCCTCGAAGGGTCTCCTTGGCGTCCTGAACTTGGGCTTTGACCGCATCCCAATTTCTCAACACTGCTCTCAGGGTGATCATGCTGATGAGAGGAGTGAGAACCAAGGTGGGCCAAGCTCGTGCAAGAAAGGAAGGCGAACCCAATCCTGCTGGCGAAGGGCTAAGCAAGATGCTAATCTCTCGTGAGGAGCTTGGGATAGAGTCGGTCAGGAGCTTGCGAAGAGTCCCTACGCTGCTCGAAAGATCAGCGCTTGACGCTGGTTGATTAGCGACAACATCAACGCGGTCGTCCACCCCTCCGCGCGCAAGGACTGATTGGAGCAATGCGACCTGCTGACTAATTGCCTCTTGAATGCCTCGAGCGGTCTCGTTCTCGATGCCTTGTCGACTTGGAGGGCCCGTGGTGAGCTTTTGAAGCTCGATGGCGAGGATGCCCAGCTTTTCTGCGATGTCCTGTCTCTCTTCGACTGCTTGCAAGCGCTTCGCCTCGGCTTCGTGAGACGCCAAATGAAGCGGGGAAGAATGTCTTAGGGCTCTCAAACTGCTGCTTGCTCTCGATTTGTGGGAGCGCTTGGTCTTTGAAGTCGTGTTGACAACCAGAGGATTTGCGCGCTGCGCGTCGAGAGATCCCAATTGCTGTGCGCCAGGAGCAGACAAGGGGAACAATGCTTGCCTCACAAGAATCGGCGAGGCAGAGAGCGTCTTCCATGCCTTCGATGCGGCTGAACGAGAGAGCAATTGAGAAATTTGAGACTCTCGGGAGCTCTGATCTGCCACTGACAGTGTCGTCTGTGCGGCTTCGCTAGCCATTCGAGAAGCCAGTCGCAACACGTTTACAAGACGTTGAGGTAGTGCTGCGCAGTGAAGGTCGCTGCAAATGAGCCCCAACCTGCACGATCGATGCGCGTCGAACTCACTTTGGACAAGATAAGTAGCGCTCGCTGATCTGCTGCCTCCGATGTCCTCCCATTCCCACGCAGCCTGACTCAATCGGTGCCCATCCGCGACGAGCTGATCGAGCACAAGGGCGTACGTCCCAGCAGTGACTCTTGCCATTCCGATGAGTCTCTCTTCCGCCTCCAAGCCGGTCGACGTCGCACTCGCGCCTTGCAGCTCGGCAGCGCCGTGTGGCAAAGCATCAAGGGCACGCAGCAGTTGCTCTTTGCTCGGAACGCTGCTCAAATCCAGCACTTCATCCGCTCCTTTGGCCTTGGTAAAGGCATCTTTGCCGCGGTCCTCAGACACAACTTCCCGGGCGCCAAGCGTTTGCGTCAAAGCCAACGTGCGAGCATCCCGCTCTGCTCTGAGCTGATCGAGTGGAGCGCTGAGGAGGTGCAGCGCTTCCAACGCAAACGTTGGCTTGTCAGTCGAAGAAGGCATTGCGCGGGCGAAGGTGTGCAAAGCTGCAGGACGATGGCAGAGCAGAGCTGCTCAGATGGTGTTGCGATGAAATACGGACCTCGGCTCGAATGCGGGACGTTGGGGGTGTCGGTGAGCTGCAAGTGATGCATGTAGCATCCAAAGAGGCATCGCAAGTCGTGACTGTTGCGTGTTGCGTGTTGCGTGTGGCGTGCTGTGCTGAGCGGAGGAGCACGCGGCGGGAATGCATGTCTGTGCCCAGAGAACCACAGGCATGCCTCACATAGCCATGCATGCGCTGCGAGTCGCCAGTCACGAGTGGAGGTCCTGCTCGCTGTGCACATGTGCAGGTGGGACAGAAGCCTGGCGAGCGCAGCACCTTGATACGCACCGTTCCTGTTTCCGCTCTCGTGCTCAATCAGGCATTGTGTGCCGTGAAGTGCGAGTAGTAGGGGTGTCGTTGACAAGCACAGGAGTGAGTGGGCACAATCGTATGGATGCTATTTGATACATCACGATGACAAAAGATTGCAGATAGTGTACAGATTCCACGTCTAGCATGGTAGCGAGGTGCGCAGCGTCCATCATAAAGAGGGGCGGAATCTCAAAAGTCTTCATCCTCCTCATCCAGCTCGTTCCCCACACTCATCTCCAACGCCAACCTAAGCTGTTCCTCCTCCGTAAGCTCATCCAGCTCGTTGTTGAAGGAAATGTTGGGCGCATCCGATGCTTTGTCGGCACCACCTGCTGTCGACAAGCGGTCTCCTGTGGCTTGCCGAAGAGCGTCTAATTCTGCGCGATTGGTGCTGAGGATGCTCGCGTCCTGCGCAGACTGATCGTTCGTACCTCTAGTTCCTGCCCTGCTCAGCAATCCCGTCTCCATCTCTCCAGCTGCAGACAAAGACGTAGAAACGTCCGGATTGATGATGCCGGCAGCTTCACCTCCACTCCTTGCGGCGTTGCCGCTGTCCGACAATGCGGAAGCTTCCAAGACCTTTGCTCTACCGACTCGCGCGGAAGTGTCCTCGCTGGCTTTCGGCTCTTTGCGAAGCCTATCCCTCCCCAGCCGCGTCTCGCCCACACGAAAGGGCAAGGCAAAAGCTTCCCTTAGCCGACGAGCTTTGAGATCACCAAAACCGGGGCAAAGACTGAGCTGCCCCGCCGAAGCCGTCGAAAGCTTTTTGAATGACTGCAATGGGGCCAAAGGTGAACTGAGTCACGACTCGGACGTCAGAAGCTGTCCTTGGTCACACTTACACCAAAATTGGTCGCCAAGGTGATCACATCGGTCTTGTTGACGCCGCGGATATTTGTGAGCGCACTTTGTATGTGGCTCAGGTAGTCGTCCGCCACTCTTTCTCTCAAGACGTCTGGTGGGCGGTGCTCGAAGAGCTTGTATGCTTCCACGTATTTGCCTGCTTCCTCAGCACTTCATTTAGAAAAAGGGGCGCTGTCGTCAGTGTTGGAAGATGCAGCCTCTCCGGCAGCAGGTACTCACGTCCAGGCAATCATGAGGGTCATGGAGTTGATCAATGCCACTTTGGTCAACTCCTTGATCGCCGTCTCATGGGTGTCCTAGAGTGTTTCGCGACAGCGGTATCAGGGGTGAGCACTGATGCTTGGATCCCGATGAACACTATGCTCAGGGTTCGACGATGCTTACCACGTCACAGAGCACAAGGAGAACGCGCAGGCTGAAAGAGCCTCGTATTTTCGCTATTCTGGAGTGTATGTATTCAGGATGGAGCCGGTGGTATCGCAACCTGTGCAACCTCACATCAGCATGGCATCTGGGGGCTCATCAGCGAGGTCAGGCAAACAATGCTACTCACGAAAGGAACAAGACACCACTAGATACGCCGACCAGATAGTCTGCGGTAATTTCCCCATACTCCCATCCGACCTGCCGCACGTGTTGCAGCAATGGATTGCCTTTCTGATGCACCAAAGAAAGTCAATTCTTAGACCTAAGCTTTACCAATCTCCGCCCTCCTCCGGCGAAGCCCCGTTGACGCACCTGACACGGATTGACGATGATAGTGTTGCCAGAACCTTGGCCAGTGACGATTCTTGGGCCCGTCCTCTGAGCGGGCTGGTCTCCGGTGCCTGCACCACCGGCTCCGCTTTGATCTGAGCGCCCGGTAGCCGAAGTGTTCGCTTGTATGCTCGGTCCGTCCCTAGGAAGGGGTCTTGGGGGAGGTGCGCCCGCTACCCTGCTACTCGGCTTCAGCTGCTGGACTCTTGGTTTGGGCGCGGGTGCTGAGGTGCTGCCTGAAGCCGAAGCGGATGCAGAAGAAGTGGATGGCATGGCGTTCGGTCGCGGTGCGAAGGAAGTGATAGGACCAGTGCGTTGGAGATGCTGAGGCGGTTGTCCGGCATCTGTCCGCGCTCCACCGCCTTGATCCGGTGCGTTGGATGCATCCCGATCTGTGATGGAAGGTGCCATGCTTGCCAGATGGCTACACAAGACCCTGCGGCAGGTCGGCAGCTCCAAATTCCGACTGATCGCCTTTGAAAGGGTAGATGCGGCGAATTTACCATGCAGTCGTACCATCGACGTTGTTGTGATGATGAGTTTGGGATGAGTCACACGCAGCCGCGGAAGCCTCCACTCACCAGACCCAGCAACGAACCCCTACCAATCTTGTGTGAATTCTTGATCACTTTGGCGCTCATTCGCTCACGTGATCCACCGCGGACCTCGATCCTATGTTTTATTTGTGATTCGTGATTCACGATCCTTGATTCAAAACTCACCGACGGATTGAATTGCTCACGAGGTGCATAGCGCACAGTCGCGCTCAAGAGTTCGAACCACTTGAATTTGGATGTGAATCAAGAAAGGCGAATTTCACAGGATAACCATGAGCTGGATTCTTGATTCTGATGAGAATCAAAAATCAAGAATGCGCAGTTTGAGTCATGAGTCAGCGTCATCGCCGTGCTGGAGACGCATGCACGCACGGATTGCACAAATCAAGAGTCACGAGTCTATGTCTGAGAGTTGGTCAGCACACACACACACACACACACACACACACACACACACACACATACGCAGATTTCTTGCACGCGTAAATTGGCGCGTTTTTGTCGGCGCAAGGAGGCACGGCTAGCACCGTCATGAGTATGAGCTGAATTTGAGTTTGAATCGGCTGCTTAAGCCACGTTTAAAGTTCAAGAGTGTTTGTGAGTATTATCAAGAATAGTCTTGAGTTTAAGTCCGAAGCAAAGGCGCCATACGTTGCGCAAGCCTTTACGAATATGCACATTTGTTGATTGATTAATTGCTACACCGCTACACCTGGTTCGGTGTCCCTCATTGATGAGATCCGACGCTGATGAGCGAGCAGCTTGCGATCTCTCGTATCGGCGGTGCTGCATGTTGCTATACGCTGCCTAGCCATCAACGGCAAGAATCGAGCGCAGCCATGCGCGCCTATGTTTCAGATGAAGCGTTCGATCGAGGCGCATCCGGCTGCTGCTGCTGCGCGCGTGCATTCACCATTGGTCACGGCCGCGCCATATAGCCGTGGCGGGCCGGAGGGGGCTCGCGCGATGAGGATTAGGATCGCGATTAGGATGTGATAGCCAGCACTACGCGGCGGCGTGCAGACAGACAGACCCCTCATGGCTGCCGCGCACTTCACACCCTCATCCAACAGCAGTCACAGTAAGATGAGAAAAATGCTTTACCCTCATCTGACATAGTTTCTCTCCCATGAGTATCGGCACCGCGTAGGAATGGCAGATATCGATCAATGCACGGCAGGTGTGATGGTGTACGCTTCAGAAGTGCTATACGGTCTAACAGACAATGCCGCAACCATACAAATACCTTCTCAGATGCAGCTGCTGACCGCCCACTATAGGTCACAGTCTCACCAAGCTTGCTTTGGCCTCTCCTCCCGCAGCTAGCTCATCAATCCCATTCAAGCAGCCTCGGCTCACAGACAGCCTGCTCTCATAGTAACAGCCTCGTCGCGGCCTGATCGTGTAGTTATTGCAGGGCACGATGATGTCTGTTACGTCGCATTCACCCGGCGTCATCGCCCCCAGCGCACTTCGCAACACGGCCAACCTCTCGAATCAACGAGCCGAAGGCAGTGGCAGCAGCAGCGACGACTTCGCTCCACGCTCTGCGAAGTCGTCTGCACCCACCGCCTCGCAGATGTTTTATAGCAACAGCGGCAGCAATGGCAGTAACGTCGACACATCAGCACCTCGGCGTCGCTCATCTTCAGCTGCTTCCAACAAAGCTGGCGTACCCCCCACATGTCGCTCTCCGCAGCGTCGAAGGCGCTCTTCCCCTTCAACCAGCGCCTCGCTGACACCTCGCTCTTCTCCACGAAAGTCCGCTGCTCAGAAGCACGAGCAAGTAGCGCAGTCGGCAAGAAATGCCGCTCACGCTGAGCGCCGATCTTCCCTAGACTTGGCTCATGCAGTTCAAAGCAGCACAGGCCCATCCGTCGAGGCGCAGGCTCAGACTAGCGCTGGCGCGCAACGAGAGCGCATCACCAAGGTCCGTTTGCCTCTCAAGTTGCCCAACCCGCAGATCGTTCCTCTCTCAAGTCCATACGAGGACTTCAAGGCACACCTAATTTCTCACTCGCTCTTCAGGGAGGCACACGACTTGGCAAAGTGCACACCAGACTTTGTGCGCGATCACCTGCCCGACAGAATCAGCCTCCACAACCAGACGCTCGCTCTCACGCCGGTCCTTGGTGCCGTCTCTAAAGTCTTGCTGGAGACCGACACGGTCCCTAGTCACGTCGCAATCCCGAGTTCTCTCGCCGCATCCGCTGGAAGCGTATCTCATCTGCTCGTCGTGCGCCCTTCGCCTGCAGGTCCAGCAAGCTCTTCAAATCAGTCCACTTCGGGTAACAAAGGTCTGCTGCTCCCTATACACGCCTTGCCATACGTCATCGACTGCGTCACCTTGCCACCTCTACCCTTGGCTCAAGCTGGTTATCTTTCGACCATAGAAATCTGCGTCCCATCTCCCGAAAGATTTGGCACGATTCATCGATACATCTACACCCGCGACGGAGCGGCTCTACTCGCGGAGCTCTTGCCCCTGAAGTTCCTTTCTCGCAACGTTGATGCAGCAAGCATGAAGCCAGAGCACGAGGCATGGGCAGCAGGTCGACACAATGCGGACGATGGCGTCACTTCGGCGGTGGACGTAGCTGCTGGTCGGTCCATCGAAGCTCTCTCAACGCTGCCCAGCAGCGTACTCTTTGCGCACGCGCACTCGATTCATGCGGCTTGGGGCAACTCCGTCGCCATCGGTCTACTCGATCGCCAGTTCTGGCAAGCTCTCGAAAAGGCTTGGTCTTTGATTGTCGGTGCGATCGGTCTCAGGCGATCCAGACGGGTGGATGCTGAGGTCGTCGAACGCATGAAGAGCTCTACTATCAAGTAGAGCTTTTGCAGCCCTTCTCTGCGACTCCGAGTTAGTTTGTCATGAAACGTACTCTGATCATTAGTGATGGCTCAGCACACATCCTGCACTGCTCCGCTGCTCCACTCGCCACTTCGCAATGGCTACATGTACCGGTACCCCGTCTGTCACCACTTTGCACGCCCGACCATTGATGCGTTCCGAGACCTTCGCAAAGCCCTTTTGGTGTGCGTCATGGCGACACAGAGCGTCGAAGGTATCGAGGTTTGAGCGTCAGCGCTGGCTGGAGCATGGGTGATTGTTAAATATCTTGCGGGCCTGGATCATCCCACATTTCTGCATGAGATCAAAGCGCATATCGGAAAGCTAGACGTGTCGCATGGCAAGCAGTACGAGAAACGTGTAAGCAAGATGGCCAAGTGCATGCCACACCGAGCTCTCGCTCAGACGCGCTCGAAGCTCACCAGGGTGTTTGTCGCCAAGCAGCACAATGTCTTCCCTGCTCATTCCTGTCAGACCCCATCTAGCCTTTTCGTCCTCATCGTTCGCCTTCAGAGGGTCGGCAGAGCTTCCGTCAGGGTTGGCATACGAGATCTTGTCCCTCTGCTTGTTCTCGCGCATGTTCGCCAGACCCAAGACTACAGCGCAGGCGATGGCCAATACACTGAAGCCAAGATTGATACCGTGACCTTTAAAGTATCGCGGTGCTTCTGCTAAGGGGTAGACGTTGCTGGAGATCAGACCTGCAGAATTTCCGAAGGAAAAGAATATCGCCATTGAGGTGGCACTTTGTTCGTCACGGAGACGATGGACAATGACCGTCAGCCCAAATCTTTGCAGGACGTGTGCTGGCATAGCTCACCGCTTGTAAGCCGGGCCAAAGGTGTTGCCAGTCCACGTGATGGCAAGAGCGATACATGGCGATACACCTGCCACGGTCAAATGAAGAGCGAAGTACTGCAGGGAAGAAGTAGCTCGTCAGCAGGCGTGATGACGGGGAAGATAGCGGTCTTCATTGAGTACATACCTTGACTCCTGCAGACACATCGCAGATCAGAATGATGTAGCCTACAATAGTCACTAGCATTCCTGCGATGATGGGTATACTCCTGACCAAAAACTTGTCGCTGAACCAAGCCATGGCAATAGTCGTGATGTAACCGACCACGTATGGCGGGACAGACAAGAGGCTGAATGCGGCAGGACATTACCACGTTGAGGTGGTGCTGCAGCAACAGAGGTGCAAGAGTGGGACTCACTTGGCAGAGGTTCTGGGAAATGATCCGAGACCTGTTGTGCCGATGCGTGCATCGCAACGTCAGCACAGCGCTGCGCTTGCGTGGATCTATCCGAGTCTTACCTGTGATGATTTGAGGGGTAAATAGAGCCAGCGAATAGAGAGGATTGGCAATCGCCAGATACATGATTGCATGCACCCACTGTCGCGGCATGCCCGATCTATCATGAGCGAGGTGATCTGACAACAGCTGCGCCGGCACGCAGAGAGTTCGACTCACAGTGCGCCATTCGGCTACGCCTGACTTGACTTGCGACCATGAGAAGGGCACTTCGGCATTCGTCACACCTTGGCTCTTGGCAAGCACGTGGTTCCACTGAGCAGATTCGAGGGGCGATAACAGACGTTTCTCGACCGCTGGGAAATCCACCAAAAGCCAGTAGCCTGGCAGGGCACAGACAAGGGTGAGAATGCCTTCGATGATAAAGATCCAGCGCCAATTCTCTCCTTGGAAAGGACCAGCTGGCATAGGGATACGCGACAAGCCGTACGCCTGATGACAAGCAGACGATGATGATCAGCTCTAGGAGATTGCGAGGCCAGCTCTGGTCGCTTTTGGGGTCAAAGGCATCGCTGGGCACACGTACCAAGATGCCGCCGAAAGCGCCGCTGAGCGTTGCGCCGGAGAAGAAGATTGCAACACGCGTGCCTTGCTGCTTGCGCGTGTACCAGCAGCTCAGCATATAGTTGAGCAAGGGGAACAGCTGCGATAGGACAGGAGAAGTCATCAGGAAGTTGCTGAGCAGTGGAGCAGCACGGACGGATGTGCAGGCCGAATGCTCTGCTCACAGGACCTTCGCACAAGCCCAAGAAGAAGCGAGCCGCTTGCAAGCCGGCGGCGTTGTGCACAACTCCCATCAAGGTCATCACGATGGCCCAAGCGACCATGATCGCAGGAATGCAGTACCGCACACCGATTTTTTTGAACCAGATCATGCTTGCGAGGTCCACTGGGCATCAGCAAGAAGCAGGGCGCATACAGGGGGCGAGGGGGATCATGACTGACCTTGGAAGCTCGACGGCGACGTAGCTGACAAAGAAGACGGTCAAAGCGACTGAGCGGAGTGTTGGTCGTCAGCCTGCGCCCCGCTCAGACATCATCTTGAGAGAAGAGACCGACTCACCCGCATACTGGTTGCCCACAAGGCCAAGGTCTGTACGGAGGCCAAGGGTGGCTGCTTGTCTGTCGTGAAGTGAGAGAGGAGGATCAGGTCAGCCGGTTGGACCAATGTCCATCGCAGCCGTGATCGCTACGCCCGCTCCCTTTGGTGCGACTGCAAGTCTCGACGCACCCGATGTTGACGCGATCCAAGAAGCTCAGCAGGTACAACAAGGTCACATAGGGCACAATGGCAAGATCGATCTTTCTCAACAAGCGCTTATACTCTTGCGGCTCCAAGTGCAGATCCGACTCTGTAAAAGTGTGTCCAGCAGCCGCTCCTTGTGCCTTGCTTCCAGTCTGGCCTGTGATGAGCGCAGCGTCGATACGCCTCTCCTCCGCGCTGGCTGCATCCGACTTGGAACCATCCTTCGGCAGCGAGTGGTGCTCTGTCTGCCTCGCCTCTGAAGAAGCATCCAGCGCAAGTGTCTTCTCTGTGCCGCTCATCTTGACCGCAACGAGTCTCCGTACAAGTGTTGAAGGGAGTGATGGAGTGCAAAAGGTGACGTTCAAGAGGTGTCGACGAGGTCAAAAGGCAGGCGCTCAGGTACAAGCAATTGTCGCGGTGCTGCACTCGAGACTGCTGCTGCTGGGTTGTGTGCGTTACTTTTGCTTCATTGGCGGCCGGCTCTTTCCTGCTTCTTCTGCTCCGATGCAGCATGCAGCTGCTTCTGCCGCATCTGGGCGCTTCCGAAGCGGGCTTGCACGCCTGCATGGTGCCCCACAGCGGCGACACGCAGCGAACAAGGCCGGGTCAAAGCGCCGCTCTCGCGTCTTCAGAGGCAGCAGCATCAGCAGCAGTTCCAGTCACAGTCACAGTCACAGTCACAGTCACAGTCACAGTCACAGTCACAGTCACAGTCGGGAGCCCTTTCCGACTGCCCGAGTACGGTACAGTCGCGAGTGCAGCTTCTCAGCGCTTCGGCGAGTATAGTAGGCGTGTTTGGACCGACGGGTAAGCTGATAGCTTAATTGTGGGGCCAACCCGTCATGCTCAAGACTTGGCGCGCCCTCGCTATCGGTTTTGCCGGTCGAGTCAGTCGACCGCGTGCATGATGCACGCGCATGACAGCCAGCACCTCTCAAAACATGCCCAGCATTCGCTTATGAGGCATTGCGAGGCATTGCGAGGCAGCGACATACAGTCACATCAGTATCGAGGGCGAAAGGGCATGACAAATGCCAACATCATCCACAAATACCGTCCATGGGCGAACAGCGTCGTCACAGACGCTCAGCAACCACCTCAAAGCCAGGCAAGCGCACAACGAGTCACGGTCGCCGTGCGAGTGGGCACCCAGCCTAGAATGATACAATTAGGTGAGACTGTCGACATAGCCTGCTACGTATTTAGTTGAGACTGTCGACAAACACTGCTATGTAGAAGGGACTCTGTCCAGCTAAGGTAGTGAGTTGAATCATAGCGAGGTCAAGATACCACTTGCGCTCGTAGCGTGTACATAGGTAAGAAGTCGACGAAGCGGAGTAATAGGCAGTAGTCAGAAAGAAGGAACAGTAAGACCGAAGGTGCGAGGCACGTGGATCCAGGCGCGAAGTCCGAAGCTGGTGACTCATTGGCGAGCTCCGGTGATGTGCGCCAAAGACGAAGAGGTCTGAAAGAGGAGGTCGGCAGGAGGATGCTTGTCCGTCAGCTCCATATCCATAGTGTCGCTGCTGGACGTATCGGCGATGCTAGCCTGGTCTTCGACCAAGCCGGGAGATCTGTCGTCTGCGAGCTCCTGAGCGTCCATCAAGTAACTCGCGCTGTGTCTTTGTCCTGAGATATGACGCGGCTTTTCTCGCTCCAAACACGGCATCAAAGCAGAATTGGGACAGCTGCTCGTCCCTGCCGGCGTCAAAGGTTTCAAAAGTCTGCGGGCGCCTTCAATGTCCGAGTAGTGGTACGCTGAGAGGAGTCAAAGGATGTCAAAAGGGGTGTCGCCACGAACGACGATGGACAACGACTCAAACTCACGCATGATGCCAGACGGTGTGATATGACGAGGGCTGACATCTCGGCTTGAGCGGTTGTGGTGGGCTCGGCCAACCCTGCCATGTCCAGTGGCCCCAAAGCTGCTAGCCAAGATCAACGGAGGGGGACGCAGCTTTCGGATGCGTCTCAGCCCTTTGCCCTCCGCTGAAGCGGGAGCCATTGCTTCGGCATGAACGGCAAATGTCGGGACTTGCTGACCCGAGCTGGCCGTGTCCAAAAGACGATGCGAAGTAAGGCGGGGCAGTGGACTCTCACTGCGGCGGGGACTGTTGGCACCAGGATGACGACCATTTGGAGCGAGAAGCAGAGGACGGGGACTGAATTTGGGGCCACCAAGGGTAGCAGGTGTGGAACGGTCGAAGTGTTGCTTCAAGGTTGAGGGCGATGCGTGTCGTACCTGGCCGTAAGGACGGAATGCAAATCCGCGCCCTTCACCCGCGCGAAGGTCCTTAGCTATGGTCTGAACAAGAGACGCTGTTCGTGTCAAGTCAGAGTCCAGGCTGTCTGACGCACTAGAAAGTGTTTGCAAAGTTTGGCGAGGGGTCTCGATCGTCGGTAGCGAGTGCGGCTGGTCACCCTTCGGTGCGTGTTTATGAATACTGTCGAGCTGGCTTGCATTCGCTCGAGGCAATTGCGAATCAACATCTGTCCGGAGCGATTGCAGACGCTCCAGAGCTGCGCTGCTCAAAGTGGTCCCGCCCTTGACCTCTCGAAGACTGACATTCGAACCAGGCAGCGTCAAGCGCAAGCGCCATCGCAGCTCAAGTCGTGTCGAGTTGGTTTCGTTATCAAGAACAGGAACAATTTCGAAGTCTTCTGGGCACAAATCAACTTCCAAGTCCTGCAACAGCACTTGCGATGCATGTTCTTGAGCCGATGGGACCGTGTGAAAGCGCGCAATCTTAGGTCGGAGCGCCTGGGCAGATGTGCCAGCAATGGCCATGGTCCTCAAATTTGAGTCCCCGCAGGAGAGAGCCGCAAAGGAATCCAGCAGCTCAAAACTTTCAAGAGTTGGCCCGTTTGAGTCTCGGCATCGGGTCGAGTTGCGATGTAGAGTATCGCACTTTTCGTCCTCGCTTAGATCTTCTACACTACTGACGTCGCTTCCTGCGACTGACGACAGCTCGTAGAGCTCCGGAAGACTGTCAAGGGTAGGAAAAACTTCATTATCTGGCTCTTCAGGCTGCGCCTTCTCTTGTTCCTCGAGGACGCTCTTGCGAGATCCCGCGGGCGAGTTGACAACCTCGAAACGATATTTTGCTCCACCAGACGTAGAATTAGTGGCCGTTTCCCCGGACTGCGCAGAAGATGACGAGACGCATCTATTGGCGATGTGCGATTCGTCGACTGTTGCTCTGTTGATTGGATCTCGTGAGATCGAGTCGTGAGGGGGGACACCACAGGCACGATCCTGCAGGCACGCTGCAAGCGCCGACGCGGGAGTCTGGGAACGCTCAAAATGTGGTTGCTGCGCCTCACCGACAGGTCGCTGATAAGTGGCATGTCCGTGAGGAGGCTCGTCCGAGCACGCCTGCGGACTACCGTCCGCCTCTGGGCTCAGTGCCAGATCGTCATTGGTGGTGTTTGGGCTGAAGTACATATCGGAAGCAGACGAGGCACTGCCTTCGGAGGCGAAGCTCCACGGGCGCGAGATGCCAGCGATAGCGATGTGCAGCCGAGAAGGCGAGTGGCCAGGATTGGCCTGACTGGGCGAGATTTCTTGCATGTGCGAAAGAGCTAGGGCCTTCGAAACTTCATTTGAAGGCTTGTATAAGCCAGAATCGATAGACGTCGCGCTAAGTGCAATTTCTGGCGCTGAGCGTTCCATTTGCCCAAAATGAGGTGCGCGCATGACGATCTTCGGTGCATCTTGCGGTGAAGCTACGGGCTGACACGAGCCTTCGAGCGGGACGTAGGTAGCCGCTTTCGCGGCGCTCTCATGAGTGTTCAACAATGCAGAGAAGTTTCGGATGTGTTTCGCATCCATGTTGATGATGTTTGCAACGGCGCTTTCGCCGGCGGCGAAAGTTTGCGTACGCTGTCTCACGTACTCGCTCTTGTTCGGAGCGTCCATGCAGAGAGAGTCGAACGTCATTTGCCTCCTTCGCCGCTGATCAAGACTGCTTGTGTCGCGTTGGGTGCGCGTCTCTAGTGGCGGACGGAGCCCCAGTTTGTCGAGATCGTCAACGGAGACACTGCGACCGCCTCCATGCGCAGCATGGGGGCCGTCTTTGAGGTGCCTAGGTCCTTGCCGGTACCATAGCTTGTCATTCTTGAAGTGCGGGAAGATTTTCTGCATTTCGACCACGTCGGACGCTTCCTCATCGATGTTTTCAATGATGGATGACTCTGAATAGGCGCCTCTGCTGACGTTGCCTGGGCGCAAGCTCGACCAGAGCGCCGATTGAGCAGGGTTATAAGGCTGGTCGTGACCATACTTCAAGTATCGTGCCACAGCGTCCGATGTCGCCGCTGATCGAGGCCAATCGCGACGGACACTCAATGGGGTCCAAAGTGTGCCCTGCTGCGATTGTGAGCCGCCCACTGCATAGATCGCAGACGCCGTCTCACGCAGATCAGTCAGCGATCGCGACGGATGTAAGGCGGTGGAGTTGAGATGGTCGAAGGTAGTCTGGCCAGCTTGAGTCGCGAATGAAATTTCTGCGCCGTGCGAAAGGGTTCGTTGACTATGTGCTGGCCGAGCAGCGGGAGCGACGGAAGAATGACCCCCCAGATAGACTGGGCTCATAGGCATTCCCATAAGGGGGTTTGCCCTTACTTGGCTCCCTTTCTTCGCCGATGCCAGCCTGGGTAGGGCTCTGAATTTGGAGACAGGAGAAGCACCCGCTGTCATCCGATCTTGAGGCGAGCTTGGTGGTTCAGAGACCGGAACAGCGTTGTGGCAGTCCACTGGCACCGTCATTGCGCTCTTGCCCATCTGACGAGCACCGTGAAGGTCGAAAGCTTCCGCCAAGTGTTGTGGTTTCGACACCGAGGAAGAATTCTTGTGGAGTCCTGTAGCTGCATCTCCTTTTTGGAGTCTTTGAGACCACGACAGAGGAGATGGGCGACTTTGCGGCTGCGAGAGCTGCCACGCTTCGGGAATCAAGCCTTGAGGGTCGTCATGGCGTCGTGTCGACCCACCTACATGGGTGTCGGTGCGGGACGCAACCAGCAGGGGTGCCCTAGGCCACAGCACGCCAGTAGTGCTGGCGTCGCTATCGATGGAAGAGGTATTTGCGACGAGACCCGAGACCCGGGCGTGTGTTCCATCAGTGTCTCTCGCGCGGACGAGCTTGCAGTCGGTGTCAAACCCCTTTGAAGTCGTCTTTTTGTGTCCAAAGACGGCAGATCGCATCGTGAGCACGGCTTGATTGGACTGGACAGCGCTCGTGGGAGTGCGATCTTTTGATGCCCGCGGTGTGGCAGATTCAGCGAGGTCACGCTTCAGCAGCACTGTATCCGCTTCGAGTGTCGGCAAGAGCGTTCTCAAGGACGAGATTTTGTCGGTTGCGGATTTCTGTCGAGCGGAATCTTGGTCAGAGCGTGCCAATACAAGCCTTTCCGACTATTTGATGGAGTGCAATTCTTATTTACTCACTGAGTACTGGCTCGTAGAGAACGCCTCCTTGAGCTCGATGTGGTTGTCGTTGGCGCCAACCAGATTGTCTAAGCTGCGCAAGCCCAAGGATGGAGTTCGCGCACACGGTGACAGGCGACGGCGTGATTCGTTCGAAATGGTGACTGGCAGAGCAAAACTGCTCCGAGATTCTTGGGGAGTCGGAGGTCGGTATTTACGATCATCAAGAGAAGCTCTCGATGGGCGTGAAGGCCTCTCATGGAGGCTGAGACTCGGCGCGTGGCCCGTCCTGCTGATCGCGCCAGGCCCCATCGAGGCGCTGTCACCATCAAGCACGTCCGCCCGGTCGAGAGCAGCTGCAGTGCCCGGCTGTCCGACGAGGATGGCTAGCTCATCTTGATTTGGACCCTGACCGGTTCGAAGGGTCTGGTGACTTGAGGGAGCGCAAGACGCCTCTCTTGCGTCGAGCACCTTGTTCGCGAAGGTTTGCTGGGCGTTGCGTCGCACAAGTGGGCTTTTGGGATACCTTGATGAATATGAAGCGAAGGCGCATGGATCGCTTCGGCGCGCGAGGCGCGGTAGCGAGCTGCTGGGCTTTCCGCGCTTGCCGGAATCAGCAGCGCTAGGGCCCAGAGAACGAGCCGCGCGCTGGCCTTCGCTGCTGGTTGCTGAAGCGGTCTGGTCGGCGTCGGTGCGGATCGCATCCGCATCCTTGCTGATTGTATTTGCCAAGTGAGTGGAGCTGGTAGTCGCTTCATTGCTGGGCACAAGCAACGCGCGCGAATGAGTCTTCGATTTCGGTGCTCTGAGCGCGCTGTGGACGCGGCCGCCGGTGTTGTCGCTTTGCTGCATTGCGACCCGCCGATGCGCGCGAGATCCAACGCCTCTTAATTGCGAGACATGGAACGCGAGATGACTGTAGCTGGCGCTGTCCTGGCCGCTACAGCTGTAGGACTTGCTGATCAGGGAAGCGGATGCGGGAAGTGCTGAGCCTACACCCACGCCTGTGGCGCGTCGTTGTCAGGGCCCGCGAATGTGAATCTCGGACGCCTGTATGGCCAGAGCACCTCGACAGGGCTAGCTAGCTGCTGCACAAGCTCTTCCGCACGCCTCCAAGTGATGCTCGGAACGAAAGGGCGCAATTAAGGAACGTCCATGCAGCTGTGTGGGTTCGGTACGGGCAAGGCGCGATGGGTGCGATCTGTGAGCGTGCGCACAGACCCTTGCTGGAGCCTGACGCTCAAGTCACGACTCGAACACCGTCGAGGTATTGTGCTCGACAGCTATAGCTTACAGCATGGATGACGCGGATGCCGTGTGAGTCAAGGGCTCGACCATGCTGGCAGGTTGATGAAGAAGGCAGCGATCGAGATATAGCAATCGTGAATCGTGAATGAGCCATGGGGGTTGAGCGGCTTCGATCGAGTGCGCTGCATGGTCTGGACGTGGACCGCGCACGTATAGACAGACGCATCATGGTCGACTGCAGCATGGACCTTGATTCGACGAGCAACGACCCAACTTAAGGCTATCTCGATGCCCCAAACATGTTCTTCTGGTTTCGCCTGAACTCTTGACTGTGACTCACACTCATGTCGAGTCTGTGTTTGCATAGAAGCGGCCAGCTGAGACCACCACCCCTGAGACGAGTCAAACAATCACGAATGTGAAGCTGCTGCTGCTGCTGCTGCTGCTGCATGGACTTCGAGCACATCAGCATCAGCGCTGTGCTGGGTATCGTGCAGCGGTGGGCTCATGACCGTCACACCCAGGCTACCTCGCACGCGCGGAGAGGAGGAGAGCCGCGGGGGGACGCTGCCTCTGCCTTATTGATCCATCATATTCGCTGTCTGAGGTAGATGAGCACGATCGATGAGCATCAGCAATTAAGGGCCGGAGGCTGAATGGTGTTCCGTGTATACGCTTCCGACTGTGCGTGCATGGACGCGACGAGTACGCTACTCTGTGCCCTCGCACTCGTGATGAATGTGTGCTGGTGCGACCGCGATTGTGCGGTCTTAATTGCCCACCCCTTGCAGAAGCCAACGGAGTGTCTTGCAACCAAGCGGACAAGACTTTAATCGTGACCATCATTATAACGCAAGTCGCAACATCTGCATGACAGCCTTGCGAGTCGAGCTTGCCAATCGTGATGAATGTGAATGTGAATGTTGTATCAAGGTCTCACCCTAGAGCATGCATGATGCGCGTAGACAGCAGGTATATATAGCTGTCCCGCTGTGTCAGGACGACCTGACGCGATCGAGTAGTGTGTGATCGAGTCTTGATGAGTCAAAGTGCTTTTGCTTGATTGATTGGCTTGGCTAGCGTGGGACGCAACGGTCGCAGTTCACTCGCGCCAACGCGCTTGAAACCGCCGCGCCGTGATTGCCCCCGCGACAAAACACACCAGTCAGACGGCATGGCCGTGGGAGCGCGTTCAGCTAGTCAGAGTGAAGAGGTCCGCGCAGCAGTCTGCTGATGAGTCTGATGAGAGTCGCGAATCCTGATCATGAGTGCAAAGGAAGGGTCACGCTTGTGCGCACGTGGCACTCAGCAAGTGGGACGAGAAGTGCCCAGCATCAGCAGTCTTGAGTCAGACTTAGTCGAACGTCAAGCATCGAACCTCATCAGAGTCAAGAAGAACAAATCAAATCAAAAGCAAATTATAAAATTTTGCATGCATGATCTTTCAGTTCAGCTCTCAAGTCACGTGTGCGGCCATGGCAGCCTGAAGGTTGATGAGGTGAGTCAGAAGAAGGGTTATCAATCAAGAGTCTAGGAGCAACGAGATGCTTTGCCCACGCAGCGCGACGACCCATCATATGACTTCCTCGACCCGATTCAGCGGACGGACCTCAGCGTCGTCGGACCGATGCCGGTCGCCGTGGATTTGAATCACCTTCGCGTACGGCTGCAGACCAACGGCGTCATTCGTGATTCTTAGGAGACAGGAAACGCCTCGATGGCGCGCCATGCTCGTGCCGCGCGCAAGGTTTGCGACGCGCCTGCAGGCACCTCTTGTGTGGCTTGACGGGATCAAAATCTTATCCACTCTGTTGTGACTCTTCCCTCCTCGATCGTGATTAGCGCAGAGCTTCCCAAAACCGTCGCTGTGAGCGTCTCAGCCGTGCCCACAGAGGATGTACACGTGCACTACTACTGACTCACACGAGGCGCTCGATCCATATATATCGGATCCGCCTCTCTCGCGTTGCGACATGGGTCGTGCCAGTCGCACGTCTCCGGCGAGCCGTCTTGGTCTCTCATCTCACCCAGCACGTGGCTTTCAAGGCTCGAATTGTTCGACGGCTCAGCTCAAATCCGGACTGCGATTGGAGAGAAGTGAGCTCTCGCAGAGACGGCCAGTCCATTTTGCCATAAGATACGAGTACACACTGAGCAGTGCATGTGATTCATGCTTCATTGCCGGGTGGCTGCTCGGTGCCGACGTGGCCGAGGTGCTGCAAGCCGCCGGCAACAGCAGGGGAGCTTGCTTCCTTTCAATGCTCTCTCCCTTTTGCTTCTCCATTCAGATTGCTTCGCACCCAAGCTCACTCCCGAAGTACAAAAGTGTGTTGTGTAATTACGTGTACCTGCTTGATCGAACTCCGCTCCGCTGCAATCAGAATCGTGAAATAGTGAATCTTGAATTTGTATCAACGAATGCGAAATGTCTGTTTCGCATTCACGTGGAAGAGACCGGATCAGGACCCTTGCTATGTATAGACCCTCTCTCTGCATGCGCTCACCAACTCACGGCTGCAGCCCTTATCAGCCTTGCTTGGGCGAGCGACCGAACGCCTCTTCTGCCAATTATTGAATCACAATCAAAAAGGGAGCCAGCTTCCCGATCACCATGCAGCCCTTTGCGCGCATCATGGTGTACGCTGATCCCGTCTCATCTGCATCCATCCACTCATCCAGCCTAGGCCCCGGTGGTCTCGGAACCGCCTTGGCAGCATAAGTACTCGAGACTTGCGACTGCAAAAGCTCAAGATAAGGAGCAGGCATCTGCTGATGCTGCCTGCGCCTTTGTCACAATCTTGACTGCGTCCGTTACCCTCGCTGTCCAGCTCATCTGCTGGCACAACACGGGAAGGGATATATGTACCTGTATATGGCCCTGCACGCATGCGCGGACGTCGAAAAATGACGAAAGCAACCGCTCTTCCCGCGACGCGCCCCGTGCGTGTGGCTTTTGCGCGCGACCCGCGATCGTTCGTGATTTGTGAGTCAAGCATCGAGTGCAGCTTCCGCTCTACCACCCGCACTTGCATTCAAGATTGCACCCTACAGCCCGTTGCCCGAATCAAGATTGACGATACGAGAGGCCGAGACGACGCTGGTATTCAACTATGCGGTCTTTCGGCTCCTGCATTGGAAGCAGTGTGCATATCGCAACGTGACACGGCCAGGAGAGAGTATTTCCGGACTCAAGCGGTCCCGCGATCGGCACGGGCTGGAAAGGATCCTCCATGGCTCGAAAGCGGCAGCTCATGATGCTCTTTGATCGCCATTCTCACGGAGTGATGTCGCAACTCTGCGGTAGATTTGAGACCGTCAAGGCCACGATGTCGCACACACGGATAATCAGTCGGCCACTTGCGCCTTCCCGAGATCCGCTTGTGTGGCTGCCCATCTCTGCCAGAAGTAGGGAGGCTGGTAGGCTATCAGACATCATCGCTCCCGGCATGATCGAAGCAAAGAGGGCTGAGCAAGTTCGGTACCGACTCAACAGCGCTGCATTTCCATACGATACCTGCATCTAGGTTGCTGTCAGCCTTTGTAGCCATTCTAAAAAGGCATAAATACAGGCTGATTCTCTGAAGTTCCCTGTCCCTTCATCTCACCTCACTTTCCAGCGCTCTCTGTCAAGCAACTGCTACCATTGATTGCTGAGCACCTTCCAACCACATAAATCACGCTTCTCAAACTTCAATGTTCATCCCCTCTTCTCCAACCGCACATCAGCTCGGAACCAGCTTGTCGGACAGCGCCCTTCAAGGCATCATGGCGAACCCGGCTCCTATCGTCAGCTCTTTGAGCACAGATTCTCTCGAGCAGCTTGGTGAGGTGGTCGCGTTGAAAGCGACACCCGAAATGCCGTATTGGTTCCCAGTCGGGTGAGTAGGAAAAGTCTCCTCACGTCCAGTACCCCGAGTCTTACCGAAATTTTGCTGTTCCCCAGGCTTTTCACCTTGCTGGTGACCCTCTACGTCATCGGCCAGCTCCTCCAAAACCGCATCTTGGCTTGGCTCATCGGCGCGCAGAAGTGGCGTGCGATGAAGGCTGAGCACAGAAGAACGATGGTGATCTATGTCCTGCAAACCCTCATCACCACGATCGTCCTCATCATGCAATGCTTCTGCTTGCCCCTTCTCGGACTGGCATTCACTGAACGACGCACAGAGCTCATGCGCGCTTCCGCGACGCTCATTGGTGGGCTGTACGTGTTCGAGCTCATCTGGAGATCCACCATGCGTCCTACCATGATCGCCCACCACATCATTACCCTCTTCGTCATGAGTCTCGCCATCGTCCTACTTTCAAAGCTGAGCGACCCATCCTTCGTCCTCACTGGTCTACTGTGGCTTTTCCAGGCCACGACCGAGCAAACCACGTTCGTCGCCCTCTTCATGTACCGTCTGCAAATCTCCCCCCGGATTCTGCGCCCAATGTTCCGCATTGCTTCGGTGCAATCCCTCGTTTTCAAGATGGCCTCCATCGCTGGAACCATCTTCGTGTGGGTCAAGTGGCAGCTGCACGGCGAAGGTGACCTCTACACTGCCTACTCCGTCATCTTCTGGATCGCCACCATTGGTCTCGCCGTCACCCAGATCTGGGGCTCTTGGGTCGTTTGGATCATGGGCGACACGCTGGAGAAGCGTTACATCAAGAATTCACACAAGAGCGCGAGGAGCACTCTCACCTCGGCCAACGCCTCTCAGCTCGACCTCGAGGCGCAGCTCTCGCAAACTGGTAGGAGTACTCCCACCAATGCAGCGACCGAGGATGGCAAGTATACACCGGTGTATGAGAAGAGAGTGAGCAGCCTTGGCAGACTTCCCAACTTGGACCTGCAGCTATCTGAGTGCCTCGACACCCAAGCTCGACCAAGCAAATCTGCGTAGTTCTGCGAGCAAAAGCATGCCGCCCCTGTCACGTCCTCGCCCATCCTTGATCACCCACCATACCGTCCTGTCACGAAACGCTGCATATATAGAGATCATGTCACCTTCACTTTGTCACGCATCGTGCGGCCCGCCCTAGGCCACATCCAAAGGAATCCACACGGATGCCCCTGCACCACTCCTCGCCGTTTGGCCAAAACTTGCATACCGAGCACGGAATGCTATCACCTGTCACTGCCTCTTATGTATAGTTGGTGATTGAGATGAGAAGCGCCTCTGCTTCTCCAAAAATGAGTTGTACAAGTAGACGGTGCGAGCTGCACGTGAGAGAAGACGGACTCGCGCATCCTTCTGGTGGGCTGCTCGAAGACGGAGCCAAGGGTGGTTGAGCCACAAAAGCCCACCATACGACGCGCGTGCTAGTCTGCCCTTTCAGCAACCAGGATCGCCTCACAAAGACTGCAGGCGTTCCACCCTGGCGAAGGTCTCGTTTCAGTTCCATCCCCTCCTGCCACCGGCATCCGCTAGTCGCAGCATCCATGTCGCTATGTAGTCAGACCCCCCCCCCCCCCCCCCCCCCCCCCCCCCCCCCCCCCCCCCCCCATCGTAGCTGCGGCATCACAATCGCATCACATGGGCTTGGTAGGAAGCTGGGTGGGCAGAATGCCGAACCTCTTCTTTATCGTCACCCGGTGTTTGCTGAACTTGTCATCGGGTGAAAACCGAGCAGGATGTGCGCTCTTTGTGATGCCTCCAGCCGTTGTCCTCTTCTTGAGCGTGTACAGACGATTGCCATTCTAATGAGGGGCGCGGCGGTGGAGAAGAAATCAGTGAGCAGCCTGCTTTGACTACGTTGCGTAGGAAAGCTCGGAGCGCCAAGTCCACCTGCGCATACACTTACGGCATCGAGAGTGTACATGAGGTGCATGTTGTGCGACCAATCGTCTGTGCCAGAGACTTGTAGATTGCTAGCGGAAAGCTCACGAGCTGAAACCTTGACCACGAGGGCAGCTTCTTCGGCGGTGCCTCAGCTCAGATTCGAGTGCAAGGCGCGAACGACGCAGGTTGCTCGAATACTCGGCGTCGATGTCTGCTGATGCAGTAGGATGTGCTCGTGATGGATTGACAGACGAGCACGCTGTCGAGTAGGTAGAGAGGGTTCGAGGCACTTGTCCGTAATCTCAGGGTCGCAAAGATTCCAGAAAGACGATGTGAAGCGGGCGGATGGTGGAATCCATGAAGACGAATGATCACGTACGATTGTGGGAATCGACGCTTGATAATCCAGGATTGGTGGTGGGCAAATTCACACTGGTCACGAGAGTACTGACTGCGATACACATTTTTGACTCTTGACTCAAGACTCAAGATCGCTATTCATGTTCACGTGATCCGCATAATCCATGATCTTCTTTGGCTCACGTGCTTTGCCTTTTTTCCTTTCGTCCGCGTCCGCCAAGCTTGCGCAGGCGGCTCCACATGCACAACAGTCATCCTGCATGCATGCAGGGATCAAGTCGATCATCCTCAGAAGCAAGCAGCAGCAACCCGCCGGAAAGTCGAGTCGAGTGCCATGGCGGCGGCCCTTGCGATACGAAGACTGACGCATGATTGCCGCAAGAAGCATCTCCTCGTGATGCTTGCACCGCGCAGCGAGCGAGCATCATCTCGCTTCTTCCAGCGACCCTCCTCCTCACTCTGCTGCTTCCTGGCAGAAATTTGTCCCTTTGCTTCGAATCATGCTGCTGAGCTACCACTCAGACTGCGTGCATGCGCCAGAGGATCAGCTGAAAGAGCCGCCAGCAGTGAGACTTTAGGCTCGACGGATCGCCATTCCGCTTGCTGAACCCCCTCCAGCAACTCGCCTGGTCTCCTCCTTTGCCTGCCTCATCACACGTTGCCTTTCAGCTTCCTACATAGTTCAGACGTCCAGCACGAAGCTGAGTAGGGCATACAAGACTCGCTGCAGAGAGAACGAATTGCAACATGCCTCTCCCGCCCTATACGGGGCCATTTCAGGTCGGTGAGTGAGCAGCAAGAACTCAGACCCCGATGCATTTTTTTTCCCAACGTGGCTGGAGCTCGGATTCAGCTGGCATGTCTGAATCCCACCTCTCCGCCTGCCCGATGATGTGCTTTTCCAGGCGCAATCGATCTGGAGATACCCGTACGGCAACCAAGGCCGTTCGGTGCGTCTATAGTAGCCAACGACCGCATCAATCTGCCTAGAGGCTCTCACCCGTGGCGTCACAAAGTCGGCAAGCATGGCGACTCGCATCAGACGCCGAAAGGCAACGAGCCGCAGTCAGAAGGTCTAGCGTCGACAGCGGAAGGGACGCAGCGTCAGGGCGAGGAGGGCGCCGATGACGATAATGGCGCATACGATCCGCTGCGCAGTGGCAGCAAGACGTCTACCCTGTTCATGAGCACTGTGCTGTTCACAGTCTACTATCCCAGCAGCATCAACGAACAAGAAGCCAAAAAGTACGACCGAGTAGCTTGGCTCGGGCGTCCCAAGAGAAAAGGCGTGAGCGCTCTCTTCTCATATGTCGGGCAGTATGGCCCCATGGCTGTTCCTGCTAGTCCAGCCATCTTTTCCCTTGCGGCCGCAAAGATGCCTGCGAGGTGCGCTCCTCCTCTTGCATCCACAGATGATCCACGCGTCTCTGTACCTCCACCTTTCGCTCGCACAGAGACTGGCATGTTTGGCGACGAGCCAAGCCGCTTTCCCATCGTCATCTTCTCGCACGGCCTGGCTGGCAATCGTCTGGCCTACTCGCAGTTCTGTGGAGAGCTAGCTTCCTACGGAATGGTCGTCGCAGCAGTCGAGCACAGGGATGGCTCAGGCGTACGCAGCTCCGTCCGCTTCCCTCTTGGGCAAGGTGAAAAGGAAGAAGAGGCGGAGCAAGGCAAGGACGAGGCGCAGCGAGTGCAGCGAGACGAACCTGCGCAGGGATCGGCCCTTACGACAAAGAATCCAGGCAAGACTGAGCACCACCCGCACGCCAACAGACTGCTTGGAAGGAGCACCGCGTCCTATCAGCCCAAATCAGACGTGCCGTATCTCGTCTTCGAGGCAGTAGGCATGAGATCGTTCGCGCCGAAGCCGACAGAGGACGAGATGGGCTTACGTCAAGCACAATTGGCGATGCGGAATGCCGAGCTGAATGAGTGCTTGCACGTGTTGAAGAGGATTGAAAAGGGCGAAGGGGAGCAAGTGGCGAGAGAAAGCACACGTGGCCTTGCAAACAAATTGAGCACAGGGGCTGCGAAGCGCGAGAAGCAGAGACGAGCGGGAAAGAAGCCTTCTTACACAGAGGGAAGTCTAGAAGAAGCCATCGACGGTCTCGCGGCGTGGAAAGGCAAGCTGGATGTCGACAAGCCTGCTTTGATGGGCCATTCGTTTGGTGGTGCCACAGTGCTCGAATCGACTCGCATGGCACCTGGAAACGAGGAACACCACGGGACCAGCGCAGACCAACAATCCACGCCTCCTTGGCTGCTCACCGTCGTTCTGGACCCCTGGGTCGAACCCGTCATCGAGGATGGCGGCAAGCCCAATTCGGTGCCAACATTCTGCATCAACACCGAAGCCTTCTCGGTATGGCAGGAACACTTTGAGAAGCTGAAACGCATCATGGCTGCCGCTCGTCAGGCGAATGGCGAAAATAGAGGCTTCCTATTGACAATTTGCGCCACAAATCATCTCGACGTCTCAGACTACCCTTTCCTTCTGCCGCATCTCTTCAGATCTACTGTCGGACCCCACGCCGCGGTGCGTCTATTCAGCAGAGCGGCGTACGTGGAGATTGGTCTTAGCAGACAGCGTTACCGAGAAAGAGCCAACGACCCGGGTTTCAAATTTCGAGTGGAAGCTGGCAAAGATCCTAAGATGGGAGCTAAGCAGAAACAAGCAGATGACAGGCATCATGCGCACCAAGTCGAAGGCGCTCTTGAAGATGCAGCAGACAGTGGTGGAGCACATCCCCACGCCGAACATGCTGGAATTCCTGCGGATATACCTAGTGCCGCTCCTTCAAAAGATGCGATGGAAGAACCACGAGACAGAGCAGACGCACTTGAGGGTGCGGCCGTCAGAGCGCGGATGCAGCCCGAAGAGGACGACGTTGGTCGTGCCGAGCAGCGAGGAAGAGCGCGCATGCTGGATAGATTGATGCATCCGAGCAGACCTAGCAGTGGCAGCTCGCGGTCACAAAATGTAGCAGAGCATCGGCAGCGCGGCTCTCAGACTGGCTCTCCAGCCAGCTCTCGACCGCAGAGCAATGCAGGAGGATCTGAGCGCGCAGAGACCGCGGAACATCATCATCATCCTCACTTGGTGGGCGGTGTCGTAGCTAAACGGAGCGAGTCTGGCAACGGCCTACTTGGAATACCGAGAACAAGTGCAGATGAATCCGACTTTGTTACGAGCGCTCATGAGCTGGTCGATGTGGACAAGGACGTCGAGGCTGTTCAAGCCGCTTTGGAGGATATCAGTGCCACACAATCGTACAAGCACGTGAGTATGCTTGTAACTCGACCTGTAACGGTCAAAGTCGCGCGAGATTCGAGTCGCCAAAGACCTGGAACGAGGCGTCTCACCGATCGACTGATTCACCTCGCATTTCCCCAATAGCCCAAGATTCATTCCTTGCTCGGACTGCTTTTCAGAATGAAAGGCGTCAGGCCTGGACTTTCCATCGTGAGTATGCTGCGGGCGCCCCGACGTGCTAAGAAAAAGAAGCAGCTCCCATCTCAATCGTCCCGCCCACCGACAGCCTGGAAGCGTGCTTGTGCACTCCATACCATGACGCGTCTTCGTGTGCGGAGGCACGCTCCTCACTTGCGTCCCCCGCAGCGCTTTCCTTTTGTGCTTGGAGGTCTGCAGCGATCCGTTTTTTTTTTTTTTTTTTGGCTTTTCTGTAGCACATTTTACGGCCCGCTTGCATTATCGCTCCTTTGCATGTAAGTCTTGATCTCACCTTGGCTGCTGCGCAGCGCCGACGTCTGGCCCCTTGCGCGAATCGCATAAGCAAAGCAATATTCCACAACATTGATCGCGCTGCTCAGGCACCGTCATCTTTTCAGGCAATTTGGCATTTCGTGTAGGGTGCGTTTCAAAGAGATACATCGACTGGACATGTGAGACGTGAGAGGGTGCTGGACGGTGACGCGGGAGAGTTCAAGAGGCAAAGCAGACGCAAGATGACAAGGGCGAGAGCGCGTGGCGTGGCGTGGCAGTGGGAGCTGGAACGAGATCGTCGAAGTCCGGTAAGAGGTGGAACGAGCCGCAGCCAAAGTTCAGCCCCATCGACTGACTGACTTAGAGCTGGTATCTAAAGTCTTGGTGGCCTTCGAGAACGGCCTTTCCGTCGTTGGCGCGCTTGTTCTGCACTCTGAAGACGATGTGCTGAAGGACGCAGATTCCGACAGTGATGGCGTTCATGGCGAGGGTCAGGTGGATACCCTCGGTGTAGTGAGGAGCGGCTCTCTCGGTGAACGATACGCCTGCAGCAATACCACCGATACCGCCAAATGCGACGACGATGGCGCTGGTGAAGGCACGCTTGGCCGATCCTCGAATGTTGATTTGAGAGTAGCCAATGACGAGGGGAACGACGCTGTTGCAGCCACCGACGGCAAGGCAGACGCCAAAGTACCTAGGTCCAGTGCCGGTCGCGTACGAGTAGACGCTGGTGCCAATGATGGTGCAGATGGCGTTGAAGGCGATCAGGGGTGTCCTGACTTGGAAGCGGTCCGAGATGAAGGCGGATCCGATGACGGGAACCAGCGCCCAGACGTAAGGGGGAGCGACGAGGAGCTGGCTGAGAGCGACGTCGAAACCCATGCCGGCCAAGATTCTGGGCAAGAAGTAGCTGAGAGAGTAGCTCGCAAGGGTCGCGCCAAAGAATTGAACAGCAGTGGCCCAGATCTTAAGATCGAGGGAGAAGCGCATCAGCTTTGAGAAGGTCATGCTGTCCTGGACGAAGTCGGCACGGTCTCGCTCAATGCGCGTCTTGACGATCGCGCGTTGCTCTTCGTTCAAGAACTTGGCCTTGGGTCCAGGGAAGTCGACGATGGTCAGCGCGCCGATGACTCCGAGGACAACGGTGATGATGCCTTCGATGATAAAGATGCTCCTCCATCCCTGGTTCTTGTACATGCGAATCAAACCAAGACCGTAAGCGAGGATAGCGGAGAGGCCGGAAGCGAGGATGGAAAGGGAGTAGAAGATGGACATTCTTCGTTGCACTTCGGCTCTTGGGTACCATGAAGAGAGCTGCGAGAGAGGCATAGGCGGTAGGGATCGATCAGTCAACAAGTCCTCGATGTAATGACGGGCGCGCTGTACTCACCAAGTAAACGGCACCAGGGAACAATGCAGCTTCGAAAATACCGAGCAGAGCACGGCATGCGGCGAGTTGTTGCCAGGTCTCTACGAAGCCCATGGCGAGCATGACAATACCCCAGAGGATGGTGGCGCCGCCGAGCCACTTGGCAGCGCCCCATCGCCTCATTCCGAGGTTGGAAGGGAGCTCAAAGAGGATGTAAGGAACAAAGAAGATGAGGACGGCGATGGAATAGTAGTTTGTTCCAGGAATGTTCAGGTTGAGGGTCCTTCCCATGCCTGCTGCGCGAGCCAAGGAGATGTTGGTACGGTCGATGAGGGAGATGGAGTACAGGGCTGCGAGGATGGGCACGAGCCTCCAATCGACCTTGCGCATCGTCCTCTTGACCTCCCAAGGGTCCATGCCCTCGTCGATGTTGGCTCGCAGCTGCGTCTGAGATCCAGATCCCGTCTTGACATCCTGAGCGTCGGTGGTGTAGCCGAGCGCGTCTGTTTGGCCTACCGCCAACTCTGGGTCGGAGACGCGCTTGTCGTCAGAGACGGTAGTCTCTTGTCTGTTGAGGGACTGCATAGTGGGGGAAGGGTGAGCCGCGTGCGTGCCTTTGTGACAGGGTGGGCGCTCAGGTGAGAGGGATGAAGATGATGTTGAGTGAGAGGAGGTGAGGCAGGATTGGGGGAGCGTTCGAGTTTTAAGTCCTGACGGCAAACCTACAGAGAGGGCGAGACTCTTCTGTGTGAGGTCCGGATCGGCCCCTCTTATAGATGTAGCGATTTGCTCGCCAGACCGTGTGTGTGTATCGAGCTTTGTGCGAGCAAGTATCAGCTGGTGTGGTGCCGCGCGGGTGTACGCACCGCGAGCAAGTCACGCACTTTGCCGCACCAATCGACCCAACTATAATGAGCGGCACGTCGGTCTTTCCTGACGGTAGCCGATTAGTCTCAGCTAGCCACTTCACCTCGATCGTGCCTGCATGGCGAACACCTGTTCCGCACACATGTGCAGGCCAGCTAGCCCCCAATGGATTTTGGATGGACCTGATGAAGAAGCCTAGCTGCAGCTGCCGTGCTTCTGTCATGACCGTCTGTTCACTCTCGAAAGCCTCAGTGGCTGTCTGCGATGCAGCTGATGTGGATGCGCGGATGCGGACGCGGATGTGGGGAAGCTGCGTTGAAGCGAGATTTCCACTCTCTGCTTCTGCATCTTCGCGCCAAGCCTTTTGCGGGCGAAGATGCACATTCACTCACACTGTGACTGCTGCACGGGGACAGCATTAGCAGAGGTGTGGGTGATGTCTGAGTTCACCACTGCTCCTCTGCCTGCTGCCAATGCAACTGCGGCGGTACAGGTACGGTACCTACAGCTGTAGAGTAGCGTGTACTGTGACTCACTCATGCACGACTGCTGTATATTGCACTCCGCCAGCCACAAGGTTCATCTAACATTCAGTGCATTCACGACTCGCTTCACCTCTCTTCCTCTGCCTCTTCCGAGCTTATCTAGGCACGGCTATGCAGCCATCAAGGGAGGGTTCAGAAGTGACAGCGCCATGCAGGCCTTATAAGCATTCATTCATTCTGATTGTGTCGCTGCTGCTGCTGCTGCTGCTGCTGCTGCTGCTACACGCCGCCCCAATGCATTCGCGCATGCAAGTGCGTACGCTCTGTGGCTGTCATGCATGTCAGCCGTCCGCATCGTGAGTCTCACCGCGGGGACCTTTGGCACCCGCGTAACGCGTATTGACGCGGCCCGCGCAAGCCACGAGTCAAGTAAGCATCCCACTTCTTAATTCTGATGCATGCATGGCTAAACAACGATGCGAACGAGAATTGAATCACTCAATGAGGTCTGCCCGCCTCCTTCCTGATACTTCACCAGCGACAGCAACACGCAAATGACAGCTCGTAGGCGCCGCATCCGCAGTCCATGCGAGCTTGGCCCCTCTCCCCGGCGTGTCTCGGCTCAAGTCTGTGCGTCATCAGGAGGAATTCAAGGATCGGCATTCGAGAGGTATGCTGGGTCGAATTTGAGGGAGCCGTGCATGCAGTTGCTTTGCAACTACAGCACACGCCGAGTCACAGTGTGAGTGCACAAGAGCGAGTGTGATTCTCTGCAGCACCTGGCAGCAGCAAGCATCTCGAGTGGCAAACGTCGCGGAAACCGCGGCAAGGTGGGTCGAAGAGGAAAGGCAAGCAGCAAGCCAGCAGGGATTCCTCAAGTCGATCCACCATCATCATCCAGCACGCGTGCAGCAGTGATGAGCTGACCTTGGTGTCTTCATAGTCGGTCCAACTCCTCCTCGTCCCTTGGCCGGGCGGACAAATCATGGAAGCCAAGCCAACGGCCGTGCATGCGCGCTTCCCCGCTTTCCATTTCTTCCTGCCCTTCCCATCTATGTAGGCACCTCCCTCGATTTGCGGCGTAGAGCAGCGCGAGCGCGTGGCCCATCGCTCTGCATCCCTGCTGCTAGTAGTGGTATCTGGCCTGCTCGGCGCGTGGAGATCACGAGGAACAGCTGGCCTACCGGCCATGCGGCAGAAAGACGTTCATCGTGACTTCAGAAGCGTTTTCTTTCTGACTTGGCCGAATAGCAACAAAGAACACTCTGGGCCTTTGCACGCAGTTTTGGGGCCTGCATGCTTGGCGATCAGGTCGTACAGTACAATGTGGCAGAGACGGGTCCACTGCGCGTCAAAGCCTGCGAGGCATGCAGGCACATCCGCTTCGGATCAACCGCCGTCAATTGCTGCGATGCTGTAAGGGTATACGGGTGCATGCACCTCTTACCCCACACTTCTCCGCATCTTCTTGCAAGCTCGCACATCTTCCTTGCTCGGCAGTCGGAAATCATCATTCGCCGAAGCGGTTCTGGAATTCTCGACCCAAGGGGCTCATCTCTACGCACGCTTCGCTGGTGGCCTTTCTCTGCAAGTGTGGCGGCTATGCGGCACCTTTGCCGTCACTCCTACACAGCCATTCATTCCCACGCCCAAGCGCCCTTATTCGGCTCGTTCTGTCAAGGGTCAGTCAGGCCCGACAGCGGACTTCAGACCTTACCCCAATCCAAACACAGACAAAGGTCAGCCAGCGAGCATCTTGGCAGCTTGTGCCGGCGACAGCCTCTTCGCGCTCCGACATCGCCAAGTCAAGCCCTCACTGGACTTGTTGACAAATCTTGAATACTTCTTCTTGCGCTTCGCTAGGCACCCGGGGTGGCGTTCACGCAGGCTCAAAAGTCTGGAGTTCGAGGCCTTGCCCATTCATTGCGGTTCCATTCTTTGCTCACAGCGGAGGTCAACAAATGTCTGGCTCGCACGCTTTGCGTGGCACAGCATATGATAGAGATTCAATGGGGCCCCGCGTTCTTTGACACACTGAATTGGACCGCTGCATGGCTGTCCTTCAGGTACCGCATGTCATTGTGCTGGGTCCTCTTCTATCCCGCACGGCAACGTATGTCAAATGCATCTCGACGTCCGTCTTTCCCGCCACGACATTCGGATCGGCCCTCCCTTTGCGAAGTGAGACAGACCGGCATGGATCCTAGCAGCGGCGCAACTGAACAACCTCTTTGCAAGCCATCCCCGCACCTCCATCGACGCCTCTATTCGGCGAGTGGCGAGATGATCGCAAGCTGGCCTGTGCTGATGAGGAGTCGTGTCAGCTCAGATTCGTGGTTCATAGAGCCTGGTGCAAGGACCGTGACGACGTCATCCTGGGAAGCCGCAAGACTCTTGATCCGGTGACTCGCAGTAGCCGGTATCCGAGCCAGCGGTACAGTCACTGTAGTCTGCTGGCCTCAGCACCTGTAGGCACGCGGCTTTGCACCTCGCTTTTCGACGTGGCAAAGCTTGCAAATCGTTACGACCCCTCCCTTGCCTGCTGTGGCGAATGAAGCGTTCGAGAGGCCTTGCGCGACTCCATTGCCCCGTTCGGCCTCCTTCTTCGCGCCTCGTCAAGGACAGTCTGCGAAATTCTATCACGCTCACAGAGCCCCAAAAGCAGCTATGCTCATCGCAACGACGAAGACGATGGTGAAGATCACTTGCAAATCAAGACGTTCCATCCACGACGCCCCTAGCGCGCCGCTAGGATTGTTGAGCCTGCCACCCTTGACAGTCGGACTCGCTGGTGTCGTGGTGAGCTCGACAACCTTGATCAGCGTCACGCTAGGCTCGCTCCCTGGTGTGCTGACGGAGGTCGAGAAGACTTGCTGCACGGTGGACAGCGTCGCACTAGTTTCGATTGTCGTCACGACGGTCGTAGAAGCGACCGGCGTTTCTGCTACGGCGGACGGTGATACGGTCGGCTGAGGTGGAGAGGACGCGTTGCTGCGATTGCCTGAGACGTCTTGATCCCATCCGCTCGCAATAAGAGTAGTAGACGAGGAGTGGGCGCCGGTGATATTAGCTGATTGAGCCTTCAATTCCTTTAACGGCAGAGCGTTGCCGGACGACGAAGGCTTCGAGCTGTTTCCTGTCAACATTGGCGAAGAGGTGTTGGCTTGTGGGAGATCGACTTCCGCACGCCAGCGCGAAGGCTTCGAGCCCGAGCTGCCGTCACCCACAAGGTCGGAGTTGGGTAGCGAAGGATCGAGCGTTGGTCGCGTCGGCCTTTCAGGGCCGCTCGCCTCGATGGTCTGCTTCTCATGCGGATCGGAAGCGGTCGAGGGCGAAGCAGACTCGTGAGTCCCAAGTTCAGAAGCGCCATCGTCATTACGTGGAGATGTGGAGTCCGGCAGAGGAGTGCTGCTGGGCTTTGCCGGTGATGTCGGACTTGCCGGACTCGATACACCCCCTTGGTGCGCCTGCTGTTGTGCCTCGCTCTGGCTCTCTTTTGGAGTCACTGTGCTCTTCAGGGCCGGTGCTTGGGCTGCAGGCGATGCGCTATGGGCGTCAACAGATTTTGCTGCGTCTATCCTGCGCGTGGTGGGGTCGAAGAGTGGCGAGCCTGGCTCATTTGACCGGTGTGTGAGCTGAGGTGGTGCTGCGGGGGGAGCGTCCAGAGGCATGTCTGATGCAGCGTTTTGCCATGGCCGCGGAGCGACATCAAGCTCGCTCTCCTGAGGCGTTTGCGGAGGAGCGCTGTCTGGCCTGGCACCGACGTCGCCCGGTGACAGTGAGAGGTGCGATGGAAGAAGGTCGTCCACCGGAGAAGGGGCCTCCGAGCTCGTTCCGCGAAGGAGCAGAGGGAGCGTCGAGGTGTGACTACAGTGCACCTCTTGGTGCTGCTTGTGGCAGGTCATCCAATGTGACGACGCCACTGTGCACTCGGAATGGGTCCCCTTCACGTCGAGGCCGCCAAGCTCCCTCTTCTTGCACCCGTCATCTGCTTGCTGGGCGGCGCAACCTGCGACAGTCAACGTCGCAGACGTGAGGATAATGCAGAGGGTCACGCACCCTTTGAGGTACAGCGTGTCTGGACTTCGTACCTGCGGCCAGTGACTTCCAGTCGGCCACATTGCGGCCTCGCAGCACAGACCACTCCTCTTGCCATCTCCGACTGATCCTGAGCTTGCCACCTCAGGGCTGACTAAGCAAAAAGGACCAAGATGCAACATGAAATGCATCCGTAGAGCAATGACGAAGAGCGCAACTGTTAGCTGCAGCGTGTAAAGCCAGCAAATGGAATGTGCACTAAGCATGATGCATGGTCAAGCAAGCTTCTGGGCTAGAACCTCTCCGCAGACACATCGTGGGCGTGAGAGCGCTCTCGGAATCCGACATCCAAGGGTATGAGAAGCAGACATCAGACCCGGGTAATCGACCAGCACCATCCCTCTCACCTCGGCGAGGCGAGGCGAGGTCCTTTCAAATTACAACCTCTATACGTACTTCTGTGGGCAGATGTGCACTCTACTCAGCCCTTGGATTGTGGCGCTCCAATGCAATCAGAGGTTCGCAAAGCCAAGCGGAGACGAGCATCCCGCTATAAGCCTGGATCACCGGCAAACCTGAACCTTGCGCTTGGAGCTCAGCCAGCAGCCGTCAAATTGACGGATGCGTGGACTGCACAGCCATCGCAACCGTGGACACCGTCCGGGCCAGCTGAGGTCGCGGCCAGCTTCTTTCAAACTCTCTCTGGATCAGCGATCGCGTCTGTGCTTGGAGAATATAGATACACTCGTGATTTTGATGAGGCCAGGTTTGCAAAACGGGCTGCCCCCACTCTGACTCACGACTCTCAAGTCTTCCGTGGCGCTCGACCACGAAGCAAAGTTTGAATCGAATGATCGCACGTTGAGTGGATGGCTCGGCACCACACGTGCCAGCCGCGTCGGGCACAGCAGCCACATGTTGACTGACCACTCGTTTCCTATATGCTAAAATGATCTGAGATTACTCGATGAAGTCGCAGCAAGATGTGCCGCTGCCACCCCTACAAATTGTTCGTTGCAAAGCAGTGACCGTTTGCTCTGGTCGTGGCTTGGTGGGATTGGAAGGACGGAGCAAGCTACACGCGGTCAAGAAGATACATTCACATTCTGATTCACGATTCGTGACAAGTACCTATTTTGGTCTCACGAGCAAACTACACGGGTAGGTAGAGATGCAAGGTGTACATTCAAAATTCACGATTATCCAAAATCACGAGAGATTGTGCTATACAGCGTGGCAGCCATTATAAATCGTAAATTCACCCTCGCGATTCTGCTTGAATTTCAACGGTGAATAGAACTACACCGGCACACCTCCAATCACTCTTGACTGTGTTTCCGCACAGCACGGCACGCGCCGCTGCATTACCGCGCGTGCGTGCAGCGAGCTGACTAGCTCGTGACTCGTGACTGTGACTGCTGTAGCAGCTGTCGCGGCCGGCCGGTACAGGTGCGTGGAAATCACGACGGGAATCACAAATCACGAATAATCTTGCGCAACCCAGCAGCAGCATTCACGAGTAGTGGTAGCGGCACGTCGCACCATCATCAACCACGCTAATACCAGGCGTGCACTTGTCAACCAGCCATCTGCCTTCTGCCATCACAAGCCCACACAAGCCCGGCGCTGCACCCCATCCACTCGCATTGGCGTCTCCGAGCTGCTCATCCCACCGCGCAACACGCTTTGGCGGTTTCCCTGCTCCTCCCGCGGACGACGAACGCAGGTGCACACTGCTTCCCGACTAGTCAAGCAGTTTCCCTGTGGCATCGCCTGCTCGACAAGCCGAACTGACTCAGCACCTTGAATCCTCGTGTGTTCGATTTCAAGCTGTAAGAAGCATGAATCCTTCTCAGACACCGTCGCCAAGCTTCCACCGCATACGTGATATCAAAAGCGGCATGAGCAGCCTCGACCCGCTTTGCTGCCCACGAGCTTCCTGCTCATCTGCTCTTGGCCCGCCATTTCTGCGCACGTCACCTCAATTGCATCCCAAAGCTGCGCAAAGGTCTCTCCGCCTGCCGATCGAGCGCGCCACCCTACGTCAACCCTCGCACCCTTCACCAGCCGTGCGCACGAAGAGGACGTCAAGTTCACGAAATTGCAACGGATCACTGTGGCGCTTCACGCTCGTGACGCTGCTCTCCGTCTGTCTACTCGCTTCGTGTCTTCCAGCTGCGCTCGCATCGCAAGGTGATCGGTCATTCGAGTATAAACACTGCGTGGAGTCATGCGAGCGCGACTCTTGTGGACCGGATCCTAATTGGGATGATGGCGTTGCGCATACAACCCACTTGCCGCTCATCCTTCGAGCCATGGGATGGACATGTCCGGACGATTGCAGGTACCACTGCACCCACCGAGTCACCAACGACGCCTTTGATCGCGTCAATCACATCAAGAGCGAAGCGCAGCAAGCTGTGCAAGCTCTGGCCAGCATAGCCGCGTCTGATGGTAGCCAGGGCTTCGGTGGCATGTCGCGGGCTGCTCAGAAGCAAAAGTACGAGGAATTGGTGGAGAGCAGGCTCAAGCAGCTGTCGCCTGTGCAAAAGCAGATGGTCCAGTATCATGGCAAGTGGGTCTTCATTCGCTTCTTGGGGGCTCAAGAACCCCTGAGCGTCATCTTCAGCCTCTTGAACCTTTGGGTGCACTCGAAAGGCGTGGTGCAGCTGCGATCGCAGTTGCCAGACCTATTCCCACTGAAGGTCATCTACATTCTTCATGCGCTCGTCAGCTGCAACGCATGGATCTGGTCCGCGGTATTCCACGCCAGAGACAAGGGCTGGACAGAGAAGCTCGACTACTTTAGCGCAGGCGCTGTCATCCTTTCAGGACTATTCTTTTCCATTTGCCGTCTATTCCGCATCCCGCCTTCCCATCCCAATTTTACTCTGCTCGCACGTGTGTGCGCTGGAGCGCTCGCCGTTCATATCCTTTATCTCAGCATCGGGCGATTCGACTACTCGTACAACATGACGGCCAACGTGCTCGTTGGCTTAGCGCACACGTTGCTTTGGCTTGCCTACTCTTTGCGGCCCTCGGCCTTCCCCGGTCCCAATGATGGCGTATCGTCTAGCGCGAGATCTGCTGCAAACGGCAGGGCGAACGAATTGCCACCGAATGCGCTGAGTGGGAATGCATCTTCTCCGACTCCTATCCTGTCGACGATTCCACCACCATCATCATCGCGAACAGCGAGGATCAGGCTACAGCTGGTCGTAGGCCTCCTAGTAGCTGCGACGTCCCTAGAGCTGCTCGATTTCCCTCCCATCCTGCGCGCTCTGGATGCGCATGCGCTATGGCACCTGGCTACAGTGCCGCTCGCGAGCATGTGGTACAAGTGGCTGATCGACGATGCGAGGGAGTGCACATCCTCCGGCTGGTGGGTAGGCAGAGGACTTAGGGATCCTTCCATCGACGTCGCTCCACACGTCGTCGAGGCGATGGAAAAGGCCAAGGTATGGGCAGTCAAAGCCGCTGCTACCACGCAGCAGGGCCACGCTGTTGGCACTGAGCTCGTCGCTCGGATAAGGGGATTCGGAGAAAGAAACCTAAGCGCGACTTTTGGTAGTGCTGTCGGTGCTGGTGCCTCGCCGAGCGAGAGGGAGCTAGAAAAGGCAAAAGAGATGGGCGGACGCTCGCATGGTGGTATTTCCGTGTAGAGCGACTCTATTCATCCTGCTCCTCGGCTCCGATCATCTCAAAAACGTCACCCCATCACATACCCTTCTCCAAGCGCTTAGGTCTTCAGACCCTTCATGGTGTGAACCTCAAACTAAGGAAATGCATGCGCAGCTAAGAAGCAATTTTTCGGAGCGCAATCTCCTCGCGTGTGGTCCGCGATGATCTTATCGAACGATTTCTCAGTCGCCCGCTTGACAGAGAGTCACGATTTGGAACTTTCGATACAAAAGAGATTTACGCAAATACTTCAGGTTACAGCGATCGCATTGGCAACACGAGAATGCGCAATAGTCCGAGATTGTGAATCAAGCTGACAATGTGGAGAAATGCGCGTGTATGAACGTTGAAAGAATGATGTCGCACGAGGCATGTGCGTGGAAACCTTGAGTGGATGCAACATGAGTGAGAAGGGTGCAGAGAAGGTAGAGCCGCAATTCCTAGATGGTCATATTGGGAAGAAAGTCCAACAACAACAAGAAGTGTGCCCAAGACGTGATTGTAGATAGGCGAACGAGGGTCAAGCAAGCATGTAAATGCTCGATTGGAGGCGATCACGAGGCAAGAACAGAGCTAATAGGCATGCGCACCGTAGCTTGGTGAGGTGTTCGCACTGACGCTGCCGGCAGGTGCGAGTGGCTCGCGGCCACTGAAGGTGGCTTGAGGCCTGGTCAACGTAATCGGACCGCCAAGGGCATTATCTTGCGGTGCACCACTGATTGTGCTGCGGCGCTTGGCGGCGGCGGCGGCGGCCGCTGCTGCTGCTGCCTGCACTTTCGATGCCGTGGATGCTGCAGCAGCGGAAGCTGCGGCGTGCGGGTCGTGACGCGGCTCGTTGCCGTGACGCGCAGAGTAGAGCAGTTCGAGATCGGAACCGTCGTCTTCGCCCTTTGCAAGCGCCATCAATTTAGCGTTTCCGTCTGGGCCCATCCCGCGGTAGTGCGTCTTGAGGTGCTGGGCGAGATTATCAGTCCTGCCGAACATCTTGCCGCACGTTGGGAAAGGACACCTGTGCGGCCGTTCTTGTGTGTGGGTGCGATTGTGACGCTTGAGGTGCTCCATGCGTTTGAAACGCTTCCCGCAGTGACAAACGTGGGACTTGTCTGCCGAGCTGACGATCAGTGGGGGTGGACCGCTGTTGCGAGCACGGCTCCTGGGTGTGCGGGTCGGACCGGTAGCTCGAGCATCCTGCTCGCTGGCCACATTGCTCATCTCGCCTTGATGCACCGAGCTGAACGCACGTGGCCGCCTTTGTTTGCCGTCGACGAGAGACAGCGGCGAAATCGCAGCGGGAGATTGCAGATTGGACATGCTGCGAGATGTCGTCATCGTAACACCAAAATGTGTGTCTTCATAGGAAGGCGACGGAAGGGCGTTCGATGAGCAGGACGAGGGATAAGCCACCGGCGATTCCGAGGCCACCGATGTTGAGTTGGAACCGTAGTGCGGTGTGAATAAATGCTGTCCAAGGCTGAGCTGTGCGAGAGCCGGTGCCGATGCAGTCCTGCTCATAGACACGACCTCTTGACCTGTCGAGCTTTGAGAGTGCTGAAGAGCGTTGGCACCGTTGTGAAGCTGATTGATGGAAAGAAGTCCAGGACTGCTTCCTGCAGACTCGCCCTCGCTCCAGTCCTGGTCAATGTTGGTGCTAGAAACGTCTTGTTCACGCTGCTGCTCCTTCTCCGCCCACATGACTTCGAGCGGAACATCGCCATAAGGAAAGCGACTCAATGCGTGACGGGAGAGCATGAGGTGCCCATTGCTTCGATGGAACGGCGAATCGTGTCCCGCCGCAAAGTGGTCGTCCGGGGTCGTGGTGGTGGAGTGCGAGTGGCCAGGCGTCGCACCGGAGCCGGTCGATGAGAACGATGACATGGTCGGAGCACGGTGCCGAGATGCTGGCGTAAAGGGGGTAGCAGCCATCGTTGCAACTTGAGACGAAGCACCGTGACCTTCGAATCTGCTTGAAGAAGACGGCACAGGTGTAACATCATCATCTCGAATCGGAGTTGAGAGGAGCGATTGGGACACTGGCCGAAAGCTGCCTGCTGCTCCGCCAGTGTAGACGGCGTGGCCGAGATTGCTGCTGCGCCGAGTGAGCGCGGGTGGGCCCATGACGGAAGACGTCGACGTCGGCGCCACATCCCTCCCTTGAGACAAAGACAACAGCTCCCCGTGGCTGTCGCCGGGGAAGGAAAGTCGATGCCTAAAGCCGTCGACAGAAGACGAGTTGTATGGCTTTGTTGGCGAATAAGAGCTGGCAGGCGTGCTCAAAGCCAGACCCGACATGGCAGAAAGCGGTGTCACGAGACCAGCTGGGGATTGCAGCGGCGTCAACGTCGATGGAGACTGAGTGTCGCCTCGCACGCTACCTTGACTGTGGCCGTGGGCGGACTGTGACGCGCTGCTGTCGGATGCGTTGGAGACTGACGGTCGACGGAAGTTGAAGGACGAGTGGATAAAGTCGACACCGCTGCTAGACTCAATGGTCTGCTCGTGTCGCTGGTGCCCGCTATCATCGTGCGTGCCTGATTGACGATTGTTGCGATGTTGTGACACCATCTCGAAGGAAGGCATCGATTGAGAGAGCCCCATGGCAGGCGCGTTTAGCGCTGCGGTGCTCCCACCATTGTGCATGCCGGTGAGCCCTGACGCGTGAACTTGGCTCTCAGGCGCGTCGAGGCCCAACGCATTGCCGACCAAGGGGCCAGTCGAGGAGTAAGCCTTTCCGTGGCGGTCGCTACCGTGCTTGCTGGGATCCGTCACAGCGAAGAAAGCAATGTCGGCGTCTATCTGGGTCAGTGAAGCCGATGCACCGTGACTGCTGGAAGGAATGCGTTGATGTGGCAAGATGTGGTGAAATGAATGAGCGTCGAGATTATCGGCTTGAGGCGCGTGGCTCCACGCGTTGCCGTCGGGCATGTGCGATTGACCAGATTGATCGCTCAACAGCATGGTCCCGTCCAAGAAATGGTCCATCTTTGCGATCTGAACGCAGGCAGATCTCAGGTCGAGTGAGTACAGATGCTCGACATGGAAGGAGGACTCGCGGATACACTCACGAGTCCTGGCGGGCACGCTTCCAGCGCGTTGTGCCTCAACTGAGTGCAAGGCTTGGAGTGATGGCGCAGGAGCGGGGCAGTCAGGTCTCAGAGCAAAGCTGAGTGCCGCGATGAGCAAGTGATCGAACCGAGCGATGCTGAACAAAGAGAACGGAACCAGATGATCGCAGTCTGAGACGTCTCAATGCAAATGATTGGATGGGAGGGGGGCGCAGAAAGATATTTGTGGGGAGGCCGGGAGAACGTGTTGGTAAAATACCCATTCGCAGGTGTATGCCGGCGACCAGCGATCCAAAGGGCTTCAGACCGCGGCTTGCCCACAGCGCTCTGACTGGCCTGCAGACCTCGACTCGCGACGCTCGCACATTCACCGTTGCGAGCGGCCAAAGGTCACTTCACTCGTGACGCTCGAGGAGCACGAGCAGCAAACAACGCTCTCTGCTCACGCTGCTCTGTAGACCACATGAATACGCTAGGCCTGCTTTCGATGCTGCTTGATCGCAAGCTCTCATGTGATGCAAGTCTTCGGATCAAACAACGAGTTGGCCCGGGCTTGATCGGAGAGAAAGAGCAATCAGAGCCGCTTCGCACAGTCTGGTTGGGAGTCACTGGACTGTAGCAGAGCAACACTTCGCCCGGCAATGCCTGGCGGTGCCTTGCTCTCTCTGATGCTCTTGCTCGATTGAGCCTGTCACTCTTTCTGATCATCGGGTTCCCTTCGAATGCACGCATAGCCGGAGCGGAGTTTGAGCTGAATTGGGTTCGTAATTGACCCTGCGCAATCTGCGTCTTGGTCAGGCAGTGCATGTCATCGGTGTGGCTGCTTGCGTTCAGGCTATGAGTCGCTTTGGGAAGTGCCCTGGCGCTGGTTCGAAGAGCGAGAGAGCGGAAGGGCGCAGTGGCCCGCGGAGGGCCAAATACAGCTCAGGATAGTTTAGCCGCACAGAGGAACGAGTGCGTGCGTGCGTGCGTGCGTGCGTGCGTGCGTGACGTGCGTGCGAGGGAGCGAGGGAGCGAGCGATATTGCTGGCAGGTGGTTGGGAACAGACCCACGATGGACAAGGGCAGGGCAGCAGGGAGCCACCAGCCTCGGCCACCTTTTGCCTGCGCCAATCAAAAACCCAAGTCGGGCCGCTGAGCTGCTCCCTGAATTGCGGAGAGTTGCGCGATTGAGCAAGTATCCGTATTATGGCTTTCCATGTGCGGCGCCATGGGAGCTGTTCGAGCAAAGTTTCAGATTGCAACGCACTGAAACACTCGCGCAGTCCCGGAAAAGGCGCGCGAGATTTAGTCTGGCCTGGCCTGCAGGAAACCATGGGAAACCATGGGAAAAGAAAGCGCGAGGGGCATTTCGAGTATGTGCCATGCAGGTATCCAAGCATGACTGCTGGTCTGCTGACTGCTGACGCAGGCGCGGGAACGTCAGCAGCTCATGCGTCCAATAGATTGCATGTCCGAACGATGTGTTTCCCAGCCCAGCCGAAACGCCAATCGACCCTCTGCCTACCCTAAGCTCAAGCCCACCCCACTTCCGGCGCTCGTCTGACATTCCTCGCTTGACATTTTCCAAAATGGTACGATGCGGGCAGATGTCAGTAGTAGCAGCACCGCTTTTTGGCAGAGGTAGGCGGAGAGAGACTGTCCAGGGGAAGGTAAGGTCAAATAAGCGAGATCTAGGATAGAAGCCATCTGCCTCCAGCGTAGACGATGCGCAGGCCCGATCCCATCCTTGTGTACCGTGTAGCTCTTCGAAGCCTCTTGTCGCCTCGAACCTTGCTCTTCATCCGGTACAGCCGAGGCAATCGTCCAAGCTTGCAGCTCGCTCCTGCGGCTGTAGGGAATTTTAGCTGCGCTGAGACTGCTGGTGAAGCGAAGGGCCGGGCGTAGTGCCGCAAAGCAGCACCGCTGTGGGATGGGGGGTGGGCGGGCACCAGAAGAAGGCGGCTGAGGAGGGAAAGTGTTGCTGTGTTGGTCTTGCAGCAGCTTGCAGCTCCGACGCGCGCGTCGCATCCCACCTCGCAGCCCAGCCAGGAAAGAAGAAGCCGAGCGGCCAGAGCAAACGCTGCTGGCGGTTGTGTGGGAACCAGCGACGATGCGCGTCTCTTGACGAGCCGGCCGGCAAAAGGAACCCTTGGCTGCTCTGCCAGGCTTTGCGCATTCAGCAGACAAGAAACCTCGGTCGGTCCAAATGTGTATGTACACTGCACTTACTACTGTTGTGCTGTGCAGCAGACGCGCACCTCTTAGCTGAACTTAACCTTGATCGACATCGTTTGCTCGATGCTGCGTGGCTTACTTTCAAATGATATGATTGCAAGTCGACGCCGCGAACATATCGCTCCATCGTCCTCTTGACGGATGAAGACCAATAGGAGACCCCAAGCTACAGTTCGTGATTTGACAGTAGACCGGCTGCTGCGTGCACGGGAGCTCGATTTCAAGACCGCAAAGCGGGCTCTTGTCTCACAAATGGGTTCCGGTGACGGGCTCGGCGGGTTGCTCTACAGCTACAGTCACTGCATGAGTATAGCATTCAGACATCCAGCTGTGGCGTCGCGGCGCCCAGCATGCAGCGATTGAGCAGCAAGTGTTAGATGCGCGAGGCCCGCTCACACACACACAACACTCACGACCTGCTGACTCACGAATTGCATCGCAGGGTCAGAGTATGTACGCACGCGCGATTGCATTTTGCCAAAATGCAGCCGTCAAAAGGACGTGCTGATATGCATGCAGTGAGTGATGCATCGCTGGCGCCCAGCAGCTGTCCCACCCGCCATATCATCTGCAGCTTTGGAGCACCTATACATGTGCATGTAGAGAGTAGCAGCAGGTCATGTGTAGCTCGTCAAAGGCGTTGTCCTGGCGAGGTGAAGAAGGCTAAGGACGGACCAAATCACAAGAGTGAGAATAAGAGAGTGAGTGTGAGAGCCAACACCAACACCCTCGACTTCTATCTGAAGTGTGAGCCGTTGCGATGCCCACGCTCTGGACTGAAAGACATCATCGACGCAAGGCTGCTGGTGATCACGTTCCGGATATCGACGTGCAGTCATCTGGGCCTGCACATCAAAGCAATTTGTGAATGTAAATCTAAACATGATCGAGTCTTGAGTAAGCATCTTGCGGATTCAGATCTACATACCTAGATCGCGGCGATGACCTCGTGGTGCAGTCAGCCGGGTTGAAGTGGAGGGAGGCAATCGTTCGCTCTCATCGAGATATGCGCTTGAGCACGATCACCTCAAACTGACCACGTCAAGAATCAGGAATGAGGCAGTGAGTGCACGCACTTCAAGGCTTCCAGCACGCGAGAGGTCCAAGCTATCATTCACCATTCGTTCTGCACGCATGATGTTCGACTTGATGCCTATCCATGACAGTCGGCTTTCATGCTAGGGCCGTGAGCGCACCTATGGCCGGGCCGCTGCAGGCGTAGCCCGTCGGTCCCGCGATGACCTCTACTGCCATTTCTTGTATCTCGGGGGACCGATCGTTACACTCAGCTTACTCGGCTTTAATGATGATGATAATAATAGAGCGGCGTTTCTCGCGGACTGTTCATATGGCTCATGAGAGGAGAGACTTCCCCCACTGGATGAGGGCGAGCGAGGCGATGCTGTCTAGCTGATGATGGCGGCTTCATCGCCCCCGCAGCCTTGAGTCAAGAATCGTGCCACCATCGCAGCTTGTATGCAAAGCCAGAGTAATCAACATGTAGGACCGGCCATAGGCGCGTCTAGAACGTGCTTCCATCCACTTTGACCGTCATACGAGGATCGCCAACAAAAGGCTTCTATAGAAATCGACCTTGCCAAGGCTGGCCCGTTGCGCATGAAAGCTTACAGGTGCTGGGCGATACCGAGCGCGGGCGGCATTCGCGTATCGACCACGCGGTTGATGGCGACCAACGGCGCTGCTGTGTCCACCTTGAAGGCGCGGCGAGTGCCAAAGACCAAGGGGCTCTAATCGTCTGCAAGGGAAGAGCTCTGCGCTAGAAAGCGCGTGTTTGGCCTACATGCGAGACCCTTTGCAATGCAAGCAAGTACGACTGAGTCCACGACGCTGGGTCGCACGTTGCTGCCTTTCGTGACGGAGCCGGTGCGACTGTCGATTTTTGTGCACGTTGCTTCCGGCCAGGAGAGCGCTTACAGATCGTCAGTCGAATGTTCAATACGGCATAGTGCGAAGCTTGAGCTTATTTGCGGTATTTTTCTGCTTACCGTCGTTCTTGGGTCGTCAAGCCTTCATGACGGCGGAGGATGTAGCCTCGATCGTCATGCAGCAGCAGGCTCGAAGCTAGGCTATATAGCTGGCTCGTTGCCTAGCTGTCGCGGCTCCCCAGCTCGAACAAGGTCACGCGAACAACACGTACGTTGCAGTCCGCACAGCACGCTTACCCAATTTTAGCGCCGCGGCAATCTCAAGATGATTCGCGACGCGTCAAGCCTCGAAACACGCGTTCCTTGGTTTGGTGGCGCACGTGCATCCGCGTTCGTGCACCGCAGATCGCCGATGCACGCTTGCTCGCGCATAGCCTCGTGCAGCAGTTGAGGCCTTGGCCAAGGCGATCCTTTGCGCGGCAGCTAGGCAGCCGCTTGCTGCGCCTCGACCGAAGCCATGCATCAGAGATGGCTCACCAAAATCCTATATAGCTGTGCTCGTGGTGTAGTGAACAATCCGATCGGCATGGATCGCATATGGTGGCGACCGCCACAGCATCCAGTACAGTACCGTGTGCACAATCCCACGGGCTTTCCGGGCGAGCTTGTCCATCACGGCACCCTTAGAAGCTCCTTGTGTCCGAATACGGTAGCAGCAGAGGAAGCCCATAGTCAAGTGCGCCGGCGACTTGTCGTGAGCGTCGCCAAGGTCGTGCGACGGGCAGCGGTTCGAGGTCATGATTAGCCGAGATCGCGAGTGCCCACAGCAAGTTCGCGTAACCCACTCGCTACCGATGGTGTGGGAAAAGGGAAAAGACACGCGAGACTGATGGTTCTGCTGCTCACACGGGTCAAGCCAGCAGCGCGGGGAGATACACAGCAGGCAGTCCATGCCGTGTACATACAAAGCTCGATCGAAGCCAGCAGTCGAGGAATGTGTCTATGACGAGTCATATGTGATGCATGCTGTATGTGTCCTGGATGTACCGTGTGCAGTCGACCATGCAAGGCGACCGTTGGATTCGACGCAATTAATGCGTATGACTGTTTGCTGCGCCTGCCTAGCTGCGCCAGAGGAGAGGCGCGAAAGCGACTTGGATCTGGCGAGACTCTGCTGCTGCATGCATGCATGTATCTGCAGCATTCGTGTTTCAAGCTGCACCCGTTTTGGCCGGGTTTGCACTCACGTCGCATTCGAATTTGCTCAAGTCGAGTCCTGTCTGCTGCTGCACTCGGTCACCACTCACGACTCAAGACTCTGCGCATGTCACAAGCTGCTGGGAATACGCCAGATCCGTGCCGGCCAGCTGCTGTCCTGCACCTGCATGCGCTGCTGCTCATGAAGGGTAGCCAAGCCTTTTGAAGGAATGCCCTGCAATCTTGAATCGAATGGCGTCAGATGAGAAAGGCATTCCCACGAGCAAACAGAGTTGCCGCTGCTGCATGCGCAGGCCCCCTGTTGTCTGCCCGATCCGAACAAGGGTGCATCCTATATTGACTCCGAAAGATTTGCGCTCGTCGTATTCACATTCGTGAGCATCTTCCAGCTGCCGCTTCCTCAGCGAGTCGTTCGTTGTATCAAAGCTACTACTACTACTGCATATGAGGCACCTCGACCACGCTTGACCGCTTGACTTGCGGTCACAACGTGACTGTCGATCCATGCCATTCACGATTTGCCCGCATGAATCGTGAATGCTAAGCTTGGCAGCGATAGCTGGTCCCCTCCAAGCACCATTGCTCGTGAATGCACCCTCGATGCCTCCACCTGCTGCGCTCCGGCGGCAGTGATATACTCACACTGCCAGTCTGCCAACGCTACCTCAAAAGCCGGCTTGCGAAATGCTCAAATCCCTCTACCAAATACTACGTCTACCACTACCACTACTCTGACTACCACAACAGTCCCTCAACCAGCTTCGGCTGAACCGCCTTGCAGCTCTCTCGTTTCAGCTTCGGCTCGATATATGGTGCAGGTGGCATTCTGAATCTGCCGTTGCACAATCTATGCAGATGGCGTCGCAGGCTCCCTTGAGAACGCAGCGCCTCAAGATCAGGAGATGCAAGCCCAGCCGAAGGTCGCCCGATCAAACTTGCTGGCGCTCCAGAATGGGCTGAGAAGCTCTATCTCTCCCCACACCGCTGATTCTATGGACGTGCTGGATCGTGGGATTGTGCACTGAACTACGGCGAAGATTCTCTTGGCTGGGGACATGGCGTGAGAATTGGCACCAAGGAAAGTCGGGAATGCTTGCCCAAGACCAAAGTCCGAAACGTGCGAAATAGCAAGGCCCGTCCAGAGGGGCAAGCTGCTTACCAAGAACGCTAGCGCACGATCAGCCCCACTCCCCTCGATCCATCTCGCAATCTTTCTCCAGAAGCAGCTAGGATGTGGGTTTGTAAAGTAAACAATCAATGCGAATGCACTGCGAAGCAAATCGCTTATCTTGTCGCTGCGCAGGACAAGGCGCAGACGTTGGCGAGGCAAGCTTTAAAGCTGCTGCTCGGGAAGGACGTGGAACGGCACTTCCTGCGCGTAATGTGCACGTACATAACTCCGCCGTAAGCTCGCGCTGCGAGTCGCTCGATCGTCGGCGTCTTCGGGGCTCCTTGCAGCACAGGCTTCTGTGAGATCAAGAGGCCTTGGACTGAAACGCTCACCGAGCTGCCCGAATTGGTTCGAAACCTCCCGTGAATTCGGACGCGCATGACGCTCAAAGCAAATTGGCTGGTGATCACGATGTTCGAAAATGACTTCCTGATCGAATTTGGGGGTGCACATATATGCGCATTGAAAGAGCGATGATCTCGCCAAAAGAGTGGGACGCATCTGACCTCAGCAATCATCCTGTCTGACAACTGACGCTCGACTCCTTCTGTCGTTGATCTGACAGCCAGGGCGCATCTCATCTTTTCGATAAAGTCACACAAAGCCTTTTGTTGAAAGCGACGACCAGAGGCATGGAATAAGTTGTTCTTCGGCTGGTCGATCAATAAGCGAATTACATGCAAAGAGCTTCCTCCGCCACTGCATAAAGTGCGCAAGAACTGGTGGAAGATTGCAGACCTTGCCTTTCACATTCTTGACCAAGCAAGTCGGTGTTCAACATCCAGGACCCTACATAGACCTGACACCGTGTTCCGGAGATGATGGATGATGGAAGCTGAAGTGCTTCGACACGATGGACACGCCGCTCGCAGTGCCGGGAGACGGCATCATCGGAGTGGAGGATGAAAGCGTGAAAGCGTTTCTCAATCCCTCATCGGCGCAGGGACTTGCAACTCGGCCGCTGGAGGTCGACGGACGGGTTGCTTTCATGCTCCAGGTCTTCAGAAGAGGCGTCCAAAGCGTGTCTCTCGCTCTTCTTGCTGGATTTCGCCACGCTTTGGAAGCCGCGGCAGACTGGGTAGCCCAAGGGTCGACTGCCGATCGATTGGGTCGCCGCAGACTTGCGCCAAGAAGGCAATCGAGTCGCAGATGCAATGAAATATTGAAGACCCAAAATCGTCTCTCGCGCGAGTCAAGAATTGGTTCCTAGAGCAGATCGCCATTCACCCAAGATCTACAGCCCCCCAGAGGCCTCGATCATCTTGCCGTTGATGAAGCGAGACTCAGCCACTCCACCTCGATTGTAGCGTTGGAAGTCTGATACGAAAGCCAAGGTGGAAGCGTGTCAGGGAAAATTGGGTGTTACCGCATGGCACAGCCATGTCAATTAGTCTCGGACGCACTATTGGTTCCCTTGACGTTTGTCACGCGTCGAAAGGTCAGATTGATTCTTGGGCCAGCTTCTTTGCGTTTCGGAATGGCATGCTCATAATCCGCTTGACTTCGTCCGCGCATGATGAGGAGATCACCATCTGCCAAGGCGAATTTTTCTGTAGGTCTGCTAGCTGCTGGACCGACACCTTTTGTACCGGAAGGCTGATCAGCACGGGCGGCGGGTACATCGACACCAGCAGGTGCTTTTCGTCCTGTCGGTTTGCGTGACCAAACGTTGCGCACGATTAGCCACTTGATCATCGTGAGCCTAGATTGCGTTTGACACTCACGCATGAAGAAGTCGCGGGTGGCACCTAGAGAGATGGAGGCTATGGTGGGGAGTGAGCCAAGGAATGCTTCGTCGTCGGAGTGATAGGAGCTTCAGGAGCGTCAAGGCGGCAGTGCTTGCGATCAGCGCTGGACTCCTGTCTTTTTCATTAGGAATTGCGTGCTGCCTCACATGCTATCGCTGCCGTCAAGGTAGAGGTTGATGATGACCGTATTGAAGTAGCTTCCAGTGAGATGTTCCACTTCGGACAGCCCGGGATTGCAGGAGGCGTGGCTGTTGATGTCAGTCAATGGCTATAGCGGCGCACGTCTCGATCTACTCACGCAGCGCTTTGAGCTCTGCAAGCGGTTTTGGAAATGGACGAGGCTTGATGGGATAAGCCGAGTCTGGGGCGCCCGTATCGTCTCTTCCGAATGTGGTCGTAAGTCTGGGCGTTCGAATGGTAATGTTCGAATTCGGTCTTGTGTAGACGACCTGATGCAGAGACGAGAGGAGCGAGGTCGTTTCAGGCATGGAGCAAGAGCTGGAAGGGACGACAACACTCACCCGATGCCACGCAAGCCCGTTCAGCATCCAACGGAAAAGCTTTCTGCGCGCTTCCGGCACGATCCAGCCCTTGCAGTACAGCAGGTCGAGGCTTCCATTGAGCTTGTTGATCGTCGTCATTGCCGAGTCGCTGGTTTCAGGACCACCGCTGCTGAAGGTGGGAACTTCGATTGTGCTTTTGGAGCCACCGAACAGAGGTGCTAAGCCTGCGCTCTCTTGCTTCAATTCCGCCTTTGGGTCCACATCGCCGTGTCTCCAAGCACTGGCATCGTCGGATGACCGAAGGGGTTTTGACGCATCCCCCACCGCTTCATCGATTTTGCGTCTTGTCCCATCCGCACGCTCCGACCGCTCAATAGCTTCTGGATGCTTGCGCTTGTATCCCGCTGGAGTACCCGACTTCAGCTTAACACCCTGCCACTGTTCCTGCTCCATCGAAGCGGCCAAGGCAGCTTCGAGTGCCTCTTCTTCGCTCATGGCAGAGACTCGAGCCTCCTGCTCAGAAAGCTCCAAAGCTCGTTCCAAATCAGCATCGTTTGCGGGAGAAGAGTGGGACGTCGCGCCTGTCCTGCCTTTGGCGCTCTCCACCTCACCCGAAGCTCCGGCAGTAATCTTGCCCATGAGATCTCGCAAGTCCCTCATCGCATCCCCTTCCTTCGCTGTGTGCCCTCGTCAACCGAAGTGAGTCTGCATAGTGACGAGTATCCGACACTTTGCCGTGATGGGCTTCGATGCGGTGATTGCGAATGTGTCAGCTCACTGCCGATGAGCAGTCAAAAGTCACACCGCGGATGGAGGATCGGAAGCGCGGCGACCCGGCCGCGCCCCGACAGGCGCGCTTGCGGCAGGATTCGCAGTGCTCTCGTACGATACATCTCCTCTCCTTGCGATGGTCACCATTCAAATTCAATTCACATTCGTGATTGTGATTCTGACAGCGATTTTGTGCACTCATACTCTGCGATAGCTACGCTTGCCATCCATCACATCCACAATTTGCAGTCTCACGAGACACTTCCCTCGCATCATCACACACAACATCATTCCATCGGCGCCGCTCACATTCTGTAGGCTCACATTTAAAGAACAAACGCCAGCAAGCTTGGACATCGACCGCGCATCACGGCCTTTGGGACTCTGTGCGCATCACAGCATCCACTTGCTCCAGGTCGAGCTGACCACATCGACGCTCTGGAAGGGCAATACAGCCAGCATGCCGTGAGTAAACACAAGCTTACAGCCTACTGAGATTTCGTGTGCTGACGTACAGAGCGTGATGCAGGCTCTACGAGCTCTTCTGCGTCGCCGCCTCATCGGCCGAATCGGTGAGTCGAAGCGAGCGATCATCGCTTGAGGATTCGCGGTGCTGACACTTGCGCACCCCTCCACGCACTCAGGCACCGATCAGAGATCTGGTCCGAACCACTTCGTCGTTGATTCTGGAACATGGAGGCGCTGTCAGGGGTGTGCAGTACTGGGGAAGGAGAGTCTTGCCACAAAGGACGAGGAGGCATCAGGTTTGGCATTCACAAGGAGAGTGAGTACCTCCGCCTGTGATGGGCTTCGAGTGTGCTCAGAAGCGTCAAGAGAGAGGCAACAGACATGGTGGTCCGGCTGGCCTTACGGAGTGGCCATGCGCTCACTTGAGCTCGTACGCAGCCTGCGTGGAGTAACCTTGTATGCGCTCGCGCGGAACGTTCTCGTCAAGGCACAACCCCTCCTTGCCCCTTTCACGGGACGCTCAGATGCGTTGGCTAGGGAACGTCTGCTCAATCGGAGAGGGAATAACCCATCACGCGCTCTCTGCATGTCGCGCTCGAACATCAAGTCATGCCAGACCTCGCCCCCAGCGACTTCGATGGTCCAGTGCTGACCGCACGCGCATCTCCTTCGCGCCTCGCAGTCATTTCTTTCTCCAATTCGACACAAATCCCAGGGTGCTCGGCACGCTTTCATCCAGGTTGAGGGCAGATCCTCGCGTGATAAGATGGACGACGCTCAAGCTGGGCGAGAGGCTGGATCAGATCTCTCCTGATCCTGCTAGAGCTAGACCGACCGGCTACGCTTCGGACGCTGGGCAGATGGGTGGGAACAATACGATCCGATTCAGGTCGGACGAGTAGAGGGCTTCAGAACAGAGGCAACAGCTGTCACGCATTCATCAAGTGCAATGCAATGCTTTCGTGCGCTTGACGTCCTAGTACAATTGATCGTGAGAGGCACATCATCTGACGCTTCCTTGCTGCATGTAATGCGGTGAATATGGATTGCAAAAGAGCACGAGAAACACCGAGTACACACACAGAGAGAGAGAGAGAGAGAGAGAGAGAGAGAGAGAGAGAGAGAGAGAGAGAGAGAGAGAGAGAGAGAGAAAGAGAGAGAGAGCAGCGCCAAGGAATACTGTGCTCGACCTGGATCCAACTGCGTGCAAGAACTACGGTGCGGAGGCTCGGCGAAGATTGCGGGGGCTTCTGGTATGATGTTGAGTGTCTGCGCTGTAACACCAGTTGCGAACATGGTGTGAGTAACTTGGTCATGAAGCGTTATTTGAGGCAGCTTGGAAAGGCGGGACACCGCGCACAGACCGCTGGCAGTGACTGTTTTCAGGTCGGTGCGATGCGCGAAAGCGCAGCCTCAGCGCATCTCGAAAGTGCCCGACGAAGGTTCGGGAACATGCTGCAGCGCCAACTGTTGATATCTGCGAGCGGGATGGCAAAAGCAAACATCGAGCAAGCAGAGTCAGCTCCATCTTCATACCCTCATCCGCAAAGCAAGGCACACTTACGGCTCTGAGTTTGCATGGTAGTAGAATCCCGTCATTCGACCTGGAACAAGAGGTTCGCGCGCAGGGCGACTCAGGGCATCGAAGTTAGGATCGGCTTCCACCTCTTCCTCGTCGTCCTCATCCAACATCATCGCGCTACCTCCAAGGGTCGTCTGACCTCTGCGCCTCTGCGTCGAATTGGCATCTGATTCGGATGTGAAGCCGGCAAAGTCTTGCTGCGTAACGTCAGAAGACGCAGCCAGGGCAGCAGCCGAAGCCCGAGCAGCTGAGGTCGAAGATTCGCCCAGCTCCACACAGACGTAGTAGAATCCAGCGAAACTTGCCCCGTGAATATCTCTCACGCGATGATCCGGCACCAAAAAGCGCTCCTTCCACCTCATGAAGACGTAGGGTTTGGTCATGTGATCAAAAAGACCAGTCTTGTCAAGCTTGTTGCGCAAAGATCTGAAAGGGCTGAAGCGAGCCTAACGAGAGCCACAATTTGAGATGCAATCAGCGCTCAGTCTTACGGACGTGTCTTGCGCGCGACACATACCCAATGCGTCATGTCATTTGCCTCCTTTGCACCCCACTTGTTCGTGACGAAGCTGTGACGATCCCCGATGATCTCGGCGTCAAAGAAAGTCGTCAACTCGGGCCAGTCCTCGGTGAGACCGCGGATGTTGAGGTAGCCGCAGAGATGACTTGCTTCCAAGTCCACGTTCTGAAAAAGGCAGACAGTGTCAACTACTCGTCAACTTGTGCGCCACGCGTGACGAGAGGCTGACTGTCCCATGTCCCAAGAACGCCCCGGCAGCTGGTGAGCGGCCTGACCCTTGAGCACCGGAACTCACCACAATCTGCACGCCGACCTCATAAGTGCTACGACCACTTCTTTGCGTACCAACGAAAGTCGCTCCAGGAACGAGACAGCCCTTGCCTCTGCTACGCATCCTGAGCCGACTGGTGTCAGCACGTGGGTCCGGGCCAATCGCGGAATAGTGGTTCCAAGACCGCCACTGTGAGTCGATCATCTTCGGATTTGGATCCATGTGTCTGCTCCCGCCATCGCGTGACTCGGCGTCTCTCAAGAAAATTCCTGTTGCTGGGTCTGGGTTCGCATGGGCCTCGGCCTCCATGGCGCCATCGGGCTGCTTGTCCGCGTCAACTTGCTCTTCGGAGGTCTCCCGCCTCGAATGAGGTATCGAGACCAGAGGAATACTATCGCTCGACCATCTTGAGCTCGAAGCCGCCTCACCAGTGGGCCAGTGAAGCGACCTTGAAAAGCTCGACGTGCGCGCTCTGACGAGCGGTCCAGATGCTTGTATGATCTCGTGGACGACTGCTGGTTCCCTTGCCTCGTCATCGGCCGCGCCTTGAGCAGATGCGAGAGGCCGAGCTTGGGCATCAGTCGCGGCGAATGGATCTCTGCGTAAAGAGGCGCTACTATGCAAAGGATCCGAATAAAAGTCCATATGATCGGAATTGCGATCCCTCTCAGATGCCGAGGCTGGAGCTTCCTGATTCTGCGCGCTATCGCCCGTCCATCTTCTGTGATTTTCACTGCTCGTGTTGGCCTCGCTCACGTTTCTGGGCAGAATCATTTCGGGCCTTCGCGAAGGAGTGGCTGGCACGGATCGAGGGTCAGTCCGACTCCCAGCGCCGATCTGCGCATCATCGTCAGCGCTTCCTATCAACAACGGATCATCTTGCACGTCGGCTCGAGTTGCGTGACTACGATCATCCACTGAGGTTACCGGTACCCTTGGCACATTCGACGCGTGCGCTATCCGACACTCTGCGCACATGATGATGCTCTCGGCTTCAAAGGCTCTCTGCTGCTCGGCAGATCTCTGATCCGAACGTGTCGCCGGGGGCGGCGCAAAGGCTATCGACGAAGGACTTGGGGCACCCAAAGAAATCGAGAACGCGTGGAGCGAAGACCCTGAAGGGTGCGATAGCGCAGCACCTGCTGGCGCCACCTCGCTGCTCTCTGGAAGAGGCTGTCCACAGCGTGCACAGATCTTTGGGGCTTCGTGTGCGTTGGTAGGAGCTGAAGTTGTGCTCGCAGGTGGTGAGTTGCTAGGCCCGGCCTCATTGTCCAAATGAGAGGGCGGGTCGCTGCCGGGAGCAGGTGCCATGATACAGACAAGAGTGTGGGCGAGGAGGTAGGAGCTGGTCTATGTCTGGAGTGTATGCGCTACTTTTCCTTTCTAGCAGGTGAGCAGGCCGCCCTCTGCTTGTTGGATCTGATCAAGCGTTACGCAACGAACAGCGACGGCGATGCAGAGTAAGAGCACAAAGCAACACGAAAAGCAGGGAAGTAGCGCTCGAGAGTCAGGTGACGTGGTAGTCAAGACTGAGTTGTGGGGTGGAGGCGAGCAGCAGCAGATTGCTTGCTTGCTTGCCGATGATGATCGATTGCGCCAAACACGCCCCGCGGAGAGAGGTTTGACGAAGTGTGACGAGTTCCTTTGCTCCACGCAGCAAGCAGCATATGCAAGCATGCAGCAGCAGCTAGCAGCGGAGGCCGGCAGCATGAGAGTCGTGAGTGCGCGCAATCGTGAGCAATCGCGATCATCATACGCGCGTGAGTTTGGCAGGGCACACGCGCGTACACCGTGAAACCCGTGTACACACAGCATTGCATGCCTCTGCGTGATCTGCCGCGTGCGAGCGGCGCGCTTTGGCTTCTGACCAAGCCACGCCAAATATGTGCGTGCTGCGATGGAGACAAGATGCCGCGTTTTGCTGCTGCTGTCTCGCGGCCTGCTAGCTGCTATCGTTCGTTGCGTGCGGCCACACTGTGACTCGTGACTCTTCTACAGCAGCTGTGACAACCCGAGCGACTCGTGGTCACGACTGCCGGACACAGTCGAGCTGCTATCATGATGGGATACGTGTATGACTTTGCGCGCGGATCAAAAAGACGCAAGCGTGCTGCATGCAGCTTGCACGCAGCACGTACGCTTGGATACCCGGGCTCTTGAGTTGCCTTGCGGCCATCGATCAAGCATCAGAGCAGCTAGCCTGTCAACAGCAGCAGCAGCAGCATGCAGCCGAGGAGAGTGAGTTTTTGATTCTGATTCTGACTGCTCGACATTCAAATCAAGAATTCCAAGATTTCAAGATTCATTCACGCGATAGAGTTTGGTTCTTGCGATAACAGGAAGGGCACGTGACCGCTGTGTTGCTCCACACCGCCAAGCACACCGCGCCATATTATGCAAGTCAAGTCAAAGTTGTTTGTCGATGAATATATGAGCATACATACTGTATGCAGATGGATGGCGTCGAGCCCTCTTGTGTTTGCAGTTCAAGTGAATTGATTGCGATCCCCACCAAGTAGTAGAAGGAGTGATTGCTTCACAACTCGACAACTCGCTGCTGCTGGCAGACAGTATCCTCATTCGTGATTCAGACACTCCGCTCACTCGGTCGCTTCTTCTTTCGACCTCATGACGAGACGCCCGGGTCGATTCAGTGCAGTAGTCTGAGTGCATGCACTCGAGTGGAACGTAGGCCCAAAAGCATGGGATAGAGATACCCACGAGTCACACCTGGCCCGTGCCAGCAGCGACGCCCCTGCTGTATCTGCTAAGCATCTCAGCGGCATCGCAGAAGGCGGCGACAATCCGGGCAATCCCGGCTCTTTCATCGCACCCATCATGACTGTGAACAACCAGAATGCTGGTCCTTCCACTCGCGCAGAGTCCGTAGAAAGACGCGGGTCTACACACGGCGAGGAGGAAGAGTCAGACTTCTCAGCAGACTCGTCGTCATACCTATCCGGCTCGCCCGAGCCAACCCCAGCAATCATAGACGAACAGTTCCTTCCGCGCCTGGTGTCAGTTGCCTTTTGCATCTTTCATGCATCAGAGGGTCCTAAGGTCGTCTATCAAGTGCCCGAAGGCTCGTTGGTAGCCCATGCTGCAGCTCCCGGACCTCCTGGCACGCGCGCCAGAAAGGTTACAGACATTACACCCCCGCCTCTCGTGGACTGGAATACCATCGCAGACTTTATCATCCCAAAAGAGCCGCTCTGTGGTCGACTGGTCACGTGTACCGCAAGAGCACTCAATCGTGGTCGCCTGCGATCAGAGGCTGCTCAGCTCGCTGCAGCGAAGCATCAGCGGTCAAGGCGTCGTTCATCGTCGAGAGCGGATGTCGAGCGCCAAACAAGGGAAGATTTAGTGTTCGGCACTGCCCAAAGCCGCTCGACATCCAGAGATTCGCTGCGGCCTAATGAAAGCATCGACAACAGCTCCTTCTCGAACGAGCTAGATGGTATGGACATGGATGCGTACCATCCAGGAACCAGCACAAGTGCCACCTTCAAGGTCCTCTCCCACCCCACGCTCATAACCGACGAAGCTAAATACTCCCGCAACACTTTCCTCTTCAACATTGCCTTCCTCTTCGATGGCACTGCAGATGTTCGAGCCTACGAACCAGTGGTGCGCAAATGCGTGCGCCAGCTCAAGACGCTCGAGGTGAGTAGCTTCACTCGAATATATGGCATTATACCTTTCAATCGACGCTGATGTGGCACGCGATGCGCAGCAAACAAATTCGTTTTTGTCTTCTCCAATGTCGCAGACGCGGATGTATGGCATCATCGAGCAGCTATACGAAGATCTCAACTCTTATTGTGAGACCTTCATAGCTCTTCCCGATGCTCCCCACTCCCGTTTCTTGCATGGTATCACGAGCCCTGACGGCAAGGAGATTGCCCTGTCTGACGCCACTGCGCGATATAGTCTGAGCAGTTGGGGTCCTTTAAATCCATTGCAGCCAGCGGAACGTGCGCAGCTCGAAGCAGCTCTTGCCAGCAGACGTAGAAGCAGTGGGGCCCACAGTGCCGGAAGCAGCAATGGCATTCGCATGGTCCAAGCTTCGCCTTCCAATAACTCTCTCGCTCCTCCAAAATTTGCGCGCAGCTCAACAGATGCTGCATTCGAGCCAGTCGCGCCAGGGCAGTCTCTCGAGGCTGGATCGGGCCTGCAGCGCCCTTGTGGCCCAAGCAGATCGAAGACAAGCGTGTCAGCCTCTCCAGCTGTACGGCGAGACTCTTTGGCGACCTCTGCGCTAGCCTCATCTTCATCTAGTTCCGGCTCAGAGGGAGATCTCAGTGAGATGGCTTCCAGTATGTACCGGCCGTCCGTGGGCAGAGCGCTGAGCAACAGGTCAAAGGGCTCCTCGGAGACGGGCTACAAAGCAAGGCCTGTCATCGGCCGAAGCAAGACTCAGGCAGCTGTCGGTTTGACTAGTGCGGTGGTCAGCACACTGACCGGACCGGAGTCTGATGCGAAAGGTGCTACAACAGCTGCTTCTGCTCCGATGCTGCGTGCCAAAAGCGATGACATCTCCAAACAGCTGCCGCAGCATACAGATTCCGGACTCTCTGCCGCCGGCATCGCTCAAAACTTCACAATTGCTAGCGGCTCCTCTGCACTTTCTCCTGCTGCTGATGCCGTACAGACGTCTCTGCAAGGGAGGCAAATTCTCAGCAATTCTAGCCACGCTCGTGAAGCGGGCGCCGCGCCCCTGAAGGTCCCGACAACTCCTAACTCTTCTCGTTCAGTGCCTACGATACCATTACCACTGTCGATCAGCGTAGGCGCTGTGGCACCTGCACACATCCTAGGGCCCGGAAAGAGGGAAGCTCCACATGGTCTCGGACGGACAGTAAGAGACGCAATTAATTTGAAGCTCTTTCCTACCTATGCGAACCCTCCTCCCGTCTACGAGTGGCAGGTCCCTCTCGCATTGATAGATCTTGCGCGCTACGCAGACGCGAACTGGGACCTCACCATGGCCAAAGTGAGTATTCGCCCCGGAGTGCGACCGCATGTCTTTTAGACTTCTCAACGTCCCGGCACTTGTACAGATCTTTCCATTCATTGATGGCATCAACCACGTCAAGCGCATCTCGCAGCTCGCAGATGCGGACATAGATCTGGCCATTTCCTGCATGGAGCATCTGCTGTGAGTGACGCAGCTGAGCGTTGGCAGTCTCGAAGGCTTACGTGTTCGCAGCCTTACGCACACAGCTACTATGGCTGCATCATAATGATCGACATCTTCCAATTCTTCAACATGTACACGACGAGGCCCCTCATCGCAACGATGGCAACGGACGAGTCCATCATTGCAGAGTGTCCCTTGTACGTGATGCTTCCCGGGAGACCACTTCAAAGCTGGCCGCGACTCTTGTCGCTCTATTCGGCTCTCAAACCTGGCGTGACTCTCCACGAGTGGATCGAAGAGAACGACGTCGACGACCTAGGCATTGATGTTCGACGCTTCGTTTCCTTCGGCATCATCAAGGGCTTTCTTCGCCGCGTCCACAGATATCCGGTGCTACTCTCACCATCGATGATACGTGTAGAGGACCCAGCAATCTCGACGAATGATGCGCATGCGAAAGCCAGCAATGTGGCTACTAGATCATCGGATAAGCCACAGCGCAAGCAGACACCCAGCCCTCTGAATCTCGCACGAGACACCAGCCCTGCGGAAGAGAGGTTCCCTGTCTCAGCCGGGCTTGACTACCAAAGCGGAAATGCACTCCGATCTCCGCAGTACCACAATCGCGTCGCGCGACGTGACTCTTCAACGGGTGAAGCGCCGCAGCGCACTGCGCCTAGAGCCTCACCAACTCGAAGATTAGCTGCCGCACGCAGACAGAACCCGTATCGGCACACTGCAGCAACGGTGATCGAAGTGGCCAGTGTAGCTCTGGACCTGGGACCAGAAGGGGAGAGCGCACGAGAAGGAAGTCACCGTCGACGGCCTCTGCAGTCTCCTTTGCGCTCTCGGGGAAGCAGCTCGAGCATCGCCGCTTGGAACCGAGGGACGAGTCTGTCTCATAATGCAGGGGCCAGCGCGGCCTCGCACGGAGCTGAGACAGACGCGCAGCGCTCCACTTCCAGTACCTCGTCCGTCCCGCCTGACCTGCCATCGCTGCTTGATGCAACGCGCTCAGAGGATGAGCTCTGCGTCCGATATGGTATCCCGTGGTCCGAGCTGCACACCCTTTTGATGCGCGTAGGTCATGCGCCTGTAGCGTCTGCCGAGGCAAATCAACGTGCACGTAGCGGAGAGAGAAGTACAGATGTGGATACCTGGAGAGAGGAAGAGATGCAGGCAGGGGCTTCAGGTTTCGCTGGCGCCAGCGGCTGGACGGTCGGAGGAGCAATGAGCGGCTTTGCAAGGAGGACTTCATCAAGCAATACCATTCAGCAGCGCCCCACGTCACGCAGACAGAGTAACAATCCAGAGTATGGGGCCGCTACGCCGAGCGCGGGTCCGTATTCTGCATACTCGCGGTACGACCCGAACACGCCAAGGGCAGCCAATGCGGACACGTCTGGCCTACCCCGAAGCAGCACCTTTGATTCTGCTAAAGGATTAGCCAGTGCCAGTGCTTTTGATCTGGCCGACGATACAAAGGTGGGCACATTTGGCCTGGGACCTTCCCTGTCCGCGTGGGATGGCCTGAACCTTCAAAAATCCATCAAATCTGGCCGCGGGTCCCAAGCGGACTTTGACCCCAGCGATTACGGCCGCGTCAAAATTCTGTTGCAATAGCATGCATTGTAGCTGCAGCAACTGCCACGTGGCGGATGCAAAGAGAGGTGCCAGGCGGATGACGGCCTGAAGGCAATGTGCATTCTGACGCCAAGCGGCACTCTAGCGGGGGCGCGGAGCGGTCACAGCAAAGTCAAAGGTGGTTGTCTAGAGAGTCCTACTGACTTCGACCTCTTTGATAGCCTGTATGATGTCGCCCTCCTTAAAGTCTTGGAAAGCGTCGCCGAAGCTCATCCCGCACTCTGTGCCCTTCCTGATCTCATCAACTTCGCGCTTGCCGTGCTTGAGCTCTTGCAGCTTTCCCTGCCAAAGCAGTTTCCTATCCTCCTCTTCGTCTTCCTTTCGACCACCCCTCTCTCTCATGACGCGTACAAGAGTGTTGGCGGTTATGCTTCCATTCGTGACTCTGCAACCCGCGATATTCCTGGCCGTTCGACGATTGCCAGCGATGCTAAAGATCTGCGCAATGATCGCTTCGCCTGTGACGCGCGTCTCTATCCTCGGCGGTAGTAATGCAGAGGCTTCTGCCGACACCCAGGACATGAGGCGATAGATGACGTCATCTGCCTGGATCTTGACATTACTCTTCGCAGCAGCATTCTGCATGGCTTTCGGCGCCTTGACATTAAATGCAAGAATATGACCTATAACAAGGCAGCGCGAGCGTACGAGTTGTGAGCGAGACGAATGTCAGGCATTGGCAATGAGCGCTCATGCACTCACCTTGCACCGCTTGAGCCAAGGCCAAGTCTCCGTCGGTAGGATCACCAACGCCCTGAGCTACGATCTTGACGCCTACTTCTGCATTGCCGATCCCTGAAATGGCACCAACGACAGCCTCAACAGTACCAGAGAAGTCGGCGCGGACGATGAGTCGAAGTTCCTTCTTTTCGCTTTCAACCTCATCCTTTGGCAGAGCTTCTTTTCCTGCAGCCTTTGCCTTGTCCAGAGCCTGTTGCGCTTGCTTTGCGTACTCCTCGGCAGTCAGACCGAGCTCAGAAGCCTCTAATCTTGCTTGTCTTCGCGCTGCTCTCTCTTCGTACGCTGCTCTAGCTTGCGCCTCCTCCTCTTCCGCACGCAGACGTCGAGCGTCGTTGATACCTTCTGCCTCCTTGATCAGCTTGCGCCTGGCCTCGATGGCCTGACGGGTCTCTACTGCGCGCTTTGCGAGGGTCTCGGCATTAGAGCTACCGTCGGACGCGTCCACTACACCCAAAACCTCATCCCCAGCGCTCGGAAGCGTTCGCCATCCAGTGACTACCACCGCATCTCCAGGGAAAGCTGGCTTCTTCGTTGGCTTTCCTGCAGAGTCTAACAGGGCACGAACACGAGCCCAGCTTTGTCCTGCTATAACCAAGTCTCCGGTCCGTAGGCTGCCGCGCTTCACCAGAACAGTTGCGGTATTTCCTCGTCCTTTGTCGGTGCGCGACTCTACGACCCATCCTTCTGCGGGAATGCCATCGCGTTCGGCCCTGAGATCCGCCATCTCTGCCAGCGCGGCTAAAGTCTCCTCCAGGAGAGGGAGACCAGCCCCCGTCTTTCCTGATACTTCCACGCAGGGCACTTCACCGCCGTATTCCTCGAGGTGCACACCGTTCGACATCAATTCGCTCTTGACTCGCTCTACATTTGCATCAGTCTTGTCGGTCTTGTTGAGTGCGACGACGAGCTGCAAGCCAGTCGGTCGCTCGTTCGATTCTTCGACCTCATTGTCTTTGTTGTTTGCGGCTTGCTGGTCTACATCTGCATTTGGGACTTTGCGTCGCCGTGCAGACGTTGCTGCTTCTTCCTCGCGCAGCGACTCGACAAGCTGAATAACTTCTTTGGTCTGTGGCATGACGCCATCATCCGCCGCAACCACAAGCACGACAATGTCGGTGACTGCCGCGCCTCTGCCCCTCATGGCCGAGAATGCAGCATGTCCGGGTGTGTCCAGAAAAGTGACCGTATCGACACCGCCGCTAGTGCCCGACCTTTGACGTTGGCTTACGGGCACGCTGAATGCGCCAATGTGCTGCGTGATGCCGCCAGCCTCACCAGCAGCCACGCTCGCGCTCCTTAGCTTGTCTAGCAACGTCGTCTTTCCATGATCGACGTGTCCCATGATAGTGACGACGGGAGGTCTGAGAGGTGTCTGAGCTCGCTGATTTTCTTGCAATGGCGGTGATGGGTAGATATCAAAGGCGTCCGAATGAGAGTTCAGTGGCACTGCCGTCAAGCCATACTCTGAGACGAGCAGAGCAGCGTCATCGAAAGGCAAGAGCAGGTCCGGCCTGGTGTCTTCATACCCGGCAGCGGTCATGTTGTTTTGCAAAAGTCGCATCCTTGTGCCAATCGCTTTTGCCAAGCTCGAAACAGTCATGAATGCAGGCAAGCCAAGCTCCGTGCGGATTGGCTCAGCCGAGACGACTCGTCTATCGGCTTTGCCGGCTCGCATTTGGGCTCGCGCCTCCAAATCCTTCAACTGTTGCTGCTGCGCTCGCTCCAGCTCTTCGTGCTCTCTTCGCAATTTGTATGAGGGGGAGCGGTCCGATCCTGATTTGCGCTGTTGCTCCGCCACTCGCGCAGCGATTCTCCCCTGCGCTTGACTTCCGATGGATAGTTCAGCATCCTCTACGGTCTGGTCTTCATCTGCCTCTGCAGTTCCGAACAAGGTTGCATCCGAACCAAGATGTCCCAACTCCGCAGTGCTATTGTCATGTCTTCTCTCCCTCGCGCTGTTGGCGCCCTGGTCCCTTCGTCGCGCTTGTGCATTCTCCCTGCCATCCTGTAGGCTGTTACCGAACCTTGGCCCAGCCGGCGGCCTGCTTCGGTCAAGATCCGGTCGAATTCGCCCTGCATCTGTCCGAGAGGACCGCTGATAGCGCTGGTCTGAGTTTTCTCGTGGACCCCGACTTCTGTCTCCAAACTCTGAGCCGTGGTCTCTACGCGGCTGTAGATGAGGAGGTAGGCGTTTGCCCGGCGTTGCCCCGTCAGCATTGACAGCGGCTTGACCTTGGCTTGACGAGCTGCCCCTCGGCTGACCATTCCATCTCTGATCGCTACGACCCTCTTCGCGCGTTCGTCTTTGCTGCCCTTGCTGCCCGCCACTAGATTGATGCGGTGCTCGGGGTTGAGACGCCGACCGCTCTCTCGAGTGTGGCGGTCTTTGGCTTGATGGAGCGGGCGAGCTTTCTTCCTTGGGCCTCTCTGTCGGACGAGCATGGATGGGCTGCCTTTTCTTGCTGACGAAGCCGCCTGGAGGAGCGCTGGTGCCAATGCCTATGCCCATATTGACGCCCGAGCTGGACACATCAGCGCCCAGTCTGCCGCCCGCATTTGGAGGTCTCTGCTCGTCGCTTTGCGAGGCTGTTGTCGAGAAAGCTGAACAGCGTGGCGAACTGCACAGAAGCAAATTTGCATGACGCTTGATGATTGCTGAGGGGGGGCAATAAGGGCACACGGCATGTGTGCGAGCAGAAATCGAGCCTCCGGGCGTAGCCCCAGCAGAGAGCAGGTGCAGGAGAGCTCCTCTGGAAGACCGTGCCGCGGGCCTTTGAACTGTGAGCATGGCGGCAATGGTGTGCGGGTGCCTGTGCGATGCTCCGTCTGCCGAATTCGCGTGATGGAAGAGGAGGCTTTTGTAGAAAGCAAGACATCCACCCGTACTCCACCTGTAACAAGCACAATCTGAATCAAGAATCAAGTTTGCGAGTTTGTCCTCCATGCGCGGACTGCAGAGAAACCACGACACAGCACCATCGTGATCTTCGTGCGGGCACAGTCACGTGACACTTGCCGCGCTCACCTGCCGGACCCTAACTTAGCGACTGGTCTTCGTTATTAGGAACGTATCCTCTGCGTGATCTAAGCGGCTGCTGATGGCCAGTAGTAGTAGGCAAAAGCATTCATTCAATTCGTAAGATCGATCAGAGTCATGACACAAGGCATGCAGGCGCAGTGCGTCAATTGCTACGCGAGTTGCTAGTGACCAAAGCAGACATGGTCGAAATCGCAGGGGCTATTTGCGGAGCATAGTACTATGTTGCGCTTAGTGTGAGCTCGTCGTTCTTGCAGACCACAAAAAACGGTAGCCTAGTACGGGACGAAGACCACGAGATGTGCGCGGAAATATTTTCGAGAAAGCGTCGCTTTTCGAACGAATGCTCTGGTCCTTTTGAATCTGATCGAGCCGCAAATCATGCGCTGGAGCTACGCATTGGCTGGAGCATTGACCTCGCACGGCTGAGGACGAAGCTGCGCAAGGGTTCTGATGGCACATCGCAGGCTTACAAGCTTGTGAGCTTATCGAGGCAGCCGTTCGACCGTGCCATGAAGCTTTCCGCTCGTCACGTCTTGTCCCAAACGACCAGCGACTTCCGACCAAGAGAGCCGCCCAGGCGCTGTAGCCTTGGCTAGATGAGATGTATGATGAGCATCGCTCAACTTGCTGCTGCTTGGAGACTTGTGCCCTCGAGCGTCATTCTTGCGCGCCTCTGGAATTGCATCCGGCCGCTCCATTGCGCTCGCATGACTTATAGGTGTCGCGTTCTGCAAAGTCCGAGATCCACTTTGGGGATTGGAAGCAACGCGTAAGGCTAAGCCCTGAGCGACGTTCGCGCCGCCGATCGACATGCTTCCTATGCGGTTACGGGCTGCAGCTCCCCTTGCCACCTGAGACCAGCTGAGTTCTGGAGGTGAGCGGCTGGACGCAGGTGCGCTGACATCTCGAACAGAGGATTGCGCCGGCAGTCTAGAATCTTCCCTCCGCTGAGGGAGAGGAAATGCATGGCGACTCTCTTGTGACGGAACAGCTTTCGTAAAGGTACCTCGTGCAGTATTAGAAGCCCCATCGCCGTTCGAGAGCAGATCTGCATGCGAGATTTGATCCGACTTGCCGACGCCTCTAAAATGTGCTGCAGCAGGCATACGATCAGAAGCGTTGATCGTCGAGAAATGCGCTATTCGACGAGCCCGACGAGCCGAATTTGCTTTGGCTATGTCCCGATCCGAGCCTACAGGCGCAGCAGAACCATGACCATGACCCCGGTACGACTTTGATTGTTGAGATCCATCATGTTCGAGTATGTTGACCGAGCGTAGCAAAGCCAGGGTCCTCTCGCGCTCCAATCTGGGAGAGCTCGAGCCTATCTCAGCTTCGGCGGTGGCACGCAGCGCCGCATCATCGTAAGGGGACGTCTGGACCTGCCCGCTGTTATCGACGTGCGTCTGACCCGGCGCAAGATGAATATGGTGTGTCATTGTAGCGGTGTATACCGGCGATGGAAGCTTTCCTCGTTCGCGATTCCTGGCCACACCTGTCAAATGCACCCAGGGATCGCGGAAAGACGTATGCCATGGACCTTTCAGCTGGGCATGAGAAGTGCTGGCCTCGTCAGTCTGTAGCAGGACAGCAACATAGGAAAGACGGTCCAGGCAATGAGACCTGGACCAGATGGAAGCGACGTACTCGAGACAGCGTCGCTTGCGCCATCACTCACATCAAAACGAGTCATTTCGGGGCACACTGCTCGCCAGTAGTGATTTACTGCGCAACGCGTTTCCTCGCGTCTCTCAGAGGTGACAGGCATATCAGGTCCATCATTGAAATTGATGTAAGGATCACCATATTGTCTGGACTTGGACTAGGCAAGTAGCCTATTGCGTCAGCAAGTGCCCGGGAATACACACATAGCAGCACTCACGTTGCTGGCAGTAGTAGGATAGAAAATACCGAAGAGGAACGCTAAAAGCAAAATATTCGCGCGACTCATTAGCGCTTTGCAGACTGAGCTTTGAGCTGACGTCGTTTGGGAGACCGTGGTGATGCAGTGAGCTGACAGGGATCCAGACGTGGGGGCAAGAAGGAGCGCACGCACGCCGAAGAGATTTGGTTTGGGACCTGAGAGCAGCAAGCGAATAGCTGAAGCGGATCGCAGCAGTCCCCCTTCTGTCGAGACAACGTTTGAGACTGAAGGATACGCAAGAACTATGCGTGTCCAGTCAGGAAAGTCGATGCAGCACGGATACCGCCAAAAGCGCAGATGGTAAGTTCCCACGAGATCTCCCCGGCATTAGCCTGAACACACCTAGGCGTCCTCATTGCTGCACAGGTGGCAACTCGATCGCAAGCGATGTTCGCGGCGAAGTAATTGGATGGCCTGCTTGAACACACTACGGGCGGAGCCGGAAAGGTCCCCGACCGCAGACTGCTCGTCGGGCGTCGATCAGCACGCAGTCAACTTGACGCAAGTGGCGACGCTCATCATTGGGTGCCACCAAATTCGCAACAGGTCGGGTGAAGAGACGTGGATCTGGGGCAAGGGCGGCAGAAATTAGCAACACCCGTTCAAGAGAGTACTCATGGAGGGAGTCGGGCGAAGGATGTTGCAGGACTCACCACTGCGGACACCCAGCCCGGGCGTACGAAGCCCTCGCCAGCTAAACGTCCGTGGCCTGGAATGACTAGTCCTGGTGTGCGGGTATCTACAGGCCCAGTGGCTGGATCGAAATCCAAAGCTTCTTCAGGAGCCCTGAAGGGCCATGGTGTATGGTTCCTGAATCCTCTAGGCGGTGGCCGCCAAGGCGTTCCTCGTCTAGCAGGGTCGTCTACAAAAGCTCTGAAAGTCACTTGACCCCGGGGGACGTGAGGATCGCCCGTCACCTTGAGCCCTTCCAAGACTCGCACACCAGGCTGCACCTGGCTGATGCCGATTTGCGTGCCGGCATACATGCTCGGATCCGAAAGGGAGGTCTCTGCTCTGCTCGCGGGTGAAATCGGACGTGTCGCGTCGATAGGGGACACCCACTGCGAAGGACCTAGACCCATGCTTTTGGAATCGGTGAGGACGTCAAAATCTGCTTCCGTCAGAAGACGAGACCTGACGTAGAGCAGTTCGAGGCCCCAAGGTCCGTAACTGCTCGCGTACAATCCTTCGACCAAAGACCAGTCGAAACCCGTCATCGCCGGATCTTGGTCTCTGAGAGGTGCTTGATGTCTGTAGCGCTCAGCGTCGAGCGCGGTAGAGTCCAGCACCCCAGGACCTAGTATTGGTGCTCGAGGCGGTGACTTGATAGCGTAAAAGGTCGGACCTTCAGGCATGGGCTGGCTGAGCGAGGGCCAAGCTCTGTAGGGCGGAGCAGGGTTCATCCTCATGCGCAGAGCTAGCGATTGACCTGGTGGGCTGCTGCGCAAAGCTCCAACGCGCAGCGTATGCGACTCCGAATGACGGAGGGCAGCTTGAAGCCCTTTGCTTGGGAAGGGCAGTGCTTCTCTTGGAGCCAGCCTTCTTTCGTCAAGCATGTATGCCAGTTGCTCGCTAATGACGCTGCCGCGACGTGAGCCGCCAAGGGCACTGGAAGTCGGGAAATCGTCCTGAAGCTCGGGAGGCAAGGGTCTACTTGCTAAAGCAGCCAGAGAGACGTCTTGGAGCGCAATCGTGACCTCATTGCATGAACGATCTCCCCTCGATACTCGTCCCACACCACTGCGTCGGGTGGCTACAGCTCCACTTTCGATATAGGTGACATGTCTGAATTCGCCCGCCGACAGACGCATTACCCGCACTCGTCCAGTAGCAGCGGGACCATGCGCATAGCCTACGTGAGGTACCTCAGCTTCGTCCGATGTTCCGCTCCACGCCATCTCAAGCTGTCTCGACTCTTCTGGATGAGATTGCCAGGCCCTCCCTGCGGATGAAGCAAGAGGGACGTCCTCATTGGCTAGACCAAGCTCGGCAGCCACGTCGAGCGGATCGTGTCCTGCTACAGAGTGACGTGCAGGCACCGCGAACCTTCCAGATGCGGCATCGTCTTCATCTTCGCTGACATCCAGCCAGTGTCTTTCGGGTGCGGCTGAGCGAGCACCCTGTCTATCAGAAGTAGCTTCGCGAGACTTGCCATCGGCGCTCGCACTGCCAGAAACCTCTGCGATAGGTTGGTCGGAGCGCTGAAGATGGGCTTTCCATTGTTCTCTAACTGTTGGCCAGCTGAGGCTCCAGAGCATTTCTGTGCGAACACCGGGCAAAGAGAGGTCGACGGATACGTTGCTGCGGAGAGCAGTGCCATCACTCGAAGGCGCTGCGATGTGAGGCATAGCGAAAGATGTCGCAGTGGACCAGGAGATCTCTCTTTGCGCGCGATCAAAACCCATCTCAACCGACATTGACGGCGACCCACGATCTGGAGCAGCGTAAACCGGCTGCGCGTGAGGTATCATGCCGTGCAAGCGATTGACTAGATGGATCTTCTGACATACAAAAGCCGGATGTTTTCTTCTCGATGCCGCATCGCGCGCATCAGCGTCGGCGCTTGAGGTTGCCATTCGGTCTGCATTGGCATGGTGAACCACCGAAGCAGGGTCAGAAAGTTGAGCGGCAGGTGAGGTTCTTTGCGCGTCAAATTCTGCCCGCGTGAGCGTTTCAGCTGTCTGCCGCTCTTGGTCTTCCGGATCAAAGTGAGGGTCGAGTACTACTCTGATGATGTATCCATAGCTTGGTTGATCACCAGCCCACCACCCAAGGGTCGCCCTCCACGGGGCCACGAAGGCGCACCAAACGTCGTGCAGGGACTCAGCATCCTCGAAGCTCTCTTTCCTTAGACTAGCTGATCGCTGTGCGCTCGAGGTTGCTTCCGCATCAGCTCGTGAGACGGGCCAAGGGTCGGTCGATGCTGGAGAGAGATAGCCGATGGAGCCGAAATGCGGATCCCAGGGTGGTAGCTGCTGACGGGAAGATAATGCCCGAAGGTTGTGGGACCTGGCGGGTGGAGATGCGTCCAGCACATCCGCCAGAAGTGGCAGCCAAATGTGATCAGCTGTCTTGACGAGATTTCGAAGCGTGCCGCATGAAGCGGCGAGGGCGTGCAGCTCCTCTGCTGATAAGCGGCTGAGGATAGTCAGCAGGGTCTCTACAGGTAGCCCGAGCAGCGAGGGGAATGGTCTTCTCATGTTCGAATCCGCCTTGATCATATCTGCAGCACACGCTCGTTGTCTGCACGTGTAAGAAAAAGAGCTCTGGCAATTGGAGAGTCGCTTCAATCGCAGCAAGCCGAATGAAGCGGGCGCTGCTTGCTGTCTGGGCTTTTGCTGGGTATCAGATATACTTAATAAGCACCAGCTACAGCTTCCGATGTTTCGAGTACTTTGGGCAGCGTCATTCGAGCCCTGAGAAGTCGACGTCGATCCTAGAGCGCTAGCAGCGCGGTGATGAGGGTCGCAGAAGGGTAAGGGAAGATGGGTATGGACGGCGATATATAGATGAAGGATCCCTGCGTCGGCGGATGAATGGTTGGGAACCAGAAGATTTCAAATCATTATGGCGCAATAACAAATCCGACGTGGGCTGCTCGAACACAATCTTGAATTACAATCTTGAATCAAATACTGAAGTCCAACATTTTGTTTGAATTTTTAAACTTCCGACTCGGCTTCTCATTTGAAATGGAAGACGCTAAAATCGCCGCTATCTGACTCATCCATCAGGTGGAGGCGGGGGATCGTTCGTCGAGATCGACCGCGCGCGTATACTCGTGACTCATTCATATTCAATTCAATGGTTCTTGATTCGAAGACGCGTGACCACAAGTCCAGCTTCCCAAACTTCCTGATCCTCAGCGCCTTAGTCGTGCGAAGTTCCGCGTTGATGCATCGAGGCCAATCTGATACACACTCGTGGGAGACAACATGGATTCCAAATCTCATTGCCCGGAATTGAAAAGCAAAGAGAACGCCTTTCTGTCCGAGGCCGTCGTATCAGCTGGTCGAAAGACCGAAACCTCAAATGTCGCTGGAAGCCTGATCGGCCCTCCATCGCCGCACCACAAGTCCGCGCATGAACAACCGCGTGACTGCGAGACTGTCTGTCCGATCCACCACGACTCAGCCATGCCGTTTCTGCCGACCGTCGCTTTCAATCTGAAGCCAATTAGCACGTCGAAGGGCTGTGCTCCACGATATCTCTGCTTCGTGATTTCTCTATCATCAGTGTTCGTCGATTTAAAAGGAGTGACCCGCATTTGATATCACTACTCAAGACTGTGAATCGAAGACGTCGAGTCTTAATTGAATGGAGGCCTAGCTGATCAGCATGCATCAGCTCTGCATGCTGGTCGGTCGGCGTATTCGTGATATACTTCTCATCAGATTCTTGATTTTGTTTCACCACTTGACTCACCGTATAGTCAGTGGTCACGTGAATTCCGGAAGTGCAGGGCCGAATCACGAATCACGAATGCACGCTTCGCAATTGACATGCACGCTCCCCTGAACGGAATAAGCGTCAGCCATGGCAGGAATCACGGAACACTGAAGAGTGAGTTTGGGACGCAGCAGCAGCAGCAGCAGCAGCAGCTGCTGCAGTCTCAAGTGTTGTGCTGCTGATGAGGCCGGTCACTTGGGTGTGGGCGCGTGCTCGCGCGCGCGTGAGATGCCCACTGCGACGCGGGGGTCAGTCAACAAGCAGTCACAGCTAGTCGTGAGTCGCGGCGCAACGCAAGCAGCAAATGTCAGCGACACAACAGCAGCAGCAGAGGGTCCTGCAAGAGGCCTGCTGTGAGGCGCTCCACACAAGTGCCGCCTGTGCGCGGTAGCCCACTGGCCACACGCGGCAGCCCACAGGCATGCAGCAGCAGCCGCCATCTCCATGCAAGGACGCGACGATTTAAGGCTCGCTCTTTCCCTCCATGTCTTCCCAGGAGGACCGAGAGCATGCCGCAGGTGTGTAGAAGCCCCTGTCCTGCTGCAGCTTCACACGTTCATGTCGACTCGACGTCGTCTGCACGGCGATCCTCTCATACCCGTACACCATCTCATCGTCCTCTATAGTCACTTGCCGAGTTGGTAGAGCTTGACCTCGGCACATCTCCTCTCATCAGCAGCACTCGCCAGAATGAGCTCCTCTCAAGGAGGCGTCGAGGGGCGCAAATCCAACAATTCCCGACGATCGGTCTCCGTCGCGACCGCCAATAGTGCCAGCGGAAGCGTGGTCGGGCACGATGAATCA